TTATATCTAATTCGGCATTACCGTCATGATTTGACTCTGGCATAGCTCCAAAGTAAAAGATGGACTTTGGCAAGCCATCGATGCGCTGCCGCGGCGACATCAAATCGCTCTCTCGCGTGTCCCTATTAAATTTGATTATCTATTGCTGAGAAAGTATTTGTTTTGGACGGAGACCATAGGCGCCAGAGTTGATCAGTTTCGTTTCCGCAGCGAGATCTGCACCACAATAAACAAGGATTCTTTCTCCTCGAGGCGGCTCTCTTGGTGCGCGGCAGTAGCAACACTTGCTATTGCAGTGCCCCTTTTTTGTTTGTTGTCTTTGCTAGCTGGCTGGCTGCTCTGGCAGCGCATGCATACGTACTTAGACACATACGTTATATCTACCTGCACACAGCAACAACGCGCTTGTTGTTTTCATCCGGTGAGTGCTTTCTCGCCCGAAGAACGTGTGCACGCGAATACGCGTATGCACACACAGACTGAGAGAATATGCTCCTTAATTCATTCGAACACGTACCCATCGTACGAGCAGTGTGTTTGCACGCGCGTGCCAGAGTTGCTGCTACATGTTTTCACAATAGAATCAAGAGAGAAAAATTGTTTCATCGCGCTTCACGCGCACGACTAGTTGTCGAAAAGCTTACTTCCTGTGAACGTGTAGAGGCGGCTTTTAAATCCTCTGCTTGTGTCTTTGCTACGCTTGTTACCCTCTCGTTGTATCGGAACGCAATTAACCGGGTTTCGCGGAAAAATTTGGCACGTTCTCTCGTGCAATAAGCACATTTATAGACCCGAAAATTGACTGCTAATTTAGTGCGCCGATAAGCTCAAACACCTGATATAGTTATAAAAATGCCAACGCGAGCAAAACTCGGGATAAAAATGAACGCGTGTAAATAAGCCTGATAAATCAACAAATCAATCAGATCGATTGCTTGCACACGCAGGCAGGCAGGCAGGCAGGCATGTATGCTACGATCGTTACGTTTTGTAACTGCATCATACATTATTATCGTAGGCGTATGTGGTGTGTGTGCGCACACGATGGTACGACAAGCAGAATAGAGTATGCTGCAGTAAAGTCAGACATAGTTGAATGATAACAGCCCCTACGCGTATATATAGACGTGTGTGTATGCGTGTGTGTATGTGCCACGTGGGGATCACTGCGTTCAACAGAGAAAGAGAGAGTGAGATAGACTCGCGCTTGTGCGTGTGCCTAAGTATAGGCGTGTGTGTGTGTGAGTGTGTGGAGCACAGTATTTACCCTACGAGTCACACACAGTATGTGCATGTGCACACGAGTGCGACATTCAGCGAGGCAAGAGCTTGTGCGAATTTGCTGCGGGTTTGCACTACTTGAATTAGAAATGCGTCGCAAATGGATCTCTCTCACTCGCTCTTGCTTGTTTACGCCGCTTGCTTTTTCTCCCTGTCTCTAGTACATAGTTTGATTATTAAATTTGAAATTAGATGCCTAATTATATGCTGATGATAACGAAGATATTTTGCCACCCTGCTGCTCTCGCGTGTGTACGCGTGTATCGATATTAGTTCTCCGTCGCGTTTCAAGTGATCTCGCGCGAGCTCACGCATACATAGATATAGATACACTCACGCGTGTATGTGAGCTGCGCATGAATTATTTATTTATACGAACGCTCGTACATGCGTGTCTCGAGTGACTCGTTAAATCAACCCAGAAAGACTTGGGCATATATATAATGCATGCGTGAACTGTGCGATATACTCGTGCCCGCGACTATGTATGTACATTCCTATATATGTTATTACAATGCAGCAGCAATATTAATAGTTATAGATCCTCGGGTAGTATAATATTGTTATGAGCCAAATGCGACTAGATGGCTATTTATATGCGTGGAAAATATGATAAATAAACTACTCATCGACGCTCGCACACGACTTTATTAGAAAATTGCGCTAGGGGTACGTCCGTCATTTTCTCACACACTTTCTTTCTCACTTGCGAAGAAAGGCTATTAAAATTCAAATTTCGAAATTTAAAAGCTTTATGCGGCACACACCTCCTCCTATATATATGTATGTGCGCGCATACCAGGGGTACGAGAGCGGAAGGTACAAGTTTGCGAGGCAGGCTTTTATTAGTTTTTTGGGTCAACAGAGAGGAAAAGACCGCAATGGCCGCCGCCAAGAGATTGCATATTTTACAAATTGCGTTAACTGTTTGAACAAGGAAGTGATTGCAAACAGATAAAATTGACAATCTCTTTCATTCCTTTTTTTTCGAGAGTGCTTTAATGGAATAAAACAAGTAATTGTAAGTACAGCGCGAGGAAAAAAAGTTGAAAAAGATTTTACATGGTCAAAAATTAGGAGATTATAACGATGGGCAAATATACACGTGAATCACAAAAAAACCGAAAAGAAAAACAAAAAAATTGAAAAATATTTTATATCCATACTCTCACTCCATCGACCCATTAATTTATATCAAACACCCTCTTTTGAGACTTTAAAATGAATTAAAAAGCTCTTGTTTCTAACAGTCAATCAAGATTTTCCATCAAAGAAATAAACTGAGTTAAATCCGTTGTTCAAAAAGCTCTCTGTAAATTTTAGCAACAAAGAAAAATCCTTAACCTCGTTTTATCTACACATAAAATGGTTTTAAGTTAAAAATTTGGCAAAGATAAAGAACATTTTACCTACAAAAAAAATTATGGCTAGAATGTGAAATATTTAAAACAACCGCTGATTGATCAGCAGACTAAAACTAGAGATAAGCAAGATAGAAATTTAAGGTGGTATTAAAAAAGGGACATTAGTTATCCAAGTCGCAACGTGGTTGCGAAACTCCAAGGTAAAATATAAATTGAATTTTTCCAACTATGTAAAAGCTCTACAAAACGATATGAAACAAAAAAAAATATTACTTGGAGCATCCAAAACATGAAAACGTTCAGTTTTATTGACATCGTCCTACTCGACGAATGTAGTTACAAAAGCAAAAATGTTTTAGAAAAACAGAAGCTCGTGAAAAAAAACAAATATGAAATTACGTTAAGATTGTAGCGTTTGCCAAGTAGCGTGACAAATGTCCAAAAGCTCCTAAATTGCGGCCAACAGTTGCGCGTAAAAAGTAAATTAATCCAATTCTTTATTTATACTCGCCGTAGTCAGTTTGTGTCTTTCCTTTATAAATCCATATACATCCCTTGTATTTCTTTTTCCTTATACCCACTTGGGAATTTGCAGTGCTTCTCCGGGCTAGCCTATCAATCTCTCGGCTTGCTTTTTTTTGAAAGTTTTTCCTACACGCGGTATCCTGGGTATACGTATGTGCAATCGTTCTTCCTCCCTCTCTCTTTTGTGAAGTTTTTGCCGTAAACTATTTTTAATACATGTTTCGCCTAATTCAACCGAATATTTGCAAAAAAATTAATAACTTTGGTGCTTTGTGGAAAAGGAAAACGCGCGTGAGAGATAACGGAACTAAAACTAGTAGACTTCACGTACATACTCACACACACACGTTTTGTATGAAAAAAGTTAAGTTTTAAGAAGGCAAAGCTTAATTAACTGCAAACTTCAGTTGGTACAACTAGTCGTTCGAACGAACGAACTACACACGTTTCAAACCACTGAAAATCCTCATTCAACTTTCAAAACTTCGTTATACGATCCATACGGCGGCTTTTTTTAACGGGCTATATACTGCAAACTATCCATATAACGCTTGTTCTACTTCTTTGAAAATTTTGACAAAAAAAAAGAGAATAAGGTACTTACTCCCAAAAATACACACACATACATACATACTACCGTTCGGCTCCCAAGCGAGTTATAACGAACATTAGAGGTAATATAGCTTCCGGGTGGCACGTGTATGTATGTATAGGATCGAAAGCCAGCAGAGCAGAGAATCGTTCCTGCGTATAGTCTCGTCATTGTTCTGGCGTAGGTGTAGTAGAAGTAGAGCCAGCAGCAGCGCACTAATGCATAATAAACCAGGCCCTGTGCCCTTCCCTCCCGTCTATACCTCATTACAATAGCCTACGTACATTAACGCAAACCTGCTGCTTGTGAATTCGTTCTCTTCTGCTGCTGCTGCTGCTGTTCCGCATAATATGTCGCTTCTAAACGTCCTTCAGCAACAGACGTTAACTATAAATTATTCGTCTTAATATTTTTTTTTTTCAACAATCGAGGAAGATGACTTACTACGTTTTATAAGAAATAAAAGAGCGAGAATAAATCACGAGCGCATCGAGCTTTAATTAATAGCTACTCGTAAACGCGACTAGCGCGCTGAAGTAGCTTAATTCTGATGTATCCCGGTTCTCTACGGTTGCACATGCACGTATGACTTTGAGGAAAGTTTGTATATAATCTCGAAGCTTCAAGAAACGTACAGTAACTTTTCTTTCTTTGACAAAGCTAATTGTGATTCGTGCCAGGGAGAGAAACTTGCGGCTCCGACTGTATGCGTAATTTCACCTTTTCATATCGAAATTGAAGAAAAGGGCACACCCCGCATACAATCGCTCGACCGCTCTGTTTGTATTTACGTGGTGTGGCTATCGTCGTTGTTAATTAACTAACGACGCACTTTTCATTCTACCTTCATCGCGTGAACTTACGTCAGAATAAAGACACGTGTTGTTAAACGTAACTCGGCTTTGAAGGCATTATACTGTCTACTGTAAGTTCTGAATAATTGATGTCTTTGTGTGCATTTACCTCTCATGTACGAATGTAAGTGCAGCTATAGAGAGAAAAAGTTCTCGAATGAGGAAAGCTAGACAGTGAGTAATGTAATCTTTTGAGTTGACAATAGCTGAACCCGAACTGTTATGGCAAAAGAAAACACGAAAATGCTTAAAAAATTCGATTCATTACTCGAATAATTCTTGCATTTACTTTTTATGGTACAAATATTAACTCAATTTCGATTCCTTGAAGAATGTTGAAGTAAATCGTGATCACTAATACATATGATAATTTTTTGTTTACAGCACCTCCGCAATCAGTAGAAATAACGAGTCACCAGCGTAACAAAAAAATTGAAATCAAGCAGAATCAATCTTTGAGACTGGAGTGCATCGTTCGTTCGGCCAAACCAGCAGCTGGTATAACCTGGTACCGAGGCAACGTACAACTAAAAGGTGGTGAAAGCTCCATCACTGCGTCGACAGCCGTAACTGATGGTGAGATTTTTATTTTTTTTTTCAAATACTTTTTAATTTAATGAAACTCAATAATTGCAAAAAAAGTAGTTTATTTTTCAACAACAATAAAAAATAAATATAAGGTTTTATGCGTCAAAAGAAATGAAGAAAAAAATATTTATTATGGGAGATGAAGTGTCATTGATTTCTGTAAAGAGATAGAAGAAGAGAGGAGGAAGAGAAAGAGGAGCAGGAAAGTTGGAAGCTCGCCAGAGTTATGTACTGACCAATTGTCTGAGACTATACGTATACACGTACTGACCATTGAAGAAGTATAATAGCAACAGCAGCGTGTGTCTTTTGTTTCTTTCTCCATTTCGTACGGCTTTTAAATTCTGACTCGTTTTTTTCCGACCTATCGTCTCTCTCGCCAGACGCAGTACGAGAGAGAGAGAGAGAGAGAGAGAGAGAGAGAAGGAATAGCTTTGGCTAGCCTCTATATGTACTTCGCCGTATACCCTGCCAAGGAGTGTGGTTTATACGCATTTTGCACTCTCCCAGAAAGAATTAACGTTCATTTGTTTAGTTTTTTTTACTTCTTTTTTTTCTTGTCGAAGAATATCAAATTTTGCCTTTTTGTTAAGAAAGTGAAGCAGTTAATTAATACTGTCTAGATCGCCGAAATACTCGTAATTGCTTTATATTTTTTCAAACGATATTTTAGTTGAAAATAATTTTTTAATGAAAAACAAATTAATAAGGATAGTTAATTTTTCAAAGAAAACAATCTCGGATACGTCAGACAAGCTAGAGCTAGCTTATTTAAATTTTTGCGTCGTTTCAAGCTCCTTAATAAGTTCAAAGTGAATCGTGATCCAAAAAAATAGCGTTATAAAAAGTGAACTTCAGAACTAATAATTATTCTTTATCTGTATAAAAGAATCAGCAAAGGGAAAGAATTTTTGTCGAGAAAAAAATTCGTAAATTTCATCACCCAGCTAATTTCAAGTACTAACACGGCTTGTTTTGGCTTACTTTTACATTGAATTTTACTATCTTTCTCTCGTTTTAGCCGCAACAAATTCTCGCTCGTAAAAAAAAATGTTTTCCCCCAAAAAACGAGCACCAAAACAAAACGAATAATATACCTCTTCCTTTTCAAATCCCTCAAAAACAAATGCCCCCAAAAGCTCTTTTGCAAAAGACCTTTCGCCCGTGCCCCTCTCTCGCTACCTCCCTCTGTGTGTGTGTCTGTATAAAAAGTCTGTTTTTGAAAAAAGCGATAGCGTGAGTGAGTGAGTGAGTGAGTGAATGGTAAGAGACAGAATGCCGAGAGTGTACGTTACTCACGCGCTTGCACACGTAAACGAGCCGAAACTAAAAGCCCCTGGCTAGATGTATACAAGCGGGGTACTTCGGTGGGCTGTGCAACATGCGCCCGCGCTTCTGCTGCTGCTGCTGCTGCTACCGCTGTATATCAGAGCTTTTACAGTCCAAGATTTTAAGTGAGCCGTGTTACCTACGCGTTTAAGCAAATACATGTACCCCAGATTATTAAACTGTACTTTTTTGAGCTGTAAAATTATACGAGAGAGGGCACCGCGCGCCCGCAAAAGTTTTTAATATTGAATTAATCAGCATAAACGCGCGAGTATTTTCAATTATCTTTAATTAATCAAAATACAGGCGTGCAGTAGCAGCAGTAGCAGCATCAGAAAGTATAATATTGGCCCGCGCGCCCGCGCGGACGAGTTTGCGTACATCATCGCTAAAACTAATTTTCCCAAGCTGCTGCTAGTACCACTCAAACTAACGAGTTTTCCGTCGAAACTATAACTTTACTTTTGTATACAAGCCCGGTGTGCACTCGCTCGCCAATCTTATAACAATATTGCATCTACGCACGCATCGTATATTTATAATCTGCATGCGCATCGATAAATCGTTTTATAACTTTTGCTCGCAGATAAAGATAAGGATCACAAGGATGGGAAAAATGTGAAATTCGACACTCACGGCTACCTCGAAATCATGACGACGTCCGATGACGACGAAATTAGCTACACGTGCGAAGCTGTCCATCCAGCTGTGCCGGTGACCAAACCTATGCGAGCTCACGCTGTGCTGTCTGTTTTCTGTAAGTTTTTCTTTTTGTACTTACTGGTTAAAAAAACTCTTAGACCGCGGAGTGAGCTCAATTTACAGTCATTAGCTTGGTTTAATTCGCTCACCCGCGTACATTCAATTGAAACGTTTTGCATTGGAAACCTCATTTCGTAGATCCACCGGGAGCGCCGTACATCGAGGGCTACGTCGAAGGCGAGACACTGCGCCGTGGCCAGCAAATCGAGTTGGCCTGCAAATCGCGCGGTGGTAATCCAGCGGCTCAAGTGATCTGGTATCGTAATGGAGAAACCGTACACTCCGTTTATACGACCGAGGGCAAGGTCTCGAAGAATGTGTACTCGTTCATTGCTCAGCCGAGTGACGACAAGGCTCGATTCGAGTGCAAAGTCACCAACGTCATGAGCGTCACGCCCATGAGTACTCACGTCGATCTTACCGTTTTGTGTAAGTTATAAAGAAAAATAGTTGAAAAGAAGTATTATTCTCAAATAAACATAGAGTAAATCGAACTTTTATGCCGTATTACAGTCGCGCCAGCAACCGTAAAACTCGAAGGTCCAACCGAGGCTCGAGCCGAGGAACGAGTAACCATCAGCTGCGTCACTGACATATCGAATCCTGCATCCGAGATCAAGTGGGTCGTTGACAATCAGAAAATTGAAAGTACTCAGCATGTTACGGAAGCCGCCATGGGCGGTTTCATTACCAGCTCCAACATAACTTTTACAATCAATAAAATGGCTCAACGCGCAGTTGTCGTATGCCACGCCAATAATATCAAACTGTCGGAAACCATCGTCGGCACACAGACGATTAACGTCATCTGTGAGTATATCTTTTACTTCTTCTTTCATTCCTTCATGATGGTTTGCGGATACTATTCAACATTTTCGTCAATGTGACAGATCCACCATCGAGATTAGAGATGTCCGGCTACGAGGCTGGCACAGCAGTGCTGGCCGGATCGGTTCTGAAGCTCTCTTGCACCGCCATATCCGGTAATCCTTTAGCTACGATAACTTGGTACAAAAACGACAATAAGGTACGTAAAAAGGTAATTGACCCCGCTTGGCTATTTTTCTTCTTCTTTCACTCACACTACTACCCACTACTCTAATACAACTTAACACTTCATACCTTACGCATTATATTGTATACATCAAACGCTGGTTCGTGAACTTTCCGAGCTTATTTTCTAGTTATTTTGCTTGCAAATTCTTTAAGGTAATTTGTTTTAACAGTTTTCTATAAGCGTAAAAGTTTAACATTTTTTTAATGAATTTACTTCGATGTACAGCTAACCAAAGTGCTTTCCGAATTCCATTACTCATCTTGTTCAAAATTTTATTAACAAAAAAAATTATTCGACGAGAAATAAAAATAATATCTCTCTACATTGATTGCAAAGATTGGTCAAACGGATATATCTTTATAACTTACAGAAAAATTTTCTGAAATTAAAATTCATTTCTCTATTAATCATTAAATGATTCATTAAACAAATAATTTTTTCATGTAATTTAACATTAATAGCATATAACCCAAGTTCACTAAAAATCGTTTGCCAACCCAAAAACAATGAAAACATAGAAAAAATTAGAAAACCCATTATTACAACAAAAAATCGTTTCGAAATGTAGGTAACAAGTGTAACAAAACAGCGAGATCATGCTGTGACGAGTGAATTGGCTCTCGTTGTTAACGCGTCCGACAACAAAGCCAATATACGCTGTGAAGCCAGCAATTCAGCTACCCAAGTTCCACTCGTGCAAAGTGCCGTACTCAATGTTAACTGTAAGTTGTCAACACATGCATGAGCTTCATTGTCTGATCATCACTGAGCTATTCATTTTAATTCTTGCTTAATTTTCAACAGTCCTACCGGATACTGTGAAAATTAGCACAATACCAAAGGACTTCAAGGCTGGCGAACGAGGTCGTCTGCTGTGCGAATCAACTAGCAGTAATCCGAAAGCTGAGATGTCTTGGTGGAAAGCAGGCAGTCCTGTGTTGGGCACTAATACTAGCACTAAAGCTGGCCTATATGGCGGTATTATTTCGCAAGTTGAGCTTGCGTTAGATCTCACGGAGGATATGAATGGCGAGGAGTACACATGTCAAGCCAAAATTTCTGATATCGATCGTAGTGTTCACGACACAACGAAACTTAACATTTTGTGTTAGTTTTTTTTAAATCATGTTTTCACAAAATTTGAGTTTTGATGTTTTAGACTATATTTGGGGAGAATAATGTGGCCTTTTTATGCTGTTTTCTATAGATAAACCTGTTTTCGAAAATTTGGAAGCAACAGAGCTCGTAGGTATGGAAGGTGAGCCTTTTGTCATATCCGTCGCTGCCCGTGGTAATCCCGCGGCAATCACTTATTCGTGGACACGCGATGGTTTGCCTCTGAGTTCAAACGTGGCTAGATCACGCATAACAGCCAGAGGCTCCACACTAAACATCACCAGATTGGAGAGACTTGATGCTGGAACGTACGTGTGTGAAGCTATCAACGATCGAGGACAAACGTTCTACCATTTAAATTTGACAGTTCAATGTAAGCCTCAATATAGCCGATTCTTCATTCCCACTTTATGCGCGCTAGGTACACAGTACACAACAATTTATTTATGAGTTTGGTTTTCTTTGAGTGATTTTGTATTGCCACTTGGTTTGTTTTAACATTTTTATATCACTTACTTAATTTAATATTTAAAATTTTTTAAAAGCTTTTTCGCGAATGAATATCACAAATTTTCAGTCAATTTTATAATAATTTATTTTGTAAAAATTTAATCGCATTTTTTCCGTTTGAATAATTTATAACAATAACTAAATTTTAAATTTTCGAAAAGAACGACACTTGCAGTAACCATTTTTGTGTGATGAACATCAACACAAATAAAATGAATATTTAATGATTCATCTGATTAATAAATTCTGACATAAAAATTTCAGATCCTACTACCATAAAAAGCTCATCAACTTCAGGTTTGGTCTATCCTGCAGGTAAAGAGGCCAAGTTATTTTGCGAAATTGAAGGATCGCCCATAGGTCCGAACTACGTAACGTGGTTTAAAGAAAATGTTAATGTGGCCGAATTAGGAGATCGTTATTTAAGCCAATTTATCAATAAAACCGCCTTTTTAACGATTCGCACTCCAAGTAAAGAAGACGTTGGTGAATACAGATGTAACATCAATAATGGCATCAATAACGTTACCTCTGAGCCAATACTATTCATTACTAATTGTAAGTAACGCATTTTTATAATATATAACCCTACTTGAAATTAAACATTTGAAAATAACGCATCAAAAATGCATTGTATAGAACAGAGCTAACAATTTAATGAACTTTTACAAAGTACGCGTGTAGGAATAACCAAATACTTCGTTTTTACTACATTAAAGGATTCATTTCTCTTGTTTTACAGTCGGGCCAGAAATGGCGAATACCCCATTAACTAAGAAAGCTGCTGTGAATAATGGTGCAAACGCCCAGCTTTATTGCAAAGCTCGAGGCTCACCTCTACCGCACTTTACCTGGGTGTACAACGGAAAAACCATAATGCCAAATCGGACCGAAAATAAATACAGTTTAACGTACACCAACGTAAGTTATTTACACTAACGTTCACTTTAACTTTCAACTTCCTTCATCATATTTAACCTAACTTTGTTCCTAAACTAGTTATCGGTCCTTTACTCACAATCGATTCTCACCGTCTACAAAGTTGAGCAAAGTGATTACGGAAAGTATGAATGTATCGCTCAGAACAAGTATGGACAAGATTTACAAACTGTTGGACTCGACGTTACGTCGCCACCCGACGAGCCAGTTGATTTGGAGGCTCACAACATTACGCACAATAGTGTGACCCTCGCTTGGAAAAGTGGCTTTGATGGTGGTTTGTCGACCTCTTATCAAATAAGATGGCGGGAAGCTCGTGACGACGAGACCAACTATCATTACCTAGACGTTTCACCTGGCACGCACAGAGCCGTGGTCGATCACTTGGAGCTTGGCACGTACTACGTCTTCAGTATAAGGGCACGGAACACAAAGGGCGAAAGCCCTTTTCTACCTGATCTGCTGAAGGTCCAAACGTTACGTAAGTTTACACATTCTGTTTTATACTTAGTTGCAATGGTATAAGTAGAAAATAATTGTATTAAAATATGGTGGCTTGATAGATAAACGCTTGTATTATATGTCAACATAAGATATCAAACATTCACTAAACTCATTTGAATATAGATAGTATTCATTATTTGAATATTAATGTATAAATAATTTGAAAATTGAAAATTAATTTACATTGTAAACTGACATACGTTGGGTAATTATATTACAATAAGTTGATTTGAAATCTAACTAGTAAACATTTTTCAAATGAATTTCTAACTTAATGAAGTAAATTTTCATTTCATAACTAGAATATATTCATCTATCTGAGTGTTGTATATTCATTGCTAACGTGTAATTGCGTTTGATTGATACAGAATGGTTGGTGATAAAATTACAATTTAATATAATATCGTCAACCCTTTTATATTAATCATGTACATAATAATTTTATCATTGATCATTGATCGGTTAAAAAGTAAAAAAGAGTGGTATCATGCTTGGGTGATGGGGCCATTGTACTGCTTGGGTTTGCAGGTGAAGCACCACCGAACGAATTGATCGTCAGCGAGATCAATTCTTCTTACCTCATCGTAATAATCATCGCTGTATCAGCCTTCGCTTGTCTTCTCATTGCCACACCTATTGTCTATACTGCCTTAGTTTCGAAAAAGAAGGCTCAACGTTCTGGTAATTACACATTTTTTTCTGTTTGTTTCTCAACTATACAGGGCCTGATAGTGCTGAGAATCTGCCTGACGTTTTGAGAGAGAAAAGTGAAAGACCTCTTAAATACGTGTACACTATTGGCGCAATATCAATCATCTTTTTCGTTGTTAATGTCTTCTTCATGTTGTGGTATATTGTACGAAAGAAAAACCGAGACCGTAAGTTTGATATTTACAAGTCATCGAGAAGTTACTCTTAATTTTAAATTGATTACTTCAAAATTGTTTCATATTTCGTGTAAAATTATGATCTGGATAAAATACTACAACTGGGTGCTTACTAAATAAAGGAATAAAATTACAAGTTTTTAACAATATTTTCAACATCATTTATAGGTATAAACAAATCGCAAACTGCAGACATGTACGCGCCATCAACGGTCAACGGTGATACGATGACAGGCGAGTTAAGTTCTGTGTCAGACGAGAAGAGCGACGTCAACTTCGATGCTAACGATTATGTGGTCAGTGCGATCAGTCAGTATGTTCTAAGTAACAAGTAACTCCGGAGGGTAGGTTTGAGTTCTGTTAACCCTTTTCATTTTCATCCCATTGAGTTATATCTATTATTGATTTTTCACAAAATTGATTTTACCTGACTTCATCACGATTAGTTTGCTTCAAATCCTCGCACCTTAACTATCTTTACGGAAAAGTTCTGACTTTTCCGGTATTCATTTTAATACTTAAAGTTACAAAAATTGAAATTCTTTTTCTTTTATAATCTTATACTTTTTCAGCTAAGCGCTTAGATCCTCCGGGGGTTAGTTGTAGTACTAAAATAATTAAAGATATACACGTTGGTGAAAAAAGAAACATTGAAGCTTGACATCAACGTGTATAATTCGAATAAGTATACTAATATATTATTATTATATATTGCATGTTATATTACAAAGTTAGCGATTCCTTTTTTAAAACATGAATAAAGTTCTCATTCTGTGATTTTATCAGACATTCGCTAGCTTTGCAACTATAAATTTTAAATATTTTTTTGTAATATTCATTTTTCATATACGATAATACAACACATAAAATTAAGAAAAATGTATTAAATAATTTTTTAATTATTAAATATTAATTTAAAGGAATCTTTTTTATCACGAACAAAATATTGATTTTTTTAAAACAGGACGAGGGGCGGAAAACGGCTGCTAGTACTTATTTGATAGATCCAACATTATCGGATTATGGAAAAAGTGGCTTGGAGATGCAGGTTCATCAGCAAAGCACCTTGAATCGTCGCAGTAATCATTTACCTAGCATCCTGAGTATGGACTCACCGCCCCAACGAATATCAAATACTGGCACATTAACCGGTGGGTCACCGGTCTTAGGATTGTCTACGACCGATAACGACAGTCTTACTACTTCTACTACTACCACTACTACTACTACTACTACTACGCCACTACCTACTAGGTGCCCGAAAACCTCTCAAGACTTGACGTATATAACATATATATCGCTCTCTTGGTGTCTTCTCAAAAAACAAAAAAAAAACTGCTCAGTTCTCATATTTCGCCGCCGCTGGCCAGATCTCCTATCACCCTTCAATTCGTTATTTTTTAATTTCATTCACATTTCTGAAAACTCTTATTATTTGAGTAGATACTAAAGCATATATCATATAACATAAAAATGGACACCAAACAGCTCACATGCTTGTTTGCTGAACTAGATATCTTATAGTTAGTATAGACTAGATCTAGAAAAATTTGACTTGGTTACAACTACTATATTCATATCTCAATGAATTTAATAATTTTATTCAAGTTATTGGTATTTAAAAATGAATGGAAAAATTGTTCTAAAAACCATTAAAATTCATTCAAGATTAAATTGATTGTTTTAAAAGGTTTACACTCGAAAATTTAACGCATGCTTGCATAAAAAATATTTTCGTTTTAAACACGCTAAATTTGAGCATGAATTACTTGAGTTTCAATGTAACGATAGTTATGAACACATTCATGATATTCAACTTGGTCTGGCCAGTAATGTCCATCTCCCCCCTGTTTCCCGAATGTATAACTATTGATTTAAAATTAATCAGCATTGATCATTATCAAGTTGCACAGATTGTATTCAACAGTTAACTTTGAGAATAACGCACCAAAGGCACTTTTAAAACGCGTTATAATAAGTTTAAAACGTTCATCTGGATTGCTGATTGCATTTACACTTGAATATTTTTTGCACTTTGATTTTTGAGATGTTTTGTATTGAAATAATTATTTAAATGACAAGTTCGTGTACCGACTATTTTTACAGTACAAAATTCTATCAGAATTGAAAACAACGGATAAATTTAATAGTTCATCTAAAATCTGAATATAAAATATATTTTGTACTTATTAATCAAACTCATGTTAATTAAAGTCTAAGTGAGTTTTATGACGCGTAAATTTTATTTGCTATACATTCGATAATAAAAACTATTGCTTGTTATTGAAGCTAAGTATTTTGTTGCAAATTCTGCTGTCTTAAGCAGAGCTTAAACAACTGCTATAACTTTTGTGCACCAACTTACTTTGTTGGTTTTTGATGATAAAATACATCGAGAAATTAATATGTATACTTATATTTATAAAAGAGATGACTGAATGGAGAGGCACGCGAGCTGATATATCATGCTTGTGAGGTTTTTGGTTTTTCACTGTAATTTTTGCATGTATTTGTTTAATTACATTTTTTGCTATTATCATCACATTTGTCAATATGAAAAATACAATAATACATCTTAGTGTATTTTTCATGCAATGGAATGACATTTTTTTTAAAAACAATGCTGCTATGGTAAAAATGAACGTTTTCAAATCCGTTTTCTGAGGCTTCTATTATTTGGTAGAAATTTCAAAAAACGCCTATGAAAAATGATGATCTTTGCTTCGAATTTGGCGTACTCTTAAACTATAATATATGGACTATCTATAATTATAATGGATCATATATGTTTAATTATTACTCACTTGGTTATTCGTGTCTCTCTCAATAAATCGAGGAGCGCGTGTCGCGCTCCGAATCGCAAGTTTGATAATACAATTCAAACTCTTTTATGAGTTACTTACAATAGCGCATAATTTCCAAGTAAAATTTAATTTGCAAAAAAAACTTAATTTTTTTACTTCTTTGAGAATAACTGATTTAGTTCCCTGTTAAAATACTGTTCATATTTTGTAAACTGAAAGTATTTTACACAAAGCACTAATAACCATAGACATTTTCAGGAAACGTAGCATTTGTTATTACTTAAAATTACACGTAAAATTTAAGTTTTTTTAGAAGATTGATACTTATAGTAATAATAATTCGAGAAAATTGTTTTATTTTCCATACAGCTTCGAAATCGAGTTACATCGGCAATCCGAGCCCGGCTCCACCTGCCGACGTCAATTTCTACAGCGTGGAGATGGAGAGCGGCCGTTATATGGGATATGAGTCTCAGCCGAGCCCGGCCCAGACCTCGACGATCCTCGAGTCTGTGGACCCGGGCGCTTATTACCCTTCACTCAGTCCTTCAGCCGTCAATCATCAATTGCATCATCCGTTGCATCAGCACCCCCATGCGCACCTGCACCACCATCATCATTCGCCAGTATCGCAACACTCCCAAGGCGTCAACAGCAGCAGCAGTTGCAGCAGCAGCAGTACCACCACGACCACCACCAACAACAATCTGCATCATCATTTGCTCAACAACGACCAGCCACCCTCGACTATGGCTCTGATGGGTACAGTGGGAGTATCTGCGGCACAATTAGGCGTGCATCAACATCAGCAGCATCAACAGCTCGGCAGTATGCAGGGTACGTTGACACGGCAGCGAACTCTGCCCAGGCCGGTGCCCCCCCCAGACGTCACTGTTATGACTGCCGGAACAAAGTCACCTCTGCCGCCGACGGTACCCCCCCCGCCAGCTACATTTGCACGTGCGGGCCCCATCCCCGCACTTTCCCTAGGGCACCAACTGTCAACTTTCACATCGACCCCACAGTACTCTGATATTGACGGACACCTCGTCTGAGTTCGCCAGGCCAGCGATGAGGCCCATTAACTACGATGCGACAGCGACGAGGTCAGCACCAAGCCCTGACTCGAGGCCAATCTCGGGCAACGTGTACAAACGTCAACTCAGATTCGACGCCGGATGTGATACAAACTAATGCCACGATTGATACTGATCATCGAATTAACGATTTCAACAGTGAAACTAATGCTACGCAAATAGGTCAGAAGATTCGAAAAATTGCATCAAATGCATTGAATATATCGTCGTTACAGACTCTGACGTACTTATTGCGTGTGCCGCATGGTCCAAACGTATCGGATTTATCAACAGTGCAAGGCGTATTGATTGCGTCGTACTGAGCACTATCGATGATTAACATATCGTAGAGAGCTGTTTCAAAAGTAAAAGCGTTGACCATTCCAAGACTACTTCCAATGTTGTCGACTGAAAAAAATTATTACTAATTGCTTCATGTTAAAACTTTCACTACTTTTTTATAAAAGAAACGCGCACTGAAGATGGATACAATCACGTTGAATTGTGCGTGCCATACAGATACTTGGTTTCACTGCCGGCTGTTATCATCGTTGACTCGAACATAACGGCATTATATTACGCAAAAAAAACTTTGATATTATCTAATATTATTATATTATATATGTAAGTAAACTGTGAATGTGACGCTGTGTTTATTGCTATAAGAAATAAGTGCGTGTATAATTGATAATTTAGGGACACTGAGGGTGTGTGATCGATAACATTTCGATAAATAGCTTCTGTACAGTAATATATTGAGTTACGTCTTGTACATAATGCGAAAAAAATGCGGAGGATTTCGAGATTATTATTAATAAATATGATGTAAAGTGACGAACAGATGAGTATATGCGATCAATCGCGGATGTATTGATCATCTTCCACTGCGATGTTTTTGTTTATTTATTTTTTATTAACTATTGTAAGCATTCGTTTTTACAATATAGGTTTTCTTCTTGGAGAGTTTAATCTACAACCAAAGTATTAGATAATTTATATGAAAATTTTTACGATTAAAATCGTGATTTCACTTCGATTTTTCTCGTAACTTTTTTTCTTACAAAATGTTAAGATTAAGAAGTTGATATTGTATTGAATTTTTTTTCATATTCCATAACAATTGTTTCGGCATTAATTAAAAAAAATCATGAAAAGTAAACGTGCAAACAAATAAGTCAATATAATCATGTTGCGTAATTAGATTTCAATAGTTGCATATAGGTTATGACTGATGTTATAATTTACCTAAATATCTTTCCAAGTTCGAAAATATGTTTGCTTTTTTGAATTATAAAAAATCAATGACAGCTAAAATGAACAAAGATTAGTAACTTATGTCAGAAGAATGTAACATAGTTATTATTGTATTAAACATCGAACATGAGATACAATGGAGACAATGAATTTTTTTTTGTATACGATTAAAATTTACACGGACCCTCTTGTATGGTAAATTATATTTGAAAGACATTAAAGTGAGTGTCTTGTTGTAGTGATGTATCTTCGTGCAAAAAGACAATAGCATGTGTGACGTACGTTAATTTTCAAGTAATTAATTACTTTTAATTTTCAGATGAAAAGTTCCTTAACAAGGTCTTGAACGCTTCAAAGTTTCTGACAATTTTCGGTTTATGTATACCTATCCTGCCAATATGGAATTCTTATCCACTAAAATACGACACTTTGCATTAAAAAGATATATGTGTATGTATATGAACGTCTTATCAACTGAATGTTTATATAGCATAAGTAAACATATATATTTTTGCATTTTTTTCTCATTAAATTGATCGTTCTAGTACATAGAATGGGATGTACTCAAATCATTATACTTCCACGAGAACACACACAACGTCTTAAACGTTAATTCCTATGCGTAACTATATGGAAAATAAGAAAAAGTTATTCAAATGGATCATATGAGGGTCTTGTAGACAAATTAGAATCTTAAAAGTTATAGAGCAGTTAAGAAGTAAAAAACAATACGAAAAAATCAACAACAGATGAAACGAAAATAGACTTCATAAAGTAAAAAATATTAATACTTTTTTTATATCAAAAGCCTAAGTAGTTTATACTATATTTTCGAATAGAAAATTCGTTGTAATAGGGTACAATGACAATTGTATCAATTATGTAATCACGAGATTCATGAGACTTGATATAATGCGTTTTTGGCCTATTGTGATTATAATTTGAACGTTGGATTCAAGGACCGTTTTGATGCATGTGCTTGCAACATCTAGTAAATAATCCGGTGTTAAGAGAACGTATTAGCGAACATTTTTCGTGTTGACATACTTTCAAATTTTCGCATATGTTCGAAAAAAATCATTTTTTATTGATTTGTAAAAGCATAGATTTTATATTAAACCTACTAAGAGTTTGAACTATCCCTATCGATAAACCGTATATACTAGGTATCGCGAGTTCTCAAGTATCTTGCGCTCCAAGAGTTTTTTTATTATAAATACAAAAATAAAAGAAGTTTGTGTAACAAGATAATGGTAAATATTGTTGTAATGATTGTCATACCGGTTTGTTATTAAAGCCCCGAAATCTTGAATTGTAACCGCGTACATTGTTAACGAAAAAACAAAAAGAAAATCCAACTGTTAGATTTGTATGTGTGAGATATGAACGGTTGAAATAAATTATGTAAAAACTAAAAGGTTCTATGGTTACGCGAATTATGCTCAATTAAAGACATATTATATTCGCGTATAATTAAGAGGTTCTATTTACATATACATGTTTTATATTTGTAATAATGATATCGAATCATTTATTGATATGGTGTATTGTCGACAAAAGAAGCGACGAAAATGAATAACTGTCGTAGACGGTATGTAATCTCCAAAATAATCGTTCAATTTATAATTATTATTTGACAACACATTGGAAAGTAATATTTGAAAAAGTTGATATCACAAGTACGTCCAGAATGATAATTTGGGAGTGAACATATCATCTATGATTCGAGAACGGTATGGTAATTAATATTTTACGAGATACATGAAATGAAATAATAAGTAATTCGTTGATTATTCTGAAACATAGTCAATCCTAAGTATGCAATCATTAAGAATACGAATGGTTGCGATCATAAAAAGCATAAGTGTGAATAATAAGGTTTGATAATTTTAACTAATGTATATAATGTAAATAGCGACAAATGATTCTTAGATAGATATTAAAAGTCGGAAATGCGTATTACGAATTATTTATGCATATATCATACGAATAATAATTGTCTGTCTATTCGCAGTCCAAATTAACTCATAATATTATTGTCTCGCTTTCGCGATCTATGTATATATAGATATACAAAGAGATCATATTTTGGACTGCAAATAGACAGTCTCATAATAATAATAAAAAAATTTAATTAATGACAGAAAAATTTCATGAGATACAGATCTTTTGTAATAAGTATTATTCATTGTGAACTTTGCATATTCACAAATTTTTCATTGACAAGACTATCTTGTAGGGTTGCATCGTAATTCAGAAAGTTTAAAAATTGTAAATGTATTCAATTCAATTGAATGCGTCTGTGTTAATCTGTTCGTTGAGATTTGTGAGAACGAAGCTAACGTGTCCTCTGCTTTAATTACTAATGTATAAACTTTACATTTTTTATTGTACTTCATGAAAAAATCATACCAAAAAATTTAGAAAAAAATATTGCATTTTTCTGACTGTACAATCGTGATTGTTGTAACATCAAAAGACTGTTTCACAAAATAAACATCAATTTTCCCAAATCACTGTGAAGGTATTATTATAATTCGTTTCTGACAAAAATTTTTAAATAACATTTTTATTTAATTATTGAAGAAAAAATTCTCCAAGAACTGATTTCTAAGGCTAATAGGCTTTTGTTCAAAAAAAGTTATTTGTAAATTATATTGCCAGATATAAAACATTCAGATGTTTGCATCTATATAATAATAAATTTTAATGATTTTCTTTGATATGCACAAAGCATTAATGATTAAACGCGATGTAATACAATATTTTCATTAGTATAATAAGAACAATATGTGAATTTAAGTATAGATAATTTTGTCAAATGAAAAATGTAAATCTTCCGTCTTAAACATTAGACGAGTTATTCAAAATGGATGAATACCTATGCTGAAGTATGGAGTATGGCTACAAGTGAATTATAGAGATGAAAAGAATGAACTAAACTCACCCATCTATAATTATTATGGTAAAAACAAATGTATGATAAAATTAACAAAAATAATTCATCATACACTCATTGTTGTACATATATAAATAGTATTTTTACATTCTAATTCTAAATTCCAGTTCTGATTCTAAATGGTACAGTACAGCTCTGTGTGCTTCGCCTGTCATCTTTGCATCATTTTAAGATTGTAAAATATCTATTTGGCTTATCATTGCAACTCATTATATCTGTTATAATCTTTTTTAAATAATTACAATTTTATTATGTTGTTTTATCATTTTATCATGTAAGTTAATAACATTTCTTTCAATTTCGTTAAGCTAATACAATAATTTTACATGATTTGATAGTAATAAAAACGAACAGTTTTACAAATCATAAGTCCTTCAGAAAAATTTTCGTTAAAATGATATATGAAAAAATAACTTAACTTAATTGTCAATTCATAATTTTTGTATCAATCCACTCAATATTTATATAATCAACGTAAACAAATGCACGAAGGCAGAGTGAAGCTTGACACGCTAGTCCTTTATTTAAAACCAAAGTATGACGATGAAAATTATTATGTGTAGTATTAAGCCAATTTCAAAATGATTGTGCATATGCGTGAATTTAAGAATCACAATGAAAAACGAAAAAACACAAAACAATCTGTAAAATGATACATTAAAAAATTTACTCAGCTCCAGAATTGTAAGTAAGCCGACGAAAAAGTTGCGAATTCGTAATGAGAAACGTTTTATGAATCGCTTAAAAACCCCTTACTACGATAAAATTTTGTGTTTAACTCTATGTTTTCTTTGTATTTTATGACTTTTTTTAATATTTATTATTATTGAATTACGATAATTTATTTATTAACATTTACGTTTATTATTAGCTGTCATATTACTTTTTTTATACGACACGACGATTTGTAATGTTATTTTTCTTACACATCACATAGAAGGACTTTAGTCGTTTAGCAATACGGAATCTGTCTCTGTACATTGTTTTTCTATTGCGACTATTAAAAGTAAATATGAAAAAATTAAAACTCGTATTCTAATTTAATCCTAAAATCCATACTTAATATTATAGCTTGAGTTGTGAACATCTCAATTATCAACAAAGCGATTGACTTCGAAAAGTAAAAGTTTCTCAACAATGCTCGAGCAAAAAAAGCAACTAAGTACATTTTTCCGTATACAATAACTTTCGAAGTTAGTTCCAATTTTTTTACTAATGTCGCATTTTGCTAATTCTCTTTTGTTCCGTGTAGTACATGAATAAATGCGTAATCTAAAAAGATACCAAAGTAACCATAGACAACAAACTGCGCGATAAAGTCTTTCTCCTTTTCTCTGTATGAAGTTAAGTTCAACGTTTGCATCTGCAGAAAGCAAGCCTCAGAGTTTTAACTTGAGATTTTCACTTTTGCTTTCCTTGAATTGGACGTGTTACTGTATCTCTCAAGCGTTGTTGATTGTTCACACGAGCCTTTGTGGATTAGAAATCATTTGTGTCGAGAGCCGATGATTGACCGCATCATCGAACTATTAGATATACGCGTGCGGTTAGTTTCTTTCCTCGTCGCTGCTCTGAGTTTCAATTTGATAACTCGCGAGAAATCAGTGAAATAGACTTGATACCTCTGAACATCAGAAAAATTTCAAAGTGCAAAACTAATTAATTAATTTTACCTTTCCCGTCGCGTCGAAATTTTGTTTTAGCGTTAACTAAGCAATTTGAAAATCTTGGCAACATCGCGTTTTAGGCTTGTAATAAAAAAAACCATGAGCGCGAAAATGAAAATTCTGTTATGCATATATATGTATACGCTGCACGCACACTCGAGCTCGCACGATGCTACACGTGAGATTCCTTGTTTGATACAATCCAGCCTTGCGCATACGTGCTCAAGCTCAGAAAGAAAGTAAAGAGTCTCGGACTGCAGTTAGACTCATTATTATGCGCGTGACATTCAAATTCAGACGGTTTATTATCATTCTCATTACGGGCGAGCACGCACGTAGTTTTATATATACTTTTTAATAAAATTAATAACGCACACTGGGGCTTATAAGCTAGAACATCAAATTTTCTCTTTTTTGTTCTACATTACCCTCGATCTCGTACGTGGTTGAGGCAGCATTACTTTTTTCTCCTCTTTCTTATACAAGGAAATGCATAAGTGCATTGTACGAAAGACACGAAAAGCATGACATATCTACGACAATGTCGATACAATCTAGCGTTTCACTTTCTTTGGTTCAGAGCAGCACATCCAATTATTGCCGCGGCAACGAACGATAATTCGACTCGATACTGCTTATGCTCCAAATTTTCCCTTAAACATAAAAGTGATAGAGACTATTTGCAAATTATTATAAACACTTTCCAGTGAGAGAGCGAGAATATAATACAATAGATTTATTAAAGCTTGGGCGTTTTCTATATTATACGCAGGGGCCTCTGTCGATATAATGATGATGACGCAGCGATGATGATGATGATGACGTGTAACGAATCGTCCTGTCAAAACACAATAAGGCATGCACGATATATACGCAAGAAATTTTCTTTCTTACCCATTTACGATGTGCTATTTCAATACAGTTTCACTCTGTATAAGAGCTACATGAAAATGGAAAGCATCGGAGTGAGAATGCCTTCGTTTCATTATTATATTCTTAGATCTGCAACACAATGAGACTAATGTAATTGCGATCATGTCTGTGATTATTTGTTTCGTGTTAAGGTAATACGACCTTGAAATTAGTAATTCTATCTAAGGAATTAAATTTTCGTACAATAAACAATATTTATGCTTCAAAACTACAAAAATTTTCAACTACGCGTGGATGCTAAATCTCAAAGTAGCGGTAAAACTTAATTTCGCTATTCAGGCATCGAAATCGTTAAAAAGCAACCACGAATCAAAACAAACAGAGTTTGATTAATTCAACTTATTAAAGCTGCACTGAATAAATTTACACGTTTTAGAGTTTAGACTAATTAAGTAATGATTTTATACTCGAATGACTAGTATGTAGTTTCTCTCGATAAGTATGCATCGACGATTCTTTTCATTATTTATACTTTTTTTCAAATTAAGATTCTTGATGCGCACAAAAAAATAATTAATATCCTTTTTTTACTTTTTTAAGACACACTATATTATTATTCTATAAAATGGATTTATTGCTTATTATTTCGATTATTAACATTTTTTATTAACAATAATTATTAGTGAACATTCAAATTTCTCAAAACAAAACAGGGTTTTCAAAGTGATGTCATAAGCATAATAAAAATATAATACATTTTTCTTTTTTAATTTATATTTTCGCTGTCAAAGTTGGCAATTTTGGAGTTTAATTTTTCTTCCTTGCAACGCAAGGTGTTAAATGTTTCATAATCCATCAACTTTATAGAAAAGTGTCAAGAGACCATTTTTTGTTCAGAATTATTTAATTTACTTTTTTCAATCACTTTAAATACGATAACATCAATTTAGGGTTTTACCACTAGATGTCGAGTATGTTCATTTGTAAATCTGCAACTGACAAAACAATAATATTTTTATAAATGAAAAAAATACTTTCAAGGTAAAAACATAATAGTTCAATTGTTGTTTCAATTGCATTTTACTCGAATTATATATTGTTAAAAAATGATCATGAAATGACAAAAAAATTATGGAGCATTGTCAGATCCACGCATCCACTTACAATGAGAGCTTTTCAGGTCCGGGTCATGGATTTGCTTCAAAATTTTTTTGCGGTCTTCTGGTACCCAATACTGAAGCTCCCTGTGCTTAGTTTGATCTCATGGGCCTTAGGGCCCATTTTGTAGAGGATTTTTCAGATTATATAAAAATCTTTGTTATTTTCTATATCGATATAGAAGTACTTAAGCGAAAAAATGCAGCGATCAAAAGTTTTAAAATTTTTCAAAGAATCTGCTTGAATTTTTTCAGAATTTTTGGGACCATCTACCACTCTCTTTAAGAAGTCCAAAAATCTATTAAAAAAGCGTCAAATTTGGGCCTCTTGAATTAAGTGATAGATGGTCCCAAAAATTCTGGAAAAATTCCAGCAGATTCTTTAAAAAATTTTAAAACTTTTAATCGTTGTATTTGTCGTTTACTATATCTTCTATATATTATTCTATATATTCTATTATTCTATATATTCTATTATTCTATATCGATACGTACTTCTATATCGATATAGAAAATAACACAGATTTTTTTATAATGTGGAAAATCCTCTAAAAAATGGGCCCAAAGCCCCATGAGATCAAACTAAGCACAGGGAGCTTCAGTATTGAGTACCAGAAGACCCCCAAAAAAGTTTGGTAAAGATCTGTGGCTCGGACCTGAAAAGCTCTCCTTGTTAGTTGCAATAGCTCATTTGTAACAAGCTTTTATGTCTGCCAAAAATTAGCACGTTCAGTGAGTGCTTTTACATGGTAATACAAAGAAAAATCGATATATAACATCGAATAATGTAATCTACCGCAGTGAAGCTGTGGAGCTTGGACTATTACGTGGGTAGTTAACAATTAATAACGCGATCAAGTAACCGTAGCATGTTGGTAAATACATGATAAGTCATATTTTCTTTGTAATTTTTATCTTCCCATTATAATGATGTCTCAAAATTCAAACACTTGTGCTGCGTACGCATATTATAATGCAGGAAAGAAAAATTCGCGTCACTCGAACGAGCAGGAGCGATCATAAATGAAAGTGCACGATCTGTAACCACGAGTCGCTGTATGAAAAGTGAATCCCGTTCACGCACAAAAGGACCCCCGCAAACCACATCATAGCACGCAGCGAGAGCGCGAGAAAGACTTTTCCCACCCACGTTCGCTTTTTATTTGGAAGATGATCGCGCGAACGAGGTTTCCCGTTGACTTGCGTAGGATACTTTACTCTTTCCGCTGGTTGATGTGTAGCTGCTCTTGACGCTAAATGATAAGAGCAAGGAAGGAGCAAGAAAGAGAGAAATGGACGCGCGGTGGTAGGAGTCGCGCGAGCCAAGGATCCCATAGAGGAGGTATAAAAACGTAATGCAACGTATTTTCAAGGCCAGTCGGCGGTCAGAAATATACATATTCTTTTGCAGGATACCTGTATGTAACATCAAAATTCTTATTTTTTTTTGGTTTTCGTTTTCGATTGGTTTTTCGAGTTTGAAGTTGAGTTTATGATCGGGTGGTGTTATTAGTGAAATTTGGAGTGATTATCCAACAAAATCATCATGTTTATAGTGAGTTTTCATTTTTTTATCTATTAGCTTCAAGTGCTCTTTTTTTTAAAGATAATTATTTTTATCAATTTGCCAATTTTCCTTTTAATGTTGAATTAGATTTTTTTTTCATTTAAAATTTTAATTTTTCGTCATATTGATACTTTCGCCTAAAGAAACTGTGGATAGAGAATCTAAAGAGAATTTTTAATTTTTTTCTTCATATATAGTTTTGAAAAATTATTCTTAACAGTAAAATTTAGTTGAAAAAATAGTGAAGAAAATTGTATGGTTTTAGATTTTTCTTACCGCCTTGAGTGCAGCCGTTGTGTCGGCCGAATCTACTTCAGTCAGTAAGTATTGAAACAATTAAAATTCTATGAAGTACATGCTATACCGAACTGTAAATTAAAACGTAGATGCCTTAAATAATGAAAATATTGTTTGATTTCCAAGTACTTTAAATAATTGTCATTAATGAATCAATTTCTCAACGCGTCAATAATACCTTTTCCTTGGGTTATACTTTCGATACACGTCTTTGGCGTAACTATTCTCGGCGAAACTCATCAAATGAAATCAAATTTTCTTTTGCACGATTCGTTGATCACGATGAATCGCGTTTATTGAAAAAAAAAGTTAACGCGACTACCCGCGATGAAATACCACGAAAAAGCGAAGATTTCGCGCGCGCACGTGAAAAAACACGCGTGTACAGCTTACGAAGAACGGTCAGAAAAAAAAGCTCATATACACTACTGCACTGATTATTGGCGCGCGCGCGTTGCCCGTGCTCTACTTTCCGGTGCACGAGCGCGAAACAGTAGCCGTGCGCGCGAGTGCAGGCATTATAGTAATTATGTATGCACGACACACATGCTCGCACCATCGCGCGCGAAATTGCTCTACGCGCCTGGCGCCTTTCTTTCTCGGACACGCTGCCGCTGCTATATGTTGTACGTACGAAAGCCAGAAAAGAGACTCGCAAAATCCCGCGGACGAGGAGATATCTCGCGTCGAGCGAGGCCTTAATCACCCTCTCTTTTTACCCGTAATTGGAGAAATTTCGTGTGTGCAGCTGACAATAGAAAATTGATTCTTTATTGTTGCCGCTGCTGCGGCGCGTCTCGCTCGATCGCGCGTGGAGCAAAATTGATCTCGCGGTGATCGTAACGATGCACAGCTGCGTTGATGAGCGAAAGGGAGGTGACGCGTCGCGGTTCTGTCTCTTCGTGCGAGCGTAATATAGTAAAAGCGAAATTTCAGTTTATAATCAACAATTATATTATATTTTCGTAAAAATTGAAGGCTATCAGTCGACGATAAAAAATTATCGAGATTATGAGGGCTATCCAACATACATGAGCGCAAGACAGAGTAATTTCGAGCCAAGCGCTCCCGACTACATATCGCCGTACTCGAAGAGCGACCACGACGTATACCAATCGGATACCAGTCCAGAAAAGTGCGTACACTATTTTTTTCCAATCCAAGTGGCATTCAATTAAGGACATGGCAAAGCAAATCCAAAAAATCAGATTTTCAATTTCATCTTAATACCTAAGAAAGTTTTGGAAAAATATTCAGTAAAAGTTTCAAAAATCAGGATTGAAAATTAGGTTTTTGGGTTCGCTTCGCCAACTCCTTAAAAAGAATATCCTTCATCGAAACGTTTGTCCCTGAAGCCTGTACTACAACGACGGGGTGGTAAGCGACACCCTGTCGAGTAGCAGCAGCAACGAAGCGCGCACCGCCTACTACAAGACCAAGTACGCCAGCGAGAGCGCGGCCAACGCCCTGAGAGCTTCGCCCTCGCCCGCGACGGTCATCAACGAGATCGGCGGCGGTGGCCAGAACCAGCCCGAGTACAGTCCCCTGCAATCGGCCGAGTACTCGACCTCGGCCAGTTACTCGGTCGGCGGTTACGGCGAGCGTCAGCAACAGCAGCACCAGCACCAGCAACCCGGAGGATCCCAACCGGTTAATCATCACAGGCCCGGAGAGGAGGCCGCCGCCCTTGCCAGCGAATACGTAAAACCGAGCGGCAACGGCGGTGGGGCCGTTTATGGAACGTACTCGAGCAACTCCCAAGGCGTCCTCGAGTATCCCCAGAGGCCGTCACCCTTCGCCCACAAGTACGATATCCCGAGCTTGAATCGTCCAACAGTTTAGATGATACATAAAGTGTTCGTAAATTTATTCAGCAGTCCCAGCCAGAGCGAGTACTCGTCTCCGAGTCATCTGCCGTCGACGCACACCTACACCGACTATCTACCCCATCATGCCGCGGCTTACAAAGCTTACTCGGCCCCTAAATATCAGTCGCTGCTCGGAGCGCTGAAGAGCCTCTTCGGTGGTGGCGACTCACCGACGGTATCGGCTACCGGTCATTATCCGATTTACTACTCGCCACAGAGTCCAGCCTCGGGCCTTTCTCCGAGTGCCGCTGCCTCTCTGCATCATCCCGGCCCACACGGCTCACCCTCGGTGCCAGTTCCAGCGGCCGCTCCTCCGTCCTACTACTATTCCGGGTAAGTCGAATATTATTATAATATACTTATAATCTACTTTACGAGGCCGCGTCACGAGGCAACGAGGTCGGACTAAAAAAAGTCTGCTGGCTTTATTTTTAAACGAAACGTTTTGATCACTGTTTTTACGAGCCATTTTTAACGGTACGCATCGCTCGGCGCTATATGGTAAAAATATATGTTCTTGACCGTGGAAAGTCACATCCTGCATCCGCATGTAAATAGGCTCGCGAGCGCGTACACACGTGTGCGTTTAGTGTCGTTCTGCGAACGATACGATCGTCCACGGTGCAGCTCTTCGTGCGGACTCGCACCTTCACGCGACTCCTCGCTCCACTTGCGAAAATCTAGGCCGTACGCGAAGGATCAGCGCTTTATGATTAAGTCAAAATTTCGGTTTATGCGTCTCGGATAAATAAAAATAATTTTAGCAATCAAATGTATAATATGTAACGTCCGCTCTAATCGTAGAGCCGGTCCTCCTTCCAGCCTCGGAAGCAGTTCGCCTTACTCCAAGTCGTACATGTCGATGCCCACGATGCGCTTCGTTCATGGCCCGTCGCCGTCGTCGCCGTCGATCTCGTCCGGACCCTACGGAGGTGGGCCCAGCGGCCTCGGCAGCAGAATCGTGCTGGTGCGCGACAGCAGCGGCGCCCACACCTCGGCCTACCCGAGCCACCTGAGCCCCGGCGGCGTGATGGCGCCCTCGGCCGCTTATCCCCCGACCAGAAGCAGGTACTACTTCTCGCCGGCGTCCGGTGGGCCATCGTCCACGGGACCTTCCTTGTTCTATACATCGGCCGCAGCAGCTCAGAATGCCGCACTGGTATGTTAATAATATATATTAAGGTTTTTTTTATACATTCCATTTCACGGTCAGTTGCGCGTCGAGTCTATAATTTAGTCTCGCCGCTCGCGTACATACGTAGTAGTTAAATCGCAATAAATATAGAAAAACGATTAAACCATTTCATAAACTCTCGATTTCGATCGTATATAATATACACGCTGTCGAACACAATCGCATTAAATCGGCTTGTTCTGTTTTTTTTTTGTTGCACGCTCGCTCTGGAAAAGCGAATTAAACTTTTACTGCAAATAAGTTATTATATACATTTGGCAAAAGAAAGTCTCGATAGAAAGTGCACATCTCGGCGGCTCCGTTCGAGTATAATACATTTGAATTTGAACCAAAGCGAGCGCCGACAAACAACAACGCCAAGTCCGAGGAAAGAATCGCTCGCGCATAATGAAAAAGACGCGAATATGTATATCAAGTGCCATTTACTTTCTACTTGTTAGCGATATAACGCTCTCGTCCGTCCGCTCATACCCACATAGTCAACGACCAGTAGTAGTGGCTATTGTTTTTAAAGCTCGATTGAGCAATTAGTCCGATACGATAAACGACCGGCACTTTCTTGTGAAGGATCATCCGGTGCGTGAAAGTGCGAAAAAAAACAACGAAGTTTGCAGTTCATAAATATCCATGTTTGTTTCTCTCTTTCCTCTCTCTAAGCACCAACAATCTCCGCAGACCTACACGAGTGTTTCGCCGTCGTCCTCGCCACTGTCCAGCCTCTATCCAGGCGCTGGATCGAGTTTCGCCGCGCCAGCGCATCATCATCATCCAGCCTCGCTCGGCAGCACCGGTGGTGGCAGCACATTTCTTGGATATTCCGTGTAAAATATACCGCTACTGTTACTAATAAGGATCTTCAAAGACCGTGACGACAAAAGCGCGCGCAACACAATTCCTGCAAATTTCGGGCGCTGAATGCGAAAGTGTCTTTTTTCCTTCGCGAGCGCGTCAGAAAAAGAGAGACGATGGATCATAATTATGCGTAGGAGGCTCGAGTTGTAAATAAATCACTTTGCGCTCCTTTTTGCGAAACATGAATTTGCTGTAATGTTGTGTATGCAAAAAGGATGTATTATTTGAGTTTCATTGTTTTTTTTTCGTGGTGATTCATGTGTTATAATAAAAAAATTGATCATTTCGTGATAAAATATGTGAAATAATTGCTCATCATCTCATCGAAGAAATTTTCATTCGTCCGATTTAGCTTTATTTTATAAAGATATACATTTTATAGTTTTGAAAATTAGATAAACGCGCGAGTTACACCATGTTGTATTTTTTTGAGTTAAATATAGTATTACCTATACAAACCGCACACTTAAGGCGTGCGGCATACCTTACCTGTCATAGCACGAATGAATGTGTTCAAATACATAATTGTATTTCTCAATCATATAACTGTACTTTTTCAATCATGTAAATTTAAGATAATGCTTCTCGATGATAGACTTTGTACTGTTACATTTTGTTAAATAAAAATCATAATGCTTTCGACAAAAAAGCTTTGAAAACTAAGACACCAAACGAGTTCATTCACGTTATTTCCGAAAGCTTCGCCTTCTCCTCAGCAGTAGCAGCAACAACAGCAGTTGTCTTGCGCTTGAACGAGCCCGGCGGAGTTCGCATGATCCTTGGTTTCGCTTGAAAGGCATTGATTTCATCGGCAAATGATTTCTCATCGCTGCTTTTATCCCTGGAATAAAATTTACATGAAATCTCATACTTTTCATCGATGTGAAGCAGCAATCGTAAGTAAAACAACAACAAAAACATACAAGTGAAAGTACACACGCATATAGACACGCGCATCAATCGAAATTCTTGCTAACAACGGATCGGATCTGATGCACGGGAGAATTAATCAGGGCGTTAATAATGGTCGATATACGTGCGCGGTGTACTCGAGTTCGCTCTAATGATAAATAAATCATACTTACGCCGGTATCGTACTAATTTTCTCTTTCGTCTTGGAGTCTGTGCGCGTCGGGCAGCAGCAAAAAAGTAAAAAAAGTAACAGTATTATTTCATGCACATTTATTAATCTTTAATTTATTTTACATTACAAACACGAAGACCCGAGGGTCCCTTACTTTCTGTTTTGAAATCAATTTCGCGCGTAGTTTCACTGCTCGTACTCAGAAGCATCGCACGAGCGGCGGCATCGTCGACTGCTGCAGATGCTGTTGCTGGCTGCACATCGCAGGTTTCTCTGTAAAATGCACAAGAGTAGTTTTTGATCGATATGTTTGCGAAATGACGCATCGAAAACTACACTTCGTTGAACTTTTTATTTATTCAACTAACTGTAAAGTATCCGAATTTGGAGCCGGAAGCGGTGGACGTGCTGGCAATTTTTTCTTATCGAAATCTGCTTCCGCCTTGGAATACGATAGCGCGAGCAGTTGCTCGCCGCACAGCTCGTCCTTTATGCGTTTTATTGGATCATTCTCCTCCAACTCATTTTCCAGAATGTCGGATATGGCCTAAAAACGTTTTTTTTGGCTTATTACAGAGAGCTCGACGGCTGGCATATTTAGAAATAATTAATATTTATTTTTACGTCGTCCTCATCGGACAAGTCATCTTCGTCTTCGTCGTCGGACAAATCGTTGTAGTGCTCTCGCAAATGAATGCGCAGGGTGCGCAATATTTGATCTCTGAACTCAGCTCTCACTTGTTCGTAGAGCCAGTTCAAAAAATCCGCGAGATTATCGTTCCTGGCGGCTTCGTTGATCACGTTGTTGAGTAGGAAATTCTGCAGCGCTCCGTTTGCGTACGGTATCAACTGCAATAATGTACGATTTAAGTACATAATCGTATCGCGTGTAATATATCAAACACTCTAAGACTTGAAAAAGAAACTCTCGAGTACTCGAGGCATTCAATCATCGTGGCACGTATCACAAGATATGTACCTGCGTGCGATCCAAGGACAATAAATTCTTCAAAGTAGAAATGAGCACCGGAGAAAGCGCCGAGGCTCGCGCTCGCGCCTCGCTTTGCAGCGAGAGATTCATCAGTAGCGCCGCAGCGTACTCCAATCTGTAGGCGCTTATCGCGCAAATATCATCGCTGTCCGCGCTCGCTGTTGATGCCAAATGGTGCAGCAGCCACTCGATCAGATTTGCCTCGACCATGTAAACTCGCTGCTGTTTACGCAGTGACATCTTCTGTAGAGTGGCCAGCAGCATGTCCAGGGTGCACGAGTCCCCGTGCGAGCCGTTCAGTGACAGACTGTCCAAGTACTTGATGATCTGTTAGTTTTTTCAGGTCATAATTGTGACTCCAAGGAAAAATGTATTGAAAAAATAATTACGTACAAGTAGAGGATCATGAATAAATTTTGGTAAACTTAAGGAGATTCTTACGCCAATAGTTGTTCTATAATTAGTGCTAGGTAAAATCAAACATTTTTCTACTTTCAGAGTCCAAAAAAAAAAAATTTTTAAAGATCATCAGATAGTATCAAAAACAAGAAAAATCTCGACAGAAATGGATTATTCGATAGGTTTTTCGCCAAAATATTAGTTATTTTTCCCGCCAAAAATTCAAAAAAATTTCCTGCCCAAATTCAAAAATTTTTCCCGCCAAATTTCGAAAATTTTTTCCCGCTCAAATTCAAAAATTTTCCCGCCAAATTTAAAAATTTTTCGTGGGAAAAATTTTTCGAACTTTGGTGGGAAAGAATTTTTGGCGGGAAATTTTTTTGAGTTTTTGGCGGGAAAATTTTTTCGAAATTTGGCGGGAAAAATTTTCGAAATTTGGTGGGAAATTTTTCAAATTTTGGCGGAAAAGGTTTTAAAAATGTCGTATTAAAAAACTCAACATTTTTTATGGGAAATTTTCAAAATTTAGCTTGAAAAATTCAACATTTTTGGCGGAAATTTTTCATATTTTCGCTTGAAAACGGTTTCCTATTCAATCCTATTCAAACGTTAAATTTTTCACTGTTTCTAATGGTCACATTAATTTGATCTTAAACATGACCTCAAAGCTACAACAAATTAAAAATCGATTTTTTGCTTGGGGACCCATATTTTTTATCAAATTTGAAAAAAGCGGACAATTTTACGTTCGAATAGGGTATTTGGTTTTTTTCAAGGATATTTTTAAGGCGCAAAACTTAGAAAATAAATTCCTTACTTGAGCTGAATTATAGGTTAAGCTTGCAGAGCCCTTAAAATGACCACCGATGCGTTCGCATCACACTCGCATGCGCTCGTGCGCTAACCTCACTTCGCTTTACCAGAAAGTGCGACTAATGCATCGGAAAAGGGGGCATAAATGTGAAATTAGCACAGTGCTATACAATTTTGTATGATACTCGTGCCATGGGGACAGTTTTCGGCCCAGCTAAACTACGCCACGCCAAAAAGTGCTACTTATGGCACTTGTATCGTAAAATACTGTTATGTGCAATTCACACTGCACGAGAAACAAAAACGGGCCAAAATTCATTCGCATTCTACCAAGATTTTACGTAAGTTTCATGTGAAATTCTCGTAGATTTTACGTGAATTTTGAAGTGAAACTTCTTTAGTCGCTTTAGGCGATAATCGTAGGAATATAGACTGTATATAGACGGTGTACTTCTGCGTCGTCTAGCTGATGGCTAGCCGCTTCGGTTACAGAGTTTTAAGCGCGAATCTATTCCTACGTGCTCGGGCAGTGTCTATGCAAAGTCACGCATGTGCGTGTTCGTGCGTGTAGCTCGTCTAGCAACAATACAATATAGGAATCTTATATGGCTCGCACTTCACGCATGTATCTACCCCCACGAATTGCGTTAAAAGATATGTGTTTAGCGTGAATAATGATGCTGTTCAATCGCGTTTGATCGTTAGTGAGGGTTATTCTGCCACTTGGTGGTGGTACTGGGCTCTAGGGGTAAATACATGTAAATATGAGGGCCTTTAAAAATAAGTGGAGGGAGGTGTCATATGATACACGGGCTAGCCCTCTTGAGCCCAGTACCGTCACCAAGCGGTAGAATAACCCTCATTGAGGTAGTGCTGACGCGGTCTCGGCATTTATTACTGAAATTTACACTCAGTTGAAAAGTATTTATGAAAAATTAAATTCATTATATTTTTTTTCCAAATTCAATGAAAAAGTAAATCTAAAGTATTAAGTTTGCTCTCTACGGACCGCTATCAGAAGTAAAACTTCTCCAAAATTAATTAATTAAAAACACCAAAATATGAAAGATGAAAAATCATGAATAAGTTAAAAAGTGAAAAAGATTCTGGGAATTGATATTATTTAAAAGAATCTAATCCGATTTTGTGTTTGCTGAATTACGTGAATCAAGGGAATATTTTCGCGACTTACTATTGAATTCTGTTATGCACTGTGTGAAGTGTAATAGTTTGTCGAAAGTCTAACTATTAAACCCCACGTTGAAAGTCATAATATATAATTAAATCCTGAACCATCAGTGTAATAGTCCTCACAGACTGCATAACTGCCTTTTCGATATTCATGAAAATGTATATAATTATTAGAAGGCCTTATTCAAAAATGATATTAATCAAATTAGTTTAAATTATTCAAATTTTTTTAGTAAAAGACTATGAATATAACTTCTTAGAAGAGATTTATCTACACCCCACAATAAAATTAACTCAACAAAAATTTCCATTGAAATTTTTTTCAAATTTCAAATGTTTCTTGAAAGATTTTATCAAGCATTTATGATTGCCTTTGAGAACAGTGAAACGCTATCAAAAAGTTGCAACAATGGTAAAGATTTGATCAGTTTAATATCACCGAGTTCAAGCTCACCAAAATTAATTCATAGTTCTCCACATTACGTACAGTGAGTAAAAAAATAGAAATAAAAATATTTAAAAAAATGTATTGCTTACCGCATTCAGTACTTTTGGACTGGTGGTCAGATAATTTCTGCCGGAGTTCAATGATGCCAGTGCATTCAGTAGCCTTGCGGTTGTCTGTTGCAGATAGCTCGCGTTGTCAATCGTATTGAGAGGCTTTAAAATGAATCGTAGAATGTTCTCTTCGAAAATTCCCAAAGAAACATCTCCGAACAAACCTAATAGATCGTTATTCATATAATTCAGAACGATGACGTCCCGATCCTCGGGCGGACTGAGCGTGATTTTCTAAGAACAAAATGTAACAATTATATACTTCGTTTATAATTTTTAATTTTATAGTGCATTAAATTTAAAATAACTTGTCGTAGAGCTTGAAGTAGTAGTAATTTCGTTCGGACGTTGCTACTTTTCAAATGGAGTTTGATTTTTTTGTAGTCTAATGATTCAGATGGCACAGATACAGGTAAATATTTCAAATCGATCGTTGAGTCCTAAAATACAATTATTTAAATACGATATCAACCTTTGAACGGTTTGAAGAACAAACCTCGGAATCGATTTCCGGTAGATCCCGGCGAAATCTGTTTGGAAAAATATTTATACAAGAATGCAAAATTGTACCCAGTTTTACCGGTTGACCTTTGACTGAGTTTTCCAGGGCAATAGTCAAGACCTCCGCTACTTCATTGAGTTTTTGGTAATCTTCGTGAAGTTTATGAAACTTCACTTTCAGCTTCTTGTAATGTTTGTAAACTTCGAATAATTTTGATTTGATCGAGTTCAGCTCATTATTGGCGGCTAATTTTTTGTCAGTTTCAGCTACTTCATCGCTTGTATCGATTTTCGAGATCATCGTGCTAGATTCAAGGCCGCTGATGTAGGTTTGCGAACTTCTGCTCGAAAAAAAGTTCAATGCGATAATCTATAATTTGTGCGAGAATAAAATTTAAGTGTTTTTTTCTTACTCACTTCGTGCTAAAGCTTTTATCATCGACAGCGGAAATGAGTTGCTGTTGAGCAATCCAACCTTCGATGTCTTGTTTTTTATTTACCATATGCATATCATCATCTCGATTGCACGATGTTCCGTGGCAAGCGTCCGAAATTTCTTCCGTACCATCGATCGATTTCACTGAGTAGGTTTTTTTCTCATTCTCTGTGTTCGACAATTTTTCCGACTCGGAATCGCTCTGAAGATACATTAAGAAGAAATTTATTACGTGTGAATCGCGTAAAAACATTTTTGCAGCTTACGTAAGTTACAAATTTACCGGCAAATATTTATCGAGAAACTTTTCCAACTCGATGGTCAACGCTTCCAACCACTTGATACTGAAAACACTCGATATCGACTCATCTTCGTGCGGATTAAGTATGTACGGAAGAGCAAAGAATTTTATCAACGACGTGTTTTCCAGCTCTTTGGATAATATCTGGCCATCGTTGGAATTTAAGTAGTCTTCGAGCTGTTTCATACTTTTCACGGACCATTCGGTACTTTCACTTTTTCTATTCTAAAAATAAAATTATGAAAAAATTATAGAATTTTCAAATAAATAATAAGTTAAATGTTGACTTACTCTTTGAAAATTTATTAACGATCCATTTCGTAAAATCTGAGTCACGTGTCTGTTGAACTCGGACGATTCTGAGAAAAAAAATTGTTTCTTCGTTAATGAATGCAAAAAAGTGTCGTGTAAATACATTTAAAATTTTACAATACCATTATCGACGTGTTGATGCAAAAGCTCAACTCGAACGGGAAGCACGGCAAAATGTATTCTCAGCTTGAGCGTCATGACTCTGTATTCGTTCAAAATTCGCACTTTCGGGGAGAAGGATTTGTCCCAATTCTATGCGTCGAGCGATCGTAGAGTAAAAATTTAAAAATCAAAAAAATACTTAAAAGGTTGATGTATATTTAGAAATAGAAAATTGAGAGTCTCACATTAAAAAAAGTCTGCCAATTGCCGGAAAGATATTCTTGAAACAATTCGTTTTTATTGCAACCGATCGTTTGGCTCGTAAAAGTCGGCTCGGTTTCTTCGTTGACCGTAGAATCAATGATTTCTTCGTTTATTGTATCGAACTGAAAACAATTGATCACTGTGATTATAATTTTTTCAATAAAAAAAGCTTTCGAAAGGACATTAACATACCTTTCTGTTTTTCATCGTCATTCTGACGTCTTTTGATAATGATCCTGCGAAACAATAAAGGTCACACAAGCGCATTCGAACGCTAAGAGAAATGCACGGCAAATGCCAAACTTTCGATTTTTCAGATGCACACGATTAAGCTTTCACAATAACAAGTAATAATTATAAAAATCAATAATCGAGCAGGCACAATGTCACACACGAGTTTTGGTCGCTCTATACACAGCTTTCGTGTCGCGCGGTCTTTTTATATTTCTCTCCGCAGCAGGTGTGGGTGCCTCGCGCTTACAGTACGATATAATATATAGCTCTGGCACGGCATGCATTAAGTGTATCCAACGTAAAAATCTACATTATATTATGACACATTCGTTCCTATGGCGAATCACACAAATTGAAAAATCGATAGGAGTCATTTGTAATCAGGGTAAGTAGAGCGATATTACCATAGAACAACGCGCAATGATATCGCGTGAATTTCTTCTTTTATTTCCCCGTTAATTTGGTCAAATGGAATTAGGGGCGTCTCATTTGAATTTTGGGAGAAGCGATCAGTAGTTTCGAGGGACGAAGAAATAAAAACGAAATGCTAACGTGTAATTAAATAAGTATGTAATATTTAGATATTTTATTAAAAGTACGATGGAAATAAGAAAAATCCAAATTACCAACGAGGCAATAACGATCCACGTATATTTATATGCTAAAATCCGTAATTTTACCGAAAAAATTATCGTTCCGGAACAAGAAAACGGGCTAATGACACTTCCGCATCGCGAACGCTCTCGCGCGCGCGAGCGACGCACACAACATCGGAACAAAGCAATAGAGTCAAACAACAACTTCCAGCAGCAGCGCGGGCTTCGACCGCGACAATCCAGAAAAAGAAAAAGCAGCTTTACGAAGGCATCCTCGCGCGATACTCGGCGGTGTGTGTCGTACAATATACGTAAGTTCGCCGATGCGTGCGACTTCAAACGCGAATGGTAAAAAGAAAAAAAAAAAGAACGATGGAATGCAAGGTTTATACTGTATACGTACGTATTACGAGTGAAACTGCGCGTCGTGGTACATAAACGCAACGACGACGACGACGAAATGAAATATCGCCCGTGGGTACATTTGCATAATAAAATAATTATTCGGCGTTAGAATAACAAGAATCGGAAGAGAGTCACAAAACACGAGCGTATATGGAAAGAAGCGCGTCGGCAACTGAAAATGTGCAGCGGCTGCAGCAGCAGCGGACAAATGTAAACACTGCGCAGCCTGCACAAGCCCGTTCAGTTTCGGAGTCGCGCGAGGGGCTGAAAATCCAACCGACAGGTAGCGCTCGATACACCCCCGCGCGACTCGACGACCCTCGCAGCTCGAGACAACCCCTTATATGGACACATTCGTCCTTCTACCTGTATACCTGCTATGCTATACCGATATATAGTTATATGAAGCGTCGAGTTCGATCAGCCCCTCATGCATGATACACCATATACGTATGGCAGGCCCTCGATTGTGGACTGCGGCGTAATAATGCACGGATGCATGTCCGCCCGCATCGATGCGACACGATATACACAAACACGGAATAATTATTGGTTTATCGGGGGGCAAAGCAAACGTCGAATCACGACCATGTGCACGAGAGCGTATTATTATATATTTATATACCTACGTAGGAGATAGGCACATCAACATGGGCACGCGGAGATAGCTCATGCATCGACGTTTTTCAAGTTAATATCGCTCGACGCGAGTTCCAGGGAAACTCGTGACTCCGACCTAAAAATACCTTTCCACGGAATAATCGTTGTCGTTGTGTCTATTCGCCTAGATTATACAAGTAAAAGAGAAAAGCTGCGCGACATTAGCGCGCATTAAATATATCCTGCCCACTTGAGAGTGTCTCCGAGTGTACAAGAGTGCACGTACATGTATGTTCGTTACATATGTGTGTGGGGGTGCTCCGGTTCTCACGAATCTCCCGCATCTTTTTTTGTCCGTGTGTAAGGTAACACGATCACTGCGTCGCGCTGCAGCTCGTTCGCGTGTGCTGCAGTTCGTGTGCAGTCTGCGCGAGAAGAGGCTTTAGCTGTAGCAGCGACAATATGCAGTAGTTGCGAGGGCGCCTCGGTTGTTCGACGTCGTCGTCGTCGTCGCGTTCGGAACTTCGAAGAAGTAGCAGCAGCAGTCTAGCTTCACTCGCTGCTGCGGCTGAGTGCTGCTATATACGAAAAATCGACCCGCTCGTCGTCGTCGTCGTATATCGCTGTGTGTGTAGCTGTGTAGTGCGCGCGAGTGTGCGTGGCTGCGAGCAGACAAGGGGTCGCGCGTTCCAACCGCTGCTGCTGCACACGTCTGGCCTATACGTATATATATATATATATACGGAGTCGTATCTCTCCGTCTCCGTCTTTCGCACGCAATCGGCACGGCCTCGTACAGGCTTCGGCAGCGCAGCATATACGCAACGCACGCACGGCAGCAGTAGTTTTTGCCGAACGCTCGTACTGCGCGGACGACGGCTCGTTGTGTATGGACACACATACACACACACACGATAATATATAAAAAATACATATTATATACGAGTGCTGCTCTGCACACAGAGACACAAGAGGCAGGCCCCGATGTGAGATATTCAGTGCGATAGATCACGAGAGATTGTCCGTGTGCGTGGTGCATCGTGGTGCGTTCTCTCTCGACGCGACTACGTGTTTTTGTGTCGTGGTCTGTTTACGTATAGGTGGTTGTGATGTCGTACGTGCCCAATAACGAGTGAGAGAGCGAGGGTGTTGTGTTGTGTGCTGCAGCAGCGCGCGACTCTCGCGAGTCTACATGCACATTGCACTCACTAACGCACACGTACACACACCGCCTCTCGACGTCGCTTGTGTTTATTGTGTTTCGTCAACTCCAGTGCTGCACACAGAGAGTTTATAATATATAATATAAAATACATAGCGCAATGTCAGCGTGTCTTTGTGCCCTGGGAAAAAGCGTGCGACTACTCGCTGCTGCTGCACCGGGACGTAGCCACAATACGCCGAGGCTGCTTCCAGAGTATAGAGACCAGTGATGCGAGTCTTGCTCCGATACAAACAAGCTCCTCTCCGGAATACATTCCAATAAGTAATTCATATACATCGTACGTACACGCGGAGTGTTTTGCCGTACTGCGATACTCGCATAGACAGATATATATCACACACGCATCGATATAGCAGCGACGTACGCGCCCTTACAAGCAGATAAAAATGTCTACGAGATCGCAGCTCACGAAGGATCTCAACGGTAAGCTCTTCGCACGTTTGCTCGACTCATTATCGCTTGCTTGCTACTTTTTTTTGTGCCCAAATGTGTATACTGACCGCTACATACTTGTGTCACGTATAGTCAAGCAGTATATCTGCTCCTAATGTAATATAAAATACTTATGAGGATATGGATATGCGCGAGCGGGGCAGGATTATACCTCGAGGAGGAACTCACACGCAAGCAGCAGCAGCAGGCTTTCCTCTCTCTCTCTCTCTCTCTTTCTCTCTTTCTCTCTCCTGGGGGTCCGTCCATGCCCGCGAAGAGTTTTGTTTCTCATGGACTTGCCCCGCCTGTCCCTCCTCCTACTTTCCTCTTTCGCGCTTCTTCTCCCGTGTGTTATATGTTGTATATACCCTTCGAACTGGATGCTACAGCCTGCAGCAGCATCCCATGGATCGTGTTTACAAGCTAATAAAAGTCATGCACCCATGTATGCTCCTCTATCTGCTCAACGCCGCGATACATTTTATATGTATAAATAATGCTCATTCAATGAGAGTTACGAAAAAAAAAGAACAGACAGTGCAAGAAGCGAAGAAAATCACACGGCATTTGTACTTGATTGTATTATTTTGAGGTCAGGCGCATTTGTGTGTGTCGTCTGTGCTCTGTCGTGTGTACAGTACATATTGGAGTGTTTTAAGCACACTCCGTTATATTTGCCGGTGAGTGTGGTACTAAGAAGCGCACACACGTATATTGACGTGTGTGCCCCTTCTTACGATATTCTCGCTCTCTTTCTTTGACTGGAACTCTTATAGTGTCTTTCTCTCTCTCTCTCTCTCTCTCTCTCTCTCTCTCTTTCTCGAAGAGAAAATATATATACTTCACTACCGCCTGCTGCTGCTGTCTTTATTTCTTCTGTATAGATATATATATAAAAGTATATACGCGTACAACATATACACCAACTGTTTTTACATTCCACCTTTGCCACTCTCTTCGAGATGTGTGATTATTATAATGGATGAGAAACAGGCACCGATCGTGCGCGGCTGTATTATACACTCTGAAAAACTTGTTATGTATATTATGCCTTTCATGGTACCTGCAGATTTTATAAATCTGAGTCACCGAGTGTACTTGCTATGCTTCAAGGGCTGACAGGGTTTAAAAGCCATATTTTATATCGATTTAATGTCAGGCGTCAGACGATTTTCATTACGCAGCAATTGACGGAATTGTCAATTTTTTAACTTGCTTCAATTTACACTTTTTACAATGTCAATCAAATGCTCTATGACAGAATGCTTGCATTGATTCTCATTTAATTTTCTTCAATACATGAGATCATCAGCACTATTTTTGCCATTATGCCAGTAAATGTCATTTACAACCAAATAAAATTTGTATGTAAATATCTTGTGAGGGAAAAAAATAAGCTGAATTGCTGAATCTTGAATAATATAATTTCTATACTTCTCAATAAATAAATCATGAATAGAGATTAAATAATATTGTTATAATGTATTTTCAGAATCTGTTAAAACACTTTTGGGAAAGCATGTAAAAATCTTACTGAAAAATGTTGTGAAGTTGGAAACCAAACCTGATAAACTTGAAAATCGAGTTCTGGTAAGCTATTATAACATTAAAAATTATTTCCCTTTAATTTCATATTAATAAAATATATTTGTAGGTATTTTCACCATGCCGCCTCTTTTTACTAACTGCAAAGGTACCTACAAGGATCGACTGTCATTTCCATTATTTGGAAATAATATCAGTCGAATCCAAAAGAGCCAATCAATTAGTGTTAACAGTTGGAGAAAGAGTGTACAACTTTGTAACAATGGGTATGGGCAGTGTGGATACTTCAGAAGTAGATGCTATGATAGAAGCACTTCATACAGCAATCAGAAACATATTTCCAACGGTACCTTTAAAGTAAGCTTTGAAAAATAAAAAGTACAATTAGTAAAATTAAAAAATTGTAAAATTATAATAACTTTCATTTTTTTCTTAGTTATGTGATCAGAAAAATTGATGTGATACCAGCCAGCAGATTACAAAGCATAAGAGGTAGTGATCTAGCTAGAAGTACAGAAGCTACTCGTCATACTGGTCCTTGTGGTGGCTTTTCTGCTCAGTATGCATGTATGTGTGATTTACATAATGTACCTTACAGAGAAGAAGTTGCTTGGGTAAATATGATTTCATCAGTTTGAGTTCTCATTGCATAATAAAAATTATTTGAAATTTTAAATCTATTTTTGTAGGATGTGGACACAATATATTTATCTCATGATACAAGAGAACTAGATCTGAGAGATTTTGATCATCTTGATCAAAAAGATTTAGTTCCAATAATATCAGCTTTAGAGTACAATACCTGGTTTACTAAAGTAAGAATTTCTGGCCTGAAATTAAGTCATGAACCATTGGATAGATTGTTACACATATTAAAGAGGTCACTCTCAATTCAAGAAATTTATTTTGATAATATTGGAGCCAAATGGTAAGAATTGAAATAAATATCTTGAAATATTTTACTCTGTTCAATTTTACTAAGAAGAAACATTTTTCTTAGGGATTTTGCTCATAAGTTATCACTTGCTTTGATTGCCAATACAAATGCTGTTCTTCATACAATTGACTTGTCTAATAACACTATTGAAGACAAAGGAGCTGCAAGTTTATGTGGGGCAATAGCTAAATTATCTCAAGGTAGCTGAATTAAATCCATTAAATTTCTACCATACAATCGTCATTTTTTCCTATTTTTTCACTTCCTGAGCTTCAACATTCATTTTTATTTTTATTTTTATGTTTTTCCTATCTGTACTTAGAAACATATGATTTTCAGTAGGTACAATTTCTAATTCATCCTCATTTACCCGGTTGCATCAATTTTTTGCACCTTTAGGAGCCGCACATACAACTGGACCACTAGGTAAAATGCCTAAAGGTTTACAGAAATTAAACTTGGCTCGGTGTGGTTTGACAGGCAAAGGAGTTGGTCAAATTGCTCATGCTCTAAGTCTAAATCGAAGTATGCCTACAAGTTTACAGTACCTAAATCTTGCTGATAATACTTTGAAAGACGATGTAAATGTGAGTAACAATTGAGATTTAAATAATGTATTTGATAACACAATGCTAAATTTTAAATTTACAGAATCTGTGCAGCTTTTTGGCTCAGCCAAACGGGATAACGCACTTAGATCTTAGTGGCACGGATACTACTTTAGAATGCGTAAGTAATAACAAAAATCAACAATTGATTCATCAAAATTCTAAATACTGACTTTTATATCGATTTTTTGCAGCTTTTTGGAGCGTTACTGCGTGGTTGTGCAACAAATCTAGTCCACTTAAACGTAGCCCGTAACTCGTTCACGAGCAAGAAAACCAAAGAAATACCGCCAAGTTTTAAGCAATTTTTCACAGCAACATTGTCACTCAAATATTTGAACATTTCATTTTGTAAATTACCATTAGAAGCATTGAAACATCTGTTGTTGGGTTTGGCATGCAACGAAAGTACTGTTGGTTTAGAACTTGACATGAGTGGTAATAATCTTGGATCAACGGGTGCTCACGTTCTTGAGTCTTGTATACACGGAGTCAGGTGCATTTCTTCTCTTGATATATCAGACAGCAGTGAGTTGTTTTTCTCTGTATTTATTTGTCAAGACTTTTATTTATCAATTTTTTAAACTTAATCTCTTAATATTTACTTCCTCAGATATGGATGTAGATTTGGCACAAGTAATCACTGCTATAAGTAAAAATAAATCCATAAAAAATCTTTATATGGGTCGAAATACTCTCGGCATGAAGAGTAAACACATAGCTGTTGTAATGGACTCACTTGTACAAATGCTCCAAGAAGAAGATTGCGTTCTCCAAGCGTTACATTTGCCAGATTCGCGACTGAAGGGTGATTTATACAATCTGATAAATGCCCTCGGTAGCAATACGTGTTTGCGCAGCCTCGATATTAGTGGCAATCAAATCGGCGATCCTGGAGCTAGATTATTAGCTAAAGCTTTACAAATCAATAATCATCTCAAAACCATCATTTATGATAAGAACAATATAACTTTACAAGGCTATGCTGATATTGCTCACGCTTTAGAAAGGTAAACAATTTTGTATAGTCATTGGAAATAAATTAAAACTCTTCTCTGAGAAGAGATATTTTAATTCTATTAACAAAGGGATGAAAACGATTGCATACATAAATAAATTTACATACGCAAATATATTGACTTTCGTAAACCGTTTTCGGGGAGCTTTTGACATTTAAATTTCGTCGTTTTATGGTTAACTACTGTCCTTTCAAAGGACCATAACAATGAAATAACAATAGTTTCCAACAAAATTAATTAAGTTTTATGTATTTTACAGGAATTATAGTGTCAGATATATGCCAACACCAATATACGATTTACAACCGTGTATGAAAGCTTCTGCCGAAAAAACTGAACAGCTCACAAAAAAGATCCAAGATCTTCTCCAACGTAACGTAGCACCCCAGCGTAACAGCCATGGTCAAGCGTTCCGCCTACAGCAGGGCTTCCTTCTAAGCTCTACACAACATATGGTCGATCGTCTTGTCGTTCAAACTCAAGACACTATAAAAGCCCTAGCTGCTGAAAGTTGCAATGCCAACGATGATATCAATTATGCGACTGGGCTTATTCAAGATGCTGATAATTCAAAACAATTGCTCCCTAGACTACATGAAGTGCTCCAGAGACGCGATGAAAATAATCCTATCGAAGCTAAATTGACCGAGGCTGCGAATCAAGTTCATAAAATTGCTTCAACTTATTTGCAGGTAAGTTTTTTCCATAAACAAGATAATTTTTTAAGTGTTTAATGTTATGTAATTCCTGATATCGTTATTTAAAGGATTCTTTGGATTCTATGCTTAAATGTGCTAACGAGCAATGCCCAACGATTCTTGAGCAGACAGTTCGTAATAGAGATGGCGATTACGATGAAAATGAATCCGTCAAATTGGAAACACATCTCCGAAGTTCTTGCAAAGATAAAAATTCATTGACTCTAGAATTTATACAAAACACCATTACCGAGCAAGCTGGTGCAGATATTATAAACAAAGTCAAGTGAGTATTTATTTCCAGTAAATGTATGTCTCTAACGTCACAAATGTCTATAAAACGACTTTTTTTACAGCGAACTTAATCTATCAGTAGCGGCTCACATCTCCGACAGAATTACCGATCAAGTTATCGAATCATTGTCTGGCAGTTACAAATCTCTGATCGGAGAATGCGGCACCGAAATACGCACGCGAAGCAGCACGCCAGACGTGTTACGGCCGAGCGCCGGCTCGACTTCGAATCAAGGCGGAGGCGGGGGCAGTGTACTCGGCGTCGGCATGTCCGTCAGTATATCGGCTGGCACGCCCAGCAGAAATTGCGGCAGTATCGTTGCTGATGACGACGAAGACGACGACGACGAGGATAGCAGCGAGGAAGAAGAGGAAGACGACGACGAGGAGCAATGTCAGGCGAACGATCGAAATAAAGAGAGCAATGGAAGGGTGGTTATTGGAAAGGCTATGGGTAGACTTTCCAATGATGATGATTCGCCGATGGTGAGTTTTTGCCATTCCAGCTATGTGAATTATTCTCATTGTTTTGGGTGATGGTGTTGAAGTGGTTTTTGAAAATATTTTAACTTTCCTAATGTACATAAAATCCTATAAATTTTAATTTTAAAATTACTCAATTTTTTTATTCAATTAAACATTTAAAAATTAAAATTGAGTATATAATTCAAAATTATACACAAGATTTAACTTCACTTTATGAGAATTTCATGGTTGGATGAATTTATTATTCAACTTTATTCATACAAGCATATAATTATCTATCTTTCAATTTGAATTAGATCTCTTATAAAATTCATCTATCTTACATGATATTAAATAAAAAAGCGGTATTTCTCCATGGATACAATAATAGGCTGAGTCTATTTTCATTAATAAGTTGTACAGCTAATATATAGTTACGATAAAGTTGGTAAATTAAAATTGTTTATCGAGCATATTTGATATTATGTTATATTCGTTAATTTCTCTAATGGAAAAGAGATTATTTCAAGCGTGACCATTAGAAACTAAGCATCGTATCAAGCCTATTCAGCATTACTAAACCATACGAACCGCTGAAAAATATTGTACTTTTACTTGTTGGAAAATGATAGTGTGGCGGTAACTTTTTACTCGTGCGCGATGCCGAAATGCACCAGCCACAATAGTCGAGGTGTTGCTAACGTAACGTTTGCATCGCCGCTGCCGCGCGCGCGCGTCAAATAGCTCGAGGCAATTTTAATTTACGTATACCATTGGTAGTACGTATATCGTAAGAGTATACATATAGTAATGTAAATACATTGGAGTATGTGTTTTTTTCTTATTTGTTTCACTAATAAAAAACATGGTGTCATGGTACTAACACTCATTGGGATTCATTCTGCTTGATTCTTTTTCCGCATGCCTTGCGCAGCTGGATTACCTGAATCTCGTAAGTACGGCAGCGAACTTTTCTATTCCCACCAATGCAGTTTTTTGAATAGTCGATGAAATAACGAGTTGAAATTCTAAAACGTGCATTATTTTCACCACATAGGCCACGCCGCACTTGTCAAATAAGCGCAAGAGCTTGCACGGAAGAAAATTACGGCCGAAATCCGTAGTGGACTCCGTGGAGGGTTTGTCGGCCGATGACATTCCGGATCTGCTGCCGTCGTCTGCCTCGTCCAAGGGCCAGCCGACGGAGGGCAACTCGGAGAACGAGATCTCGCTGACGGAATCGATGGACTCGGTGACGGAGCTGCCCGCTGGCACGCATCAGCTTCAACATCTCGTGAAATCGCGTCCACGCAGGACGAAGACGCGCGCGCCTACGCGGCCGATGTTGAAGTCCGATCAGAGTCAGGAGAGTGGCATTGCTCTGGGAGAGGGCTTGGATACGTTTTTCCGACCTACGACACCCAAGACTCCAGATGTTGGCTCACCTACCAGCGATGAAAGGTATTCATAATGGTTTTTTTATATAGATGTAGCGAAGTAACAAAAAATAAATCATTCGAATTTGTAGCTTGGTAAATACGCTGCAATCGAATCAAGATTGCGGAGGTAGTCCGAGCCTTTCTATAAGCAGTCAACGAAGCGATAAGAAACCACCGGTAGCCAAATCCGCGCCCGGTAGTAAAGGTGAACAATCGCCGCGTTCACAGTCGACCGATGATGTGGCAAAATTTTCACCGGGCGCTGGACGAAGATCGCGTGGCGATTCACCACTCACAGTATCACCACTGACTCGAAGAAACACAGTTGATACTTCGAAAAGTAGTAATGAGAAAGTTGCCGTCGATGGAGCCGACCAACAGTCAATTGGTTGGTGTTTGTAAAGTTTGATTATTGCTTTTCACTAAGAAACATTTCGTAACGGTAATTATTTTTAGGACCAAAATCGTTGACACCTAATAGTGAATCGGTTAAGGAGCAGCAAAACAATGAAAAAAATGAGAGCAGTACAAAAGGTACTGTGATGTCTTCCGTGCGAAAATTCACAGCCGCAAGTAGCCCAACCAACGGTAGCGTTGCTAAAGGCTACAGCTTCGATTCAGCCAAATCACCAGTACTCCGATCACTCACTAACAAAAATAATCAAGCATCTGGCGACAGGCGATCACCACCTAGCACTGCCCCTAAACCTAGACCATGGAGCATGGCTACCGACAGAAAGTCTGGTATGATAATGTTAAAATTCAGGACAATATACTAATATTAAAATTTGTTTTTATCTCTTGAGCCCCGTTTGATTTTAATGAAAATAATTTTTTAGGCGAATTTAATCAATTACTCAGCGATGGTTCGTCACCCAATACATCAGCAGGCAACACACCGGACTCCGGTGACGCGCTGGACGAGTCGACCGACAGCGGAGTCTGTGGTCCTGCCTCATTACCACCATCATTGACGACCAGCTGTATCGTCACTGGCAGTCTAAATTCTGGTGGAGCAGAGAAGCGCTCGGTGCGCGAATTAGCTGCCAGTTTGACGAAGAGCAATAGCCAAGGCAAAGCTGACAAGAAGGAAAACGGTAAATTTCGACGGAGCATAAGAAGCGTGTTTTTCAATAACAGCTGAGGCCTCACTCGCTAAATTAACCAAATGCAAACAAAAAAAGCTTAAGCGCCTCTTTTACAATAATCACCATGCCAAAGAAGATGATCGCAACGCGATACACACGTTCATCGATTAGAACCGATTGCCAAGCGTATCGATACATTAGATTGATAAAGGTTAAGATCGTTCTTGCACACAGAGCGAAATGTCTATTATGCAAACCACGAAACAACACTGAAGAGGCGTTGTTATTGTTTTTGTTGTTGCTTGAAAATTTGCGAAATAAATGCTTACTGTATTTGCGTATTGCCACGGCTTATCGAATTATTAATGCGATACAAGTTAGAATAAGTATTGTAGTTTTGATATTAGAGATACTTAATCTGGCGATCATTCGTCGCATTTACACATTTTCAAATCATTTATTCATTTATAAATGACGTTCGATCCATTAAGCATAATTCATGTCCAATGTCATTATCAAATCGTGCAAGAACCATCTTAATCGCGCACTTGTTATTGCATATTATTTCCATCTGCTCACGATTTTCGTTAAGTTTTCTGTTCATAATCATGCAACATCAATTATCAAATGGCTACAATGCACGAATTACCAGTTTTTGAATTTTGTTTTTATTAGACCTGCTTGCATATATTTTATTTTAGAGTATTCCGCAGCATGGAGGTCAGTTTTGCGTCATTATGTTGAACCCCCGACACCTATACAGCCGTCCTCTCTTAAGGTATTTTTTAAGTTTTTGTTTTTTATAGATTAATTTATTTATTGCTAAGTATACAATCAAACAGTACTAAATACCACAATTTAATTATATTATGAGTTATTATTTGTAAGCAATCTTTTTTTGTACAATTCCTACTCCAAGTAGAAAATATTAATTTTTACACCATTTTTAACAAGCTTACCAATAATATACACATTATCTATTTTTCACGAATATGATGAAAAGTACAATTTATATGAAAATTTGAAAAAATTTCGCACATTTGCTCAAATTTGAAAAGCATAATAAAGTAACTAAAAATGCTTGCGACATTTTTTCCAATGTTAATTCTACAGCAGGGGAATCTACGTGATCCTGAATGTACCTGAATGAAAAAACCAAGATATTTACACCAGTTATTTGCTTGTGTGTTTATAGGCACCGGAAGCACAGAGAGAGACTGAGCCTAATCGCCGCCTGGCTTTCAAACTACGACGCACTTCATTTCTTCGCGATTCGAATTTTCATTACGATAACGACGCGGTAGATGTGTAGAGTGAAAGAAAGAAAATTGTGATTTTTTGTTGTTTTGACAATCCAGCAGCATTGAATAATTAAGTGGTAATGAATGAACAAAAATTTGGCAACATTTTTTCTTTCTTTTTCTTGTGATCAATGTCTGTCAATAGCTTATTTCGAGCTTTAGAATGAAGAATTTTTTCACAACGAAAATGATAATATCAATTAATCGAGTATCTATAAAATACGAATTATACCTCGATAACAACATATATACATATACAGTCAAGAGACATTCCAAAATAAATTTTTATACTTGCCCGATTCTTGTACCATGTTATATTCAATAAAAAATAAACGTGTAGAGATCAAGAACTCTATGTGTATGTGTATGTGTATGTGTGGACGTTGGATAAAAGCGAAGGTACCGCATTTTTTGTAAGTGCCTGCTATTTAGTTATATTTTTTGTCTGTCTGAAGAATGTTTTTATTTTTTAATGAATTTTTTGTGTTATAAATCATGTAGTTTCAAAGCTTCGTTCGTTGTGTCACTCTGTCATATAGGCAAGGGTACTTAAGAAACACCCTGTTATTATGCATTAAATCATCCAGCACAAGTCAACTATTCCATGCCATCTTTCATCGCTCACTCTCGCTTATCATTGCAAATCTATTTCTCGATCAATTATTCCACTGAAAAAGTGTATTTATTTTCTGGAATTCGATTTTTTAATGTCAAAAATCACAACGACGTTTTCATAAAACTTTATGTTACAATTTGATAACCATGTATATAAAAATACATTCCAAGTTTCTTTTGAGATAATTCTTATTAGAAACTTATATTTACTCAAATTTTTCTTGACTTTGTGTAATTAGCAAATGAATTTAATTTAGTATATTCAACATGCAAAATCATTCATGACTTTATAAATAAGAAATATCCGATAAACTATATAACAATAATATAGCGCGCGAGTAATGCAGAGGTGATAAGTAGTACTGAATGATTTCACCAAAACTTAAATTTGTTATTTCATGATTCCGGAGTTAGTGGTGCCAGTTAGAATGGTGATCTTTTTAATTATGCAATTTGTTTTGTTACTATTTATGTAAGTGCACGTGTAAGTGCATGACTACTTATGCCGATTTTTGTCCATTTAAATTAATGATTTGTGCGTGTATTCACGCACTGTAAATAAAAAATGTGTATAAGCCAATTATTTAAGATTAGAAATGAATAAAATCTATATTATTGTACCTTCTATTTCTACAAGCGCCTAGTAATTATAAAAAGAATAAAAAAATCATATATGTTCCAACCGTTGCACATGAAATAAGTATTTATTAGAAAGCGGCGTTTATGTGGTCGTAACTGAAATACCACAGCTGAGTAGCCGATGTTTTATTTTGCAGGGATCATGAAAATGAAATAAACTCCAAATAATCTTTAAGTACTAAAAGATAATGTTAAATTTTTTGTGCACAGTTTTCAATAAGAATCGAATTGGCTTATAAGAAAACAAGAACCATATGATTACTATTGAAATGCTTAGATAATACGTAAAAACTGATCGAGTTGAATAAACTGTAGTTTAAATCGTTCATGAATTTTACTATCATATCTAATTATATTTTTAAAACTTTAACTAAAACAATTATGTTTTATTATAAAAATTAAAATTACATATGAAATCGAAACAATATTGATGCACAATATATTTGACCAATTTTTTAAAAAGGTATTGATGAATAATCAGAAAAGTTCAGAATGGTTATTTTACAATCGAAAAAATTGTTACTCCAGTTAGGTAAAAATTTTGAATCTTGATAAAAATATTAAATATCAATAATATACAACCCTTTATAAAAAGGAAAAATTTTTCGACTACTCGGCCAGTAAAATCCAATTGATCCTTAAATATATATACAATTAGTTACAATTATACATTTTATCAATCGTATCTCAGAACAACTGTGAGTGCCAAATTAATAAGAGATGGAACAAAATAAATGAGATTATAACACGCGACTGACATTATAAATTTATCCTGGTTGGATGAAAGGAGCTTTGTAAAAAACGTATTCAAGCATATATGTATCACTGATTTATTAGAAAAGCTAAAAGTTGGGTAGTTTAAATGTTTTTAATTTTATCGTTGAAGAGCAAGAATTTTACGAATTTAGTTGCATAAGTGATATTAGAGCGTACTTTTTAATTGAATCATACGAGTGAAAGTATTTCTCGAAAACTGTGTTACGCGTTTTGCAAAGAAACATTGGCTATTAATGAATGCATACATATTTTTTTATTTTAAAGTCCTAACGCCTATTTAATAATTTTTATAAGTGCGGAAAGTATGTGTGCGCGTATATGATTTAGAATTGAATTATATACAATCGGACCTTCTGAAAGTTCATGGAAAGTAGACTTTTATTGAGATTAGAATACGTTTGTGAACCAAAACTGATATCATCAGCAGTTCCGAAAGCATTTTTCTTTCTTCTAAACTTCTATCGAATTTATATATACATTCCTTTATAACGACGCGTCGTGCACGTTATACTTTGTATCCTTTACCATGAACCACGCATTTTGATAGTTGTCGTCTTGTCATGGTTTATATATAGTTTTTATATTTATAAATATGAATATTTGTAAGATGTTTTAGTTTTAAATTCAATCCATATCATTTCTGAAAGCAAAGTATAATATAATATTCGTATAAAATTATATTGTTCACCACGCGCGAAATATCCGGTGGGATTGTAATGTATTTAGCTTGGGAACGGAGATGTATTTAAGCGTATAACTTTGAACGAACAATAAAAAAATGAGATCGATTTGATAAGGAATTTGTGTAATTTTTTTCAAAAAACATTCGTCGCCCCATACACCAAAAAAGTTCACTTCTTATCTGTAATTGCCAATGATGCGCCTCTAATCGACGAAGACGGCTCTCTATATGCCACGTCTAAAATCGACAGCGTCATTATCGCTGTCAATAATAGGAGTTTCTGGGCAAAAGGTGTGTATACCTATATGTTGTGACCGAGCGCCACGCATGATCGAAGAGATCAAGCGTCGTGACTGTAAACGCTCAAAACTTAAACCTGCCTGAATGACGCCCGTGTGTGTTTAGCAGTAGATATCTTGGCAGACGACGATGCTGAGGTAGCGCATTGCGAGTGTTGAAATTTTCATCATAAGTTTTATTGTTTATTTCTTCAAACGTTGCGATGGCGAAAGGAAAATCATCGAACCAGTCGACCAGCGGTGCCAAAAGTGACAGCGTCTGGGTCAGGGCATTCACCGCTAATTCAGAATGGCCAGATAAGGTATAAACCTAACCTGCCATATTGGTGATTAATTGTCATAAACATTGGGATTATAATAGGGTTTCAGCTACTTTTCTTCCATTAAAAGTTTTTCAACGCCATAACTTCAATTTAGCAAAAGTGATTTTAATTTATAAATATGAAAATAGAAACTTCTTTATTACGAATAATTAGTGCTAACTAAGTGTATGCTAATACGTTTGATAAACGTTTGCCACGTAATTTTGTCAAGGTTTTTATCACATAAAAGTTAAGCCCACTATAATTGAAATGTATCGCCCGTAGTGCAGTTATTTTGATGACAAGCACTAATTTTGACTCGGTGCAGTCACGTGATGCCGGTTCGTGATACGTGCACAATTTTCTTAGGTGCTCCATTTAAATCGCAAATTCAGGGGTTTGCTATTTATAATAGCTGAAAACGACGCGAAAAATCTCATTGATTCTAATTGAATTACCGCATTTCATTACTCGAGAACTGAAACTAAAATTTTTTAATTTACATTTTAGGAGGAGTTTTTAGATGTTATTTACTGGGGAAGGCAGATCATTGGAATCATAATTGGAATTGTGTGGGGATTATTTCCTCTAAGAGGATTTTTGGGCTTGTTTTTGTAAGTCAACAGTTTCTTGTGATTCATCAGCAATATTCAGAAATGTTATTAATCAACTTTCTATTATAAAACAGGTTTGCAATTGTTAATGCTGGTAGTTTATATGTATACTTTAATAGTTTTCAACAAGTAGATGAAGAAGAATATGGCGGTGCATGGGAACTTACTAAGGAAGGTTTCATGACATCGTTTGCAGCATTTTTAGTCACATGGATTATAATATACTCAGGACTGCATTTTGGCTAAAAAGTGTTTCATATTCAGTTGAAATTGTGAAAATGTGCAAAAGAATGTTTCCAGCAATTGTTCAATGAGAACTATGTGACATTCCTTTATATAATTATATTATATACATAAGAATAAGTTATTTTAAGCTTTATATGTACGTACAAAAAAATATATTTGTCAACTGAGTACTGGTAATGTACACAGTCTAAATCATCACAAAAACTTGTATAAAATTACTAGCCCACCATTGTTCGCTTCCTACCTCTAGCTTTCACATCTTCATACTTGGCTATAATTTCTTTTAAACGGGAATTATTTTTAAATTGTTTTTGATAACTACGATATATAATCTTGAATAAATCTGGTAATTCTGCATGAGCACTGCTCAATGATCTTTCCAAAACATATAAATCAACAGCAGCATCTTCTGAAGTAGACTCAGTTTTGGCTAAACCAAAATCTATAGCAATAAATTGATCTGAAACTAAGTGAAGTGTAAAAATAAAATTAATTTCTAGAATATAAATTAAATCTATGAAAAAAATTGGTAAATTTACCATCACTAAAGGGTTGAGATGTTAATAATTTGTGTGAATCTTTCAATAGAATATTGGATGTTGTTAAATCTCCATGAACAATACATACTGCATGTAATTGAGCCACCACTTTTCCTAATGCACTTGCAATATTTTCTATCAAATCCTTTACATCATTTTTTTTAGAAATATGTTCATCAATGAAAGCTTTCAATGTGGTAGAATTTTCAATATATTCCATAAAAATACTTCTGCGATTATAATCAACTAAATAAATAGTTGGTGTAGCAACACCTGAAAGAAAATAATATTATTATCTAAATTCTTATATGTATTAAACAAGCAGAAGTAAATATTTTTAGTCTAAAATTTTATAATAGATATGAATTATATTTTACCTGCAGATTTTGCTTTTACAAGAGCTCGAGCCTCTGCCTTGATTCTTTCTTTAGTTAGTCTGGTATCTAAAGTTGGATGTCTGTATTTTTTTTCAAATCTCTCTTTTATTAATACAGATTTGCCAAGGTAAGTTCCTTTATAAAGTCTTGCTTCTGCCCCTTGAGCAATCAGCGTAGATTCTGGTATTGTGTAAGTCATTGTTTTTCTAATACTAGTATGCCCTGTTAAAAAAATTTATTATAGTAAATGACTTTGAATAATTGTAAAAAATTGACATATAATTGACTTATTATTGTTTTAAATTCCAATTATAAAGGCTCTTTTTTGAATTATACTAAAAGTACTGTGTTAATTTTGCTTTATAATCAATAAATAATATATAATTAAAATAAAATTAAAGAGCATCTACTTTTAGGGTTAGTTATTATTTATTAGATTGTTAATTGCAAATTTGTTTTTATAAAATTTTTTGATTCATTAAAAATATTGGGAAGAGTTTAATTTGGATTCTTTTTTAGATAGATATCTTAGTGTATTTGAAAGAAACTGTCTCAAAATGATTACATGCGTGAAAAAAAATGGCAAATTTCGTTTTAACTATCAAATTGAATTACAAGTACAATTCAATTAAAATAATACGATATAAGTGTAAACATGTTACCCACATACGAAAATATTAAAAGCACGTAAAAATAATTTCTGTACACTTTATCATTGATCAATACACATTGATAATGTGCAACAAGTTTGTATATTTTTCAATTTTTGTTCTAATCATTAATCGTATTCTATTTTCAATATTTATTTCCATTTTCAAGATTGAATACCGAAATATCACGAAAAAATGACCAGAAACTCATCTTACCAACAAATGAAATTGATGAATAACTGTATTTGTTGTTGACACGAGTTTGTACACAAAGAGAAAAATGACAACGTGAGTTCTGCTGTTCGATTTAATAGTAGAAATGTAATCTGATTCTCGAGCAGGCGACACCGCCACCGCGCGAAAATCGGTGACGACGCATGCGCTCCTATTTTACTCCTCTCCTCTCTCTCTCCGGTCTCCTCTCGCGGGCCGCCGACGAACAGCGGAGCAACGAGTGAACGGCTCACTCGCGCGATTCGCGGGCTCGTGCCTCGTGTGTGTGTGTGTGTGCTGCAACACTCCAATGTGTAAGTGCACTATGTCTTACCTGTCTAGCAGCTCGGAGCCTGTTTACGCTCACGTACAGACAGACACACATACCGGAGTGTACTACGGGTCGGGAGGAAGGCGCGCAGCAGCAGCAGCAGCAACACACAATGAAGAACTCGTGCTCGCTGTGCTCGTCGAGAGTTATATTATACCGCGGCTATAGCAGTTGGCGCGTTAGTCTGTGCTGCTGACTCTCTCGAGCCTCTCGTGCCTGCGTGATGGGCCAGTGGTAGCGCGCTCGTATACCGGACGAGTTGTATATGCTTTGGCAGATACATACACGTTAAAATATCGTGATTAGATAGATAAATAAAGTATACCTGTGCGCGCCCGATGGCATGTATTAGACGCGTTGCTGCGCTTCGTACGAATACCTCGGAGAGTGCCAAGAGTGCGAGTAGTGTGTGCAGTTGGCCCGATGTTGTTTCGTTGAAAAATTAGAGTTTCCTCGTTGTTGTCGTTGGTAAACGAGCCCACGTACCTCGACTTGTCAAGTGTACCGACAGTATCTCCTCTGCAGGTGCGTTTAAAGAATCATAATATACATCATAACATCCATTTAAATCAGCAGGTGATGTGCTTCTAGCTTATACAATAGTAGACGAAAATTTCGCCAAGTGTCAAATGTCGAGGAGCATTGTGGGTCGTTGCGCGAGTACTACATACCCTATATATACATTAAACGCTATATACCTATGTACATCGTACGACTTGATAAACTCACGCGCTTCGTACACACCGTCGTCGGTGTTGCTGATAGTATACACACGATGTGTAGTGCCTCTCTTATTCAGAGTGAACGTAAGGAGATTCGCGCACGATAATTGCGTGACATTGTCATCATGCGCTGGCCGTTTACAGCGGAATCTTTTATCATTTCAAAAGATTAATATATATCGTCGTTCTCGAGCGGTAATCGTATAAAACAATATGACATAGTCACACAGTCGCAGGTGTTCCAAAGCACGAGCAGCGACAGATATTGCAGACGCCTTTTTTTTGTTTATTTTCCGCGACTGCAGTGCACACGCGCGCGACAACTACACTACAGTAGTCAGTGGCCGCTGTATCATTATTATATCTATATATGCATACTTGCATAGTAGCATAGACTCGACGCGCGATAGAGTGAATAGTATATGTTATATAGCTTGCATAAGTCGCTAATGTGCAGCAGCAGCTCTCCCGCGCTTGTCCGCTATGCTCTGCTCGCCAGCTCGCCGCAGCCAGAAAGAGAGAGAGAGAGAGAACGTGGAAGAACGACGCGAACACAGGCACAAGAATCTCGGCTCCTTTTTACCTTTTCTCTTCTCTTCCTCTTCGTATTTTATATATCGTTTCTCTTTCTTCGTTTTCTTTTCTTTCTCCTATTCTTTCAAGTTCCCCTCTTTTTTTCTCCCAGAGTTCTCGCGCGCGCGCTTATTACCTGTCCGTGTATTTTTCACTTGTGTGCGCGTCTCGCTACAGTTTCGATGAAGCATATACTGCTGTGATTTTACTGCGAGTGTTGGGACCTCGAAAAAAAACGTGTTTATTTTACGTGGAATAATTTTAATATTTGCCGATCTCGTGACTCGTACCAATTTGTGCAATTGTCACTCGATTATCAATGCGCCTCGTGCGCACGTACGTAGTCTCGAAGCGTTTACGCATTTGCGTCAATAAACGTTTTACATGCCAAAAAGAAGAAAAAATTTAAAAAACTCGTCGAGTATCTTCATTCGCCTGCAGAGAATCGAGCGATCGCGTCGAGCTATAAATTGCGAAGAAAAAAGAGAATGTGAAATAACAGGCGAAATACTCGAGTCTCGGTTTTACCGATAATTGCATCGCGCGCTGCTCCTAGAGCTCTCCGCGCGGCGCATTACATATATCGGTATCGGCGCTTTCAATCTGTGTACATACCGTATGCGCGCACACGTGTAATTATTTAAAGCCACGTACATATCTACTTGTATACGTATATACTGCACTATATACATTTTCTGCCGTGTATGTGTATCTCTATACATCGGAGTCAAAGAGCAGCACAACTTTTACTTTTACCGCGAAACTTATTAAATATCGCTCGGCATATTAGCAGTCGATGTTCTGCTTCTTTTTTCTCTCGTATCATTCGAGCTCGACGATCGCTCGGCGATGCATACAGAGCGAGTTTTTCTTTATGAAATACATACTATAATGTTTATTTCGTTCGATTAAGGAAAAACGTTTCCAAGTATCGGACTACGTTGAATAAATGCCAAGGCTCGAGTGGATTTTATATGTTCACCTCTTTTTGTCTCCCTCTCGTCGGGTCGCTGCGCGCTGCCTGTAATATATACATTATACATGGCAGACAGATATACGGAGCGGGGTCTCGAGAGTCTACTACTAGCTAGGAGCTATCTTGCCGAGCTTGGTGAAAGGAAGACCAGAAAATGAAAAATGTAAGGAAAAAAAACCAACGACATAAAATAAAACACGTCCGAGTGAATTTTTCGGAGTCGGCGTTCTGGCCTCGTTCGTGTTTATACAAATACAGTTAGAAGTCGCGGCCGCTCCCCACTCTACTTCGCAGCTCGCGTCTCGTCGTCGTTGTGTGTGTGTGTATGTGTATTTAAAATACAGTCATTTTTTGCTTCAACGAACGCGCTACACATATCGCACTCGCGCGGCAAAGGTGTCGAAGAGAAGCACGTCTTAATTGGCCTTTAAACTTCTTTTTTTTACGCGCATGTGCGCGACAAAGTGTCGAGAATAGCAGCAGCAGCATTAGCAACACAATCTCTATACGTAACGAAGTATGAAACGAGCTTGAAGCTGTCTCGATACTTGATTTTCATAAACAAGTATGCAATATTGTAATTGCTCACTCGTGTCGGTGTCGGTGTCAGCGGCGGGGCTCGATAACGCCTCTCTTCTCTAGAATTTATTGCGGCTCCGTTGCGAACTAGATTAATTTTCCGCGCGCATCTTTGTGAGATGTATCTCGCGTGTGGGAGTCTCGAGAGCCTCGCGGCTATATAATCGGAAAGTTTTATTATATATGGACGTGCGGGAAATCATCTAATGTACACGCGTATATAACACCGCTTAAAACGAGGAATACATTACGGAGTTTGTGAAACTTTTTTTTTATGTACATTAAAAACTGACCGAGATTTTACACGCTTTGGCGCTCGTCTAGAATCGCTATGGTACATATAATGCAGCATTTGTAAGATAATCGTTATGATGCTTGAATTTTTCCTGACTTTCAGTGCATGAATAGGAAATTTATATTGTTGATTTTCCGTGTCGGCTTCGTTTTTTTTTTTTTTTTGCTTCTAAGCTCTTCGCAGTATCGACGAAACGAACGCGTAGAACTCGCTGTCATTGCGCGCGCGGCGCATGCATAAAACAATAACAAACTGCACTATCATCGACTGAATCACCCACATAATTTTTCTGAGAATGGCGACGCGTGAGGCTCCTTATCAACAAGGATTTTTTTCTGTTTTGTTCCTCGAGTGCGTTGACAGAAGGAGTCATATGACGACAAAATTTTATGTTTTAAAATTCGATCCACGCGCAGAAGTGCGACTTACGCGTACATATATAAGTATAGGAAGTGCAGCAGAGCACGTTATACATATATTATATACACACAGTCCGAGTATATGTACGTATGATGAGTATAATGTATACAAAAGCGTCTACGACTTCACGTGTGTGCACACACATACCTGCCCGAGAAGAGAAGTTCCGGCACTTTTAAGGCTTTCGAGTGCGTCAGCTACTTTAGTGTACGACGCGCCAGCTGCAGCGGCACCAGATGAACGAGGTACACAAAAGTCGCCGGTAATCCTCGCGCGCGCGTGTCTATGACATTTTAAATTTACGCGGATTACCTGTCAGACGATATGTATTGTAGCTCCGCGCGCGGCTCAATACACACAGACAACACAGACACACAGTGCACAATGTGGAGATAATGAAATACGTACCGCATTGCCGATGCAATGCAGGAAACTCGACAATTCGAACCCAAGCGATCGATGAGAATTATAAATTTAAACTTTTTTTACAACTCGATGCGGTACAATAAAAGTGTCCCAGTGCAGCAGCAGCAGCACTCGATCATCGGTTCGAGTGAAAATTCGACGCGGCAGCTTTTATGGCGTTTGGTTCCTGGCGTTTGCGTGCGGCGCACCGAGCTGTTATTCTCTCCCTTTTCCGGGCATAAAATAACGTAATTGCATCTGAAACGATTATTGTTTACTCTAATGGATTTTATTTTTTACTTTGTTGCAATTTCGCCGATAATGGACGACAAATTCGGTGACAATTGGACTGTACAAAAAAAATTTAACGACAGCTTTACATAAGTCATCCTCGCTGCAATATTTCATATACGTCGATGACTGCTTCGAAGATCGCCAAGCGCTCGGATGTTTCACTTAGGTGCGCGTAAAACGGTGTAGACACCCCCGCGATTTCTCTCTCTCTCTCTCTCTCAGCTCGTAAATTCAGAAAGCAAGACGCGATGAGCGTCGTCGCATGAGACTCGCGAGCTGCACGTCACAGATGAAAAAACCCGAGCATGAAAAAGTAAAAAAAAAAAAAAAAGAGAAGAAAACAACGGTGACTGTGTGAAGATGACTGCCGACAAGGAGTTTCCGGCTGTTATTGTCGTACAATTCAAGATGTTTAGGAGAAAATTGCAGATGCTGATATAGTCGAAGAGAGCGCGTAGCGGCGTCACCGATCCGCGCACAAAGTTTTTACTATACTCGCATACTCGCAAACGAGAAAAGCTCTAGAAAGCATACGAATTTGTCAGTTGGCTCGAAAAATCATAATTAACGGGAGACAGCTGTTTTTTGTTTTTGCGGGTTTTCAACTCGATATAATATGATTTCAGAATAAACGTGACTGTTGAATTAATGGTTTATTGAATTATTATACAATTATAATTTACGAGGGTAACATTACACGATACGAGTATCAATTCAAGCTAAACATATACATAATTTTTATTTTGTACGACATAATGACGTGGGGATAAATTAATTACAAAAATGAAGTCTAAACATTAACAAGCAACGTATAGAATTTTTCCCACCTCAATAACGTTCGTAAACAACTTTTATATAACAAAAAGAATCATCAATTTTCTTACAACCAACGATTAAGAACATCAACACTATTACACGTTAATACATTAATATTAAATTTGACCTTTCATCTTTAAATGATGTACAATATTTTTATTCAAAATTACATGTTAGTACCAAAACAGCCTTACACATGTACAAAAAAAGGATTTCAAGTGCACTTGACGACACATATTCTTATCATTTATGAGTAAATTTTTTTTTAACATTACGTTTATATGTATAATATTTATATATCAAAAAGAAACCTATACATTTTTTGTTATATCGGTGACAATTTTGCGGAAAAACACATTTTTCCGTGAAATTTTTTCAACCGAGCTCGGCGAGCACCGAGTCCAGGTCTTGCTTCAGCGTGGCGACTTCCGCGCGCTGCTTCACCAGATCGTCCCTCAAATTGTCGAAGTGGGTCTGCAGCTTGAAGTTGCCCTTCTTCACCACGGTGTATCTGCCCTCGAACTTGTTGATGTTGTGCTGCAACAGGGCCTTCCTCTCGTCGAGCGGCAACGACTCGTCGTCCGTGTCTGACTCGTCCTCGTCCTCGGATTCCTCGGATTCGCTTTCTTCGGATTCAGTCTTTTCTTCCTCTTCCTCCTCCTCCTCCTCCTCCTCGTCCGAGTCGCCCTCGTAATCTGGATCCATGAGTCTGGCCATTTTGTCGACTTCTTTGTGCAAGTTTTTGTACTTCTTCTTCTCCTCGTCCAGCATCTTTTCCTGCTCCTTTATTTGCTTACGCAGCAGTTGCCTCTCTTTGTTCGAGTGGTCGATTTTGTCTCTGAAATTTTTGATTTTGTTCTTCATCTTCTCGATTTCGCGCTGGTTGCGCTTGTCCTCGACGACCTTGGGGTCCTCGTCCTCCTCGCTCTCTTCCTCGGACTCCGTTTCCTCTTCCTCCTCTTCGGACTCGGGCTCGGCGGCGCGTTCGATGCTCTTCTGCGTGGCGATCCTGGCCACGTCTTTGGCGCTCGGGCATCCCGCCAAGGCCATGCCGGCCTTCATGCGTTTTTCCAGACTCGCGTAGGCGCGCTTCATTTCCTCCAACTCGCTCAGAGCTTTGTCTCTCGCCTCGGCTACCACGGCGAAATCCTGCTCTATCCTCTCCACCTCCTTTCTCGCGAGCTCGGCCTCCTTTTTCAGCGCGTCTTTGAGTTTTTCGTCGTGTTCCGAGACCTGATTTCCAGTACTCTTCTCGGCGGTCCTCTCGCGCTCCAGCTCCACCTCCAGATTCAATATCCTCGCTTGCAATCTCTTGTTTTCTCTTTCCAAGGCTGCCTTGTTCCTCATCTCTGACTCGAGCAGCTGTTTGTGACTCTGCAGCTCGTCGCGCACCTTATCGATGTCATCCATATCGTCGGCGATGGGCTCCGCTTCGCTGACCTTCGAGTCGACCTTTTGCATCTGATCCTCGATGGTCAGCTGTCTGCGCAGTCCTTTTTGCAGGCCCTGCAGAATGGGCTTGGATCTGTCGTTGGTCTTGACGCTCTTCAGCTTGACGCCCGACTGGATTTCTTGCAGTAGCTTATTGTGAACGTTCGACTTTTCCGAGGCGAAGACGAAGTGCGCGTCGCCGGTCGGCTCCGAGACTTTGGCCAGGGCCCGATCGATGATCGGGGCACTTCTGTCGTTGCACTGGACGTGCTTGAGCTTGATTCCGGTCTCGACCTCCTTCATCATGCACGACCAGTCCGGACGCTTTTTCGGTCTGGACTTCAAGGCCTCGAGATTTTTCTTCTGCGTCTCCGTCAAGGGTGGCAAGTCTTTGAGGACTATTCTGGCCGGGGGTGGCGGAGGTGGCCTCGGTGGCAGTGGCGGTGGCGCGATCATGTTGGCCCTGGACTCGCTTCTCTTGAGCGTGGGCGCCTCGCTCTGGGCGGCGACGCTGCTGCTGTCGCTCCTCGACAGGGGCGACGGCTCGCCCCTCGATCTCGAGCGCTCGAGGCGACCGCGCGAATTCGAGCTCGATCTCGACGACGAGCCGTTCTCGCGCGATCTTAGAGAAGAAGGCGACGGCGACTGTGACGGCGATTTCGACGGCGACTGCGCCGATTGCAACGTCGAAGATTGCGACGACGCTGTGCTCTGTGGGCTCGGACTCTTCTTGGATTGAGACATGTTGATGGTGATCTTGCTTACTTTGGGCTCGGGCGTCGGCGGCGTGCTCGGAGTCGACGCCTCTGGCGCCAGATCGGCTGGCTTGGGCACGCTCTTCAGTCGTACTTTCATAAATGCTGGCGCGTCGTCCGTGGAGGTGCGCGACTCGCGACGCTGATTCAGGGCCCACGGCGCGGTGGGCATCGGTATCGGGGGTGGTCCGTCCTTGGCCCAGGGCAATTTACTGCCGAAGGTCCGTTGAGGACCGTTGCTGCCCCCTGGTCCAGGCATGTTTCAGGTCCCAGGAAAAATCTCGTCTTTTGCTGTGGTTGTTGTTGTTGGTAGTCGATAACTCTCAACACACGATTGCGAGGCAATTATTTTTCTGAAAATGGTTTTTTTCTCGTATTACTTATAAATAAATAATAATTAAGTTTTTCGCGCATCTTACGTCGCGCTAAACGAGCTCGTCGTACGCTTTGTAATGTCATCGTAAAAATTATAAAATGCAAGAATCAAAGAAACGTACGAATTGACGGTCAAATCGCGCAAAATAAAATTAGGCCGCGAATAACATAATAACTAAAAATAATACACCGTCGTCCCCCTCATTTCATCAATCTATTTTTCTTCTCTTTCTCAATATCGCAGCGAGAGTAATGGAAAAAGAAAGAAAGAAAGAAGGAAGAAAGAAAGAAAGAAAAAATGAAAAAAAAAGAACAAAAATTATAAACTTACCCATAATTTTTGATGGAGTAAAACTGCGAATCTCCTCTCGATCTAGTACTGCGACTGAATCGTCTTGCGATGAGCTTTGGCCGAAAAAGCTCCGACGGTAAATATAAGTAGAGAGCTTCTCGATACTCAACGATGACAATTTCAATCCAATGATTCAGGTGTAAATAATAATCCGATCGATTCACGCTACTACTGTGTATGTTATGTAGGTTACTGCGCGTAGATTTTCGCTGCAGCCTATATACGAGCGAATTACTTTCCACTCGCGCAAAACAATCGAGAAGATTCTTCAAATCATTGAACGAGGGCGCACTGATCGCGTTGGTGTGCGTGTGTATCAGCGCAAAATGCGTAAAAAACTTCACGATCCGCTCATCTCACACTCTCGCACAGCTGTATTATGACACTTTATTTTTGTACTTGTTTATTTAAACAAAAAAAAAAGCTTCAACACTCTGCATTCGAGTTTCGATCGCCAGTATAGCTTATAACACTCGGAACAAACTGCCGTGGATTCACCCAGAACTGTGTTGCACACTTTTTTCAAAAATATTTATAAAAATTCGCTCGAATTACAATTGCTCTATACAGAGCTTTCGGTATAGAAATTCGACGCGCTCCTGTTTCGCGACTGCAGTTTTCCACCTCGCGCGTTGCACGAAGCTTTGACGCGCAATTACACACGCACCAAAAGAATGAAAAAAGAAGGAGAGCAGAAGGCGCGCACGACGATGATTTGCGGTCGGAAGCGCGAATGGCGCGTTACGAGAGGTACGGTTACCCACTGGAAAGCTCCGAAAAGCACATCGGTAGCAGCGGCAGAGGCGGCTAGCAAGAGCGGCGGCGACGGCGGCAACGGCGGCAATGCCAACAAGAATATACGAAGTACAGAGGTCTGGGGAGAGGTGCAAGTTATTTTTGGGGTTTTGCCTCTGCGAGTGACGTCACGTGTCGCAAGCACGGAAATAGCGTTGCGCTCGCGCGCGCGTTATGTCTTATATATTTTCTCTCTCTCTCTCTCTCTCTTCTTCTTTTCCTTTACTTCTTGTATCTTATTCTCATTCTTGCAGTTCCGCGCTAGAACAAGAAGATGCTTTCTGATGCTTATCCAAGAAAATGTCCGTCTCTTCTTCCTCCTATATCTCTGTCTTGTGCGCTTGCATTACGCGCGCGCACCGCACACCGCTAGCTCTTCGATGCGCCAAGCCGGAAGCCAGAAAAAAAATTATATTATTAACGAAAAGTCATCTTCTAATTAGACGCATGGATGTAGAGAATTTGGCTAGTTTACTTACGTTGTGCGCGTGGGCGTACGTAATATTTATATACAAAAACTACAAAAGTGTTTTGGAGTGACTTTTAAAACCGCTCGCGGAAGAGTGAGCCCTTTTTAAACGAGAGACGCTCATGGTATAGCCGATGCAGCGCTTCTTTGTCTTATCGGAATACTCGTGCGCCACTCTCGGTCGAAGACTTCTGTTTTATTTATTTGTTTATTTATCTCTTTCTTTTTTTGTCTCGTCCCCCCCAACAACCATAACGTGTATGTAATATGAAAAATTTCTCACCGTATGCCGCGCGCTGATTATTATTTGTGCAGTTGGCGCGGATTTAATTGCATTTCTACTTATTCTTAAAGCTGCGCGCGAGACTAGCTGTAAGACCGGAATTTATTTAGTTGGCACTACTCGCGCTGCTCTCCTCGCGCTCGCGCGTATTATGGTAGTAGCGAGCGACTTAGTAGTATAGTAACAGCGGCAGTTAGAAGTGCAGCATACTCTCGCGCGGTATAGGCTTATAACTTTCTCTGCGCCGAGCTCTCCTTTCGATCGGTACTCGCGATTTATACTTTTGCATCGAGATCGGGAAGCGGCAGCGGTGCAGCTGCTACATTCGAAGAAATGCATTTATTGCGAATGTTCGCCGGTGTATTATAGCAGGATTGATTTATAAAGTGCAAAGCTCGTCATTAATATATATTATACGGTGCATTTTAGAAAGTCGGAACACAATGGAGAGGTATATTGTAAGCTTTTCGCGATAGCCGCTCGGTGTGTTAGCGATCATTGCGGCGAGCATACATAACGGACAGGCTGTGTAATTAAAATAATAATGGATTATTAATCTAAAGTAAATCGTAAACTCCGAAATTGCCTATTTTGAGTCGATTGTAATGCAAAAAAAAATATATAATAATAACGAAGAAGCATGGGCATTGGTAAATCCCTCATGCCATTGGATTGAGCTCCTATATCTATGATGTCCGTTTACACTCGTATTTTCTAGGTGCACGTAATCACTGTAACGCTCGTATCTCTTCTATACGCGCGTGCACATAGGCCCGCATGGTACACGGTATAGCGCGCGAGGAGAATCGTTGCATTGTATTCTAATGTAAACAGCGCATGTGTGCATCTGTACTTCTGCGCTCGCGCGCGTAACCGTTTGATTTCGCAATTTTTTTGTAACAGCAACGAATTCGCACTGTTTAAATTACTTACATTAAAATTGATGTATAATTGGAGGATGCGCCTTTTTTTATCATTTATTAACAGGCAACACATACATGTACAGAACTTTGCCTTGACTTGTACAATTATGTTGACTTTGTCACTTGCATATTTACATACAATGACACTCGCCATCTAGTGGTAAAGACTGGCTTTAATGATGATTGAATTTTCGTAAATTTTGTCAGCTAATTGACGCGAAAATCAAATCAGTTTTAAAACGTTAATTTTCAATCAAAATGTTGAAACATTGAAAAACAAATTAGTACAGATACAAACATTTTCAACTAAAATTTCATGTAAAAGTAATTTAAATAAACTTCGGTATCTGTTACTTTAATGTCTGATTTTATACTAAAACTGCATTAAATTTAAGCCTTTTTTGAACAGCTGACGTTATATACGCTGTCGCGAAGCCTCGTCGCCGTTAACCATGTCTTTTATTAAAAAAATCTCTACTATACGTAATGACACGCTTCTACCGCGCGATCGCATTAACCGTAAACTTTTCATAAACTTTTGATTATGATAATTAAATAGCACTCGCGTTACGGCGCGCAAGATAGTACAGCTCCTCTAAGCGAGTCTATATTATAACACATGTAAAAGCGCCAGCGCGCGTGTTTTTGTAATGAGCTTTTCTCACGCGTACTAAGACTAAATCATATTTTATAGGCGTAAAGAGCCGTCTCGTTTACGTAATAATGCTCGTTCATCCACGAATTATTATAAATAAATGGCGGATCACCGAGCGATTCTCAACAAAGTTTTTTTATATTTTTGCGAAAAACGGTATATCGCAATAACGATTGCGAGAGTGTATTACCGTTCGGGTCTCGGCAAATCTTCGTGTTCGCGTGTATATATCAGAAAATACGATTCAAAAGCCTTACTTTGGAATAAATCTCTAAAATAGAAATAATGATTGATGCCCGACTCGGTGGCTCTTTTTTTTATTTATTACCACGCGAAATCGAGACACGTATTCAATCCCAACACGCATCGATCGTACGACGTTTTGTGTATACATCGTGGATCATGATATTTTGTCTATTACGTATCCGTAATAAATATCACTTGTCGCTTTTTTTGGCACTATCTCGTATATCTACGCGCGGTGTTACCGTAAAATAAGCGGCATTTTTGATAAACGCCTGCAGTATCCTGGCATCGACGAGTTTGCATCAACCGATCGACACTCCGTTCACAAAAAAAGCCGCGGGGCATCCTCGTGATAGCATAATATTGCGTGTGCTGAATAGCATGCCGAATCCGGCCCTCGCAAGCTGCAACGTGTGCGACCTTTTTTCCGCGGCGCAAACAATGAAAATGACTGGCTCATCCCGCGATCGGACGATCAACAAAACAGAAAAGAAAAGAAAGGAAAAAGTAAAAGCCGCGTGCGTACATGGTACATGCATTGTAGCCCACGGCATATTTATACGTAATAATAAATCGTTTCGTCATCCCCGCGCCGATCGTCGTATTTTTTCTCACCTACGCGCGTATACATGCGGTACACGCTTCGTCATAATAAAATAATCGCTCGATATCATCTCTGCGGTGCTTTTCTGTGCGCGCAGAGAAACAATAAGGATCTCGTCGTGGAGCAGAAAACAATAAGGACAGCCACGACGACGAGTCAATCGTTGAATTAATACAAACTCCGTGAAAAAAAATGTCTGTACGCATCGAGCGAACGAACGTGTGCGCGCGACAGCGGCGATTCTTCGCGTACTCGCGGTGTTGCATTCCTGCGTGTATCATAGGCACATGTAAGGAATACCATGCATATACGTAGTATGGCAAACGAACAAAGACTTTATGGGAAAGGCACATACATACACGTATACTGCTATATGCAGAACCGCGAGCTCGAGCGAAAGAAGTAATCGGCATATCTCCCTCCCTAGTCTCTACTATCTCGTAGTCTCGCTCACACGTTTAAGCTATGCACCTATATACACACACGAGGAGTTGAGGGCATCCTGCATGGCCTGCAGTAGTAGTAGATAGGTATATAGCGGCTGCAGGCCACTGCCACGCGCGGCATGACTCTTTGCGCCTGCGAGCTACTTGGCGCGACCGCAGCCTCTATCTCTCGCGGGCATCGTTCGCAAGATCCATTCGAGCAACGACGGAGACTCGGCTTGTAGGATTTACCTGTATTATGCACATAGAATCATGTATAAACCGCGTGGATGAGAGACAGAGAAAAATAATATAATTTATATACTTGACACGGTGCATTAGTATATATTATGTGTTGTATCGATGCATTATAGTAACAGCCAGTACGATATATAGTATCTCGTTCCGAGGACGAGGATTAAATTTATCACATTAGACGCGTGACCTTTGGAAAACTCGAGAGAATTATATCAATGAAAAACAGAATATGTAGCGAGGTCATTATCTGTCTCTTGCTTATATAGTTATTTATATATAATATCTTAACGCGCAGCATAGGATTGGTATTACAAAAAAGTATACATAAGTAAAAGGATCTGGTGTTTATATGTGTTGCAGAGGCTGAGTCACGACGACGACGACGACGACGACGACGACAGTGGCATACATAACCGTTACAAAGAGTACTCAGTAGGAGAAGGTGTATGTGTGTGTGAATGAGTGAGTGAGTGAGCAAACCCGTCCGTGTACATGTATGCACGTATGAGTGCTTATCGCGTGGAGGAGGTAAAAAGGATCAGTGGACAGCAGCAGCAGCAGCAGCCGAGGAGGACACCGTGTACATAAGTGGAGTCTCGGCCTGGTAGTAGTCGTAGTAGCAGCAGTAAAGAGGTGGTGGATGGTGTGAGGCTGAGGCAGGTCGCGCGCAAACGACGACGAGGCGAACGATGGTGAGCTCACGCTCGCCTCACGATTTCATGCCGGCAGCAGCGCAACAGCAGCCCACATCGACGTCGAGCGTCGAGTCCTCCTCCTCCTCCTCCTCCGCTCTGCAGCTAACGACCAACAACAGTGTCGATTCGACCTCCTTCGACAATGGCAATTTGGATGGCCAGCGGAATGTGTAAGTTGCTTTTTAGATTTTTTTTTTTTTTCGAATATCTGTTCGCCTCGTTACACGCTCGGATTGTGCATACATTGAGTGTTATTATCTACGCGCGAGAGTTGCCGTTACACACTGTTTGCAAATGAATATTCCAACTCGGATCGTTGCGCGATGAAAATTTATTATTAAATAATACACGAGTAGCGAATACATCCAAAATTTGTACCGATTAGTAATACCATACCGATGTTTTACGCCGTTACCGCGAATTCATAAATTCAAATATTTTCTCACGCATTGTTGTGTGTATACCGCAGGTTTTGTTATCCTCGATATCTCTCGAGCTCGTTGGCTCCCCGGCGCGCAATTACTGCCGAGTATGTGGCAATAAAAAAAAAAGGCTGAATGAGCCGCGTGCTCGGCATATATTGCATTATACATGCGTACTACCGCGAGAACGCAAGGTTCGTCTTTTTGTTTTTTCCTGTGCGTGCGTGTGGCTTTTCAAAAGGGGCGTTCGCGCACTACGGCCTTTTGAATCGGTCGTCGCCGAGCGCGGCCCGCGGCTACTATATACCTTCTCCCGCGTGACTCCTCTTCTTGCGGTTCTTTCGACCACGCGGGTCTATATACGTGCATATATTATGGCTTTTGTGTAAAATAACGCGCGAGAACTGCACACCACATTTTTGCGAGTTTTCGAGGTGTCCTGTATATAAGTACGTCGCTCGATTCACGTATAGTTGCTCCCACTCTGTTGTTGTTATTGCTGTTATTTTTTTTTTATTTTCTCGTTTTTACAAGGTCTATATCGGTAAAGTTTTCAGATGTATACTTTTCTAACGAGTGAAAAACTCGCGAGCCATCCGGATGAGAATTACGACGAACAACTATTGCATACTCTCTGCCAAAATAAATATAGTTCTCTCGTGTGTGTGGGTGGGTATGTATGTTCCGTGTGTTTGCTGTGTAAGGCGTAACAGCTTATGCATTATAACAACGAAAGCAAGTCATGCGACGATACATATAGAGACGTTCTTGTATGTATGTGTGTGGTATATAACGTCGAAACGTCACCTCGAAAACTATCATAATTTCATAAGAGTGTCTATAGCCTCGTGCGCGCGACTGCACTACTCAATACGACTTACGTCATATATAAAACGAACTTTATACCTGTACCTATATGCTATGGACATACATATCGCTCGATCCATAATTTCGTTCGTTCTTATATATGCTCGTCGTACAGTTCGTCGACGTGGGGCATAACGCACAGCGAGCCCAGTTCACTGAACGCAGCCCCGGACTCGAGCAGCAGCAGCGGCAGCAGCGTCAGCACGACGACGGCCACGACCAATGAGCAGAGAAATCAGCGAATCCGCACCAACGTAGTGCAGGTGGGCAATCTCGCGGCCGACGACGAGGAGCGCTTCGAGGCTTTCGGCGATGCCGTCGACGCGATAGAGGCCGACTCGCCGCAGGGTAGCGAATCGCCCGCCGCGTCGCCGGTCGCCGGTGCCTTCAGCAGCAGCAACAACAGGTCTGTCATTATATACGTCCGTCTGCCTATGTGTGTCTGTATGTTAGTAAGGTCGCCCATGATGTGAGGCGTAGTGGATTATAATAACTTGGGAAACCTTACTCAACTATTTTCATATTTTGGTCTCTTATAATGTATTGTAAATGTAGGTCGCGTAAATTAGGGTTCACTTCTGGTTTCTTTTCTCATTTCTCTATCTCTCTCTCGCGCACGTTGTATTTATAGGTGTGTGGATCTTTGGCTTTTAAACAGCCAGCAAAACTTATATAAAAAAGTGTCAGCTCTCGCGACTCGGATTTTGTATACAGAACGTTAAAAACGAAAATAAAACTTCATTTTCTCTCTCTCTCTCTCTCTAAAGCAGCCACGGTGATTCTCTATCGTGCTCCAGAGCTGCGAGACAATTATTTATAGTGTATAATTCTCTTTCCACGATGATATAGATATTTGTATAACATGTACACTCCTCTCTGCGCAATTAAAACGCAATTACTTACTGCTGCTTATAATTTTTGCGCATAATATAAGAAACGCGTCGTTGTTTCGCTTGTTTTTCAACGCAAGGCTCGTTCGTAAGGAGGGGATTATAACTTACCACGATAATTATTCATCGCTCGTCAACTATTTTTAATTCCTATTTTTCTATTCGCTCTCTTTTTTCGAAAAATTAGCTCGCGATATCATATTATGAGGCTCGACTTGACTCGTGTGCTCTAATGTTTTTATTTTTCTCACTCTCTGGTGCAGAGTTTGTGGTATTATATGAACGACGTAAACAAAATCGTCAAACGGAAACTTTTTAATCTTCTTTTCGTTTTTTTTTTTTTGCAGAAATCCGCGGAGTCCGAACTCAATGCTACTGAACAGAAACACGTGGCTCAGAACTTCGCTCGGACGCGGGCCAGCTGCGTAAGTTTACACACGTACTATCATACACATATTCATATGATCATATATATGAAACAGATATATTATGCATATTTTGTGTGTAAGCACGTTGAAAATCGTCCCCGCGAGTTAAAGCAATAACTCAGCGCCTCTCGTGTAACTATGTGTGCATGCCAAAATGAAGAATACACACTATGTATACTATACCGATTATTTATACGTATTAACTGTGCGTCTTCTTTTTCTCACGCAGTGCTAGCAGGAAGCGGCTGAGTTCCAATGCCTTAGCTAGGTAAGAGCACACAATGTTAATATATCTTTATACAGCACCTTTTCGACGTTTTGTTTCGACGTTATAATGACGAGTTCGTGGCTGGATCCGAAAGAGCCGAGAGAGAAAAAAATTGCGTGCACATAATGTATCGTCGTACTTGCTCTCTCGAGGTACTCTACTCGAAGCTTTTTTTCTCTCTAAATCTACACGGTACACGCCTGTACATTAGCGCGAGTGCACCGCGAGGCTAAAAACTACAACGTACCGTTTTTTACATTGCTTTTTCTCTCTCCCGAGACAGAGAGCAACGAGCGAGTGTCGTGTAATTGTTGTTTTACCGTTTCTCAAAAGTTACACTCCGTGGCGAATTGTCATCGTTCTATCAGCATCTCTTATGTACGCTTTAACTTGGCGAAAACCAGCGTGTATAATATACTTTTACGATTTACGATGTGCTGTATATAAAAATTTAATCTCGCTAAAAGGAGACGCCCACGAATGATATCGAGAATTGAAAAAAAAAATGAAAGCTCTCTGTACGCTATACATCGGTTCTACGCTATACGCAACGACTCCACTGTTTGTTGCAGACGCGCACCGGAAAGCTCGCATATTGCAATAGTCGCGCGCGCGCGAATCATCGTGTCGTATCGATAATACATTATACGCGATGCGCACACACACACGCTGTATCCGCGTTGAATTACGCGAGAATCTATACGTCCGTCGCGATTGGTTTCGCGTTTTATATATCTCCGATGTATAATGTTATAATAATCTAACGCGTCCGGTGTTTCTTTTTCAGTCAATTATACAGAAGCAGCAGCTTCAACAGTTCGGGCAGGGGATCGATTTGCGACGCGGCCGACGACGTATACAGCGACGTCTCCCTCGAGGACGATGTCATCGACCTGAATCACCGAGTAAGTTTTTCTTTCCTCACGCCATATACGCGGCGCTGGACTTTCAAATAAATATAAGAGAGAACAAAAAAAAAAGATAATATGCATGCGTGCAAGTACGTGAGAAAATTTTTCGCACCAGCGTGACAAATATACAATAAAATGTTACATGTATAATATGAGTTTACGTCGCATCGAGGTTGCTTGTAACATTACTAGGTATAATGTGCTCTCGATATGCGGTATGGTTTTTTTTTCTTCCATGTTGCGCAAGACCTCGTGCACCGTCTTTGCGGCGCACATTGCAGCTCGTGAGCATGTTATGCGCGCATCGAAGACAAGAAGGGCCTACACTCGGTTTTTCCTCGACATCGATCGTGCCCTGCGCCGAAAGTTGCAAAAAAAAAAATAAAAAATAAAACTACATCGTTAGTAGTCTATCCGAGAAATGCGCCAAAAATTCGCTCGATCGAGTCTACGGCGAAGAGAGAAAAGTTTCAGCGCACGATAATCTCGAGCTGGCATAGCGCATCGGGTGTCTATGTAGAAAATCTTCCTCGCATTTTTTCGGACTCGCGCGCGCGCGAAGTCGAAAAAGCAGAATGGTAGTGTAGCGAGCATACATATAAACATTTGCAACTTTCTCTCGGAGCGCGAGTCATGCAGAATACAATCGACCAACGCGTATATATGCAGGCGCATAAAAACCAATATGTATATAAACACGGTATGCGCGATAATGCGCCAAAGTAGCGAGTTTTCACATTAAATTCTCTATCGGCTTTTCACCATTTGACGCATCGAGAGAGGGGGGAAAGTAAATGAAGAAAAAAATAAATAAATAAAAAGGAAGAAGCTGCTAGAAATCGTCTTTCGCTCGGTTGCTGTTTGCTGCATAAATAAGACTCGTCGCGTGTGACTTTATATTAAACCGAGGGTGACGATCGCAGTCATTTACCTCTCTCTCTCTCGCGCAAGAAAGAGAATGAGCCAAAAAGTGAGAAAAGCAATTTGGAGATATACGATAGTTTATTTTCGGCCTTGCCGCGCGTACGCTCGAGTGCTCGATTTTTCACGCGCAAATAATATAATATCGCGAATGAATGGAGAATTTTTTGTATTTCTTTTATACCCCTTCTCATTCTCTGTCTTTGTCGTTGAGCAAATCGATTTGTTGATACATTTACGTGGATTAGGAAAGAACGTCGAGGCGGTTCGTTCATTTTTTTTACGCCCGATGGCATATTCTAATCGGCGATCGGCGCGGGTGCAGCCGTGCAATAAATCATGCAAAACTTCGTTCGTACAATACGTAGGTACGTGTGCACCTCGTGTGCTTTTGATCGTGTGCGCACGGCAAAGTATAGCGTAATTTTTATTTTTTTTGCCTTCCGCGAATTTACGTCACGCATGAGTATGTTGTGCAATGAAATGTATAGAGGTACGGTCGGAAAAACTTTTGGTCGTTTACATCGGGTCTATACGGCGAAAAATCGATCGTGTGTCGTGTGTACGCGCGCGTGTATATACTGTTGCGAATCGGCGCTCGCTTGTCGATTCGGAGACGCCGCGAACTATAACCAAAAAAAACCCAACAACGATGAAAATATGAGTTCGTCAAACCCACTTTTCGGCCCAACATCTCCAAATTTATCCGTTTACTAAATTTCCAAGTGTAAAATTATTCCAAAATAAGTCAAAAAAAGTAAATTACCCGGCTTCATGAAAAACGTCGTCGAAAAAGTTTAACAAAAAAGGAAAATAGTAACGTGTACAATAAAATTACCCTTGGTCGGACGCGCACAAATTTGCGATAACAACAACAACAACAACAATAACAACGGCGGCAGCGGAAGCAGAACAGGAGCATGGCATGTCCACCGAGGAACGGCATCGTGACGCGCATGATAGTATGGCCGGGCTGGAACTTCTTCCTCTTTCTAATAGTCGCGTCGGTCGTTGGATGGTACGCTTGGGATCACTGGCTCAAGGATATGTTCCAGCGACAGCAGGGTCGTCGCCGCTGAGACCGTCGCGAAAAATGGTTCGTTTCTTCTTGTACCCGTCTCCCATAATCGATGATGTATAATAAATAACGCGAGTTCGCAAAAGGGCTATGAGAGAAAGAGAGAGACGATCGATCGATCTCGCGCTTGCAAAATTGAAGGATCACCGTTGTTGTCTAGTGCCGAGCGAGAGTCTCTCGGCCGCAGTGAATTATTCACAATTACCTACTTAACTCGGAGAAAAGAAAGAGAGAGAGAGATAGAGAGAGAGAGATGACTATTCGGTGTGCTCGGCAGGTGTATACTACAATACACAGAGATAGCGAGCGATCGTTAATGCTAGTAAGTAGGGTAATAGTCGCTGTGCAGTTTTATTGTGATGCATATCAAACTTTCAAACGTCAAAGAGCGAGAGAGAGAAAGAGAGGGAGAGACTACTGGCTTTTCCAAGTTGATGTATAAATAATGTCGGTGCTCGTATACTTTATTGCCTTCATAATTTTCATCCTCGATATCCGCCACAGCGAACTTTTCTTTCTCTTCCTCGACGTCTCGCATATATTTTTTTTTTTTTTTTGATTCATTTGTTTATCAACTTATACGCTAAAATAAAAGTTTTACGCCTCGAGCGACACAAAGCCAAAAAGACCGCGGACGTTTTTCCGCGCGCGCACGCGTAAATCGCCTGTTTACGCGCGCATCTCTTTGACGAATGAAAATATTGACGTAAAATAATAAAAACGTTTTGGCTATAATACGAGAGGGTATCGATTCGAGGAGGAGGCGGCGACGACCGATTTTGGCTCGGGTTCAATGACAGATTTTTTTGTGGTTACTTTCTTTTCATTTTCTTGTTTATCTCGATCGTGGAGCGTACGCGCGCGTGCGTGTAGGCACCTTTTCTTCTTATCCTTGTTATCGAGGGAAAAGGCGCACGAGATCGAAGTAGACCGAGCTGGAGCACACGAGCGCGATATTTTGATAATCTTTGATCTTAGCTGGAATGAAGATTAAAAAAAAATTTATCTTATATCTTTTATCATCGACTGCTCGGCGTTCGATGCAGTAAATGCACTCTATGCTCGGCCAAGCAAGTTTTCGCTTCAGCAGTTACCTTTATTACCAGATGCTCGTTGAACTCCCTTCTTTATCGACATTGTGTTATTTAAAAGGCGATTTAAAAGTCCGCAGTAACAACATCAACTTGTCAAAACGATAGAAACTTCTCTCAAAAAGAACAAAGTTTTTATTTACATGCAATTGTCTAGTATATAAAATTATAATTTTAAAATTTGTCTCCAATTTTATAATTTGCCTCGGCAATAACTTGCGCAAAATGTGAAAAACCTTGACGACGAATGCGAAAAAATTCGTGCATACACTTGCGTAATACACATTATTCATCGTGCTGTGCGGCTAGACAAACACACAGTTTTCTATACAGCGGCAGCCTTAGCCGTCGTCGACGCATTAAATCCAATAAGAATAAGGCGAGGCCCCTTATTAACTCGATTAAAATTAACTAGACTCTTGTGTACACGAACGAGCCCCTCGCGCACTGCTGCTGGGCGTCTGCGTGTTTGCGCTGAAGAACACACACAACTTTTGTTCCTTCTTTTTTATCTGTCGCTGTATGCGTGTGTGTATTATACACACAGACTAGAGGAAATCGACGTCGCGGCGGCGGCGGCGACGACGACTACGACGACGACAATGCGGCGCGCGACGTCTTTTTACGAATATATATAGAGGAGCGCACAGCAAATATATGAGCAATTCTCCAAATGAAACGCATTTTTTGAGGTAGAATCGCGACAAATTTTTTTTTCAACCTATGTGGATACAGACCCCCGGGAAATGTTTTTGGGGGTCCTAGGAACCTGTAACCACGTAGGAACCATTGAAATTTCGATAGTGCTTATTTTTATAGCTACTTTTGTGATTTAGAGGACGAAAAATCATGTTTTCTCGTAAATACGGCTAATTACTCAATTTCTAAGTCGCTGAAAAAGTATCAAAACTCATCTAAAAAAAATAACTGACTACTGTGTTCGATAGGAAATTTTCTCAGCTTTCCAATGGTGGTATCAGATTTTCCGATAAATTGCACATTCACCGAGAAAATCACCATCACACATTGAGGGCTAAATATGTCGAAAAATTCAGTACGGAAAAAGTGAACTTTTTGGATAATTGTTGATTTTTCCTTGTGAAAATGAAATTTATCGAAAAATCTGACTACACCATGAGAAAGCCAAAGAAATTTCCTATCGAAAGCATATCTTTATTTATTTTTTCGGTGGAATTACAATGTTATACATGGGAATTTCTTTCACGTTGTTCGCTGTTTTCTGTTTCCGAGCTGATTCAGCGCGGTCGCGAGGTTTTCGGCTCGCTACAATCAAAACTAGCTCGTAATTCCACCGAAAAAATAAATAAAGATATGCTTTCGATAGGAAATTTCCTCAGCTTTCTTATGGTGTAGTCAGATTTTTCGATAAATTTCATTTTCACGAGGAAAAATCGAAATTAAACCTCAAAGATCACTTTTTCCTTACCGAGTTTTTCGAGATATTTAGCTTGGCACTTTTGATGGCGATTTTCTCGGCGAATGTGCGACTTATCGGAATATCTGATACCACCAGTGGAAAGCTGAGAAAATTTCCTATCGAACACAGTAGCCAGTTATTTTTTTTAGATGAGTTTTGATACTTTTTCAGCGACTTAGAAATTGAGTAATTAGCCGCATTTACGAGAAAACATGATTTTTCGTCCTCTAAATCACAAAAGTAGCTATAAAAATAAGCACTATTGAAATTTCAATGGTTCCTACGTGGTTACATGTTCCTAGGACCCCCAAAAACATTTCCCGGGGGTCCGTATCCGCGTAGGTTGAAAAAAAAATTTGTCGCGATTCTACCTCAAAAAATGCGTTTCATTTGGAGAATTGCTCATATACGTATGCAGTCACGGCAATGTTGCAAGCACGTATGTACGTATCAGGCGCGGAGCTCCGGCCAGCCGCAGAGCCAGTGTGCCTTTGACGGGTCTCAAAGCCGATAGCTTAGGAGCAGCTAGCTCGCTGCTGCAGTACGTATACCACGAGACTCGTAACGCGCGTTTTCTTCCCTGTGTATGTTAAATACAGGCGACCTACGATGTACGTATGTCGATCGCGCGTAAAAAGTTTCGATCCGCGCGTCGCATCGGTCGCGAGAAAAGTGGAAAGATAGACCGATAAAATCGATGTTTTATAAAAAAAAATAGTAATATCACAAGTGACGATGTGAAGTTATTGTTTGCCGCTTGTTTGTCATCTACCGCCGTCTCTGCACGACGATGACGATGCAGCAGCAGCAGCAGCAGCAGCAGCTAACGATAAACAAGTAATAATGCGCTCGTTAGAGAAAAGTGCTCGTTAGTTCATTGCATTTGATGTCGGAATAGCGAGTCTCGTTGCAAAGAAAATCTCAATAATTCGCGATTTAGGTGTGAAACGCGCCGAGACGCGCACACGCTACACACATTGCACACGCCTATATATAGACTGAGTCTGCCAGGCTATTTATGGCTCTGCCGCAGAGATGCATAGCTCGCGCGCGCCCGCGAGAATAAAGGCGTGAAACGCGCGCGGATTGAGCTTTTTTTGCCGTTGTAACTTCGCTTTCGCACTCGAATTTACGCGCCTAATTATCGGTGAGTGCTGAATTATATACGTATTGTATCCGCAAATATACGTTGGCGTTGCGTGCGATATGTGTGTCACACTCGTAAATACGCCAGGAATTATCGATTCTTTCTTCCCTTTTTTAACGGCGACACACATTCGACACAGATTATGTACGTACACGGTCACACGGGTGCGTCGCGTTGAATTTTCAAAAATTCGTAGAAAGGGAAATAAAAAGAGAGATAATAAAGAGAAGAGTATCGTTGTGGTGTACGCAAAAAGAGCTCTTTTTTCTCTCTTTTTCTTGTTTTTTTTTTTTTTTTTCATAAAGCCTCGAAGCCGATTACTCGCTAAGCAGATAATCAGTAACATGTGCGCTAAATCGGCATATGCGTCCGCGCACAGAGCACTACACACACACACACACTCGTCGGAGACGACCGTCGAGAGCAAAAGCAGAAAATAGAGTCTCTCGTGCTTTAAATTAGGTGAATCTCTCTTCTTTCATTCGTGCGTATACACGTTTCGCCGCGATATTCGACGCTTAATTTAATTTTTTTCGTTTGAGAACTCGAGCGATAGTGGTTTAATCGGCGGTCGGGGATGAGCGCAGTCGATCGTGCAATAATTTCGTACCAACTCTTCAAGTGCCGTACTTAAATTTTGATGGGATTTACGAGTGTGACACCTCCTCGAATTGGTTGGAATTAATTTTAAAAATCACAGTGCACGTTTCACGTTGTTGTTTTCCGATTGATAATCGGTCAATTGCATCGTTACCATTCGTCAAGTTCGCAGTGTGTGTGTGTGTGTGTGCGTGCGTGTGTTTCAATCAAGTTATCGACACGTACGCACTTTCGATCGGTAGCCTTGAATAAAAAGACTCCCATAAAAAATAAAAAAATACCGCGAAGAATCGATAAATGAACGAAAGATAAAAGGCGAGGCAACAATGAACGCCGCCGCCGCCGCCGCGTAATGCGTCAACGATGATGGAAACCGGCAATGAGCCGGCGAGGTCCGCAGCGGACTCCGTAAACGAGGCTGCTGCAGCAGCGGGCCCACGACTCGAGCGTTGGTCGATCGGTGGTGAAACCTCCTCAGGTGGTAGTGGTAATGGTGGTAGTGGCAATGGTGGTGGTGGTGGTGGTAATGGTGGTCCAGGCAGCAGTGGTCCGGCATCGCTGGGCTGCTTGACCAACGCGAGCGACGGCTCGCCCGGCCTCGAGTACGACCTCTGGGAGGGCCAATTCGAGTTTGTCGGACCCGAGCACCGACTCATCAGGCCCATGCAGCAGCAAGTAAGAATCTCTCGAGTCCGAGCAAACAACTCGCTAACAACCCGCTACACTGAATTTTATTTTATTTTTCAACTGTACGATGCTCGTCATCGCTGACAATGGCAAAACTCGTTTTTTCATTTAACTAGAGTAGTAATAATTATTTTTATCGCTCGAAGCATTGTGTGTATGTAATTGTGGCGTATATTATACGCGTACACACAAGGAGGTGTCGAGCGATCATATAGGCACGGCAAGATGTTATCCGTGCCTAGACCATTTTAAATAGGCTCTCGAGTTCAAGTGGGTTTAAATCGATACTCGGCAGTTCGTCACAGGTTGTTTCACCTTCTGCTTCTTCTTCTTCTTCTTCGTCTATATAGTCCCTAGTAACGCTACATACTCATAAAGTTCGAATCCTTTGCATGCCCGAAAAATGTTCTCAAATATTATACATCGCGCTCTACGTAATTCGAATCGTGTCTGCCAGTGATCGGATATTAATGTACTTTCTTTTTTCGTGTTACGCAGGTTCAAATGATCCAGGAACAGATGAGCGTACTCGTCGACACGCAGTCAGCCGGCGAGGAGAGGTACGCCCGGGTGAAGCAGGAAAATGCCACGCTACAAGCCAGAATACTCATGCTCGAGGAGGCTAATCGCGAGGTCGAGACCAGAGCTGAGGAAAGACTCGAGGTGATGATCGATTCTGTCGCAATAATAAAAACTTAAATCCCTCCGATATATAATGCATGCGTGTTAAGTCTTGAAGAAAATGTCTGGCGATTATCTATTTTGTTTGTCTTCCGCGCGCGGAGAGTTTATTCAATTAACGTGTAACGAGTGTGTGGTGCGGCTTAAAGTACCGAGGGAGCGAGAAAAAAAACCAAGCACAAAGTTCATGTACGGGCTTACATTTATTGGATTTTTTTTTCTATTCCGTGTATGCGACACTCGCTGTGCCCTATTACACATACAGGCTGTTTTTTTCCTCTTCCATAATGTCAACTTTTTATCGATAATTTTTGTCTTCTCTTTATTGTAGACGGAGCAGCGACGCCATCGAGAATGGGCCAGTCGCATGGAGCGCGAGCGCGAGCTGCAGCTGGAGAACGCGGCGATCAAGCTGCAGTCGGTCGAGCTCGAAGCCACGAGGGCGCGCGACGAGACGCTGCGACTGCGCGAGCAGCTGGACAAGGCGCGAGCCGAAAAGTCGCGGCTGGAGACGAGCCTCGAGGAGGCGAAACTCGACGCCGACCGGGCCAAGGAGGCCGAGAGACGAGCCGTGCTAGGTCTCGCCGAGGCCAATCGCGCCCTCAAGCATGCCGAGGAGGAGCTGGCGCTGCGAGTCGAGCACGAGAGGAGAATCGAGGACATGACGAACGAGCTCGCCAATCTTAGGATAAGAAATAAGAGTGAGTGTCCGGGAAGGAGAGAGCGAGAGAACAGCATCTGCCGCGTCGTAACGCGCTGTGATACATTCTCGATTTTTCTTTTTTCTTACAGATTTAGAAGAATCTCGCGATGAGTTGCAAGCCGCTGCAGCTGCGCTTCAAGCAGGCCGGGAATTATTGTTGCCAGGCGCACAGGATCCCAATGACAATATGATTAATCGAAAAAAGAGCCCGAGTCTTGCCGCTGAATTACTGCTGACCGGGTCCGCCCACGATCAAGTATGTTTCTGCCTGATTGATAATGATCGTAACACCTGTACTGTTTATATATTAAGTGTAATTTTCTCGTCTTGCAGGCCGATGGTACAGATACCGGCAAAACTGGAAGTTCCGATATTTGCGATAATTTCACCACGTTGGCTGAAGTAAGTAGCTGCAATAAATTTTATTGTGACATCTTACCGTATCACGATCTCTATCGTCTTTATCCTTTGTTTACATCTACTCATGTTTTGTAAGTGAAAAAAAGTACACTTCGTCTGTTTTCACGAATAGACACTTTTGGCCCATTTCACTGTATTTAATCATTATATTCTTCACGCTTTTTTAAAAATAAAAATATTGTCAAGCTTATGCTAGCTAACTCTTTAACTATAAATACTTGTATAAAGTTTTGTGTAATAGTCCGTAGACTTTACATTCAGTATTCTTCGTGAGATCTTCGTGTGCGTTGACGGCTTTTAATCTCTTTTTGATGTATAGGCACAAGCTTATACAGCTTTGCAATTAAAAGAGGTGTGAAATGCTTATAACCATTTATATTAGATCTTATTTATCATAATATATTGAGGCACTCTATTAATTATTGCACTTGCTTCCAATAATTTTTTCGTTATTAATATTAGGCACATACATAAATTAGACTGTGCTAATATTGAGAGGGTTGCATCTAGCATTTTCTGATTTATTTTACTTACATTTATATGTTATCCTCTTATGATAATTTTCTAGTCTCTCAGTTTTAATTTCGATATCTGCATCATCCAAATTATCCTTGAGTATTTTTCATGAGTTACAAACATTTTCGAACGAATTTTCGATCTATATAATTTGCAATAACTTTTCTTTTCTTCGTGATGCGATAAATTTGTTTTTGAATTTTCAGGCTAAACAGGCTTTGAAAGAGCAGCGTGAAGTGAATACCAGGCTGCGCTCGTACATCGACAACATACTGCTGAACATCGTCGAAAATTATCCGCAACTATTAGAAGTAAAGCAGCCACACTGACGCAGGATTGTCGTTCCGTCCTTTCCGGCGTTGCACTTACCGAACCTCGTGAACGGCGGCGCCGAAAGACGGAACATCGTCAAAAAATTATCCGTAACGAAAAAACCGGTCCACGTGATAATGGCCACGAAAACTGATCATAGCTGCGGTCATAACCACGATGAGAACGACTGCCTGGGCTGTCCGCCTCAGAGTCGTTATTAGTTATTAACAAAAGTGAATTAATAAAAATGAGGCATAAAAACTAATTCATATTAGTTTTGTTAGTTCAGTGGAGTATACATAAAGTAGCCGACAACTGTGATGGGACACGAACAGGAGCTTCGTAATTTTATTGTACATACTGCAATTTTAATTAAGCATTACTGATATTAATGTTTTATCGTAAGCGTCCAATAAAAAAGTTCTATTTTTCAACAGATATTATACATTATTCATACCTTTGACTATTCTAATAAATAAATTCTATGAACTGTGAGAGGTGCGTGTGCGAATGTAAATTATTCTTGAATATATTCTGAAATTATTTTTGTGTTAAACTTTGTGTTTAAATAATTTAAGTTTTTTCTGATTACTCTCTAGATTGTTTTTGAAATTACTGTGAAACATTACAAAGTTATAAAATCAACTAAATAATTAAAATTCATAATTTAGAATTTTTTATGAATGAATTGCATAAATATCTTTATAAGGAATGAAATTCTAAATAAAAGTCTCAATTGATATGAAAATTTTGTAAATGAAAATAATATCCAAATGGTTACGATAGAAATGTCTACATAAGTGAACTGCACTTGTACTTGACACTAATTCAAAGAATTTTTAAAAAAGTATACGCATTTTTTAACCAATTCTTCAGATAATAAATTTAAAATTTTTTTCCTAGTTTTGTTACATTTTTCTAAAGTAAACCGGTTTTACTGAATATTTTTTTTTGAGGTTAGTACTTTAATTGTTACGTCATCGTGAAAAAAATTCGATAAAATTATATGTCAAAGAATAGAAGAACGTTGGAAATTGATTCCACAAACAGAAAAAATGTATGATTGAAACTGTTTTGTGAACCAATTAGAAAAGATGATATTGATATTTCCAAATTATTCTTAAGTTAAAAAAAAGTATGAGGAAGCTACTTGCCAATACATTGGTAGCGGTTTTTAAATATTTTTTCGTCCATTTGTTTATTCTCCAGGTCGAAAAACCCTCCAAAAGTGTCCGTTTTTACAATTGTTTATAATTATTTATTTAAAAATGCTACAGCAATGAAATCTTGAAAAAATGTAGCCCTCGTTATGCAGAATCCAATGCATTTTTCAAAGTCTCGCTAAGTGCATTATTTGTCGAGATATTGCATTTGTTTATTAAAAAACACTCCTCTAGAGATTGTTAATTATCTTTGAGTTGGCTCAACGCACGAAGACCAGACAGGGCGCAAATGAAAGATAGAGACTTCCCAATTAATTTGCAATAATAAAAACAATAATTTGTTCATGAAGACTTGCAAAATAAACACCAGATATAAATGGGTACGAAAATTCGGTAAATTTGAATCGGTTTGAGCAAATGTAGTTTTAAGTAAGCAATGGAAGGTCGCTCTATGGTACGCCGATTTATTTTGGAAAAAATGGCTGAAGGAGTATATAGAAGGAGGGTATCTTTCGTTCTGAGTAGTAAATGGGCGAGCACGGGCGAAAATTTAGCGGTCGGTGATTTAGTTTTAATTTTGGACGATCAATTGCCGAAAAATGAATGGCGAAAAGGTATAGTGACACGTATTTTGCCTTCCTCCGACTCCGAAATGAAAGCTGTGGAATAACGAGCAGGTTGTGGCTGCTGAGGCTACGGCGCTTTTCTTGACTTGTTATGTCGAGTTTGACTCTGTTAAGATAAAGGCTTAGCGGAGTGTGTCCAGCCAGCATTCCTCGTGCGTTTAGCTTTTTTTCGCGTTTCGTTTAACCCTATAGCGCCTGAAATGACCATTTTTGGACAACATTTATAGCGATGAATTACACCGACTAAATATTGTTTTAAAAACTTTTCAGACATCATTTCACACATAAAATTTAATGTACTTTTCGAATCTGGGGTCAGAATTTTCAAAAATTTATTTAATAAAAAGTTATTAACAATTTTGTAAAAAAAAAATGAAATTTCGAGAAAAAAATCTCGTTTTACTCAAATTTCAACACGGAAAAAAGGTTCGCTCGTGCGTCTCACGCTTATAGATTTGGTTAATGGCTTGTATACTTTATTGTGAAATAGTTATAATAATGAAATTCAACGTGGCGATCATAAATTTGACTCCCGAAGACCTGTATGTCATAAAATGATTTCGACAATTTTTAACTCGATAACCATCAACTTTACAAGAAAAAGTTGTAGAATAAAAAGTGTTTAGAATTCATCAAAGAATGTGCCTGAAGTTTTTCAGAATTTTTGGTGCGATTTTTAGATTTCTGGATAACACCATTTATTCAAAAATCCAAAAATCGTTTCGAAAAATTCTGAAAAAAATCAAGCGTGTTTTTTGATCCATTCTAAACCCTTTTTGTTCTACAACTTTTTCTCGTAAAGTTGATGGTTATCAAGTTAAAAATTCTTGAACGTTCTCAGCCGAAATCAAAAATCAAAAATGAAACCTATCTTTCAAGAATTTTTAACTTGATAACCATCAACTTTACGAGAAAAAGTTGTAGAACAAAAAGGGTTTAGAATGGATCAAAGAACACGCCTGATTTTTTCAGAATTTTTCGGAACGATTTTTGGATTTTTGAAAAAATGGTGTTTTCCAGAAATCCAAAAATCGCTCCAAAAATTCCGAAAAACTCTAGGCACGTTCTTTGATCAATTCTAAACCCTTTTTATTCTACAATTTTTTCTTGTAAAGTTGATGGTTATCGAGTTAAAAATTGTCGAAATCATTTTATGACATACAGGTCTTCAGGAGTCAAATTTATGTTGAATTTCGTAATTATAACTGTTTTACAATAAAATATACAAGCCATTGACCAAATTTATATGCGTGAGACGCACGAGTGAACCTTTTTTCCGTGTTGAAATTTGAGTTAAACGAGATTTTTTTCTCAAATTTCATGTTTTTTTTTACAAAATTGTTTATAACTTTTTATTTAATAATTTTTTTTTTTAATTCTGACCCCGGATTCGAAAAGTACATTAAATTTTATGTGAGAAATGATGTCTGAAAAGTTTTTTAAACAATTTTCAGTCGGTGTAATTCATCGCTATAAATGTTGTCCAAAAATGGTCATTTCAGGCATTAAAGGGTTCAGTTTTGAGACTCGCAGTATTACAATTTGACAACATCATTAATTACATTAATTGTAGTTCATTGTTAATTTTATTTTTTAACAATTTTTTTGCTTAAATTTTATAAGTGTTCTGCATAGAATATTGTTGTTGAATTTCAGTTCAAAGAAATATTTCTAAGTATGCTAAATAGACGTGCGCCACAATAGTACACGCGCCGCAATAGGTGATTCTTCCCTATAAAGTATGTATTTAACTATAACTACACATTTTTTCAGAACCAAAATATCGAATCATGTATCCCCTAGCAGCGTTGGATGGAGGTCATGTTTAAAAAAAGGTTCTATTATAGGTCATTTGTGTATTAGGGTAGTCAGACCAATCAATGACCGGGTACCAGTGAATGACCATTTTGAAAATATCACATGAAAAACAATTAAAAATGTATTTATATGGACGTAAATCAATTCTTTAGTGAACGATGCATCTTGTTTTCTATGTTCGATCATAATTAAACAAGGAAAAACGATAATTATTGCACATCCAAAAGTGGTCATTTACTGGTCGAAAGCGGTCAATCACTAGTATAAGTACCCTACGTTTGAAAAAGTTGCATAACTTATAAAAAAAATTCATTCAATGTAATAACAATAAAGAAACATTTTGTTTCAAATTTAATTATGAAAGTAATGACAAAATTGCTCTGACCATGACGAAGCAAGTATAGTAATTTTTAATTATTTAATGACATTCGTTTAATGACCTTTTTTCGTCTACCTAAAAAAAGGCATTCTTCATACAAAATATATTACACTCAATTTTATTACTTTTATTTTTTGAAGCAGTGAGGATTCTTCTGTCTACTTTTGTAGTTACTAGTCGAGTCCAAAGCGTTCATCTTGAAATCATAAGTCGATGAAAACTGATACAAATTGAATAACTTGCTGCTTTAAAACATGCTGCTTGTAATACTAGTGATAATTTTGATATTATTTTACGCGTTTCACTACTTCTTCTATGGTGGCAGAAACGGACGATTATTAGCGAAAATACCCGGCCCAACAGTCTGGCCGATAATTGGATGCGCCCCGAAAATTATGGTTCCTACAGGTAAAGAGATATAAAAATAAAAAAAATAACTTTTCATATTTTTTCCCATGTAATTTCAGATAAATTTATGGGCGTGGTTCAACAAATGGATAAACAATATTATCCTATGTATAAAATTTTAATTTTGAATTTACACGTCGTAACTATATTGTCAGTAGATTATGCCGAGGTAAACATTAACTTTTTCTAATTGTATCATTCAATACTGATTCATGTGACCCATTTAATCGTACAGGTAATTTTTACAAGTAAATACACTACAGAAAAAAGCATATTTTATAAACTTTTAGATCCTTGGTTTGGTACTGGTTTATTGACAAGTGGAGGTAAATGTTTACTTTACTACATGTAAGAAATTCTATTTTATGAAAGCACATAACACTCGTTAAAATGTAGGGGAAAAGTGGCAGAAACGTCGGAAAATGTTGACTCCTGCTTTTCATTTGAATGTTCTACAAAAATATTTTGAAATATTCGTTGAAAATACTATTGATATTGTTGAACATTTGAAAACACAAGGTGTATCCATTCAAAATTTACTACCATTATGTACAAAATATTCCTTGGATAACATAATTGGTGAGAAAATATTTAAATTTGGATAATGCATTAAATTTTTAATCCTACTTCAATTTTATATGCTATCTTAGAGGCGGCAATGGGTACTTCATTATGCGATGATAAAAGTGGACAGGCATACAGACATGCTATTCGCGAAATGGCTGACACATTGTGTCGAAGGTTATAATTTTAAGCAATTTCAAATTTTGTTGTAATCTTAAAAGCTAATCTCTACAAATTTTGTATGTTGAATTTAGATTCATCAGCCCTTGGTTGTTTAATGATTGGATATTCAGTATGACCCAATCGGGTAGAAAACAAAAAAAGTTGGTTGATACGATTCATGAGTTTAGTAAAAAGGTATTAAAACCATGACAGTAATAGTATTGGGAAGCAATGTTAGCGCCTGGAGGAGTCCGAAATCCAATATGTCTGCCCAAACTGAGGAAATTAACGCCCCTATTAACATTCAACGTTGTCTGAACGTTTTTTAAAGGTTTAATTTGCAACCTTTAAACGTTAAAGGGGGGGGGGGGGGGNGGGGAAGGGGGGGGGTATGGTGCTGATTTATCGATTTTTTAAAATTTTTTCTTTTTTTTTACTAGTAAAAAAAAAAAAATTTATTTCTACAATGTACATGTTAAAGTACATGACTTCGAGAGTATTTTGTAAAAATTTCATTAAAAAATATTCATTTTTGGACCTTTGATAGCAAATCTATGGAAAAGTCGTGAAAATTGTGGTAAGGAATGTAACTTTTCACAGAATCATCTGAAACGAAAAATGCAAAATTACCTCATTAGTTTATGAGTTTTATCAGGTACTGACGTAGAGTTTTTTCAATTATAGTGATTTTTCGAATTTTGATGTAATTTTGAAGTTGAAAAAAATTTTAAAATTGCGTCCAGACATGAAAAATCGACCTTTTTTTCGGACAAGTTGTTATAAACAAAAAAATTTTCGGAAAAATCGAAATATCTCGACGTCAGTACCTGCTCAAAGGGTTTATAAAGAACTATGCAAATTTTCAAAAGGATCGGTTGAATACTTTTTGAGTGGCGTTCCTCACCGATTTGAAAAATGTCATTTTGAGAAATTGCAGTTCAAAGATACAACATTATAGGGTAGTCAGACCAATTAATGATCGGGTACCAGTGAATGACCATTTTGAAAAATATCATATGAAAAACAATTAAAAATATATTTGTATGGACGTAATTCAATTCTTTAGTGAACGATGCATCTCGTTTTCTATGTTCAATCATAATTTAACAAGGAAAAACGATAATTATTGCACATCCAAAAGTGGTCATTTACTGGTCGAAAGCGGTCAATCACTGGTATAAGTACCGTACGTCAAGATTTTTCAAATCGGTGAGGAACGTCACTCAAAAAGTATTCAACCGATCCTTTTGAAAATTTGCACAGTTCTTTATAAACCCTTTGAGCAGGTACTGACGTAAAGATATTTCGATTTTTCCGAAAATTCCGAAAAAATACTAGACATCTTTTAGGTAATACAGTGTATTTATGGTATCAGATTCTCCTCTAAAAACCCATCTACTCAATTGTATAATCATTTGATTCGGATTTACACAAAAAGTAATTTAAGGGAAGTTATACGTACAGATACACGTACTTAATGAAAGCGCTGGTCAGGGTACACCTAGTAGTTCACAGTTTAAGAAGGAATGGGCACGTTTATAATTAAAAAGTGTTAATTTTGCCATTTTCTGAACGCGTAGTTAATTGATTAACAGTTTTAACTAAGGTTTACTCAACGTTGTTATAACGTTGATACATCGTTTAGAAAATTTTAGGAAGGGGACATTAAAACGTTTATACAACGTTGCTTCAACGTTTATTCAACTCTTCTCTTAAACGTTTAAAGGTTGCAAATTAAAAGTTTAAAAAACGTTTAGACAACGTTGAATGTTAATAGGGATAGAAATGTATGGGTGGTTCACGGTTTTTCGCTCATATTTCCATAAATATGCAAAATTTAAAAAAAATAAGGTCAGCAATTGATTCATCGTCAAATTTTACTTCAAGAATGATTGTCGAATCAAAAAGTGTTAGAGTAAAATCATTCACAATATCGAGTTGAACAGAGAAATTCGACTATGAAACGGGGCTCTCGCTTCGCTTCGACATTATTTTTCAGCTTTGTTTAACTCGATATTGTGAATGATTTTACACTAACATATTTTGAGTCAGCAATCATTTCCGATGTAAAATTTTACGTGAAATCGATGGGTGACCTTATTTTTCCAAAATTTTGCATATTTTTTGAGCGAATATGAGCGAAAACCCGTAAATCTCCCATGCACTCCTACGTTAATTTCCCCGGTTTGGGCAGATACGTTGGATCTGCTGACCCTCCAAGTGCTAACATTACTTTCCAATATTACGATACGTGTGACTTTAGCAACTCTTTATTGCACGGCGCAGTTAGAGCCCGAACACGGCGCACAGTGGTCGGAACAGTATTAAAAATGCACTAAACCTCAGTGTTAAGTGTATAAGGCACCAATCGAAAATCTAGATATAGTTTTAGATTCGGAAAAACATGACGAATCTAAAATCGTTTCCCTTTTTCTTTAGCTATAACCATCCGTACTCTACGAACAATGATAGGAGCGTAAAAATGATGATTTTATTTAAAATTAGTTTATGAAAATTAGTCGCTGAAATATATCACTTCGATTATATTCAATAATAATTATCTTTATGATGGGTTTTGCGTGCCACTGGATAAACACTTGTCAAAATAAGTGTTAGAAGAAGTTCACGCAAAACCCATCATAAAGATAATTATTATTGAATATAATCGAAGTGATATATTTCAGCGACTAATCTTCATAAACTAATTTTAAATAAAATCATCATTTTTAAGCTCCTATCATTGTTCGTAGAGTACGGATGGTTATAGCTAAAAAAAAAAGGGAAACGATTTTAGATTCGTCATGTTTTTCCGAATCCAAAACTATATCTAGATTTTCGATTGGTGCCTTATACACTTGACACTGAGGTTTAGTGCGTTTTTAATACTTTTCCGACCACTGCGCGGCGGGGTGATAGCGCGGTGGCCAGAATAGGCTACTTGAGTCACTTATACTTTTTTTAAAATCAATTCAAAATTCTAAAAAACAATGAATGATTTTGCTACTTTAAAGGTTATCAACGAAAGAAAAGAGTATCATGAGAGAACTAAAGGATATTACTTGAATGACTTTGAATCAAAACAGGGTTTTGATGACTCGGAAGCTTTAGGATGTAAGTATTTGCACGCATGTAGTCTGCTATGCTAAATAAAAGCAAGTTGAATAATTATTGTTCATTTTATTCTTAACTAGATAATAAGAAAAGATTAGCTATGCTAGATCTATTAATAGCAGCCCAAAAAAATGGCAATCAAATTGACGATGCTGGTATACAAGAAGAAGTTGATACATTTATGCTTGCCGTTAGTTTTTCATAACAAGTATAAGCTCCCAAAATTCATTTCGTATTTAAATGTTTGGCATTGTTTTACAGGGACATGATACTAGTGCATTAGCTTTATTTTTTGGTTTACTTTTTATTGCAGAACATAAAGATGTCCAGGTATTTCTTTGAGTAAACTTGACATATGATTTTTTAATTGATTGAAAATTTCAATTTGTTTTTTTTTTCTAGGTAAAAATACGAAATGAAATCAAAGAAGTATTTGGAAGCAATATAAACGATATTAAATTAATGGATCTACAAAAACTTAATTATCTTGAAAGATGCATCAAAGAAACATTACGATTTTTCCCTTCCGTTCCATATATATCTCGAGTTTTGGCCGGTGATATAAAATTAGGTAAAATTTTAAAAATGGTTACCGAATTAAAATTTGTATATAAATTACATTTTTTATTTTATAGATGATTTTACAATACCTAAAGGCACTTTCACAGATATACATATTATAACAATTCATCGAGACCCTAAACACTGGCCTGACCCTGAAAAATTTGATCCAGATCGATTTCTACCGGAGCAAATTCGGAAAAGAAATCCTTATGCATATTTACCATTTAGCTCTGGTGCAAGAAGTTGCATTGGTATGAAAATACAAAATAAATTTAACAATGGTTATAAATTTTAAGATAATATTTTTTTCAGGAATGAAATTTGCTATGACAGAAATGAAAATATTTCTTGTATACATACTTACCAACTTTCAAGTCGAAATTGTAGATTACTTAGCTCAGCAAATTCCGTTTATTCCAGATATAACTTTAAGACCTGGTGTTCCAGTTAATCTTAAGTTTGTACCATTAAGCCATGAAATTCATTAATTTATATTTTATTTTTCACAAAATTTTTAAGAATCTGAATTTTATTTTAACCACCATCAAAGTTATTGAAAAATATAAAAAATCAAGAAACATTTTTTAAGGTATTTATAAGAGCAAATAAGTGTTCCCGTTGTATTATCAGCTGCTAAATCTGAATTTTTTGGAACGGTTATTATAATCACAATCTATTGCAGATGTTCTATTCCAAAGTTATTTCTTTCGAAAAAAATATAGTTTTTTTAATCTCTATACACAATGATTATAACCAGAGACGTGAAAGCTATAGTGTAAAATTACATTCATAATAAAAATGAGCAAAACTTGTGACTTGTTATTAATATTTTTAAACATTCATTTTTTTCTCGTTGTAAGGAAAGAGTTTTAATTATTCACTAATCGTATCAGTTATTCGATAATAAAATAAACAGCACCACTGAAAGGGAAATTTTTTTTTCACTTTTCGACGGCAATCATTTTCTATAACTCTTCCACTCGTTGTTTATAAGCTGACCGTTTTGAAAAACGCTTTACACAGTGCGCGAAAATAAAGTACGTAATAAAATGAATATCCGTACTATCTTCATATGGTTTCTGTGTTTTTCTATAATTCGAAATTCATTCAATTTGGCCTCTCTTTTACTTCGCTAATTCGAAATTCTCGATAATTCGAAATTACAGCCTGTATTTAGGATTTCGAATAATCGAAGTTTTACTGTAATTGAGATCTGCGTAAAAATAAAATTCGTAATTCTTGATCTTCACAATCTTTTTTTACCATACCAAGCTCGATTTATAGTCAAATCCTGCTCGATTTTCCAACTGGAAATCCAGCGATTTTTTTTAAACAGGTACGTGACTCATTGCCAGGGCACCTTTTACGATTTAAAGAAAATTTACCTTACCTAATTGTCTATTTATAGTATTAGGCTGTAAAAGTAAAAAAAATTATTTTTCGAAAAACACACATAACAACTCTTTTCAATACCTCATTTGAAAGTATTTTGTCCAGTCACATACTAAAAAAGTTAAAATAGTGCATTACGTCACTCGTGCGCGAAGTGGGCGAGAAGCACCACGCGCACAAGTGACGTATACTATTTTTTATCACGAGTTGCGGGAAGTTTTTATTTCCCGCACGCTGTGATAAAAAGATAAGTACACTGATGCGAGGATATAGACCCTCTACGTAAGCTTTGAACACCTAAGCTACTTATCGTAAAATTTCAAGAGAAAGTGTCAATCAATTTTGTCCTATGTGGTTTCAAATTGTTCGATAGGCAATTGGCCATGGTCGCTACCATAAGCTAGACATAAGATGAACTTTAGCTACTCTTTTACAATTTTCTAGAATTTAGTATTCATTTTTAATGATTTCCCATAAATTAATTTCACTATGTTATATGTACAAGTGGACATGTTACATGTATAACTGGACAAAATACTTTCAAATAGGGTATTGAAAACAGTGTTCATGTGTGTTCTTGAAAAAAAAACATTTTTCTTTTTTACAGCCTAATACTGTAAATGAAAACTTTAAAAAAATTAAGCCCCTATTAGCCTTGAACAATTCATGGAATTTATACATATAGAATAAAAAAAATTGATGCACATGTTTACATGAAGGTAATGAATAAAATTCGAAAAAATCGGTCTATCGATGCTGTTATTACTCGAAGGTCGCGTGCCATATGTCATAGATTTATACAAGAGGGTATACAACTAACAAGCAACGTGGATTATAATAATTAGTATCTTCACACCTTGGAAGTAGCTTAGCTCGTATCGTACTAATATGCAAATGTAGTGTGCATTAAAAATACTTGTATCAGGCGCAAGATCATCAATCAAAACTATTGTACGCGATGAAAATTGTTATAAGAAGAAAAAGAAAAGGAAATATTGCGAGCTCGCGCACGTATTTATTCAAAGCAAAGAGCCAATCTTAATTTAAAGGCAGCTGCGACGTAGTCAAGTCCATTAAGTTGCTTTTACAGAAAGAATAAGATTTATTTACTTTTGCTTTTACTAGCTATTGCTACCGTTTGCACTCAGCATTTAATTTTTGTCATATTTTAAATGTGTTCTCAGTTACTTTTTTTTTTTCTTGACGATTGCGAGATAAAAGATCGTTCCACGTGCTAATGTTTATTGTTGTTTTAAAAGCTTTCCCGAGCGCGGTAATTCATTTTTAAATCTTTCGAGTTGATTGCAAATTTTCATTAATATATTATTTAAATATAAAATGTCAAAGCTTCGATGGGAGCAGATCAACTTTTTCCTGGCAAAAAATGATCGAAGACATGCAAATCAGAGGTGGAAGTTGAAAAAAGCCGCTTACTCCGAAGGAAAGTTATCCGAAGGAAAAGGAGCTGGAAAAATCCGCTGGTACCTTCACACAATGACCTAAATTCAGGTAACTTATTTGCGCTTCTTTCACTGATACTCGTGAGCATATTATACAGAAAAACGGCTGCTGCTACATGTGCGTATGTAGACATTTGTGCAAAATAAAGCCAATCGCTTGTGGCAGGTATTGCTCTCGGTTCTGTTCGGTCTCGGCTCGGGCCGCAAAAGTGGGGTCCCTCGCACGAGCGCGCGGCCCCACACAAGCTGCGTGCCAGACAGAGACGGACGCGCCAAGCAATGACTTCGAAGATGCGATAGTCTGCTGCTCTCGCACGAGCCTTTTCCCAGTACGAGGCGAGAAGTTATACCTTTTGCAGGTGCATGAGCTCGAGCTGCTCGTTGTCGCTCACGCGCGAATCCTCGACTTTTTCAATTGAAATTGTCTCCTTCAGATTTTGGCTTCTTTTTAATTTCGTCTGTGATAGACCCTCTCTGGGTGTACTTTTTCACGTGAGTGCTTCGTAGGTGCTTTAATGCACGTCTTTGAAATTGCATTATTTCTTTGATTGTTTGTTATTTTTTCGTTTTTGTTAGTTTGTTCATTTGTTTTGGCCTCGATTGTTTTCATAAGGCTGCGAACAAGTTTCTTCACAGGTGAGTTTATTTGATTAACTTACGTCTCTAAAATAATCTTCGTTGATTTTTCATAAATTTTACCTTGTTATTATTTCAAATGCAAACAAAACTCAAAAAAGTTTTTTGTATACCCCAAAAAATTTTTCATTTAAACATTTAAAAAGATTGAAGTTATTCAATTTCATCGATCACTTGTAATGGAGATATTTTTCCCAATTTTCAAATCATACCCGTTGTTGTTAGAGCGGAATCGCTACAGAGCTACAGAGCATCCCGTTATTTATTCTCCGTACAACCTGCATGTAGTACCCGCACACATTATACACACACGATGCTCGGGTATAACTGTGCACGAAACATACGGCGTTCAAATGCTTAATTTGAAAGTGAAATTCTCCCGTGTAAGTTGAAGTGTTTTCCAGCGCGAGATTTTTTGTTTGTGTTCAAATAAGTGCGGAGTACAGAAAAATGTCGTGTACAATGAAAAATATGAGTTTCTCAGAACAAAATTAACTCTGGCCGGGATAAATTGAAAGTCACAGAATAAAAAGCACGTTGTTTCTCTTTAAAGCTTATCATTTTTATCGCGTCGCAGTATTGAGAGAAAAAAATATTTGCTCGATAATTATTTAAAAAAAAGCAAAAATAGAAATAGAAATGACCCATAAAATATGTTTACAGCAATTATGGAACATTAGAGCTTTACACGCTAACAGATCGATGAAATAATTTATTTTATGTAGGCATTAAACCAGACTCGATGAACCGCGGCGCTTCGTTAGGTGGGAAACTCGATTACTCCATAAAGCTACCCGATAGAATTAGCGATAAAAAAAATTAAATGTTAAAACGTGTTTACACAGAGTGATACATATTATTCTTGTCGGAGTGCATTCGACGCGAGCTGTACGCGCATCCAAGTCCGCCGAGCAGTCGCTTCATTAATTGATTCCTCCGCAATAAATTGTCTAAATTTGGTATGGCATCCCGCGATGGTTTGCAAAGATCGCGCGTGTACTTTCAACGTTTACAGGACGCTGCACACGTGTGTGCCAAGATAAGCTATACAGATATTGCGTTAGCCTTTTGCTGTTCTCATGTGTGACCGCGATTACCTCAAATGACAATAATAGCGACTCGTTTTTTTCTGTCGAGGAGCATTAACAGCGAGCAATCAAATATCCATACCATTAATTATAATTAAAAGCGTGCAGTACTTTGTCAAAAGGAAAAGTTTAGATAGATGGAGTCCTTTCTAGACGTTTCAACTAAAAGTTGAAGCAAATTTACGTTCATCGATAACACATCCAAATGTGGTAATTTAATAGATTTTATGACTTGGATTATTTATGCAAATGTTGAATTATTCATTCGGCCGAGCATATCGTCCCTGAGCTTTGAAAAGATTTAAAAGATTTAATTTTATTTTAAAAGGATGGCCAAGCTCGGCTCGGTCTCGAACGACGGAGTAGCGCGAAGCGCATTCCTGCTCGCGCTTGCAATGCGTCATTGGCGATTTGCGAGGTGCGATCGCCGAGCTCATTTACTTTTCTCGGCACGCGCGCACTACCTATGCACGCACATATATATATTTATGACTTGTTAATGGCCAACTCGGCAAACGCTTTATCAATGACTGACCGAGTAGACAATAGGAATTTCCATAGAAAGGCACGAGTGCCCCTCGGGCTAACGTACACGACAGCCATCAATCCTGCTGGCTTCGACGATACGCGCGTCCAAGTGCACCGGTACATAGCATAGACTCGGTCTTAATCGTCTTGGATGAAAATAGAAAAAGCCAATTGCAAGAGCACTTGCGAGCGAGGCAGAAATCACGGCCGAAGCTCCGCGTCTCGCAACACTCGTAATTACGCAACGAAAATGTTTCAACGTCTTGTGCTACTATACGTCTTTCCGAGCAATTGTAAAGAAGGCAAAGATCGCGCCCCGAATCGAATCCGAGCTGCAGCGCGCGAAAAACGCTAGTGGCGAAAAATCGTGTCTTAATTGTTAATTGCGGCGCGTCGCGGCGAGAGAAAGAGAAAAACCAGTTTCTCCGTAGTCGCGGTTCAATGTCACGGTTAATAAGCCAACTCAATCGGCAAAGGACGCGCGCGCGCGCGCCTAATGTTGCACAAGCCGATTAATGCAACGAGCCCAATAAATATTAATAATAAAACTTGGAGCCTCGGGTGCTATTTTGAAAGAATAAAAAAGAGAAACGGAAAAAGAATGTCACGTCTATATATACGTGCAAAACGTACCGCATAGTGATATAATGTTATCCATCCACTCCGTGGAAATACGAAGAAGATCGTTTTCCTATTTGAATTATAGGTCAATGTCGCGCGCGATCGTTGCATACGTATACGCTATTCGATTGCACGACGTTATTCCTTTGCATCGGTACGAGCAGACGTTTAATAAATTTTTATCGCTTCGAAAAGTTTATGGCGTTTAGCTGGCGAGTTGCGCATTTTATTTGCTCGAGCACGCGACACAGATTTTAAAGGGAAAACAATACGCGCTTCGTCGAGCGGCTGCGGCGAGAAACAATGTATCGGCGGGGAACGTCGTCGCTCACGCTGACCTGGTATTTTTCAAGTACGAGCATGGGCAAGTTCAATGCCAACATCGCGATATCGCGCGGCGGTAATACTGTTTACGGTGTACGTGTATACGATATAGTGGCGCGTCATTCCACGAGATGCGGTCAACCGTAGCAGATGTATACAGCGAGTGAAAGTCCTCGGAGCGAGCGAGCGAGACGCAGCAGACTTTCGGAAGAAAGATAGCGGCGCAGCTATTATCTTGGCAGAGTCTGCAGCTCGAGCGCGGATTCGCCGGCAATTTCTTCTTTTTCCGTCGGTCGCGTTACATGCCCAGCCAGCTATAAAAACATAACTCCTCTCCGCAATCAGCGAGCAGCTCGCGGCACCTCTGTAATTATGCGTACACCAGCAGCTTCTCACTGTAATATAGCGTACTATGCTTATTATATTATAAATTGTGATAAAAATAGCCGAGAGAATTGCGACTCGCTTGATTCGGGAAAACGACCGCGAAATCCCTGGCGAAACCTCATTTACGAAATACAATACGCAGGTGGGAGCTGCCCCATCGTGGATCTTGCGCCTCTATTCCCGTGGCCCCCGGGCACTATTCGCGGGAGGGGCTGTTCGTTGCCCGAAAACGTTGAACTTGACTTTTTGTCTTTCAGTGCTCTTGGACGCGAGCGAGCTCTTGGTCGTCATGAAGAACATCAAGCCAACGTCGACGCTGGCGCGTCTGTTTCGTCGGGAAATCGGTAGCGAGTCGCTGACGGCTGCGGCCCCGAGCCCGGTCGCGGCGACCACGACGACGACCTCGGAATTCCAAAGTGCCAAACCCTACGAGGAGATACCCGGCCCGAAGCCGATACCGATCCTCGGCAATACGTGGCGCGTCATGCCGGTCATCGGCCAGTACACAGTCTCGGACACGGCTCGGATCTCGCAGCTATTTTATCAGCACTACGGCAAGATCACCAGGTTGACCGGCCTGATCGGTAGGCCGGATCTGCTCTTCGTTTACGACGCCGACGAGATCGAGCGAGTTTATCGGCAAGAGGGTCCGACCCCCTTCAGACCGTCGATGCCCTGCCTGGTCAAGTACAAGAGCGAAGTGAGAAAGGACTTTTTTGGCGCTCTGCCCGGAGTCGTTGGAGTGTGAGTACCTTCTTCGTCGTTGCTCGAGCGATTAGCGTGCATTCATTGTGTTTTTCTCTTGTGTGTTTGTAATGAATAGCTTCTTACGCGTGCCGACTGCAACATATTTAATTATAGTTTTCTCGACATTATTAATGAAAAATCTGTGCCATTTGTAGACACGGCGAGCAGTGGCGCGAATTTCGCACGCGAGTACAAAAACCGGTTCTGCAACCGCAAACTGTCAAAAAGTACATAACGCCCATCGAACTGGTGACCAATGATTTCATCAGCAGGTATGTAGAGCATATGAAAGTGCCGCTGATTTTTGCATTCCCATGAAGGGAAGCCGGACGTGATAAACTAATATTTGTTTTTTTTTATTTCCGCAGAATCGAAAACATCAAGGACCACAACGATGAAGTGCCGGCCGATTTTGACAATGAAATTCACAAGTGGGCACTTGAGTGTAAGTATCGACACTCGCGCGGCTAATAACAATAAGAGTCGAAATTTCAAAGACTGGCAAAACATCGATCCAATTACAAAAAAAGGCATTTCTCGAATTCTCCGCAAACTTTTGCTAACATTTTTATCGTAAAGAAAAAATATCGCGCCTTTATTGATTCACCATCAATGTGCGTTCGAGTCTTGCGTTAATACGTAGTTTATTAGGAAGCATAAAATACGAGAGGGGAAAAAACGAGTGGTAATGGCGTTGAATGAAACAATATTAATATTAAAACAATTTCCAATCATAGGTATTGGTCGAGTCGCTCTGGACGTGAGATTGGGCTGTTTGCAACAAGGCGAAGCTGGCCAACTATCTCCAGACTCGGAACCTCAGAAGATCATCGACGCCGCCAAGTACGCCCTGAGAAACGTCGCGACGTTGGAATTGAAAGCACCGTACTGGCGTTACATACCCACACCTCTTTGGACCCGCTACGTCCGAAATATGGATTATTTCGTCGAGTGAGTGAATTTTCTCGTGATTATTTGCATCGATCATCGGCCAAACTGATTCGAGCATGCATTTTACAGGATCTGCATGAAGCACATAGACGCGGCGATCGAAAGACTCAAAGAGAAGAAAAACAACAATGCACAGGTGCACGAGAGCGAGCTTTCCCTGGTCGAGCGTATTTTGGCCAAGGAAACCGATCCCAAGATGGCTTACATTCTTGCTCTCGATCTTATACTCGTTGGAATCGATACGGTAACGTGAATCCAAAGAAAGGAAAATTTCAAAAATCATCTAGACCTGAAAATGTTGTGTAATGGTTTGACAAACGAGATTAGCCACTCCTAATGGTAATATTTTGTACTTTTAATAGATGAGATGGAGTAATTTTTTATATTCTTCGCAAGCTCTTAAAATTTTAGGCTGAATATAAAACAAGTTACCACGAATTGAAAATGTTTCGAGACACAAATCTTTGTTATTTTATAAGTTAGCACACAGCATTTTCAGATACGGTCTCTCCAATTTTTTAATCCTTTTTTTCATGGGGCAACCTGGTATAGTTGCCAGGAGTGCCAAGAAATCATGTACTGTAATTGAGCTTTTAGCAAGAATGTTTATTTTTAGATATCGATGGCTGTGTGTTCGATAATGTATCAACTCGCCACGAGACCAGAAGAGCAAGAAAAAATTTATCAAGAAATCGCGAGAATAGCCCCAGACACGAGCAAACCCCTGAGCCCGAGCGATCTCGATCGAGCGCACTACATGAAGGCTTTCATCAAGGAGGTGTTTAGGTACGTATTGAATATAATGTGGGGGCGCGTTTGACATTACGACTCATTGCGTGGGTTTGTGCGCCCACAGAATGTACTCGACTGTCATCGGTAACGGCCGGACTTTGCAAAACGACATGGTGATTTGCGGATATCACGTGCCAAAAGGCGTCCAGGTCGTATTTCCGACCTTGGTCACAGGATGCATGGAGGAGTACGTCGAGGACGCGGCCACCTTCAAACCGTCCAGATGGCTCAAGGAGTCCTCCGGTCAGAAGCTGCATCCCTTCGCGTCTCTGCCTTACGGCTACGGCGCTAGGATGTGCCTCGGTCGCCGATTTGCCGATCTCGAGATGCAGGTCTTATTGATGAAGGTACGCTCATGCCCCGGCTAACTTAACATTACTGTACAATCATTCGAGTATATCGAGCAATTACAACCATTTTATTTTCAGTTGATTCGCAAATACAAGATTGAATACAATTACGAGCCACTCAAGTACAAAGTGACATTCATGTACGCGCCCGATGGTCAGCTCAAATTCAACATGATCAACAGAAATAACTTGAACCAAAGTCCGAGCATAGCGAATGATTAATTTCCTCTACTTTTTTCTTTTACTTTAATGATAAAATATTTGTAATTGTTGAACTGATTGATATTTTGTATTATACACATTCAAACCGTTATATCATAGTTGTGCAATGTATAGTTAAACCGCAATTTTAGCAATTCTTTATGAATATATTATATATTAAGTTATTTCGTCGGGGTTTTAAACTAATTTTTAAACAAGATATAATATGTAATATAATATGTATATGTATGATTATTTATGTATATTTCCATGCATGTATGTGACATTTCGAAAGAAAAAATATTTTTTTCACATGTCAAAGAAATTATCAAAAGTATTAAATATATTTACTTTAATGTAAGATTGATTAAAAATAGCATTTTTATTGCGACATAAATTATTACTTTGGTCGTAAAAGAGAGAAATTATGGATTACAAACTTTTTTATTACAAAATAAAAAAAAGTAATTTCAGCTCTTAATAGAACCATTTTCTAAGCAGTACATAAAATCTATTCAATAATGTAATATAAAATTATATGTGTATGCATATGATAACATTTTTTCTATCGAATACATTTAAAGTTAAAAGACTTTAATATCTAAAATATTCACCTCTCTATAAATTTCAATTTCAATGGCCCTTTGGGTGTGTACATTGGGTCGATATAGTAATCTAATTTTTCATAATGATATTCGACTTTGTATTTCTTGAAAATCTGCAAAATAAAAATAACACTTATGATTAAACCACATTAAAACTTGTTGAATAAAAATTTATATTTCTATCTTGATCTTGTAGAGAACATTCTTTAACGGAGGCGCGTGAGATTCATAAATTTTGAGCTACAAAACACTAAATTGTGAGCGTTATGCAATACTCGTCCTTATATGAGCCTGAGATGAAAAATATTTCGTTCTAATTTACCTGAATCGATGGTGAAATTATGTTATGATCGAACGAATTGCTAGGAGTGAGCTAGAGGCGTGCGTGCTGCAGTATGCTAATTTCCAACTGTATTTTACTTCGAACCGACAATTTTAATACAAATTCGGATAAAACACGATCTCCTGAACAAAAATTTGCATTTCACCGGAACAAAAAAACGAGTTCTACATGATTTGGAAATAACATTTCAAACAGTCAAGGCAAAATCTTGACGCAGGCGTGGAAAAAATGAGAAGTGGAATTCTTTTGCAGAATTTTTTTCCTACGCGTGCTTGTAATTGATGAATCATTATATTAAATTATTTAATTTCAAAAGTGTACAATTAAAGGAAAAATTTTTAAATAAAAATGTTATATTCAAAATACTCCATATCATTGAATTAATTGTTTCGCTTGAACGAAAAAATAAAGTAAACTGTCGCAATAAGTTTCAACAACGTTGTGTTGGTTTTTGATCCAAGCACATGGAAAACAGTGCGCATAACGGACCAAAAAAATATTTCCATCGGTACAGTGGCGACATTGTTAACTACAAAAGCAAATCTTTGCGATATAAATAATTTTTACGAGCAAACGAAGCACTTGGCATCGTACTCGTGCTTTCTCGACAGTCACTCATTTTTTTTAAAAGCCTCTACGGCTGAAGGTCTTTTTTATCATTGTATTTTCTAGAAGAAAATTAAATAGGTGTTGCAATGCGCGGACAAACGCGAGGCACGCGCGCGAGACTAATGATTTTTTAAGTTGACCAGTGTTTGCCAATACTAATACGATGGCTACATAGATATATTATGTACGACAACGCATTGTTTTTGACTTCCGAAGCTACGGCTGGCAATGCACGCAATGTGATGGCAGGATACCGTGTATTATTTTACGACCTACATTAACTACTTGCTCGCGAAATTTTATGACTATTCGTTGCTGCTTTATAATTATCTTTACATTTATGCTAGAGGAGAAAAAAAAAATTCTCTAAGAGCTATTTTTTACATTTTAATATTTTTTTTTTATTCGATAAACCAATTTTCATGAGCTATTGATGAGTTGGGCATGAGCACAATATTTTTTTACAAGTAGACCAACTAATTAGGCTTATTATAGACATTTTTTGCAGATGTCCAAGTGACTTCCGAGTCAATTAAGTTTTTGAATTACGTAAGGCATTTCACAACAGTGAAAATTATTTCTCATCTCCTCGAGGGTCGATTTGTGATTGAATTGAGTCTCAATATCATTATTATGTATAACTTTGCACATTTCAGTGAAGTGTTCATCTTCAGTGAGAGAATACTCGAAACCTGATACTACATATACACGATTAAAAAAAACATTGGCAGTGTCGGGATATTTCAAACAGACTCTAGTGAATATATTTTGCAAGCACGTGCGAATTTTTGATCCTTTTTACGACAAGGTCGAAGCAGTGAAAGTTAAAGAGAATTCATCTGCTCAGCAAAAATGACCACAGCTACATCGTTATTTATTCTTAAATTTATCCATCTTACTATTGCCAAATTTGAAATTTAATTAAAATATAACAAAAATAAAACTCACATTTCTTCATTTTTTTATGATAGGAGCAACGTAAAAAGTGAGAGGTCAAATTATTTATTCATACATTTTTCACAGTTATTTTTTGAATTTGGTCTGAAGATTTGAAATAATGTAAAACTACGAAAGCCATACGGCTGTATTCAATGATCAAGGACTTTCGATAGTGAGACGTAAGATACTGTAAACTATATATTTTGTAATGTAACGATCTTGATAACACTCTTTTTATGCATCAAAAGAAACTGAAAATCATCAAATAAATCTTCGTTTGACAATATATTTTTAAGTTAGAATACGACCGTTCTATGTAATAAAGAATCATTAAATAATACAATAAATAATAAACAAATATTAATAGAAAAATAATTTTCAACTGATTATATATTAACATCAGTTTAAATGAAAAAACTCTAAAGAATAAAGATTACTTTAGTCACTACGAATTTGGCTAATTTCACCCTCTATAAAATAGCTATTTGATCAGTGAACTGAAAAAAATTTTTATATTAAAAATGAAAGATTACTTTAGCCCTTATTTTTTATACTATCACTTCTGGTATACCCTGATAATCTATAAGATTTATTTCATAGAACATGGAAAAAATAAGAAGCCGAACATGGAAGAAGCCGAGACTCTATTCCCCAATGTCGTTGTGTGCGCTAAAAATCTAGTGGATTAGACTATTCAGGGTAAAATTAGTACAACCATTTCTAGGAACTCGTACCCTACTTTTCCTCTGAATCGACCCTTTGATATTAAAAACGTTCATATTTCAATTGTACGTTTTTAAATTATTTGTTTGGACAAACTGTGATTAATCTACAACTTGAGTGGATTATATGTTAAAATTTCGAAGATGAAACCTTACCTGTGGTTATGTTTCTTACGCTAATTTTTCATGCCCAAAAAATAAAAATTTCATTTGCTTCTAATATCGAGAAAAGGTTGTAATAGAGTATATTCAAAATATATTTTTTAATAAAGTATGAAATTGTGAGTTTACTTTTTTCCTTGGGTTTCCGTGGCTCAAAAGAAAATTATGTTCGTTTGAACTTTTGAAAAGGTAAGATGTATTATGTACCTTGCTGAGAAGAATGAGTATTTCGAGCTCTGCAAATCTGCGCCCGATGCACATGCGCCGTCCATAGCCGAAGGGCAACGAGGCGAAGGCATGTCTCGCGGGTGGCGCTTCGGTGCTGCCCTGGCCGATCCATCGCTCGGGTATGAAGCTCGAGGCTTTGGGAAAGTATCTCTCGCTGTTGCTGATGACCCAATGTTGGAAGACGACGTGTACCTGCGTAAACGTGGATCAATGTGGATCGATATTCGCTCAAGATCAAGATCAACTTACGCCCTTGGGGACTTGGTAGCCGCAGATGACGGTGTCCTTCTGAGTGCATCTGCCGTTGCCGATGACCACCGGGTACATCCTGAATCGGAATCGTTAAAATGAGTCAATTAGAGCCGAAATTCGAGATAAGAAGAGTATAAGAAGAGGAGACAGAACCTTTGAGTCTCGCGAACACAGGCCTTGAGGTACTTGAGCTGGTCGAGGTGTCGCGGCTCCAGTGGTCCGCCCCCTTCGGGCAGGACCCGGTTGAGCTCCTCGTGGAGCAGCTGCTGCTTCTCGGGGTGCAGGGCCAGTTGGTAGAGGACCGATCCGACCGAGTTCGACGTCTATGGAAATAGAAATATTATTAGCTGCCGACTAGATGAGCTAAATTGATCATTAATCGTTACCGTGTCGATGCCCACGAGGAAGAGGTCAAAGGCCAAGACGGTGGCGAGATGAGCGTCGCCCTCCTGTCTGAGGACCCGCTCGAGCAAGGATAGGTCGTCGCTGCCCTCGGGCTTGGGGCATCGCTGGGCTCGCTCGAGGGCCTCGCGCGTGTACTTGCTCGTCGTCGCCAGGATGACGTCGAGGGCGCCGATGTATCGTTTCCAGGCCGGCGTCGGCCACAACTTCCAGAAGGGGATTTTCAGCTCGAGGGGCCCGACGTGCTTGAAGAACGTCAGCACGGCTTCGATCAGGGCTTGCGTCTCGGCTGGAGGATCTTTGCCCTCGTCAAGACAGCCTAGCCTCACGTCCAATGCTACTCGGCCAATCGCTGTTGGTACAGTTATGATATAATTTTTGAGCTTTTTCGAGAAAGTGTATCAATTTTGACCGAGAACACTGTTCTATTAAGCCGAGTTACGTTGAATTCTCATGTAAACAAAATCGGAATTTTAGTGCTACATTTATAAATTCAAGTTGAATAACTGAAATTGCATTATCGCTGAACTTGCTCAAGATTTATTAAGAATGAAAATTTAATCGATTCGTCCGTTGATACGCATTAACAAAGTTACATGAACAGCGTTGCTAAAAATACGAAGGCAGTTGGCGAAAAAATGCAGGTAATTGCGGCTATTATGCAGAAACCGAGGCAAGAAAAAGAAAGATTTTTCACCGAAAATCGCGGCAGCCCGAACGATAGACACGTCGGACGCTTACGTAAGCTCCTGTTTACGAGAAAACAGCACTCATCAATACGTCGACAAAAATATACACATATACGCGTGTACAATATGCGCGATAATAAACAAGAGGTAGTCGTGAAATATTATAATATGTACAGAGTACTCGTTAAAAGGCATCCGTCACGCTTTCGAGGCAGAAATTTCGCAGGCACATAGACGTGACGGGCTCGGCGGAGCTCGGGCACTGCACGCGGACTACATAAGATGTAGCATGTATATTCAGATCGTTACTCGGCTATATGTACGTTTGCAGCTTCTTGGGGACTTACACTCGAGCGACCACTTGTGGATCTCGCTTAAAAAGTTGTCCGGCACTTCGCTTTTCTCGTCCTTGATGTTCTCTATCCTAAAACAAATATGAGAAAAAAAGACAAGCATGAGGACGATTAACGACGGCAACGAGTCGCTTACGTAAAACGACGTCGATCGTTATTCTTTCGATTGTTTTCGGCGACGATTCGTCCTCCGAAAGAGAGCCTGCGATGCAGACTTTCTCGGACGGCGCCGCCGGCGGCCCTTCGCGGGACCGCACGCGCACTCGTTGCGACGACGAGCACGCCGAATACGCAATTACCGCGAATGCGTCTCTCGAGTCAACTTTATTACTTTTTTTTCCTCCGACTGGTTTCATATAAAAATAAAATTATTGCAACTAAGCAATTTCGCAACGAGCGAGGATGTATAGTGCCTTTATTTATAGCCTCAGACCTGCGAACAAAGTCCCGACTGGCCTGCTCGATGCTGCCGATGTACATGCGGGCGGTGCGCGGCTGCAGCATCACCTGCTGGACTTGGCTCCTGAAGTTGTACCAGGCCTCGCCGTGGCTGTCGACAAGTCAAGAATAGATCGAGATGATTAGGAATCGGGGAAAAAGTAGAATAAGACAATTGATAATAAAGTAAACTCACACGGCGATGAGGCCGGCCTTGTCGTCGCCAAAGACGTCGCGACGCAGCTGATGCTTGTAGCGGTGCAGCGAGGGCATGTGCGGACGGTGGGGCATTCGCTCCTCCTGGCGGAAGATCCGCTCGATCTCGTCGGCGTCGTACAGGAACACCATGTCCGGCCGATTCAGCAGACCCCCCAGCCGCACCACGTCCCCGTACTCCTCGTGCAGGCGACGCGACACCTTGTCCACCTCGCTGATCTTGTAATCACCTAATTCGAAAAATCGTTACGCACATATCTTGGAAGAGGATTTTGCTTACAAAAAATCAAGAGTAAGTAAAAAGCATAGCAAAAAGGGGGCGGCGGGCTGCTTTGTGTCGCGCGGTCGTCGTAAAAGCTATTGTATTCATCGAAGCGATTATCGAGCGGCTGCGAATTCCCAAAAAAATGTGATTCACTCGGGTATCCGCTCGATGGCCTACATTAGCGAGCTATTGAACCAAGCCGATTCGTTTACGATTCAAGGTTACCGCTGATCCATAAATGAGAAAACGGAGAGAAATCGCGAAATTTTTTATCCATTCGAACGATATTTTATGTATTACGCGGCAGCCGACGAGCATTGCATCTTCCGCGACGAGTTGGCATAATCGGCCGGCACATCGTATTGAGTAATATAGATCGATTGAGCGATGGACTTTTTTATCGCGACTGCTTTAGGCGAGGAGAGAGAAAAATCGTTACGAGCTTGACGGCATTTTTACAGGCTATTTGATTGAGCTTACATAAGCAGCGTCATTTCTCTCGTATATTTCTCTCTCTCTCTCCCCCTCGTCAGTTCGCACTAATGCACATGACATTTAGGAATAGTATAGTAATTTGCCTTTGGACTTTGAATTGAAAAGCGCCGCGAGGTGCGCGTATAGAGTTCGGTACGCTACAGGCAGTGCGGGGGGGTTCCCACGGACGTTTTCACGAGTTCTAGCGCATGACTGGCGTTACGCACGTGTGTATTCCGTGCAGTAGTCGGTGCACAGTGAAAGTCGTGGACTCTCGCGCGCAGTACTAGTCAAAGGCGCGCTTTATTCTCCGCGTTTCCTTGTCATCGCGTGTAATGCAAGCCAGCGAGAATAAACATTTCTGCAAAAAGCCGCAGAGTATGAACGTTTGAATGCGTTTGAGCGCGCTCGAGCGGGCCGCCGCCTAAGCGAGCGCTCAACTTTGAACTTTTTTCGCGCATGGGCTTTACGAACGCCGCTGCTGCTCTCTACTCGGTGCCACCGCTTATCTCTACGGGCGTAAAACTCTCCGACCGACTCGGCGAAATATTATTTACCAATTAGCGCTCCAGCCTAATCGCTTCGCTCCGTTCGTTTCGACACTTTTTCGCGTACCTTTGCTATTTGCGTCCTTCCCGCTTGATTTTCAAACTAATTCAATTTGACTCATATTTGTATATCGCCCCGTGCAACGAGACACAACTTTCTATCTCATCAATTTTCGTCACGCAGAACAAATAAAGTGCGACATCTTGACAAACAAAAAGAGTCATCGTGCAACATAATTTTTCCCCCTATTAGAGAGTAAATGATGATCGGATTTACCTATGAAAGGTATGAATCGCCAAGTATTGCCGAGAATCGGTATTGGTGTAGGTCCAGGCATCTCCGAGTATGGCCTGGCGTCGGCTGCTTCCGTCAGAGTTTCCATTTTCCGCTTCAGCATCATTTTCACGAGTTCGGCTGGTTTTTCGCCACGGCGAGCTAACAATAACAAAAACATTTATCGTGGCATAAAAGAAGAAAGGCAAAAGTCGTGCAGGCAGCATGTAATAAGCCCCGCGTTAATAAACCCGGAAAACTTGAAACATATACACCGTTATAAATGGCTAAACAACGTTGAAGACGGCGTGAATTTTGCATTGCATAATTTTAGCCGATAGTAATATATTTTCACTCTCAGCTGTAGGCGTCGATACTACTATGTATATATAATATGTATCTGAAATATTATTATACTCACTCAATAGGCCAGCAAAGCTCGTTAGATTCGCCATGCTGCCAAATGCGATATTATACAAGCTATCAGGTGGGTATATAATCGATCGAAATGCGCGCGATTACGTCGTTAGAAGCATAATCGGTTTTGGGCCGCCGCTACTGCTGCCCCTGCAATTAAACATACTCGACGTAAGGCGCATCAAAATCAAGCTATTATTTGTAAAAAAAAAAAAAATAAATGTACATGTAAGCAATGCCGCACTCGACCAGAGCGCCAAGACTTGTTTTCTATTAATCGCAAGGATTATTTTCACTCGCTTTCGCAGCCGGACTCATCTAAACCGGTTCAAACGAAATCAAAAGTAGGTAGGTAGGTATTACGAGCACTCGCGTAACAACGTGTGCGTTGTTGGTTGCTACCGCGCTGCACAGACGGTGAAATGCGCTATTGCCTGATCTGATTATTAGATATATCTCGTGCGCGCGAGAAAAAGAGAGAGTGAGACTATGATTCAATCCGGTCAATCTCCGACGCGTAAGTGTGCCCGTATCTGTGTGTCTGTGTGTGTTCGACGTATTATGTCATGGAGCACGCGGACAAATCTAAGAGAGACCTACTTGTCGCCGTATTCCGCATCTTTTTACTATTTATGAATTTATTAATGCTCATTTCGATTCATTTTTATACAATTTTTCACTTTCATTACACTGTATTTTTAAAGAGAAATAAGGAATTTACCAATTGCCGAAATTTCTCGTCGATGATAAATTATTGCCGAGCCTGTTTACGTGTACCGAAATCAGAAAATGTTCTATTCGTTCGTGTTTCTTTTTCTTCCGCTAAAAAGACGAGAAAAAGTATTTTGACGCATTTTTCAACGAATACAAGACACTCGACCGAGTCCAATTAAATTAAAAAAATTTCGAAAAATTGACATCACCATTGTCAAGCTAAAGAAAAAATACCTTCAGAACGATATCGAGCTTAACAATTAATTTGCATAAAAATTGTAATTCTCGAACGAACTCGAGTCAATGACACGACGATTTGAACGTCGCGCGCGAAGTAGTGACGCGAGACGTTAGACGTTAGTCAGATGGAACAGTATGAGAATTCGACTTACCTGCTGGGATCGTTAGAAAAAGAAACGAAAACACAATCGAGAAAGGTGAGCAGTAGTAGTTGACAGGAGAGACGAAGAGGCAGCGGCGAAACGCGTCGGTGTCAATTTCGCCGGGAACAGGGAATGAGTAGACGAGGTGCGGGAGCCGATCCGTTCTCTGGCTCTTACCGATAGAACGATCGGTTTTGTTTTGAAGGCTCTCGTGGACAAGCTCGTGGCTTGGAATCGCACACGCGCTCCTGTATATACGTTATGCGCTTTAACGCTTCGCACACCCGAAAGTGGGAGCAGCGAAGCTCTTAAAAATCCGCGAGCCGTCGCAAAAGTAGGAGTCCTCGAGAGCCCCACGCGCGCACCGCAACGTATATACACGAGCCACGCGGTTCTTTCGGTCTTTCTCCCATTCGACATAAAAAAAGGCAAGCAAAAGGAGAAGACGAAAAAAATCATATATGTGTACATATTCGAGCTCTCGTAATGTCACTTTCTTTCGAGTGCCTACTCACACACTCATCACACAGACGAGCAAAGTCAGGCAGACGCGATGCGCGCCTATACATACATGTGTGTACGCGTGTAGGTAGGAAGAAAAATATTAAAAGGCATAATGGCAGTGTTGCACCCATGGCTGCGTCTTCCTCGTTCCATCATTTGTATGCGTTCGCACATTATATGAACGCGAGTACTAAAACGATTTCGCAACGACGTCTCGCTCAAAACATCCAAGTGGACGTGACGAGCTTCCGCTTGAAATTCTCAATATTTTCCAACTGACTATGTTAGTCAATCAGAGTTTCCACAAAGCTTGTGATTGCAGGGGAGATAATGAACGAAGCTGCGCATAAACGAATACCTATTTCTGTGTCCGGAGAAACACCCGAGCGCGAATATTAGTCTGGAGCAAATATTGATTCTCGCGCACAGTGAAGCAACAATTTCGAGCCTCTCGGTACCTATGAATCTATTGTATTGTTGCGGCCGCGACAAACTCGCGCACGATTGAGCTGCGCACGGCCTTCTGTGACACGAAACAACTTTAATTGACATTTCAAATTCATTTTTCATCTCGCGAAGTCGAGCATTTCGTTTGTTGTTTTCAATGGGTTTTCTGCACCGAGCAGCTAGATTATGGGTATGATTGAATTTGGTGGCTTCTTGCGAGCCTTTCTGTTTCTCCGTGAGCACGCACTTGGCAAATTTCACTTCGCGACTTCCAAGAAACAGCATAAACCGCGATACTTACAATTACATTAATAAGTGTAAAAATATAAATGAATACTAGCGAGGACCTTGGATCGGTGTGAAAATATCTAGTTCCATGCTTAAATACAGGCAAACACGTATTATTACTTCATCCTCGCGCTACGAGCATCGTATTGTCTTTTTCATTTCGACCTCGCGATGGTCAACACGTCCATGCAATGATGTTTTTCTGTTTAAATAATTAATGTACAGCAAAGCTAATGTAAGATGGGAAACCGTCGACGAATTTAACTGGTGCAACAACTAAATTCATCTTTTATCTATTATAAAACAAAGTTTATTTCTGTTTGTCCTTTATGACCTCAAAAACTATTTGTCCGATCAGCTTGAATTTTTTACCACGCATTCATTGTACTGCTAGAAAGATTTCTATTTTATATTGAAACAATTATTTGTTCCATTATTTTTGAGCTAAGAATTTTTCTCTTTTTTCACCACATCTCGCTCGTAAATTCGCTCGGTCAATTATTATAAAAATAGCATATTACTGCCCTAGGCCGGTATGATATTTTACACACCTTGTGGCCCGAAAATAACAATATTCCGTTTAGCGCAGTGACAGGAAAATGCTACTTTCGGGCCGCTGGTATGTAAAAACATGTGTAGTTATTATAATTTACGCGCGATTAATCATCTTATAACGTCTTATATTTGATGTGTAAATGTGTTATTACGCTGACATATTTTTATATCATTACAATTAGTTTGGACTTAACTTAGATATTCCCTGCTTTTCACAATGACAACTTGACGAATTTGTTTGCATATATGCCAATAGGCAAAACTACAAATATTATGTACCCGCAAGCTTTCGCGTATCTATCGAACAAAAAGTCTGTATAGACTGTATAGACTCACTTTGCATATTCATCTTCACAATTCTTCGTATAAATTGAAAGTGGGAGAAGCCACGACGGGGTCGCTAGTGAGTTATAATTAAAAATTGTTCTGATATCAAATAGAAACGGTTAAAAAATTATACCAAAATGAAATATAATATCTATGAAATACTTTTCTGTCTTTCAAATATTGTAAAATATTCCATTGCTTCGCAGATATTTATATTATTATTGATTTATTACGTAGAGCTGACTCGTTACGAGCGCGTAAATTTTATTACTTTATCGTTTCTATTCCAGTCTTCGATGGCCCTTTACATAATATTTTATCCAAGTTTCGACTAGTCTACAGTCAAAAATCTGCTGAAGGCATCTGGGGGAAATCCAACAAAAATTTTACATAAGAAAATTTGTCCTGAAAATGAGTAAACCAAACTTTATCACACCGATAATAAATCAAATTAATTATTACACACAAACAAACCGGGACACCGGCGATGGTGCCATGAAGTTTTCCACCTATTTTTGATCGATAACTCACAAGCCCATCATCAATTCATCAATTATATAGAAAAAATGTTAAGCAAAATTAAATAACCATTCCATTCCAGGATGAAATCTTCTTGATTTTCTTTGCTTCAAGGGCTCAGACCTGTATCAAATCCTGTAAATTAAAAAATATGAAAATTAAATATTGATATTAAATATAACGAAAAAATAGGGTGTAGGGCTATGACATTCGATTACGCAGACAAAAATATGGTTGATCGATTTTTCACGATGTTAGTACCACGTTTTTAAGCTATCGACACCGCTTCCCGCAACGCTTCAGAGATTTTAAACCGTGCTTTCTTTTTGTAAAGACTTGAATTTTAAGAATCTGCATGATGCTAACGCGATTTCGAAAATTTCCGCAAAAGTGAACAGCCATGATGCACTATTTTTTTTGAGAAAATACGATGGGGACATCGATACGGTCGATAATTTTTACCAATTGATTTGATCGGTTTATCCGAATTCTAAAAAAGAGAAAACGTTGTGTACAAAAAAGATTTATAGAAACACCTGCATCTCGATGGAAATGAATAAAAAATGTATTTTTTTACAATTTAATTCCTCTCAAAAATAGTTCAAATAAAGTATTTAAGTCAATCCGAATTTGCTAAAAATAATCGATAAATAATAATTTGAAACTATTAGCTTAATTGTCATTGAGAAAAAAACCCGCTGCCAATTCATTGGCAAAATTCAGTACTTCTCAACAGGTATCATAGATCGCGTGATAAAGCATTAGAATTAATTAATGTCTTAACGTTCGAACGTTTAATTTCAATTTTATATAATTTAAACTATTAATGGAATTATATTGTATTTAATCATTTTATAATAAATCATTATTAAATTGATTGAAAAAAGTCATTTCAACGTATTGTCAAGAGTAGCTAAAATGTTTGAATTTAGCTGTACGCATGTATGCGTACCACGTGCTTGAGCAGCTACAGTAGCAACTTTGCGACGCAATTACGTCATCAACATGTACGCAACACACATACAGTGCGATGTTGTTTGGATATACTGCGTTTAAATAAAAAAATCATTCGTATAAATTGGGAATTGACGAGGCAATGAGCAATGAGCATCCAAAAAAAACCATGAATTCAACGAAATAGATTAGCGCACAGTGGTCAAGGCATCTTTTCATACGTGCGCAGCAGACGCTTCCTTAACTTTTTCCGCGCGACCTCCTAACTTATCGTGTTCGTTCGTACTTCGTATGGGCCAGACAGTAGCAGCAGCACCAGCAGCAGTAGTCAATTCAACCTTCTGCACACCATCATAATAATAACTATCGAGTTTAGGCTTCTGCTGCGAATGTAAGCAATATCAGAGTAACATTTAATTATTCTAATAATTCAATCTTGCTTGATAATCTATCATCTCGTGTGTAATATACACACACGTACAGGAAAGAGTTGCGTTGCAAATGTGAATCGGTCAACTACAATCGCGATTAACGCTGAGTTCTAGTTAAAAATAGGTGTCAAGCTCGCATCGCATAATTATTTATACGAGGTACGCATTTGGTTCTACATTGACAATAGAATGTTCCAATGGCTGTATAGTCTACCTGTCTAATCGTTGCAAACTGAGCTGCGTGCTCGCTCGACAGCGTGGATCTATCGATTGTTCCATTTCCCATTTTTATTCTTATTGATCTTATGTTTTGAGGTTAGATACCTCATTGTTTTCTGCCCCAACGCGCTAAACAATTTTTGATTCTGCTTGATGCAGATTATGTTTTTCAACTCGATTGACACTTTTATATCTTGATTCATTTTTTGTAAGGAAAAACGTGTTGATTATGTTACAGATCTCGTCGATGAATACTTAGTTCTCATTTGTATGAATAACTCTCCTGGGATATTATGTCTCAAGAGAAACAGGTTCTTAAAAAGCTCCTCTATTCTTTATAAACAAAAATTCATAAAGAATTTTTACTAGCACTGGCTGATGTGTATTGATCTATTTTGTTTTGTATGTAGCACAAATGAAAAATGTATTGTTTATCTGACAATACAATATTTCATGCCATTTAAACTATAATGTATTTGCAAAATCAACTCTTAGAATTAATCTTCTTATTAAAAAACAATTTTTTGTATTTTACAACTCTATCTGTGTATATATGAATTTTTATTGATGTTACTCGTGTGTAAAATTATAGTTATTTAGATGTAAAATTACCTGTTAAAGATATGAATATCTGTTATGTACTATTTCAATTAGTGGATAAATTGTAAAGCCTGATTGATGCTTGATTCTCTTATGTTTTGATTCCAGTTGCAATCCTGCATGCTTCGCAATCAAACGTCAACACCAGCAGAGCACCCTATTAAGATTATTTTGCCAAGCATATTCACTCAGTAGTAGTTCTAAGTTGCTGTAAGCAATGGCTGCATATATTAATCGCACAGTTTCTATGATTGCTGGAGATAAACAAAGCAGAACAAATGATATACGAACTGAAAATTCTCCTCTACAGATATTTGTCAAGGCCAAAAAGAAAATAAATGATATATTTTTAGAAATTGATGATTATGTTGATGATACAGTACGATTCATTGACTGTGAGTTTTACCTTTTACCATATTAATAATATTTGTATAAAAATAAAACTTTTTTTTCTGTAGCATTGAAAGATGACCACAAGATCATTGCCCAAGAGGAAGTTCAGAAAGTTGAAGCCTACAAAGATAAAGTACAAGGAATCAGATACGTTCTTAAAAGAGATCACATGAAAGTTGCTTTTTTTGGAAGGTATCTGTCAATCTTATCAGTTTAAAAATTCATCTTTTTTTCAAATTTTTGAAAATAAATTTTTTTTACAGAACAAGCAATGGAAAAAGTACTGTTATCAATGCTATGTTGAGAGATAAAATTTTACCAAGTGGTATAGGTCATACCACCAACTGTTTTTTGCAAGTTGAGGGATCTGATGGTGAGGAGCCTTATTTGATAACAGAAGGTTCTGATGTTAAACAGCCAGTACAGTCAGTTGGACAACTAGGTCATGCACTTTGTAAAGAAAAATTATGCGAAAGTAATTTAGTGCGAATATTTTGGCCCAAAAGTAAGTGTTTGCTGCTGCGCGACGACGTGGTATTTGTCGACAGTCCCGGTGTTGATGTTACACCAAATCTCGATGAATGGATCGATAAACATTGTCTTGATGCAGATGTCTTTGTATTAGTAGCAAATGCTGAGTCTACTCTTATGTTAGCGGTTAGTAGGATTAATATTTTTCCAAGATTACATACATAAGAAATTAGAAAATAATCAAAAATTTAATTTATAGGAAAAAAATTTCTTCCATAAAGTTTCAACAAAGTTATCAAAACCAAATATTTTTATTTTGAACAATCGATGGGATGCTTCTGCTTCGGAACCAGAATTTTTAGATGAGGTAACTAAATTACTTTGTACAAAAAATATTATTTATATAGTGACATAAATTTGACGTGAAAACTTAATTTATACTAAAGCAGCTTGATGAACAAAAAGAGGTAAGATCTCTTTTAAAAGATCTCAAAAAAATATTAATTTGTATTTTGCACAAAAATATTTTCCATAAAACACAAATATTTTCAATACATACTTGTTTTTCCATAATTGTATTCATTGATAAATGGTACTATTTTATGCAGATAATGCTCAATATGTTGTGTTCACTCACAGTTGATATTTATAATGTGCTGAAAAAAGTAATTTACAAATATTTGATTTAATTTAGGTTCGAGCCCAGCATCAAGACCGCGCAGTGGATTTTCTAGCTCGTGAACTCAGAGTCTATAATACGAAAGATGCCGAAGAGCGAGTTTTCTTTGTTTCCGCTAAAGAAACTCTTCAAGCTCGACTCAAAGAACAAAAAGGCGAATCTGCTCACAGTAAATCTACGGCAAAACATGAAAATATTTATGAAATGACCAATTATAGTGATTGGCTTAAATTTTTTCTAGGTGGTGCCTTGGCCGAAGGTTTTCAAAATAGATATTTTGAATTTCAAGATTTTGAAAGGAAATTTGAAGAGTGCATTTCCAAATCTGCTGTGAAAACTAAATTTGAGCAGCATACTCAACGTGGAAAGCACATCTCTACGTGAGTCCCGACATCGACATTTTTATAATCAATCGCATCGCGTGAACAATGTATTTTATTTTATTTTATTCACATTTCAGAGAAATTCGACAAACTCTTAATGAAATCCTGGACCGTACTCAAAAGATGAAGGCAGAGCAAATGAATGCACAAAAAGAGGTGCGTGACAAGTTAAATTTTACGGAACAGCAACTCATTTTACTGACTCAAGAAATGAAAGACAAAATACATCGGATGGTTGAAGATGTGGAGCAACGAGTCTCCAAAGCATTGAACGAAGAAATACGACGTCTAGCTGTCTTAGTAGACGAATTTAATTTAAAATTTTATTCCGAACCATTAGTTCTCAACGCCTACAAAAGTCAACTACATGTGCATGTGGAAAACGGTTTGGGTTCGAATTTGCGCGCTCGGCTCAGTACGGCTTTAGCTCTAAATATCGAAAATTCGCAACGTGAAATGACTGAAAGAATGTCATGTCTGTTACCTGAGAACAAAAAGCAGGTGTCTATGAACGTACTGCCAAGAAGGGAGCCATTTGAAATTTTATACAGGTTGAACTGTGATAATTTGTGCGCCGATTTTCACGAAGATTTAGAGTTCAGGTTTACCTGGGGCCTTACTGCTATGATCAACAGATTTGCTGGAAAACACCGTAATAATCAGAGACTAGCCATCACCAATTTACCACAAGAGGTATGTAGTTATATTGTTTGGTTTTTTTCAACTTTTAACGAGGTAAATAACGTTTTTTTTCTTTCAGATTCCTCAAGCTCTCATATCACCCGCTGACAGCATAGACTCATCCAAATTTGTATCGACCACAAATTATTTCGTTCCACCTAGGAATGACGATTGGTCTTTATCTACCAAAATAGCATTAGCTTCAATTACTTCACAAGGAACAATGGGCGGTTTACTTCTAGCTGGTTTCGTAAGCTTAAAATTTATGATACTTTATCGTTAATAAGTACAATAATATTAAAAATAATAATAATAATGAAATATCTATAACACTATCCAGATGTTAAAAACAGTTGGCTGGAGGTTGATAGCCGTAACCGGTGCCATTTACGGCACGTTGTATTTATATGAACGTATGACATGGACGAACAAAGCTAAAGAGCGTGAATTTAAGAAACAATATGTTAATCATGCTACACAAAAATTGAAACTCATTGTGGATCTTACCTCCGCTAATTGCAGTCATCAAGTTCAACAGTACGTACTTTTAATTATAACGAATCAAGACAGTTATTAGCATTTAATTATTATATTAATATGGCCTCTTTTTCAGGGAATTATCAAGCACGTTTGCGCGACTGTGCCATTTGGTCGATGAGACTACAAACGAAATGCATAGCGAAGTAAAGACTATCGACAAGACCCTTCGAACTTTGGAGGAAGCAGCGACCAAGGCCAAAGTACTCAGAAATAAGGCAAATTATTTAACGAACGAACTCGAATTATTTGATTCAGCTTATTTGAAATCATTACACTAAATTAGCATCGTTCTTCGCAAAGAAATTTGCACATTTTTCGAGCGAATTTTACGGATCGATCTAGATTTATTGAATGTATATATCTTGTCAAATGCTAAAAAAAATTCTCCTTTTTTGAGAGAACATTTTCTTACCCAGGCACTAAGTCGAAGTCACAGAGGACTGTTTCTTAGTCTTTAAAAAATTCTAGTCTCAGTTACTCTTACACTAGGTATTTAGTTCTCTTGGTTGCTATTTGACAAACTAGCAACTACTGTTGATCTATTTTTTTTATAATTGAGTCTGTTACAATTTATTTACAAATTTGAACAAAGAAACAATTTTATAACATTGATTTCTAATTTCATGATCAGAAAAAATTATTGATTTTTAGCAAGTGCAAATTTGATTAAGTTATTTCTAGATCTTTAGACTATTTATTTTTTATTTGAATGATTGAATTAAGCTGCGCTTAAAAAAACTATTAATATCTACTTTATATATGTATGTAAAAACAATTCAAAAATTTAGAATAAAAAACGATTGATTGTTGAATAATAATTGCTCTTATCAAGTGTTCTAATTAATACCTATTTATTTGAATTTTTCATTACATTGCAATGACGCTCAACATGAACGTCAATTTTGCATTAACAATAAATGAACATCTTTAAACAGCTGCGTTGATAATTTCCGTGTACTTTTTGATTTTACTGGCGACACTCATGTCAACATATTTATCACCAATAGATATAATCATACCACCAATTATGGAAGGATCAACTTTAGTAGTGAGTTGAATATTTTGTCCCTTTTTCAGCGATGCCTTCATTGCAGCTTCAAGTTTGGCCTTGTTGTCAGCATCAAGGGGCTTAGCTGTGATAACTTCACATACAACTTCTCCTCTTTGAGCTGACATAATCAATTTAAAATGATTGATTATGGTATTGATGTTAGCCAATCTTCCATTTTCAGCAAGAAGGCACAGAAGATTTGCTGTAGCTGGATTGAAAGAGCCTCCAACTTTTTTGAAAGCTTCTACTTTTGTTTTGCGCTGAATAGTTGGATCTTTGATAAATTCAGCTAATTTTTTATCAGTTTTCAATAATCCCTAATACAAAAGAGATGATTTATAAATTGCTACTTGTATTTGTAATGTTTATTCAATACTCACTTGGAACTTAACGAGGTCTTTTTCAACCACATCTAAGGATTTTTGTTTGCTAGCAGCAGAAAATAGTGCCATAGCATAACGACCTTCCAATCCGAATACTTGCAGAGTTGGCTAAAAGTTTATAGAATTTACTAGTTTCGGGTTTTCAAATTATCTTCGATAAATGTAAACTTTCTTACCTTGACCATCTGCTGTGTCGCGGAGGACGATGAAAACGTCCTAGCCTGTTGAATAAAATAAAGTTATTACGTTAAATAATGGATATTATACAAAATTATTATATAAGAAAATAGATTAAACTAAAATATTACTCATTAAACTATGAGATAGGATAAATTTGAGTCCAAGTATGAATCTTGCAATATATAAAATACAATTCCATGCAAAGGAATTAATAATAATATTTTAATGTTATGAAGACAAAAATATTAATTTAATAATTAATAAAACCTATTTGGATGCAAGGTTAGGTTTTATCATTCGTTAGATTAATTCGACAACATTGACATTGATTTCCCAAAAAACTATTCACGCCTTAGGATTAGACTTCCAAAATTCATAATAAACATTGAAAAGTAAACTTACGAGAACTCCCAACTTAGAGGTGGTAGCCATATCGGATGGAAAGTGTTATGCAGTTTCCAAAAAAATGACAAAAAGCTTCTTCGCACACTTTGTGACGTACGGAACGGTTTCACATAACCAAATTATCTCCTAAAATTGGTTGCATAAGTACAACGCTAGAATTCCTGCAGACTACAACTAGAGACTCTAGGCCTTACGAGTTTGCGCTTTAAACTCGATGCCGATGTAAAAACTGAATTTGATGAATCTGTAAATAAACTTGTTGAAATTTGCAACAATTAAAATTCTGTATGAAGCATTACGATAAAATAATTCAATTAGGATATGAAAAACAAAAAGTTAACTTACTGTCAACCAAAATTTTGATTTTATACAAATGAATCATTCGATATTATTAATTAAATTATGAAAAAGAAAATATTGGAAATTGTCATCTACTTTTTTATATTTCCTAAGCCCTCATTAAATTATTAGGTTTGTGAACAAAAAAGGTATAATAGGAAACCCTCATTTTACTGTAGAAAATGTATCAAATAAAGGATTTAAAAATATTTTAATCCTCTTGTTTTCTTTAAAATAAGACAATAATACGCTTGTAAACAAGGTATTTGTTTTCATAATAAAATAATCTAGAGCTATGAGACTTGTTCTAGTACTTGATAAAATTCATACGTCCATTGAACATTATAAAATTTTCCTGTGAACTGGGTAAATTACACGGTGAAATTTGGGCGATAACGCGTACGATCATTATTTTATTGCCACTTAAAAACCCGATAGCAGACATGTGATGAGCATGGTACCAAGTAGCTATGCATCATGAGCTCACATGTGTCGTCTGCATTTTGTTATGCTTTTTTCTTCTCTGACAAGTAACAAAATTTCGAACAATGTATCAACTAGTTGCATTTCTATTATGAAAATTAAAGCATTGATTTATTCAGTCATTCTGTGTAGATAGCTGTTTGTGTGAAGAGGGACATTTTACTGTCACCTTGATAATAAATGTTTTTTACATAGCATATTCAATTGTTAAAGTATTCATTGTTGTGTGATCATGTAAACATAACCTTGTACGCGACTGTGCAAGTATAAGTATTATTAAATAAAGACATTTTTCAATAGGTTTGTTTATAGTTATTTGCGTAATAAATTTTAAAATGACATCAAGAACTTCGTACATTACTCAAGAAGGACCCGCTAATGCGCTGGCTCTGAATAAGGATAATTCGCAGGTGGTCATAGCTGGTAGAAATGGTACGATGAACCTAATGTATTATTTTAGAAAAATGTACCACAGTTTGTTATTTCATAAATTTTTGTTTAGTATTCAAAATATTTACATTACTTGATGACAAGTTTGAAGAGTTTTGCAATTTACGTGTTGGAAAGAACTTGAATTTAAACTTTTCATGCAATGATGTTGCTTGGAATCTCATCGAAGGTCAGTTTTTAAGTTAAAAATTTTATTGAAAAAGTTATTGATGGTTTTTTATTAAATATTGTTTTTAAATATTTAGATCATCTGTTGGCTACAGCAGCAACTAATGGAGCTGTTGTTGTTTGGAACTTGAACCGTCCTTCAAGATCTAAGCAAGAACATGTTTTTATTGACCATAAACGTACTGTTAATAAAGTTAGTTTCCACACATCAGAACCTATGCTACTAATTTCTGGTTCACAAGATGGTACTATGAAATGTTTTGATTTAAGAACAAAAGAAGCTACAAAGACGTTTTATAGCAATACAGAATCTGTTCGTGATGTTCAATTTTCCCCTCATCAAGCTCATACATTTGCCGCTGTTTCTGAAAATGGTCAGGTACAGTTATGGGATATGCGAAAAGCAGACAAATATTTTCAACATTTCACAGCACATAGTGGGCCTATATTTGCCTGCGATTGGCACCCTGAAACTACTTGGCTTGCAACAGCTTCAAGAGATAAAACCATAAAAGTTTGGGATTTGACAGCAAAACCTAGTTGTGATTTTACAATTCATACAATAGCATCTGTAGGTAGAGTCAAATGGAGGCCTCAGAGAAAATATCATATTGGAAGTTGTGCTTTAGTAGTTGATTGTGGAATAAATGTATGGGATATTAGAAGACCATATATACCATTTGCTAGTTTTAATGAACATAAAGATGTTGCAACTGGTATCGCTTGGCGCGGTGATCCCCAATCTTTTTTATCAACTAGTCGGGTGAGTTTTTATTTCAACTCTTCATGTTCAATAATTTAAAAAAAAATCACACACCAAATTATACATTTCATGCTTGATAGGACTGTACTTTATATCATCATGTTTTTGAAGACGCTTCACGGCCAGCAAGTCAAGCAAATCCTCAAGGTATAGCACTAAACACAAAGGGAGATGTAGCTTATGCGTGTAAAACTAATGTCAATACTTCTACCAGTATCGAACCTTTAACTAGTAGAATAATGCGGTATGATGGATTTTGATTCATTTCTCGACACAAATAACAAAAAGCTAAAAAAAGAATTTTTTTTTAGAAAACAACCGGTTAGCAACGATGCTTTTTGTCAAGCAACCAGTTGGATGCATCGATTTACTGCTTCAACACCTAACAATAGCGGTCGCGAAATAAAATTTTTTAAAACATGCGCGGAAAATTATTTACTAAGCGGTAGACTAAACGACGTGTGTGATCACAATTCAACCGTGGCTAGTAATGCCGGTAGAAACGACGTAAGTTGTTAATAACACATCTTTAATTTCGATTTCTATCGAGTGTTTCATTGAAAAAGAAAAAAATTATTGACAGATAAGCACTATTTGGAGTATTATCAAGACTTGTTTTGAAAATCCATTAGGATCAAACAATAATCCTACTAGACGTCAAGTGTCTGAGCCGGATGCCGTAAATGTGATGAACTTGCTACCGATAGGCACGAACAACGATCAATTAAACTCAGGTAAACGATCTTCGAAAAACTCATTGATCGACATGATATAAATTGCTCATGTTATTAAACGAAAAATTGCTAGTAGTTTTCGACAACGATGTGAGATCCTTGCAAAGCGAATCGGCAGCAGGAGCAGCCACAACGGCAACTACGGGAATGATAAGTGGTGGCGACGACGAAACCGAGACCGACGAGCCTCTCGATAACAATCACTTCACTGGACCGTACTTGACAAATTATCGACGTTTACCACTTGATTACGGCAAGCGACATCAGCCAAAGGGAGATTTTTCGTTCGGCGAGTGCGAGCTCGATCCGCTACCGAACAGCATCATCGATTTCAGCAACGGTGGCGATAACTTTGCCATATGCAACGATAATAATTGGTCTTTGCCAAAAGAAGCCTTTCCGTTGAGACACGAGATCCAGAATAGATCACCCCCACCGGAACAATTTCCGAATCATCCACCTGAGGTAAATAACGAGGATGCGGGCTCTATATTAATCGAAGACCAGCCATGCCAATTGGTCATTCAATGTGTACCAAAGCCAACTTTTTGGAATCCTTCGAGTTTGGTCGAGAACACTTTAAGGCACCACGCCAACATTAAAGACATCCAAACAACTGTTAGTATTTTATTGGCGCTGGGAGACAAAAGGAAGAGTATAAACATCGAAATAGCCCTGCAAGAACATTGGTTACTCGAATACATCGATATGCTTGGAAAATTCAAACTCTGGGACGTAGCTACTAAGGTAAAAAAAGTCAATTTTATTAATTCGCATATTTTCATCTAAAAGTTCGTTACTCTGCAGATTATCCAGCTGGCTTGGATATCGTCGGTATCTCAATTAAATCAACAATCCACGACTGTACATACTTGCTGTGGTACTTGCACAAAATCATTGCAAAGAGCAGGTTGGCTCTGTGATCGCTGCCATTCATCAAAACATGCTCTGTGTTCTCTTTGTCATCAGGTAAATTATTATACATTTTTCAAAATATTTTACTTATCCGATTTTATATTATTTAGAAAATTTGAGCATTTTTCAGGTTGTAAAGGGTATATACACTTGGTGTCAAGGTTGTTCCCACGGAGGTCATATTCACCATATGAGTGAATGGTTTGAAACTAACAAAACGTGCCCGACTGGATGTGGCCATCTATGCGAATATTCCTAATTGATCGCCGTCATTTTTTCATCACAATTGTACAAATAATTTTAATGGTTAAACTACGCTATAAAAAATAGAACAAATAAGACTACTTACACGAGGATAATGCGATGCTTATAGTGATAATTATTTATGTTCCTGTAATTGTAAATACCATGTACCACAGTCATTGTAAATATTTGATACAAAACATTATGAATATAGAAATTTTTATAGTATAATTCTATAAGATCATGTTCATAAATATATTTATACAAATATAATTTTTTGTAAATTTGCCAGTATAATACGTTTTGTTTTGTGCATAAAAAATTTTCTTATTATTCGTATTATGTTACATTTATTTTGCTTAGTATCATATGTATTGGTAGCATTATAAATTGTTGCAATAATGATATAGGCATTTATAAATCAGCTATAATTATAGCTATCGAAGCTATCTTTAAATATTAAAACCTTTTTTAATAATTTATTATCCCATTTTCTCAGATATCGTCGTACATAAAACCAATTGGTCTCATACAATTTTTCTTACGAATTGTGTAACAAAAACTTGCTCATTTTTCAAATTTAAATCTATTTACTTAATAAACACACAAATTAATAATTACTATTGTTACTATTGTCAATTAAACTTCAAAAAACGGATTCTCAACTATCTAATAAATAAAATTATATTAAAAAGGCACAATATGCAATGTTACAAAAATATAAAAATTAATTATGATTTATCGATCAGTGAGATCTCTGCCAATATGCAATAGTATACATTATTTGGCCATTACTATGCTAGGCTATAATTTAAATACTCCAATTTGGACTCTGATTATTTGTAAACAAATACTTAAAAAGCTTATGTTTGTCTTGAATAATATCAAATCATAGTTATTTTTACGAAGCACCAATGGCATACCCTTTGACAATAGACTTTAATTTTTTTTCGTTAAGTTACAATTCGCTTTTGCGCTGAAATCTAATTCTGAGAATAAAATTTGTTTTTACACACTCTTGAGAAAATCATTATATAACATCGGAATGTATTTCTGTATTTCTGAGCAGATGAAACTATAGTATGTAAACTCTATCAGTAAATAAATCAAAACGTCTATTTTTTCCTGAGACTAGGAACTCGTAAATTTCAAAAACAATTCTATAAAAATTCATTTTTTTCTTTCAATAAGGTGCAAATTTTATCACGAGTTACGTACACAATGATTTTATCTGAAACTTACATAGACAAGTGAAATAAATGAAGAAAAAATGGAAACTGAAAGAAATTCATCTCATTTGATTTACATATAAACTTAGGTTTTAAGTAATTCTCAAATTAATACGGAGAGACATAATTAGTATATTACAAAAACCTATATATTTGGATAAACAATTTTTATGGATAAAATGAAAAAAAAATGATTAACTAATCTATGTCTTTGCACATAGAAAACATTCTCAATGATAATTTAGTTATATACTAATTTAGTACACATAATGCTAAAAAAGTAAAAGAAAAATATTATTTTGATTACTTAATGATTTATAACAAACTTCATAGATAATTTACAGTATACCTTATTTCATAATTAAAACATATACGTAGATTCAAAAGTAGGGAGAGTCATAAAGAAACACTAGTAGAATTACTCAATTGAGTATGAAAAATGAAAAGTAAGTCTTTTTTATAAATAAAATCAACATGATTTAGATTCTCAATAACTTAAAAGATTTTTTTATATAATTCATGAATAATATTCAATACAAGACACCTTATGTTCACATGTCTGTGCGCGTAAGAAAAAGGAACGCTTATCATACATGTTCTTGTATTCAGTGTTGTACAAAACGCATTCGAACGCATTCAGAGTCAAGTACTCGCACGTAAAAAAAGAGAGCTGAGTGTATTAAAAAAAATCAAAGATAGCTGCCAATAGCTGATCGTTTAAAAAGGTTTCTAAAAAATAAATTTTATATACGTGAACCAACAAAAATTTTCAGGCGTTAAAGAACTGTGCAACAGTTTGTTTTTTTCTTGCGTTCTCCGATTTCACTCTGATTTTCCTGTGCTTTACGGGCAGCTATAGCGCGCATCAAATCAAAGAATACCTGAAATTTAAAAAGAAAATTTGTTTAGTTAAATTTTACAATGGTAAGCAATAATGTTAGATACATGAGAATATTAGATCAAATTAGTAAGTTCTTTTATAAAAATTAAAGACTTATTTATCGTTGTAGATATTTTTTAGATCTGTAATAATTTTTCCTACTCCTTCTGCATCTATAAATCAATTCTTTGTTGTATAGCTACGGAAGCTGCACATAATTTGAAGAAGATTGAAGACCTTAATACATGCAATCATAATAATGCTACAAGCTCCCTTTATGTACAAGTGGAAGTTATTTATTTTGTTCGTTATACCAATTAAAAGCATGCATATAATCTTAGTTTCAATTTTTATGAGTGTTCATGCCATATAGATGAAAAAGTATGTTACAGGTGAAATGCTACATTTCGTGGATAACGCACATGGAATAAAACTAGAAAAATAAAGCGCAAAATAAAATAGCCAACCTAGAGAATGGTACATTTCCTTTTCTTCCTTTTCGCACGGTCTTTGCTGCGCCCGTTACTCGCTGACTTGTCTTCAATTTTACGTGATCTTATTTCACGCATCAAATCGAAAAATACCTGGAAACGAGTCGTGCAAAATTTTCGTTCAAGCGAGTTAACGTAATTGTAAAATTACTTGCGTAGAGCAAATGTATAATTTGTATATACTTGCATCATTTGCAAAAATAACATAATTGAAAGCTATTTGACTAGAGGCTTATTACAGCAATATAAAATGTGCGAAATTAATAATTTCTATGAAGGTAATGTTTGCTCAGTCAAAAAAATTAAGTCAAAAATTTATAATATAATTCGAACCTTATCCACGTTTTCTCGAGTTTTAGCGCTTGTTTCTACATAAGGTACACCCCATTGTTGTGCTCTGCTTTGTGCTTCAGCTAAACTAACTTGTCTTTTATCTTGTAGATCACTTTTATTGCCAACTAATAGAAAAGGAATGTTTTCATCGTTTTTAACTCTTAATATTTGTTCCCTGCAAAAAATTGAATAAATTTCAAGATCAAGTATTAAAATATTATATTACTAGTAAATATTTAATTGAAAAAAAAAAAAAATATTAGCAAACTGCTTTAATTTAATTAATACTCTTATCATAGAAATGTGTAAGTGAAATTTCATGTGTATTATATGTAACGTTATAATATATTATAAGATTTGATTTATATTTTTGGCATACAGTATATTTTTGATAGAACATGGTATTAAAAATATTATGGTGAAATTTAAATTTATTTTACCTGAATTCTTGTGTAGCCTGAAAACTATCATCTTCTGTGATAGAAAATACACAGAGAAAGCCTTCCCCACTGCGGAAATAATTATCTCTGATTGCTGCATAATCTTCTTGCCCAGCAGTATCTAATATATCTATCTGAACCTCTTCTCCATCGAGGACAACTTTTTTTCTGTACGAATCAGCCTTAGTGGGTTCATAATCTACTACAAACTGCAAATAAAATTTTTTGCATTGTTGAATAGTTGAGTATATATATATTGTAAATTCTAAATCTAATATCATATAGCACATATAATTTTACCTCATCATACATGAACTGTAGTGTCAAAGCTGATTTTCCAACACCACCACTGCCTACCATAATGACTTTATGCAGAGCCTGGGCCATTCCTGGTTTTTTAGACATTTTTGAAGCTTATGTAGTATTCTAAAAAACAAAGTTTGTGATATTATTATTTACCTACGTGTACAGTGCTAATTGAATAAAAATATCAAGTCAGTCTGAGTTCAAAGGATTAAATGCATCTGTATCATGAATGAACCTTGTAATGCAGGATGCACTATTTATGAATGTTGTCTGCATGAGAAATCTTCACTATTTTTTCTCAAGCCACACAAACTCATACACATAGAGGGACAGAAACGTGTATTTAATAAGTTTATTACAATTTCTCTTACCAAAGAAATTACAGAAAAATGACTAATTGTTTAGTAAGACTTAATGACACATGTGAAACTTATCAGTCGTTCTCTTATATTATCAATATACGTAACGCCTATACAGTCAATAAAACCGGAAATACCAAAGAAATTAAATCACTGATGTTTGTTAAACCTCACAGCAAAAAATTTCAAAACAAAGTAAATTCTCATCTATGAGGTGTTGGTCCTACGAGACATGATTTCATAAGATAAGATATTTATAGACCACAGATCGCTTGATCATAGGATTGAAATGTGAGTAGAAATTAAGATCGTACTAGTCGTCGATTGTTGTAGTCAAGGGCGTGTACAGATGTGTATGGTGATGAAAAGGCGGTGCCGTCGCGACCGTCACTCACTATTTTATCAATTTGCACTCTTAAATACACTGATTTACGCGAGTCGCAGAACGATTCACGCTGCAGCGTACACAATAACACAGCTATTTACGAAAGAATTAACCTCTCTGAAAAGCTGAAAAAAGCAGATGCTTTTTTGTATTTAAACTATACCTTGATATTCTATATGCGGGCTCTTGGAGCTGTCCAAATAATAGTTGTATGTATATACATATGTCGTATGCTATGTATATATATGCTTGTATATTGTAACAGAAAGTAGCAACAGCAGCGATGCCTGCTTGTGCCTAGTATAAGGCGTCGTCGGTGACTCTACGAGACTTCACTTGCGCGCATAATATACTTACCTATACACACGCACACTATTGCACACACGGTACACACACAGTCGCGTGCGAACTATACACTACAACGTTACGTTACGGCTAACGGGTTTACGCCTTACGGGCCGGCTTGTGCTTCAGAATCATAAAGGCAGCAGCGGGTGGTACACAGAGAGGGTACTTGTACACAAAATTACACACTTAACATAGGTATAGTGCCTACAACGCATTAGAAGCATATGCTCTTCATTACACTCATAGAATCCAAAATTATTCTCCTTAGTCTTCTTCGTGATATTGCGTACATTTAATACAGTATGATTAATAGAGTTTTTATTAAATTATGTTTTCCTGCAATCGGAACTAATTTATGTAATAATTACTTAATTCCACTCAAAACGTGTACAAAGTAAATTAAAACTGCAACTTGAGAAACGTTTTTTATAAAATTCAATCAAATTATTTAAGGAGACAATTCGGTGTTTCGAACTGAAATTAAAAAATAGCCATTTAAATCGAAACGAGAAAAGCAATGTAATTGCGATTTCAGACCTTGGAGATTTGGAGTTTTTTTGGGATAATCGGGCGTAATATGAATATTGTACTATAATAAAAAAGTTTTACTATTTTGATTTATATGGCTATTTTTAAATTTCTGCACAAAACGTCATCTATCATATTAAACATGTACTAACTTTCTTGACACAATGCGTTTTATTATAATTTGATTGACAATACACCGCTATAATGATTTATTAATAAATTGAAAGACTTTTACAAATTAATTAAAAGTGGTCGGATATTACCAAGCTCACCCTATTAGGTGTTTATTGGCATTAATTAGCCAAAATTGTACTAATAAACCTTTTCTTGTTAAAAATATTAAATAAATTTTGACATGGAAAATCGACCCAAAAATCTAAATTGAATAATTCCACATGAGTCGGTGTGTATTAATTATCAATTTCAAAATAAAATTCGTATCAAGGAATAGCCAAATGAAGATTTTGATTCATCATCTTCATTGACCGGTTCATTATTCTCCTTATCTTTATAATTATAATTTTCTGACGTGTTCTTGGATTATGCCAATTTTTGTTGTATGTACAAGTTTTCTCTGTGGTCTGGTCAGATATGAAATTTTCTAAACCGATAAAAATACAATACAAGAGTCTCGTCATCAAAAATGACCCGTTTTTTAAATGATACTAGTGTAATAAACATTTATACAACAGAAATATCAACATAAAATTTAACATGCCTTCCTCGTCTGGCCTCCAAATCACGACTGCTTACAGGAATCAAAAGTTGTCAACATTTTGAGCAAACAATTTTAGTGCAATTGAGCGTTCACGTAATTTAAAAAATAATTAGCCCCATAAGAGAATTGAGGATACCATGCCTGTATCTAAATGACTGAAGTACATACCTAGTTGTGAGATTCTTGTTAGATAGAAATTTATTCGATTTTTAAAAGCAACACTAAAAAAGGATAGAAATAGAATAAATGGCCGATTCTCTGTGAATAGTTCATAGGTAACCATTAATAAATACATTTGTTATTTTTACAATAAAAACTGGAAGCATAATATATCCTCCAAGTTGTCTAAATTGACAATGAGATTTTGAAAAAAATAGTTTTAAAAGTCCAAAAAATGTTCGGTAATTGGTATTTCGAAAAGTCACTTAGGATCAATATCCAGCCACTTTTCACTATTATATGTCCTCGCATTGGTAAAGTCACCTTAATTCATTATTAACTTTTTAACACGATCGCGATTCATGTGGACAATACTTTCCGAATCCGCTTTAAGTTGTAACTCGAATGCAATATGAATTGGCAAAAACAAATCCGCGCGCTGATTCGAGTTTCCGTGAGATTAGCGTAATCATGCATGTTGCACATTTTCTACAATAGTGTTTGTTAACACGTATCTGCACATTACAGGATTTCACCTATCATAACTTACGACCACTATTCTGCGAGTCAATGTGTATGAAACTTCGAGCCAGCTAGATGAATTAATGGTAATATGTGTAAGAGTAGCCCGCAGTTTCTAAGCGCGACCCATAATACTTATCTGACGGTAGTAAAGTCATTGCAAGCGGTGCTACTGCAGTTTGCACCTATTTTGCACGGCGCTGGCTTACGCAGCGTCGGAGCAACGACTAGTTGCGGATTCCGAATAAAGTGCGGACGCGGGAGCTGACGGTCGGATCACGCGTTGTTTGCCTTCTCTTTTACCGGCGGATTTTCATCTAGCAATATAGTACTTATATTTACGTGCCACTACTGCCAGCCCAATCTGGGCTGCTAGGCCAGTTTTTATTTGGATATTATTATAGGCATATACACGAGTCTTCCTACCTTATATTTTCTACATATATCCAATCAGTTTTTGCTAAACGCATACAACGCGATCGTAACGTGCAGCATATACTTTCTTAAATACTTCCACTTTTGCTACCGACGTTTTGTCACATTATTATTATTTATTATTCGCTTTCATTGTTTATCGCATCGCAGTGATATTGTGAGGCTTAAAGAGTAAAAACCGATTCTGTTACTGCTGTTGCTGCTGCTGCTGCTGCTATTAAGTTGCATAATCATGCGGCATTTTTCTAACTCCATGATTTATTCAATGAAATGAAAAAATCACTGTGTATCGCCACATATAAACGTGCAATGATGCGCTGAATTTTTATCAACAAATTAATAGATTTTGACGCTTAGACATTTATAAATTTACACTTACGCGCAGAAATGGAAGATAACGAACCTGATGTACGAGATATTCTGGTAGGTGTATGCATTTTTCTTGCCATATCGCCGCCAATTTATTATTATCATATGTTATGCTATTGAGATTTCATTAACCGAGGATTAACGATGAAAATTGCGCCGTTGCTTTTACTTATGATGAATCATTGATATTTACTCTTTTCTTCTTTAATATGCAGATTAAAACGGCTGTGAAGTTTTTGCGAAATCCAAGAGTGTCTAAAACTCCTTTGGTACAACGTCAAGAATTTTTGAGAAAAAAGGGTTTAACAGAAAAAGAAATAAGTGTTGCAATCAATGAGGCTTCCAAATCTCTTAATACAGCTAGTTCACTCGATGATGGGCAGTTTTATCAAGCCATTAATGCATCTGGACAAAATATCACACATGTTCATTGGTTGTACAGGATCAAAGATATATTGAACAATCTTATTATATTTGCTGCTAGCTGCTATTCTGTTCATTGGTTTTATAAAGTAAGTAATTATTATTTTTAACATGAACTGCTATAAAAATTTCAAAGCTATACATAAGAGTGGAAAATTTTAATTGCAGAATGTAATCAGTCCTTTGCTGTTTGGTAAAAAAGATCCTCCAAAAGATCCTTTGATTGACTTAGATAAAAATATTCAAAGTGTGCAGCAAAGTGTTAATCAAGTTAAGAATGATGTTCAATTGTTAACTCAAAGTCAGTCTGTAGAGTCAGTACCACAACTTGTTAGAGAGCTCAAGCAAGACATGGTTAGCTTAAAAGCTCTTCTACTTTCCAGGTAAGATATTTGTTAAAGATGTTTTGATGAAAAAAATTTTTTTTAATACCACAAAATTTGATCATGCAGAAAACAGTTCCCAAGTGCACCACCTTCTATACCAGCTTGGCAATTAGAAAATCCAAATCAAGGAGCAGAGAAAAATACAGAGCGAGAAGATGATGCTGGCAGCGGCAGCAGTACCAACAATTCTGACAGTTCTTTAGAAATGATACGTGAAGAACCCAAAGATTAAGTTTTTCTCCAATTGATATTTACGTAATAATATAACAATTTTTTCTACTTTATATCATCATAAGAACTTACATTAGTAACTCCATGATAATTTAAATGCCAGAGAAAAAAATTAAAGGGATTAAGGAGTGACTTGTTTTTTAGTTTTGAAATATTTTATATGTGTGCAATGGGTATGTTGAAAAATGTATGAGTGAATATAAGAGATTATGTTATTCAATGTTGGACAATGTTTTTATTAATATTTATATTACTTTGTATTGACTGCATATCCGTTTGATATGGAGAAGAAACATGTTTCAATGCTTTGAGATTTGATATTAAAAGGTGAAACAACTGAAAAATACAGAACAATAAAAAAAGAATTTAAAATTGACGTCTTCTTTTATTTTAGTTTAAAGGAACAATACAATATAAACAAGTTACATATTGCATTTTTTTTTATTTAGTTTCATAAAATTCAACTTATGTTATTAAAACCTTATTTTCAATTATGGTGAATCAAAAATTTTGTACACTTTTGTATCAAAATATCTCTTTTTTGAAAAAAGATTAAATGTAACTTTATTTTGTTTTAATTTTTTTTTTTTTTTTTTGAAACGTTGATTTCGTTGAAGAGAGAATAAATATTGTTCAGTATAAATATTTACGAGGCAACCAATTTTAAATTCTCTAAGCAAAGTTAACGTCGGGATTATTTTTCATTGAGGGGCGCATAAAAGATTTACCATACAAGAAATGACCACGCAAATCTCTCACTACAAATAACAACTATATAAATTTTGAAATAAAATTTATTTGTAATTCCTGCTTTTTCAACTGACATTTATGTTACTTGCGTTATAGTAATTACTTTATTTCTCGTTTAACATGCACGAAGTACATGCGCATGTTTATATTTGTATGTAATGTAAATTGTTCATTATGCATTCATACCTACACACACTCGCTTTTTTTACAATAGAATTCAATTGTGACATCACATAGATTTATTCACAGAATGTACTTTTAACATCACTTTCAGTCGTGTTGAAATTGAATTATTTTGTATCGCTTCATCATACTTCTACCAACTCTGATATTTACAAACCATGCACGCATGCATTAATCACTATGTAACTTTATTAGAGTATAATTTTTTAATCATAATTTTCAAGTAATATGTGTTGATATTGACACATGAACAATGATGTTTTTAGTTCTTTAGTTCATTTATGTACACTCAAGTAAGCTTTCTCTTTTTCCGATTTTTTTACTTAGTATAAAATTTATCATACTAAGTTCCTAACCAATTTCAATAATTTTATTTGATATCTTGTTTCTTAAAAGTATCATGCTTATAAATAATAATCAATCACTGCCTCACTGATACAGTGAGCAGTGTAGCTAAAGAAAAAAATTATCATTTGTAGGGTCATACAATACACAATTCACAAAAAAAAGCATATTGTTTTCAGAAATGTCTTTGTCTCCTGTTTCTAATTTGCTTGGCAATTTTTATTATACAAATTAAACATAAATTTATTCAATTAAAAAATACCCTATCTACTACATGAATCAGTAAAGAATTTTAAAAAAGTTAATCAATTTTAGAGTCAGGGCATTCAATAAAGATTATACCTTGTAATGTATGTATTCAAAAAAATTTATCATACATTCAACAACTCCTGAGGTAGAATACACACAAAGAAAGAAGATTGATAAAATTGAGAAAACAAAAATTCAGTAAACCACACAAATCTACTAACTTCGCATAAGTAAACGCAAAATATGGTTAAGTAGGTAAGTTTTTTCATTACTCGAATCTTTGGCTGGTTATACATGATGGAGTGCGACGACGACAATATTATTTTCGTCAACGTTAACTCGTCACTTGGAACTGGATTTTAAATCGTAGAAACTTATATAGTATTGTAGTCTTCGAAATATACGCACTCGACGTTCATGTTTATGTATAATATATTTAGTCGGTATAATTATAATATTATAATATGATCAGTCATAATTTCAAAATTTTACCGAGAGAATATAATAAAGAAATCGATTGATAATGTCATGATGCATGAGAAAATAAAGTCTGAATATTTCTATTTACAATTAGATTAATAATATGTGTGTCTATGAGTGACTCAATTATTTTTTGCTTTGTGCCGACTTATAACGTTTCTCGGTAATTGATCGACTTTTTTTCCTAATTTCGATGATCGATGAATTAGCGTAAATCCGTACAATATTTTATTACGTAGCAATCGTAAAGATATAATCATAGTCTGAGTTGTAATTCAACATTAATGGTATATGACTTTTGAGTCGACGTAAAAAAACACTCGCTTAATATTGCCCCTTTTAGAAAAGGAAAAGATTTCTCTTGCTAGTTTGTATATGATTTAAAATGATCGTATCATATTTATATATGACGATGATAATAATTATGGTAATGATAATAATAGTAAAAATAAATCTACAAATTAGACATATCACTTTAGAATGCAGGATTTAGATTATGCTACCAGGTATGATGAAGGTGTAAGTTTCTCGATAACACCGATCGCACGTCTTGCGTAAAGCGAAGCGCATCGAGCACCGGAAGCAAGCTTAGTAACGCAGTGTCACCCTGGTCACTAAACCAAGATTTGATCGGTATTGCATTGTCTGAAACAAAGATGAAATGTCATTTGTGATTTTTCAGCGGACGAACGATCCGTTAATTTTTAAATTTCAACTCACGAGGATAAGCTCTGTAAGCACCAGGACTATTGTCGAGAATAAAAATTGATGCCAAGTCTGAACATATGGCAGCCAAGTCCTTGGTGTAGGAACCCATTTCAGGTGTACAGTGTTGTCTGTAATACCTGCGCCTTAGTATACCCCTGTTGTTATCTAATTTGTCAGCAACGGCAGCACCGTAAATTTCCATCGAAGCGGTAAATACTACCAGTTCATACCTTAAAATTATTCAAAGAGTGATAAATTACATCATGATAATTGCTTTATGTGATTAGTCATAAATAGAACTTACCATTGACTAACAATATCCAAAAAGAAATCTACATGAGGTCTTTTATGAACGAAAAATCGAACCGGATGCCGGTCTATCGTCACCTTAAGAATAAAGTCCGATGGTGTCCCAGGCCTGACTACTGACCTTGCAACTCCATCGTGATGAGAGTGAATGAGGGTCTCGTCCAAATCTAGTACAAGTACTTTTCTTTTCACAATACCTGTGCAAAACAAACGATAATTGCATTGAACTAATTTTAAAACCGCGTGTATTAAAACGCGAAAAAATTCGATCAAGGCAAAAATATTATTATTACTATGACATAGAGCTTTATGTTTTGAAGAAGCAGATAAACAGGAAATTAGGTAGGAAAAGATGACAAAAGTGTTGAAGCCTTATGCATGCTCATAATTATAATCTGAAATTGGTGAGAAAAGTATGATTTTAGCTGCAAGGTTAAATGTTTTGGAGCAGCTCCAGAAATATTTAGTATGCAATTTTGAAAAGGAGCGATAATTATAGTTTTAATAAATTTCAGAACATGTGGTAATTTTAAATAGGATTTGTTTAACTTTATAGAACAATAAACCAGTACCAGAATGCATTAATGAGAAAATGAGCACACTCGTTCTAAAACTATTACATACTATTTTGAACTTACTTAATCTGTGCCTTGACAGTGGAGATAATGGAAAGATTTCATATTTTACTGGCTGCATCTGTGATATCTGAAAAAAAGATTTGATTTTTGAAACTTTCAAAATTTAGATAGAAATGAAAGAAAGTTTTTGATAAGTATTTAGGAGTTTTTAAAATAGGGTGGTATAATGAATTTCATCGAGAAGTATAAGATACATGATAAGACATGATGCCACCACTACTTACGGTCCTAACCTGCTTCTTTAGTAGAAAGCACACAAATGTCCAGACGCGTGAGGCCATGTAGAGAAAAGCTCTCATTCCCATTTGCAATTGTTTGAGCATCGTCCTATTTCTGCTTATAAAATTAGTCTTTAAAAGACGATTTTGCCTTGTTTGAAACTTTGTATTCTTTGAATCTTTTTTAATATTTAACAATGCATGGCATGTACTACTAATGTAACAATTAAGAATGTATTTGTGTATAAATACAAAAGAACAATTGAAAGCTCCCAATTGAGTGTTTTCTTAAAAAATTGTAAATGTGTATAAAGTACTTTATAATGCAAGTCAAGAGTATTACACAATTCCAATCAGCATCATCATTATGTGAAATTCTTACTCTTCTTGATTCGCGTCAGTCAATCAATGAGAAAGAGTTACGACGTGCGTTTATGTATATATGCGATAATCCACCTATCTTTCTCTTTCACTATCTCTATATGTATATATCGATGGATATATATAATTGTAAGAAGATAATGTAAAAAATTAATAACAACGATCGGCTGACTGGTTGTTTTAACGAGTTCTGGCACGTGTAAGAGTGCTATCGTTGTGACAGCTAGTATGCATCTTAGCTGCGAGCATAATTGTTATCCAGGCAAATCTGGCCCAGGCGATATCACTCGACTAAAACAGAAGCCTCGGCACGCGCACTTTTCCTCTCTTTACTCGAGACTCCAAGATATCTATAGATATACAGGCAGACGTATACATATATATCTCACATATATATGTATGCTCCGGTTGCTATGTTTACGTTGAAGATGTAAACTTTAGAGAAATGCGGTAGTAGTACTGTCTCGCATAATCGGAGATATATATAGAGAGAGAGAAAGACGGCGTGCGAGAAAGCTGCTGATAAAACGCGTGTCGAGACGAGAGGCTGCGATGGCTACGGCTGTGTTAATCTGCGATGATGTCGTCGTCAGTAGCGTAGCAGTCGTCTCTCGTTGTTGACAATACTAATCAAAGTAGCCGCTAGCGGTAGCGATAGGCTGATAGGTGGCCGATGCTATACACGGGAAACGACGACGTATGCGTTATGCGTGCAGCGTATCTCCAACTCACGCACCAGACACGCTCACTTGCGAGATGCAACACACGCGCGAGTCACTAACTATCTGAGATCGCCGTTGGCGCGATAGCTGGTCGTCGTCGTCGTCGTCGTCGTCTAGACGTAGCTCGCCGCAGGAGGCAATTTACACGCGGCTTATTTATCGGCGAGCGAGTTACTGCTCGTACTCGAGCCAGTTGATAGGTAAATGTAAAAGTGTAATGCGTATGTCGTGCGCATAATCACTGCTATAGTATAGGTGCTATACGAGGAGAGCTCAGAGCAGTAGCCACGACACGAGACTCGTCACTACTCACTACTCGAGTAGTACGCGAAAATCAGTCGCCATTTTCCGCTATAGCAGCGCTCTCTTCTCTCGTCCGCTGGGCGCTGCTGCCTGAGAGTTGAAACTCGCTGAGGCATGAGGAGACTGCTATTATGATGATTATTATACGCTATAATTATAAACGCGAAGCCGTCTGCGGAGCTTTTTGCCAACGCTCTCTCTATAACTTGGCACTTGGCAGAGTGAGACTACTGCTGTAGCTCCCCTTCCCCAATTTTTTTGCTGCTGGCTTAATGTACGTACAGTAGGTATATAGGTGTAATCCTAATATCTATAGGTAAGTAGCTCATGCTGATACTACTGCTAGTGTCGTCCACGTAGCACGAGAGTCGAGACGACTCGCGCGCGCACATCGACCGCCCGCCGCTGCTGCTGCTGCTGCTGTCTCGCGCTTATACGCTGAGACTCCGAGATTTGCCGCCGCCACCGCAAGTCCACGTCCGCGAGCGTCTGCTGCTGCTTCTCGGCTCAGCAGACATTCCAACGTCTTGTTTCTGTACATATTTCAACGGAGCCAATACATCAAGAATAAAAAAAAACTGTCTCGCTCTTTTATGTTAATGTATTTGTTGTTGCTGTGAATCCGCGCGAGCCCAAAACGCAAAGAGAGAGTAGATACAGACGAGACTTGTACCGCTGCTGCAGCCAAGTGCATAATACATACCTACTAGCGGAGTTAACGACAAAAAGACGAAAAAAGTCGAGCTGCGAAACAGCGGCGAATCGCAACTGTGCCCGACCCTGCGAACTCTTCCTGTGCATGTGTCTGTGTGTGCAGTGTGTGTGTGTGTGTGTGTGTATGTGTACATATAAATGAACTACTCAGTAGCGACTGCAGCACAGACTGCGGACTGCAGTGTGCCAGCAGCACTGCGAATCGTGACGATAAATAATACGGTGCCGAGAGCAGAAACGAGAGCTTATGCTGAATTTGTGCAGGCGCAATTCCGCGTGGCCTCTCCACCTCTCGTCTCGTCGCCTTAGCAGTCCATTATAGCACTCGCTGCAATAGTACACGGATTTTCGTCTCTTCTGCTTCGCTCGTGCAACGTCTTGTGGACCTCATGAAGTTCGTGTTGTCACGAGTGGGCAACGATCTACTACTCGTCGTACTGTTTACCGCACGTAGAATACACGAGGGCATAATAAATAAAGGCAACTAATAAGCATCGGACGCTCGTACGTGTGGAGTAATCAATGAAGCGTTTCGACTATAGGTACACTCCATGTGTCATGAGTGTACGCCACATCATAAATTCATGCGAGTAGGCAGTGTTTGACACGTTGCAGCGTGCGTGCGTTATCGTCACCCTCGAGCGAGACTGCATGCGTACGACTCGAATATATACGTAGCACATCTCAGCAGCGCATGACTGCAGGTAAGCCTATGCCTATCTCTACTGCACAAGTGCATACAGCACGGCAACGACAAATTCGGACATAGTACGACGCTACACGCGAAAAGCGTACATATAAAGTCAGCCAACGGCGGCGATCGTCGCTCCTCCGTGCGTACATGCATTTGTCCGCTTTCGTGCGATAATATGCAAAGTTTCCAGCCAATTTCCGCACGAGCCGTTACATTTTTAATGCACTTTCGCGTCGTGTTTATTATTTGTCTCGTATAAAGTATCGTTGGCGCGCACACCGTCATCGATCCACTCGCACGCTATATACATATTATATTATAAATATAGATAGATAGATATGGGCATGCATATAACCCTCTAATACTCTGTACTAATTACAACATGCTTGGAGTGCATCCGGGCGAGAACGCACTGTGTAACATACTACCTATACGTTCAAGCCAGTTAGGATATATTTTACACACGGAGTTCGGATATTATCCCTCGTCTGTTTTATATAAACGTCGTTAACGTCGAACGATAGGTATGACGGGTCGGATCGGGGAGCCGTTTAAATCGCGTCGGCTGCTGTTGACCCAAAGAGCGGGGCCTGCAGTTGCATTCATTTTCATGACTGTACCGATCTCGTGGCTATCGGGCCTATTGTATTTTTTAAATCGCACACGCGCCTTAACCATTTCACGTATAACGTACTGACTTGTAATATTTTTGAGCTTATCGTCTTCCTTTTTTTCTGTTCACCTATATATGTAATACGGGGATAATAGTTTTCAGACTTACATCTCACGAGCAAGCGGTATAATAATCACTGCGTTGTTTCGCAACGATGACACGTTAGACGCAAATCATAACGCACGCACGTGAGAGTCATATTAGCGAATGCATATTATGAGACACATGGGTCGCGGCCGTTAGGACAGCACGATATCGTAATCGTATAACAGCTTAAAGCAGTCGTAAAGCTCGACGCGTGATACACACTTGCGGAGACACTGACACACATCGGAACTCTCCATCGGTATATCCTCGTATGCACGATGCAGAAATAATTACAGCGTCGATTTTTTGCTGCATCAGCGCGCGCGTGCGTTTGTTTATCGTGGCGATTGTATAATAATTCCGAGTATTCGCTCCGGCTTTCGCTATTGTTGCAGAAGGCTCAGGCGAGACTTGACTTGGCAATCGAGCAACGGATCCGACCGCAGCAGCTAAGAGTAGGCGATCGATCGCCGGGCTAGCATGAGCAACGGCGCCAACAGTCAGCCGATCATGGTACCGACGACGTCGTCGTCGACGACTCCGAGCGACGCTCAGCAGCACTATCAGTCGGCGAGTCGCAGAACGCAGTCGGAGTCGCAGGCGAGCACGGCCACGAGCGCCTCCTCGTCCCTGCCCGCCGCTACCTCGACTTCTCTGGGCAACGACAGCGTCATCGGCAAGACCGGCGCCGCCAGCAGCTCAGTCTCGCCGCTCACGACCAATCGATCCGTCTCCGGTTAGTCACCTTTTCTCTATCGAGCCTACGTCACTTTCGCTCTCTCTTTCCCTATCTTCCCATCTCTCTTTCTCTTGCTATCGAGCTTGCCAAACATTTTGACACGAATATCTAACTGACCTGTTTTCGTTGTACGCAGCGACCGAGGAGCGACGCTCGCGACGTGGAAGCAGCCAAGTCCAGCCGATACTGACCAAACCCAATTCGTCCGAGACCCTGACCATGTCGGGCAACAGCAGCGGCAATGCCTCGGCCACTTGGCTCGACGCTCCGGGACCTCCGCTATCGCCAGGTAAATAATTCAATCTACGCACAAGCGCGCACATGTTTGTCTACCGACGACGACGACGACGACGACGACGACGACGATGCTTTCTACCTGACAACTGTTGCTTAACAACATTTTTTTACAATTCTACGCTCACATCTACACGCTACAAAAACTCCGATAAGATAATGCCTTGACTTTTTCAACGACTATGCTGCGTGAAAATGTATGATTCTAAAATGGCTCTCTTTAAATTTCGTGAAAGTAGGTTTAATGCAAACAAAAGAAAAAAGACGTTTAATAAAAATTTGTTATTTCTTATATATTATTACTACTGTTATTTATATATTTGAATTTACATTTATTTATATTTATATTATTCATACTTCAATTTTTCAGGATTGCTGGGTTCCATGTCATTAACAACTGGTGAAAACAGTCCAAAGGTGGACACTGACAAACTTGACTCGAGTTTCAAACTTACCAGAAAAGAGTCCTACAAGGCTCAGAGAAAAACCTACAGAATGGAAAAGAAAAGAGTAGCAGATGAATTGTTGAATTCATTGAAAGACCCTACTGTCATTGTTATGGGTGATTGGCTTAAGGTTAGAGGAACACTCAAAAGCTGGACCAAGCTATGGTGTGTTCTCAAGCCAGGCTTACTGATTCTTTATAAAAGTCAGAAAACTAAGGTACCTAAAACACTGTACATATAATATAATGTTTCCCATTGAAATGAATATACACGATTTATAATGCAATTTTGCTTTTAGAGTAACCATTGGGTTGGAACAGTATTGTTAAATATTTGTCAAGTGATTGAAAGACCCAGTAAGAAAGATGGGTTTTGCTTCAAGTTATTCCATCCAATGGAACAATCGATATGGGGCCCAAAAGGACCAGAAAAAGAAGGAATGGGTGCGTTGGGTATTTTTTGAAAGTTACAAGTTTCCTTTGAATATAGACAAGTTTCTTATGAAAAATTGATATATTTTGAATTATTAGGAGCCGTTGTCCTACCTTTACCAACTGCATACTTGATATTTCGTGCTCCATCTCAGGCGGCTGGCAAATGTTGGCTAGATGCTTTGGAGTTATCTATGCGCTGTTCATCGTTAATTGTCAGATCTACGAGCATAGTACCCAGATCTCCTCAGCATGACACAACTACGACGCACGAAACGCAATGGAGCGAAGCCGATTGCGAAAAACATTTCGTTGATCATGGTAAGACATTGACTTAGATTTTGAATAAACTAATTGACCCACTAATTCGTGAATACTTCATGAAAGATAACGTAATTAATTCAGCAAGCTGAGTAATTTTGTACCCACTTGAACGCTTTCTTTAGTTTCGTAATATAGTCGTTCTTTTCAAATATGAAAAGCTAACGACAGTTTAACGAAAAATAGTATTGATTTGGAAACTTAATTGCCGAGAGTTTTTATTCTATTAGATATGATATTCAAGATGGCTTTCTTAAATGACAGCTAATTTACGTAAGAGTGTAAAAGGATAAAGTAAATGTATTCATAATCGATTTGATTGAATGTAGCTCCTAGTTGTTGCTATTTATAACGTATAATATCGCCTTATGCGTGGCTATGTAGGTATACTCGTTAAAGAACTGTTTTATCAAACCTAATGATTCGTTTATTCTCGGTTAAGTAAAAATTACTTTTCTCTGATGACATCAATTCATCTGACCTACACCACTGGGTAGCGCGCACATCGCTTGATTCCTTTGAATCGTATGAGTTGGCGTAAAAAAAACCTTAGAAAAGTTATATTTTTCTATTGACATCTGACTTACACGTAAGCACGTTGTTGCTAATCAAAAGTAACGGCTAAATCCTCGTGAGTTTTGGGCCTAGATAGCGTAAAAATTTTACATTAAAATTAAAGAAAGCTGTTTTCGGTTGATAATCAAAAAAGACGAAGGTTCACCGTATCATCGTCATGGGCGTCGACGTCGGCGTCGCGCGACGCAATCGGCCATGAGTCTTCTCGAGTCGAGCGGCCCCGGCTGCACTTCGGCCGGTGCTACTGCGACTGTCAAAAGTATAAGCGATTCACCGCGTTTCGCGAGTCCCGACCTTTCGGCAGCGGTCGGCGGAACGGCGAGTAACGATAAGGCCTCGCTCCGACCCCGTCGCTCGACGATGCCTCAGCTCAAACGTCAACTTTTGACACGTACCGATAAGCTTGACCCCGAGCCCATGTCTCGCTGTCTCTCAGATTTATATAACGACTCTGAAATTCGAGCAGATCTCGAAGATTGCATCAGTCAGCCGGAGAACGGCGTGGTCGCCGACGACGTCGAGTGCAGCGCCAGCGACTCCGAGAGCGAGGACAATCACAAGGAGGACAAAGAGGAAGATGACGTCATCAAAGAAACACCCTACGTTACCAACGAGAGCGAAGTCTTCGGCACGGTTTGTGACTCTTTTCCTCCTTCTACATTATGTTCGGGTCAAATTCCGTTCTAGATTATGAAGGTGTTCTCTTGATTTAGGCTGGTGAAGTCGTTACAGTATTGCAAGAGGAGCAAAAATCTCTTATATGGTATCTCATGAAGCAAGTGAGACCTGGTATGGATCTGTCCAAAGTCGTCCTGCCGACGTTCATACTCGAGCCAAGGTCGTTTTTGGAAAAACTCGCCGACTCTTACTACCACGCGAATCTTTTGTCCCAGTAAGTCAATAATCATTTAAACAAATTTTAATGTGACCAGCATTAAGTTTTGATGTTCAAATAACGCGTTTCCTTTTCATTAGGGCTGTATTAGAAGATGACGCACTGACACGCATGAAAGGTGTTGTAAAATGGTACCTGTCCGGTTTTTACAAAAAACCACAAGGTCTCAAGAAACCGTACAATCCGTTGCTCGGTGAAACGTTCCGTTGCTACTGGCAGCACGACAATGGCTCGAGAACTTTTTACCTCGCCGAACAGGTAAAACACTGTCTAGCTTGACGTTCATTCGTTCGTAGCGAGTACCCAAAGACCAATGACTTATCTTGATTTCAGTTATCGCATCATCCGCCGGTTTCGGGATTTTACGTTACAAACCGACAAGATGGCTACACCATCAGTGCCACAATTATTGCCAAATCTAAATTTTATGGTAAGGAGATTTTTGATACTTCATTACTCGTTGCAAATTTCATCGATAAAAATTTCATCGTCTATAACACGAATCTGTTTCTGTTAGGTAACTCCACATCGGCTGTGTTGGATGGTGTGGCTGTACTGACGATGCTACCACGTGGCGAAAGTTACACCATGACGATACCTTACGCACACTGCAAAGGTATCATCGTTGGCACGCTTTCCATGGAGCTCGGTGGAAAAGTCAACATAAATTGCGAAAAGACTGGCTATAACTGCGAGCTCGAGTTCAAATTGAAACCGTTTATCGGCGGGGCTGATCAGCTAAACATGGTCGTGGGTCGCATCAAGCTCGGCAAAGAGACTCTGGCTTCGATCAGCGGCTACTGGGACGGCCAGATCAACATCACGGACAAGCGCACCGAACAGGAGACTGTCTTCTTCCATTCGACGCCGGAGGTCAGAATGCAGCGATTGAAAAAGTACACGGTGCCGCTCGATCACCAGGGACCTTGGGAGAGCGAGAAGCTTTGGCTCGCGGTAACGAACGCCATCAACAACGATGATCAAGAAGCCGCCACCCAAGAGAAAACAAAACTCGAAGAGGCGCAACGTGCAAGGGCTAACGAGCGCAAAATGGCCGATAAAGAGTGGATTCCCAAATACTTTGTTCAGGCGAGTAATTTCTCTTTTAGCACTCAGCTACTATTTAAGCACCCTCAATTTCGTCTCAACGAAGAAGGATAAACATTTGTTATTCGGTTACTTTTTTCCACAGGATATTATTACGGGAAATTGGGTTTATCGCCACGCCGATATCCGTCCGTGGGATCCGAGAAACGACGTGCTACAATACGAGCAAGATTACATAATTAAAACAAAAACGAGGCACAAGACGCCAATCATGCGTACCGGAAGTATCGTGTCCATTGATCCCCAGTCACAGGTAAACGATTAGAGCATAAAAAAAGTCATGCACACGTTCAGCAAATCTGTAACTATAACTACTATCGATATCAACAGGTTCCGTTGCTGATGGCTGAGTCTCGATCTTCGCTGTCGGTGTTGAAATCATCGAAGCGTCAACTCACAAACAATCATCCACACAACGAAACAGTTGCTCATGATTCGGCAAGCTCGTCCGATGCAGCACATTCGGATTCCAGCCAATCGGCCCACAAACGACGAAGTCGCAATCAAGCGTGAGTTTATAAAAATGTCAAGTTTCTACATTTTCCCTGACTATCGACTCTTTTTAATGATTTTCAATATCTTATTTCAGAGTAACTGGTATGTTCAGGGTTATTGATGAACGTTTGGAAGATCAACTAGAGGAAATAAAAAAAATTCATCGCATTCTGGAACAGCAGTCGGCCCGTCGAAACCCACTTGGATTTAATTTTAATCGTGGAAATGGCACTGGTGCTTCTCGGATCTTCCGACATGTTGTCGATACGTTTATAATAGTCCTTATTGTTCTCTTCGTTCAATGGTTTACCAGACGTATGTCTGGTAGTAGTGGGGGTGGAGACGGCAATATTTTCAACAAAGCCAAAGAATTATAGTGAGTGTGTGTCTGTGAATAAATGTACGTATCTGTGCAATGATAATCATTTTTAACGCATTAATTTATACATCATGCGACCGTTGTATAACATAGCTCTTTAACACTAGTCGCTGCAATTGATTGAATAAAAATAATGATCATACTTACCTAAGTATCCGTATTTAAAATTTAGGTAAGAATTTTATGTATCATTTTTGTACAACTATTCAATATTTTCTCCTTTTTAAATAATCATTATTCGGGAATCGATGAACATTTCATTTTTAAAAACATTTTTCACTTATCAAAATATATTGTTTTTAATGATGACAGGTTATCCATTTTATTTGGATTTTTATTTGTTGAAAATTTCAAGTACAAATTTTCATTAAAAATAATGACGCGAGATTCAAAGACATTTTTACCAATTTATTTCATTTTTCAGTAACTTGGTTAACTGTAATAATCAATTTTAATAATCATGAATCAGCCTTATTAGATGGTAATTTTAGATTTAGCTCTCACGATCATATAAAATATTTGCAGAAAAATAAGTCAGTGATAACTTATTGAAACAATTTCTACCAAGATTATCTCTACTTAATAATTGCTTGAAAAAAATCAATATCCTATTCGTAATTAACTATTTGAAATGTGAATATTTACGTCAATGCGTTTTTAATTTTCTTTTCTTTACCTCTTTGTATACCTTTATACACACTACACATCCTATGCATATTCAAGTATATTTAAATGCGATTAGTTGACAATAGAAATAATTCTATTATGATTGACTATCGCTGTTTATTATTGTAAATAATTAAATATTTATATATTTTATTGTCTGTTATGAATCCTTAATGTTTTCAACATTCTAATCGAGTTTATGAGTTTCCTTGGTATTGCCGTTTTACTGTATCGAAATATATTTGTATAAGGAGTACACACGTTTACATAATTTAAATAATTTCCTATAATTTCCATAATGTAAGTAAAAATTTGAGTAACTAATATTGACATTTAGTACGTAGTATGAATTTCCAAATTATAAGTATTGCACTACATATTGATATTCGGTTAGATAATGAATTTCTCATTTTTAATTTCTGAATTATAGTTATGATCAATAAATATTCAGTAACTAGGATATTTATAAGAAAAAAATTTATTATTTTTCTTTGATTATGCGGGCATTTTTAAAATTAGCTTTAATAAGTTTAAAAATTACATTCAAATTTTTTTCGAATACTCTTATTTTTACTCATTTACGTGTCTTATTTCGTTGGTTTTTCAACATTTTTTCATTTTGTGTAGTATTATTTTGTTATTTATGTTATAAGTACGTATTGTTTGAATGATTGTATTAGTACCTTACGGAAAAAGTATCAGATTATATGAGTTTCTATTATAAATATATGTTTTAAAATTTTATGAATTGATAAAATTAAAAAATGTTAACAAGGGTTAATATGAATAAATAAGAATTAAAAGTGAGGAGTGTGCTTGAAAGGATAAAATAATACCATTGAGCTTGGTACGATTTATTGTGTTATTGGAGAACATAATAAATCGCATCAGAACAGATGTATTGTGTTATTGGAAATTGAAGTTTGCAAGCTCTTTCATTCGTAAAGATTAATTAGTGTTCTTTATCCAGGGAAAACAATGAATTTATTGAAATATTTTAACAATTACAACTTCACTTCTCTTTTTTATCAGTGTACAGACTAATTTTCATGAATTCAAACCTGAATTAATGATGATTATTATAACAAAATCATTGATGTGAATTGAAAATTTGACTATCATGCTGATTAAAATTGCCAAATAAATAATTCGCCCGAAAAATAGCTACGATGTGAATCAATAATTATACTAATATAATATCAAATTTTGTTATCTATGCTTATGGTAATGAATATCCATATTGTTGAGGCAATGTACCTATTCTAACTGCAATAGAAGATGTTACAAAAGAAGTATCAGTGCAGTGGAAGCATTTGTAGTTACTTTACGAAGCTAGGTCACTTGAAGAATACCTATAAAGCGCTACATTTTATATATTAAAGCTCAAAGTGCTTTTTGCTTGAAAATTCATAATATAAATTTTTAGGGTTTTCAATTAAGGTAACTAAAAACTAGTCAGATTTACAGAAAAACAAAATGGTCGGATTTAAAGCAAATACTGAATTTTATTTATTAAATGAATCGATTTTGAATTTTCTTTTTACACTAATGCATAAATGAAGAAAGTAAATTTAAAGCGGTTATATTTGTATCATTGCAGTAGTGTAACGAGAGTAATGACCTATCTTGAATAGCAATTAAAAAATTGGCGAATGCCAGATAAGAATATTGTTACCAGATACTTTGTGTGCATCATCAATTCAACATTAAAATTATAAAAATAACACTTACAAACGATTATTTGAAAATGAAAAAGGGATTGTACGTCATTTTTTATTATCTACTTGTAAAATAGCGTAGACGTAAGAAATATGATGTGTAAAAAGTTGTTTTTTGCTCTTTTTATCTGTTGGACGTTTTTTCATCTCTCGCTTGTTTCTCTAAGCGTTTTGTACATTCTGACAATTATAATTCTTATATACATTAACACATTGCGTATAAATTTTAGCTTTCCGATTACGTTAGTTTTCTCAAATTTGATAAATGTAAATTGGTATTACGAGAGGAATTTGAAGGAATTCAAGTGCGCGAATGCATAAGATGAAATAAAAATTACATTTGAATTAAAATAACAGATATTTGGTTAATAAAAGGTGGGTGTTTTTTATTTGTTTATTGAATCACAAGAGAAAAAAAAACGTAAATATAACCCTGATGCAGGATCGGTCGCGTGCGTCATGTCAGACAAGTCAATGGCGACGAGCTGGAATCGAAGGCACGACGAGGATCACGGCTGCCTGAGCCTGACGCCTCACCTGGTCCGCGACGCCGTCGAGCAGCTGGAGAAGCTGCGGGCCCGGGTCTCGCTGCAGCTCATGGCCGAGCACTTTCAGCGCAACATGCCGGTGACGCGCGACACCAAGGCCCTGATCGAGGAGCTGCGCGTCGAGGCTGACAAGGCCGTGAAGCGCGGCTGGCTGAGGAAGTTCGCCGACGGCGCTTACTCCCTATCGAATCTCAAGTGGCAGGCGAGCGTCGACGAGTACGGCTACGACAATCTCTAAAGTCCGTCGTCGTCGCCGTGCGAATGCAATTACCGAGCAAAGCAACAGGTGTACCATTATATGCATATGTAGGCAGCCAACTAAAAATATAATTTGACCAAATTGGAGCAGTTGCTGCTACTGTGTTGCCGACATTATTCGGGCAGGGGTGAATCGCGACGATCGCCACGAGGGAAAACGAGCAGTCGTGCGCGCCTTCCGAAATCCAGGTCATTTTCTTCGTCGCAGTCCGTGTGAATCTGGGTTAATACCGTACACTTATATAGCGCTACACCGAGCTCGAGCGACACTTTCTTTCAGGGCCTGTTTTCGGTCGCAGTTCATCGTGGCTTCAAGATGCAGCCAGCGTGCTAAGCTGCGACCATATACACATCGAGTAATTTCGCGACTTTCGGCACGTAGCGAGTATAAATAAAGCGACGTCTCGCTCGTCGACTTTTCTCAACTTTTTTTTTTTTTTAAGCTGTCGTTAGGCATGTAATAGCGATGTAGCATCGGAGACGTGTGGATGCGGGCCAAGCTGCTGCTGCTGCTGCTGCACGTGTTCGCCCGACCAAGCCGAGGAATCTCCAACTTTATCGTCTCGCATTAGCAATTTACAATCATATCTCACTGATATAGGATACCATATGGGATATACGAGTAAAAAGGCTTCGCTCCGGCTAAATGAATTGCCTTGATTAAGGAGTCGCATTACCACCGCAGACCGTACGAAGCAAGACAAATAAAACATGAACAGATCGCTAATGGTGAAGGGGATGTGTGGAGAAGGCGTGACATTTTGACAAGGGAGCTACGATAACATGGAAAATATGCGCAGGGTGACAGGCATCGAGTATACGATGAGCATTATACAAGAGAGAGGAAGAAAGAGAGGGAGGGAGAAAAGCATCCATCTATGAGCATCGTACGTTGTATAATTAGTTGGTTCATTCGTAATCATACATATAGGACGTATATAGGACCTTGTGGGGGGTAAAGTTTCAGTGTTTATATAGCTCAAGCCTATACACACCTGGCTCTGCATGTATATAGAACGAATCGCAGCCCTTACGCGTCGTATAGTTGCTACCCTCTCTCTTTCTCGGTTACTCTGCGCGAAAACGCGAGGCTTTCGTGAGCGCATGAGCACTGACCCTCTCTACTCTCTCAACTGCCGCCGTTGCTGCTTTGCTACACTACTGCTCTTTCTCTCGTCAACGTCGCCGAGAGAGAGAGAGAGATGTGCATGTGAAAGCTCGCTAGTGTGGATATTTTGCGCCTCGCGTTCACATGGGACTGGGGAGAGTCTCAGTCGCGTTCCGACCCCATACAGTGGACGTGTGCGAAGCGCCTCGCAGCTCCTTGTTGTCGCTGCGTTTTCCAGCTCGTAACCGTTCGCGCCTCTCCTCTCTCTCTATCGAGTGATAAACAAACGACCAGGTCGCGCCTCGTCAATAAACTCGGCTTCCATAAACCTGCAAATGTACACTCCCGACTGCAGCTGAGGCAAGTGTGTGGATTTCCAAGCCTCCTCCGCGACTCGTAGATTAAAGGCTAAAATGGAGATAGAGCCGTTTCGAGCTTGCAACGCGCAGCCTTGACCTACTAAAAAACCAACTACTCCGAGACTGAGACGGCATACATACCTTCAAAAGAGCTTTGCTATTCAAGAGAGATCAAGAAGCGATACGTTCTAAGGCTCTTCGAGAAAAGCCATTGAAAAATGAGGAAGAAAAGAATTTCTTAAGACTCGGCTGCAAAAGAAAAAAAAAGGCAATAAAGAAGAAAAAAAAGGGCAGAATAAGGAGCTGAGTGGTCCGCTGGAACGAGTCATGGTAACGGCTACAATGAGCGGTGACAAATCGACCAGTAGCACAAGTCAAGCGGTCGCGATCGCGACAACGTCCTCGTCCTCGTCGACGACTGCCAACAGTCAGGATGAAAGCAAGACGACCGCCGTGGCTGCCGCCGCCACTGCGGGCCTCGATCGAACGGCCAGTCAGCAGCAGCAAAAAACAAATAACAGCGGGGCAGTCAGCAAGCAACAGCCGAGAACTCAATCAGCTGCTAATTTATTGGTGCCTCCGACGTTGGCATTTACGGCCCAAGCACATCCGGCAGTGCTGACTGCGCCGGCACCCCAGGATTCGCCCAATTATCTGACTTACAAGAAGGTATTCCGTTATGCTTACGCTCGCTTCAACGACTACATTAACTATTATTCAATTACCATTAAAAGCTAGTTATCTACTACAAATTCTACTTTTTTTTTCTCACAATTATCTCCGCTTTTATTTGAGCTTTTACAAAGGGCATTATTGTATGCACGGAACAATTTTATTAGCATTTCAGCATTATCAAATTGGAACTTGGATAATTTATAGAATTATGTTTTGCATTGGATCCAACTACTGAGGGCTTTGGGAGCGTAAACTTGAAAAAATTTCAAAGCATTCTTTCTCTCCTCTAAGACGTTTTTGAAATTTAAAATTAAAAATTTTTTTCTTAAATATAAGCTTATTGGCGTGCACTTTTTTAGTATATTTTGCAAGTAAAAATTCTTCTTTTTACAAGCAACCCCGAGCAAAACTCGAACGTATAAGTCAGCTTGTAGAGACAATTGAATAAATTTAATAATTAATTTTGCTTTAAGGCCGGCATGAAAAGGCTTGTCCAAAAATATCTATATAATCCTAAATACCTATACTTTGCTCGAGTTCGTAATGATAAACATTGATGTCCTAAAAAAGTGTTCATGCGACTGTGCGGTAGTCAGAAAACGGGAAAAAAATTTCACGTGTATCATGTTAAAAAAGATAAAAAACCTTTAATCTTCATTCACGATCAGCATTTTTAAATCATAAAAAAATATATAAAAAATGTATAATCCAAGTTTTTTTGTGAGTGCGTTTATTTTGGATATTTATATTGAACACGATAAAAACATGATTTGTCACTTTTTCTTTTATAAAAAAGCTCGCAAGAGTTATAAAGGACAGGATGAAAATTATACGTTTTTTAAAATAATCTCGAAAAGTGTTGATCTGGGTATTATTTTACACTTAAGTGTCTGAAATCTCAATTTTCTTATACGATTGATGACTAAAGTTTAGAGCTTTCGGCATTGAGAGGCATTAAAAGTCAAAAATATAGGCTTATTTGAAAGTTTCAGTCATTCAAGAGATAGCAATTACGAGAGAATGCGAGAGAGTCGTTTGAAAATAAGTAAAATTATTAGTGATAATGCAATCCGATTGAATGCAATAAAGACGGATATATAGCCAAGAGAAAATGTTTCCGTTAATCGTTCAGGTCTTTTGATATAATTATATTAGAGCTTTAAATCGATTCTCGATCGATACCTACAGATGGAGGCGTTGATTGGCAGAATGCAGAACGAGGAGAACGGGGTGCCTGTGAGAACCGTCAAAACTTTCATGACGAAAATCCCGTCCATTTTCACAGGTCCGTTGCTCGCACATTAATTCCTGCATGAATATTTATGACGTGCGAGTCTCAATTTTATTAATAATGTATTTGATGTACGAACAGGCACAGATTTGATAACGTGGATGATGAAAAACATGGACGTGGACGATCAAGGTAAGTCGAACAAAAAAAGTAGAAAGGGGCTAGTAGTAAAATTAGCTTCAGCAGTCGGAGATTCGCCAGGGGCACATGAAAATAAAACAATTCGGATAGGACGCGTCGAACACACGAGTATCGAAGTTTTCATTGGCAGGAGGAAAGTTGGGCGAGTGGCATGAAAATAAATTTGCACTTGTGTAGCGCAGAAAGTTTGCTGGCGATTCAAGTCGGGCCGCGAGGCATCATCGTAAATCTTAGCTACGCGCGAACACACATGGCACTACTCGAGAGGCTGGTTTTTATTGATATCGATCGTGTGTAACGTTGATTGGCAGAGGCACTGCACGTCGCCCACCTGATGGCGGCTTACGGCTACTTGTTCCCCATCGACGATCATTGCCTGTCGGTGAAGAACGACAATACGTTTTATCGCTTTCAAACGCCTTACTTCTGGCCGTCGAATTGCTGGGAGCCCGAAAACACCGATTACGGTAAGTCCATAGACGACGATATACGATATTTAACGACATCGATCTACATCCATCGCACGCGATTAAAGATTTAATAGATATTATTTTCTTTCCACTCCCATGACATCCCTTCCCGGCCTTGGAGCGATAAATTACCTTTTCAGCTATCGATGACTCATTATTTGTGTTGGGGGAACAAACGTTTTTACGAGAGAAAAGATCGAATTGAAATGGGTATTGTGTCGAGAAGACAAAGTCACGCGTAAAAAATCATAACGAGTTCAGAGCGCTCGATCGTGTTTCAATTAGGGATACGAAAGCTCCTTTGGTCCGACTTTTGCGCCGCGTTATTTTCGTTCGTTCGTTCGAGTATTTCCTTACGCTCGCGCACTATCGAGGCAAAAAAACGGAGCGCAATCACACGCTTACGCTTGCTTCGTTTTATTGAAAGAGGCGAAAATCTAGACTGCTACTCGCGTAAACTCGTGAATTGACTTTGTGCCGTTGTACGATATTTTTGGCAATAAGATTCGACGAGTTTTATTCAAACTAAACTGGACGAATTCAAAGCGCTTAACTGCGTTCAATTTTCCTTTTCAAAGATTTAAACGGTTTTACAATAGACGCGTGAATATTGTATACGAAGCTCGTAGCTTGGATTATCGAGGAATTTTGTCGGGACTAAAGAATTTTGCCAAGGTTTATCGTTGCGCGCGGCTTATAGGAGAGCTCGTGAAACGGTCCTTGCTCCCTCGTGCAGATCGGAGGCTGCGCATAGGAGTGTCGCGACGAGTGTCAGACGAAAGCAGAGCCGGAAAATCCGACCTACATGCCAGCGAGGCAATTGGATTTCCTCGTCGTCGTCGGTCTCTCTCTCTCTCAGTTTTCAATTAAAATGTTTAGCGCGAGCGATGGTTGGCTCATTATTATCACTCTGCCTCAGCCGTGTATCTGTGGAAGCGCACGATGCAGCACAAGGCGCGCCTCGAGTTGGCCGACTACGAGGCCGAGTACTTGGCCCGGCTGCAGAAGCTCTTCTCGCGCAAGTGGGAGTTCATCGACATGCAGGCCGACGCGCAGAACAAAGCCGACAAGAAGCGCGACAAATTGGAGCGCAAGGTCCTCGACAGCCAAGAGCGAGCCTTCTGGGACGTTCATCGGCCCATGGTATACTTACGGCTCTAGATGATAAAATGTATAAGCGCATTCGTAGATGGTACTTGGCTCATTTTGTTTTTTTCGTAGCCGGGCTGCGTCAACACGACCGAGCTCGACATTAAAAAGGTCTGTCGCAGCCAGGGAAGGCCGACGAGCAGCAGCGGGGCTTGCCAACACTCCGGACCCCTGCGCAAGCTCGTCAATCGCAGCGTCGACGAGCTCCACCACGAGATCGAACTGCTCAAACTGCGACTGGATCGCCGTATAATTAAAATTTCTAAAGTCGCCGAAGCGTGAGTAAAGCCTCGGCCAAAACAAGCCCCTTATAAATCCATCGAATCCAGCAAACTTTCAAAATTCATTGCATTTTTACGCATTTTTTTAAAAACATTTTGCACTTGCGACGTGCTCTGCTAAAATCAACAAAAATTCTCCTTTTAAAATCTTTCGTTTTATTACACGCAGAAGGCTTCTAAAACTAGTCATTACACTCAGTTGTGCGGCAAAAAGTCATAACGCTCAACTAAGCTTTCAAATACGGTACATCACTGCCCTAGGCCGCGAAAAACAGAAAAGTCCCAGAGTACGTGTAATTAGAGATGAACACGTGCTTTGGAGCTTTTTTTTCGCGGCTTAAGCCTGTATGATATTTTTCATATCCAGTGGCCCGAAAATTGCTCTTCCCGCTTTGCGCAGTAGCAAGAAAGTAGGGGCCAATTTTGCAGGCACATACTCAGGATGCGTAATATTTTTTTTACTTCGATCATAATTATCAATCAAAAGACAATAATATAAAAAATGTATTTTCCTACATCAAGTGTCAAGTGTTTAATTTTTTGAAGATGCACCGCGACCTTACTTATTGAATTTTATTGAACTCTCAAAATTAAAAGTACCTCATCTAGGCATATTCCCTCTGTTTTTTAATGTTTTGGACCAAATAACTATATTTTATTCTTGCTTATATGCATTGTGCAATTATTTTTTAAGTTATACCATAGTCCCTTTCCCATTAAAAGTTTCCTGAATTTTCTCATATACACCTTATCAATTAAAAAAGTGACAAGTTATCCTAATATGTGTTCCTCTTTTGCAGACTCATCAATTACTCGTTGCAGTACGCCGAGTACGACCCGTTCTTCACCGTGCCCGAGGCAACGAATCCCTGGATCACCGATAGCCTCGATTTTTGGGAGCAAGAGAAAGCACCGTGAGTGTCGAAAAATTTTCGCTTTTTTTTTACTTTTTTTTCCTAATTTCTTTCATCTTACAGTAAAGACGTGCCGCTGAGACGAGTAAAAAGATGGGCCTTCAGTTTGCAAGAGTTGCTGCAAGATCCTGTCGGTCGGGAGCAGTTCATCAAATTTCTCGACAAAGAGTTCAGCGGTGAAAATCTGCGATTCTGGGAGGCCGTCCGAGACCTGAAAACGCTGCCGCGCAGGCAGGTGGAGCAACAAGTCAAGTTTATTTGGGACGAATACATGGCTGACGAGGCGCCCTGTCCCGTCAACGTCGACTCCAAATCCCTCGAAATCACCAAGAAAAATTTCAAAGAGAGACCGGACCAGTGGTGCTACGATGTCGCTGCGGTAACAAATATATTTCAGGCTCCGCATGTATGTTATCAGTAAATCACTTTCAATTCGTAATACTTAAATAATTTCTAGTCGATTTTTTAGAATAACAATTTCATTCTTATGTATACTTTATAGCAAATAATTTTTTTCGTACATTTTTGTACTTTGTCACATCATAATATCATCTGGCACAGAGCACAAATTATCGTTATAAACTTCGTTCATAATTAATAAATGCTTTCATACGATTTACCAAAAGTAAAAGAAAAAAACATGAAATAAACAAATATTCTAACGCAGGAAACAAAATAAATAACGTCATTTTCTTTTGATTATAAATTTAATTGTTATTCGATGTTCAACAGTCTCAAAATAACGAGGCTCGTTTTTTCTATCAATATTAGTAAATAACATAAAACATAACACATTATAATTAATTCGCATCGTTTTTCATTCTTATTTAGGCTCACGTATATCACCTGATGAAGACTGATTCTTACTCGCGGTATCTACGATCCGACATGTACAAAGACTTTCTCAACAACTCGAAAAAAAAGGTAAGTCAGACCACAGCAAAGCGATGGCAATGTACAATACTTGAACGTTGAATATTTAAACCGGATATTATACAATTTTTTATTTCGTTTACAGGCCTCTGTCAAAGGTATCCGATCGATTGTTTCGTTCACTGGTCGCAAAGATCCGCAAGCTGTTTAAGCACAGAAGCAACAACGACGATACTGATACATGCTGATGAAACACAGTATAAATCTTTTAAACGTACAAACTGCCTGGCAATGGCAAAAATTCGCACTCCCACATAACAACCGTTAGCATCTCTCGCTATCTTTCTATCTCTCTTATTCTCTCGTATTAACCCAATACCTTATTGCTAAAAAGTATTTTTAAATAAATTCTACTAAAAAGTCAATTCAACAAAACAAATTTAACACTCGTGATGGCGATAACACTATGTATGCCTGATGATGAATAATATTAAAAAAGTACTTAATATCCGTGAACGATGCAATGACAAAACTATGCCAACTTTTTTTCAACAAGACGCATTTTTTCTTTTTCTCATTTTAAAGCAGGAATTGATAATTCAGAAACATGATCACGACCGCAGAGAGATTACCCACGAAAAAAATAAGCAATTTTTTCTCCACCTCTCACAACTGCGATGAGTACAATCGACATAAGCACAATATATTTCATGTACAATTCTATGAGTAAGGATTCTACCAAGTGTAAATTATAGGGTAACTGTTGTGTGTAAGAAGCAAATGAGATACTATCAAAGTGAAATTTTATTATTCTCAAAAATGAGAAAAAAACAATGCAATTATATATTATCCAAGATAATCTGAGTATTGATTCATAAATAACGAGAGTAAAAGATCACGAGTATTTCAAAACAGGTGGTATACGTAGCAACGGATATTTGTAGAACATAACGTTAAGTACAAAAATTACATGTATGCTATACATCAATGTGTTAATTTTCATTTGTGTATCAAACTGTTTGATCATTTGTAAAAAATAAAAAAAAAATCACTTGATTTCATATTTGTTGAGTTTGTAAATATATTTTATGATAAACGAAGAAAACAGATAGATGATAAAATAAAGAGTGTTTATATTTTACTCCTTTGACACTTTAATTTTTTTATTAACTCTTTGGTGCTAAATTCTCATTTTCATTGGCACAGCCACTGATCAATTGTAATCATGAACAATTAGACTGCGCCATTAAAGGTTTATCCTTGGCCATTTGTTCAACTCGATGAACTCTGCAACACAGTATGTAATCTCTCATAAGGGTATAGAGTGGGTAACAATTAGATGCAAGTAACAAGCTATTGGATATAACTTGATACCACTCATTTTTGCGTATGCTTATTAAGAATTGTATTCCAACAACAGTCATCTGCCATCCTACTAACGATAAAAGTAAAGTTGTAGGTTCACCAAACAGCGTCTGTAAACAATATTAAAAAATTATATTGTTACCTGGGTTTAATAATAATCTCATTATCATATTTTACAAGTTATTTTGTACATACATAAAAGCGACTGTGACTTGAATTTCCAGGTTCCGCAGCTGTACAAAGTCCTTCTGAGCGATACACTTCTTTGTTATGTCTAACCAAAGTACCATGAGGCCATAAAACTTTATCGTCCCAAGTATGACTAGCTTGTATGCCTTTACTATTAACTTTTGACCATTTTCCAAGATGGGCAGCAGATTTATGAAGAACATCACAGTATCTAAAAATATTATAACCATGAACACTTCAATCAAGTTAACCAATTTTAATGTCAGTTAACAATTTATAATCTTAAAAAAAACATTGTAAAATTCAACTCAAGCAAAAACTTGTTATTTTCACCAAATTCAATTGCAATTTGTTTCTCTTTTGTATTTATACATGAAATGAAAGTTTGGCTTACCTAAAAGAATATGACTGGGCAAAATTTGCTCCAAGCTGGCCAAGCCATATAAAGACAGTGTGTTGTACAACCCAGTAAATATTATAGTGTAAATGCTGAGGAACAAATATCACAGGAGCTATACCACATAAATATGCACTTCCTGATGCTGCATAAAGTGCTCTTTTTAATCTGCTGTTGAAGTCTGATTTTAGACTTGCAACTTCTTGCCTTATCGTAACTGCATTTGAAGAACAATTGTGCATTGGTTTATCTATCAAAAGATAATTCAATTAATAAATTGATCATGTTTTTCATAATTATGTACCAAGCAATAGAATTATTACCCAAATAAAATTTTGTTTTTTTGTCTTCTTTAAGATAAACTTGAACTGTAGATAAATCAAAAAAAGGTTCAATGCTTATTCCAAACATCAAAAAGTAAATCAAAATACTGTGAAATATAATGAAAATTATAATTTGATAAGAGGATCATTAATATAACAAATTAGAGTCACTTACGGGTAACAAAGATAAAAAATTTTATTTATGTTGTGTCGTTTTTTCATATGATATAGGCACCAAAAAAGTGCACTCATTATAACAGCTAGTAGTACTATTCTCATAACTTTTAGGGCAAACGGTAACCATTTATTTGGAATAACACGTTGGAAAGATTTGCAAATCATTGCATATATGAATTGTCTTGAAACCATTATAGTAATAAATGTTAAAAGGTAAAAGTCTAACAAGTAAAAGTTCTGCAAAGATAAATGTATAACTTATTAGAAATGAGTATACATATTACAGAGAGATAATAATGATGATGAAATATTGTTTACCACACTATAATCATTGTGAGATTCTGAAAACCACCAGACAGTTTTGTATAAGTTGAGTAGCTGCAAAGAAGCAGCGATCAAACACGTAACTAATATATATGCTTCATAGTGTTGAAGTCCATCTCCAGATCTGGCAGGTATAGGTATATGTTTAGGAATAATCACTTTATTATATGGCAATTGTTCACTCATATTTTTTCCATCATCCAAACCGGTAGAAAACGTAGAATTTGGAGAAGAATTATAATTTGGCGGGGTATTGTTATAATTGTTTGCAGGCGAAGCACTCGCTGCATTTGCATTCGATGCTGCGGTCACTGTTTGAATACGAGAACTCGTGCTGCCTTTTCCAGCGGGACACCGACGTCCTCCGGCCATTTTTTGCAATTGTCATTAGAAATGCACGTTAATGCTGAGCAGAACAATTGACGCGTTGACTCGTTGAAAAAAGCAATTGGCAATTGCAGCCGCTACCTCGAAAGTACCCTTTTCGCTACACAATATGCACTTACAGAAGTCTGGGTAAGAAAAAACTAAAAGAATTTTCTCTTCTTCGTGTTATATCAACTGTTGCGAATGTCGATTCGATTTTGAATTGGGCTCGATCAAAATAATTCACGGCAATGTTTACATTGAGAAGCATCGGCGGCATCATCGGCGTTGATTGGCGTACCGACGAATAGTCGACGACAACTGAGTAGCTCTAACCTGTATGTTTATGTACATACGCAGCAGAGTAACGTCGTGCAGTGCAGTGCAAGTCGACTCAAATTACAAACTGTACGAGCGGGAATACAAATAAGAAGCGCGTTAGAGCAAATAACGATGATTAAATTAGAATCGAAGGAAAAAAGATTTTTTCTTGCTGCGACAAAAAAGAATCGCTAAGGATTTGTTTTCTTCTGAAACGATGCAAAAGATGAAAAATCATGGAAAATTGAAATGAATCGAATTGAAAATGAAATTGAGTTTAAGCGCTATGAAATAAGGAGTCGGTCAAGTTTTAAAATGTCTTTTATTATCAAAAAGTCATGTGTTACAAGATAGATGCAGTGGCAATAAAAATGAATTGGTATATGAGAGCGCGCGCGATTGATACGTCATAGAGAGAAAAGAATAGACATATTAAGTTTTAAGCATTTACAATTAAAGATTTGTTGTTGGCGATACGTATCGCAGGTATTACGAACTTGGAACTAGAAAAATGATGTCTACGAATGATGTACATAATGCAATAGATTACGTAACGCGATTGTCGCGTGCGAAATAATCAAGTGTAAAAATATACGAACGTATAAGGCAGGAGCTTATACAGCTGTTGGTCATATTATACGTTAAATGTCCAAGTGAACGAAAACTTTGAGATTTGGGCAAAAAATCGGACGACTCGTATTTTTGGCCGAGCTTTAGTCGCGGTACGTAGCGTGACTGCATATAATTACAAGTGTCTATAGTAGAGCTGCAGTGGGCAATTTGTACGCGTAGAATCGAACGACGAAGGAGGAAGGCGAAACGAATTAGGATTAGGAAGTAGGTTAGGTGTCGTTATCGGGTGGCTCGAGCTTGCAGGCCCTCGTCGTGGCCAAGTGTTTGTCCGAGTTCTTGCGCCTGGTGAGTATCGGCAAGAAAGCCCAGAGCGTCGTGCCGCACAGGACGATCATGCCCAGGGTGAGAAAGATGGGCCGGTAGGAGCCGATCCGCTCGAAGGCCGCGTTGCAGATCGGGGGCCCGGCCAGCTGCAGTATGCCGTTGACGAAGAGCGAGATGCCGTAGGAGGAGGCCAGCCTCTCGGGCCCGAGCATGTCGGCCATTATGACGGCCGTCGTGCCGATGTAGAGGCCCGAGGCGAGGCCGCAGACCGCCACGAGGCAGGCCAGGTAGAGGTAGGCCCCGTTGAGCAGCGGCAGCAGGACGAGCGCGAGGCCGCTCAGGGCCAGGCCCGCCACGAAGTAGTAGTGCTTGGGCAGGAGGGAGGTGTCGCTGAGCGAGGCCCCCCCGACCCGGCCGATCAGGTCGAGGGCCGAGACGATCGACAGCAGCAGCGCCGCCGACTCCTGACTGTGGCCCTCCGCCACGGCGTACGCCGGCAGCAGTATCATGAAGTTGGTGTTGCTGATGCCCGCCGCCGAGTTCGAGATCAGGATCACCAGGTACAGCGGATCCTTCAGGATGGCCAGATCGAACAAGCTGCTTTTTGCCCGATCTTCGCTCGGCGCCGCCGTCGCCTCTGCCTGGGCGGCCTCTTGATGCCCTTGATGCCCTTGATCGACCACCACGACGCTCTGCCCGGTAAATGTAAATCTATAGCCATCTTTCTCGCTATTTATCCCGACTCGTGCAATATGCCAAGCCAATTTTTCTTATTGTATCATTTGATTATTCGACGAGTTTTATGTAACAACGCGATGAGTAAAACTCAATGTTGTTTCGAATTCGAATATGACGTATGGACGCTCGCTCGGCTTCTCGATAATACAATCGCACGAAAATCCTTTGTATGTTGACTTTTTCACGCGTGCTAATCCAAGCCGAATTATATCGCTGAAAATCGACAATCTCGCGCAAATATTTTCACATGATTCACGCGCACGCTGCAACGCGAGAAGCCAGGCGCCCGTTCGGCAAAGTCAATAACACGAATAAAAGCGTAAATTATCTCACCAATTGGGGCTTGGGCTCGATCTGCTGAGACTCCGCTACCGCTAGGCTCTTGGGCAGTTGACTCTGCTTGTCGAGGAAGGACTGGCGAAGGTGGACCTGCTGCAGCGACACGCTTATTCTGCGCGGGTCGAGGGTCAACGACTCGACGGTGGCGATGCTGCCCCGACGCGACGTGTCGTAGAGGCCGGCCGATTCCTTGCCCGCCTTTGCGGATTCGTCGCTCTCCTCGTCGTCGAACGCGACGAGTTTCGTGTGTTTCTCGACCGGCTCGAACAAAAAGGCGCAAAATATCGTGCTCGTCAAGACGCCACCGAGGATCAGGACGGCGAATCTGCGACAAGTGCGCAAACTTTTACTTGCCAAGTGTGAAACAAACAAGAGCCATCGGTGTCTGTAGTTATATTTTAGCGTAAAATTAAACTGACTTGTGGCCGAGTCGATTGAGAAGGAACTGCAGCAAGGGGGGCAGGATGATGGTCCCGATGGCGCTGCCGCATATGCAGAGACCGGTCGCGAAGCCTCGGCGCTTCTCAAAGTACTCGCAGACTATGTAAATCGTCACCGGGAAACTGAGACCGCAGCCGATGCCCATCATCACTCCGTAACTGCAAAGCGTCGCAAATTTGGCAATTTTTACTCGGTCGCGTTTACTAGGTAGTACGACGAGATTAGGGTCTACCTGACGTAGAGATAGGCGACCGAGTCGGCAAAGTAGCTGAGCATGAGGCCGGCCGAGGAGACGATGCAGCCGACGATGGCGACGAGCCTGTAGGAGAACTTGCTCGACAACATGCTCGAGACGGGTCCTGCGAATTGCAATTACACACGAATAGGCAAGGGGCTAAGCTCGCAGCTCGCTCCAGCAGCTCTTACCCAGCGAGTTGTAGAGGAAGTAGCAGAGGGCCGGGATCCAGGAGGCCTCCGTAGGTGTAGCGCTCAACACCTTCAGGAACTCGACGTAGAGCACGCCGAAGGACTTGACGCTGCCCGGCAGCAGCATGTTTATCATCACGGCTGCGAAGAGGACGGCCCAGCCGTAGCCGCCGTCCGGTGGCACGACTTTCATCCCCATCTGTCGCACGCGCGTCTTTCTGATTTCGTCCTCTTCTTTATACAACGAGATCACTGGTTGATTTGCACTGGGCCGCACATGAGCTCGCGCGAGGGGCCACGCCACCGAGTAGACGCTAATTTATTCACTCGTCTTCTCTCTCTGTTTGTTCACTCGGACGGAGGCGAGAGTGGCTTCGACGATCGCGCCCGCACTCGCGGCCAAAGCCAAACGATTCGCGCTCGGATGCGACGCGATCGTATTTATTCGGCTCGAGATAGCTCGAGAGTAGAAGCTGACGCGCGAGCGCGCGCTCAATGTTTACTCTACGAGAGTCGCTTTTTCGGTGCAGCGCCAGCTCCAACTGACAAGACGAGCTCGAGCGAATTCGAGTTCGCGAATCTACCTGCGTCTCGCTTTTCTTCCTTCTTTATTTTCTTCCTTTTTTTCGCCTATTGACTCTGCTCATTGGCGAACGCGCTACCGACACGCTACTGACGCGCTGCACTGCGCTGACATGCGATATATAATGACAATAAGGCAGCTTTGCGATTTCGCTTTTTGTCTTTGCTGCCGCAGCTAATGCGCACGGCCGAGCACGCGCTTGAGTTATATACGAGAAGAGGTGACGTTTACACCTGTCACGAGCAGATAAAATCTATTCGACGCTCGGCTGCAGCAGCAACAAACAAAACTTTTGGATCGTTACGAGGAAACCTTCACCTTGCTCTCCTCCATCCTCCTCTCTTTTACTTACGCGCGACATTTATTTTACAAATTTAATCGCGTGCGCTCGATTGCCTCATTTCCTATATATGCATCTTCGCGAGATCGCTGCGAGCTGGAGGCGTTTTCAGCGCGTCCACTCGCGCCAACGCCTATGCACGAGGTTAAATTTAGCACTCGTGTCAAAGGGAGCCCGCTGCATCATCAGGTGTCCGTTTGCCAACGGTATCGTTATGTAAGCGCCGCATCGCGAAACCCGATACACCTATGGACGAGAGCTGCTTATCTGCGAGGCGCCAAACGACATTCGTTAATGCATCTCGTGCTCCAACTCGCGCTTATACTCATCTCCTTCTTCGTCGTTGGAAAATCACCCGATCCCGCCGTGTAACTCCAGTGGAAAAGAGCCGCGAAAACAAAAACAAGTCGTTCTATGCCGAACCATGCCTATATACTTTCGATCGAATATCGACACTTTGTATTTCGAAATTCATTACGTGGAAAAGTTTCTTCGTAATTTGCCAAGAATTTTCCGCGCTACACCTGCCTGCATTGAGACTAATCAAAATAATGCATCGGTAGCTTTATAGTCTTGTATTTATTGATGAAATTATTACAAGGAATACTTCGACAGAAATCGAATTTGCTTGACAAGGCGCAGTTTATTCGATTCTTCAAATTCGCTGTAATCTTAAATAAATGAAGTGCGCGACTCTGGGCCAATTGGCCGCTATACATGACAATTCAGCGAACGAGCTAAGTATTCCTTTTTATTTTCCAGAATGTATCATTAAATTCAAACCGGCCTCGTATCGTGTAATAAACCATGTGATTGCTCAAGGGATTCATCTGTTTTCATTTCCTCGCGTACATAACAAACATAAAGAAATCGTGTAATCGACTTGACATCTTCGGCTCTAAATATAAATTTCGTTGATGAAACATATTAAATCAAAGCCATTAAGGTGCAACGAAGATTACCTTATCACTCGTAAAGTTGAATAATACCAAAGCTTCGGCTCTTATTAATAGATGCACGCTGCGATCGGGTCGTATAAAGTCGCGCTGTAACATGGATTCCTGGAAATTATTGACATTTTTCGACATGTGGCTTTGCATCGGCACGCAGAGCTGTAGTAGTGTTTTCTTTTTTTTTTTAGCGTCAGTGACAATAAGCGGTATTCCAAATCTCAACGATAATATTTATCGACGTTTCGTTTATACCACTCACGAATTATCCGTGACGTATTCTCGATCGATCTGCTGCGCATGTGTGAAAGGCCGCGAATATCCTCGCGCGAATGCGTTACAAGTTCACACAGTTTCTAGTTGAAACCGGTGTTGATTATTATGAGCTTCTCTAGCGGGACCGCGCGAGAGGCAAGAATCAATTGATTTACTGCTGCACATACGACGAAGCTACATAATAAATCAATCGTTTTCAACAAAGAGAGAGAAAAAGAGAAAGATAAGAGCCCTTCGGTATTCGCTAGATACTCTCGTCGTTCGAGCTTTACATCATATGTTTTATCAACTATTACGTGCTTTATGTGTACACTTCCTTGTTTTAATAGCTCATTGACTATTTTTGATTGAGTGTTTTGCGACTTCCTCAATTCTATCCCATTTACTGGTGTTGTAAAAATTTCCTCAAATGTGACCACTCATTTGAAATGGCTTATAATATTTTAATTTCATCCATCCCGCAATACAAAAATTAAAATAAAATTTTTTTCAGTTTTAATATAAAACTTTATTCAATTTATATTTTTTATCAAAATAATAGAAAATGCTCTGTATTGAAATATATTTTGTGAAATAAAGAGAAAAAAAGCCTCGAGTTTTCTACATAAAGATCAGCGACGATACAACGTCATTTTGAAAAAGATTCTAATTAGATAGGTTGGTTGTTGGTTGCTCAACAAGTGCGTATAGAGCTACGCAAATGTCGCAGCGACAGTCGGAACGAGTCCGTTGCTCGAGGTGAGTGTTTGGCCAGCTCGCGCTTACTTAGCGCGGTAGATGAGCCGAGAAGCAAAGAAGCGAAGAATCGATAGTCGAGGCCGGCGTTGGAGCGCGAGATATAGATTAGTAGAGAGACACCGATGCAGAATCGCCCCCCACGCGAACTCGAGTACACGAATCGTCGAGAGGGCGAAAAGGAGAAAAAGAAAAATAGTCGTACGGGAGGATCGGGGGAGAAAACGGAAGGAGCTGGAGAAAAAACAGCTGAGAAAATAAGCGCGCGCTACACGCGCCCTATTGTATACTTATTGCGCGCGCGGCTACGAAGAGCGCCTCTCTCTCTCTCTCTGCACGGAAAGAGTATCGTCATCTTCATCAAGTCTCGCAATAGTCCGTAGTTTTATGTCGTATGCCCGAGAGCATGCGTACCCTTGGTCATTCTTGTACTCGCGTATTACAGTCGCTCGACGCCCCATACATTACACACACACACACACACACAGGCGCGCGTAAGTCCATTGTTGTTGCATTGAAAAAGCGGATTCGTATGTCGTGCGTTGTATACCGCTGCCACCGCTGCTGACGTGCACGACTTGCAGGTACGTATGTAACGTGTGCATTACGTGCTTTTGAAATTTAATAAAACGCGAAGCGTCAACTGCCGAGCTTGCGCATTTCTTAGCTGCCTGTCGACGCCGACGTTTCTCCAGCTGCTCTACGCGGATTAATTTTATGTAAATTGACGCGCGATCGATTGGCTCGAGCTTTTGAGCTTGCAAATTCCTCTGTATCTCTTGTATATTCCCGATGCTATATCATGAGCAACGGCTACTTGTTGAATGACCAAGTCGCTTCCTTCATTTTGTAATATGCTCTCCTCAATTTTTTGGCTTTCGAATCCTCGTGCGCTCCCGATTTTTATACTTGCCAAGTCACCTTTTATCATCGAGTCTTGAGCTTTTGCTCAAGGTTAAAATTCGTAGTGCCACTTACAACCTCTAATACACTGCTAGCGGCTCTTCCAAAACCTACGACTAACATAAAGACGCCGCCATTCGATACCTTCGCTGTAGCGAAACCTTCGACTTATTACATCTATACGAGTGCGTGTGATTTCACCCCAACCATCTGCTCATGTATACTGACCTACATTTCGAAATTCATTGCCAATTATATATGGCCAATTCCCTCTCAAATCAAAACGACTGATAATTTTGTTTCTAATGACATTGATGATATATTTTTCATGAAAAAAATTTCCTTCAATTTTATGAGTGTACGGGGCAAGGTATCATTGGTACACATGAAACTTGTACACGGGCATTTCTGTACACACGTAAAATGTGTCCAATATTTGTACACATTACCGAACTTTTTCTTAAATTCAAAAAATTTTTAAAAATAATCGTAATCGTAATTTTTTGAATTTAAAAAAAAGTTGGATTATGTGTACAAATATTGGACACATTTTACTTGTGTACAGAAATGCCCGTGTACAAGTTTCATGTGTACGAATAATACCTTGCCTGCTTTGTAGAAGAAAAGGTCATTCTATCTTAATCAAAAAAGTTGAAACTGCAGTTGATTTTAATTACATTGAAACTACAATAATTTATTGTTGTATGATAAATCTGTTTTTCGTTAATACTTTATACTGAGATCGGTTGAATATTACGAAATTTAAAACGAAATAACACAATATAAAATCTTCCAAACGAAAATTGCGATGACAAAAATCCTTTCGTTTCAACTTTACGTCGAAAAAAAAAATTATTTTTTATAATTATTTATTTATTTTTTACCAAAAGTAACATTTTCGGCTCTATAGCCAAAACGGAAATATTATTTTCTGGTGGGGAAATAAAGAAAAACAGTTTACGCAACAGAGAAGGTAAAAAAAGCCTCAGATCACATGTTTATCGACCTCGACTTTGCCTCGGTCGATTTTATGTTACTTTAAACATTTATCGAACAAGCTGTGTCGTTTTTATTATTTTACGATTTTCTGGTTGTCTACCCTATTAAAGTTTTAATCTAGTGCAACCTGTAGGTCCTAATTCTCATTAAAAAATAAAAAATATAGGTTGTACGGTGTATATTAGCTCTTAAAAATTGCATACAAACAAACTCATTTTTAAACTAATTTTAAAGTACTTTCGTTGCGAAGAATAGCTTTAAGAAATCTATAAAACATTAAGGAGAAATATAACATGAAACAATAAATCGCATAAAAAAACAAATTTTATTATAACTTGCAGAACCCTGTGTTACAAAAGTATATATTTCGCTTCAAAGAGAGCATCTAAATTAATTTCTCGTATATATAAGTTAATCAGTATTTTAAGAGTGATGAAGAAGAAGCTACTTTACGAAAAAGTATAATGTACACTATAGTAACGCGCGTAATTAAGTAAGTGATTTAATGATTATTAGAGCCTTGGATGGACATTATGCTGTCTCCCTTTAGAATAATCACAACTGACATCGAAATTACAAGTTTCCTGATATAACCGTGCGTGATTTTTTGCACCCATCTGCTTATAATGCCTTTGGTATTTTGATTTTTCACTTGAGGAGACTTAGTAAAATTATTACTTTTCATCTGTTTTAAAGTTTTGCCTTTCATGATTTTCTAAAAAATTCTATGAAACCATTCTTTTTCAAATAATATTCCGAGTTAGAAAGGTTTGATAAATCTGCTAAAATATATTAAAGCATTATTAAATTAATAGGTTTTTTTAATTGCAGTTTTAGCAAAATGTATATAAGAATTTTTTTTGACATAGTCTAATACAATACTTGATGCAGTTGAAAAATTTATTAAAGAACACATCAAATTTTTAAAGAAAATAAATATATTGTATGAGACTTTAAGGAAAAACGGCACAATTAGATTAATTGTTTTACATTGCCTGCCACTGATTACGAGTAAAACAATTAGATTACTAAATTACTCACTTTTTGCAAGCTGTTCATTGATACCACTATTAGCCTTGAACTCGTACAAAGATATTTTATCATGAACAATATCATGTCATGAGAAATGTATACGAGCTCACAATTGATTTATCTCGTTTGAGAAATATTTGATTTTTTCAGCCTCTTGTTTTTCTTCGAAAACCATGGCAAAATTCACATATCTTATATTTGAATAAAAACATCAACATTTAAACATCAATTGAATCAATAAGCTTCACCAGTTGGTGCAATATTTTCAATTGCATTCAGGTAGAGTAATATAATTTTTAAACTCATACCACAATTTAGTGACATGTAAGAACTTACATGCACTTTATAGTACGTTTTGTAAATTCAAATTCGTCTTTATTTCAAATTTCTAAAAAATTTTTTGAGATATGCGCTCTATATGTTTATATTACATTTATATATTTTTATTAAATGTTACACGTCCAGGCTTTTTACATTCGAACCATTTTTGAAGAAAATTTAACAATATCAATGCTGGAGGTAAAAAACTAATATTATCAATGCTGCTTTAGTTTTAATGGCGATTTATTGAAATTTATATTAGATTTAAAATTTAATGAGACTATACCTGGAATTTATGTCCAAAATTAATTGAAAAGGGTCCTGAGCAGTTTGAAAGGAAAATTAATATTTTTATTACTAGTTTAATTTTCCCCCACTTGGAGAAAGATACAATTATCCAATGTCGTTGGAAGAAAGAGCGTCGATATCCCCTCCCGCAACAGTACATACTAGGGAGCGAAAGGTTCAACATACACAAGGTGTATCATGTAATTACAAGCGTAGCATTAAAATTTAGTCTGCTAGTTCAACTCGAGTGTTTTTCTACGTAAAAACGTGTTAGTTGAACATTCATCTTCAGTTATATTCTGTTAGAAAAATTCAATGATCTTCTTGGTACAATAAACTTTAATGTGTTTTCGATCAATTTCATCGGCATTAATAACGAAAGTCAAACTGCTCCGAATAACAGGGGTGAGTTGGATGGCTGGGAGTGGATTTTAGGCCGGCTTTCACATGCGCAGTTTAATTCGAAAAATGAGTACTCAAGAAGCTCAATATAAATAGGAATGAAATGAAGCGACACATGGACAGTTACGAAAAATCATCGTGCGAGCCAGCGTCATGGGAGTCGCGATGAGGGCAAAGCTCGACTGAGCTTTCGAAATTCAAAATCTGCATTTTGCAGCTCTAAGCTCGAAATGTACGGCATAATAATCGAGAATGTGGCGGAATACGTTCGGCACACGTACAGCGAGGAGACGTGGGAGGAGGTGCTCAAAGTGGCCGGCATGACTTACATGTACTTTAACGTCAACCAAGTGTACCCGGAGCGTATGATGCCGAAGCTGACGAACGCGGCCATGCAAGTAAGTACCGGATCGTTTTGATCAGACGTGTCGAAATTGTCGAATTTTCACCGACTCGATTCTCTGATTTAGGTGCTCGGCGTGACGGAATCCGAACTCTTTGAAAGATTGGGCCATCACTTTCACAGCTTCATCACGCAGCACGGCTACGACTCGATACTCAACGTGCTCGGCCGCCACGTGCGCGATTTTCTCAATGGCTTGGACAATTTTCACGAGTACTTGAAATTTTCCTATCCGCGCATGATAGCCCCGTCGTTTTCTTGTGAAAAAGAGACTCGCGAAGGTTGGTACGCTGCGAGCTTTTGAGCGCTGACTTTGTTTTATTTTTTCATCCCCTCTGTCAAAATAGGGCTCATACTGCACTACAGAAGCAAACGAAAAGGCTTAAAGTACTACGCGTTGGGAGTGATAAAGAAGGTCGTCACGGGCATTTACGAAAAAGACATAGAGATCGAGATTTTGCGAGACGAAATGGAGTCGAATAGCGTGCACGTGACGTTTCAGTTGAAATTCGACAACAGCGTTTTCGAGGACAATCTACCGACTATAAATCTAGATCAGCAACATCTGAGCATCAGGTGTAATCTGTTGAAACATATTTTTCCCTTCGGTATCGTTTTCCGGTAATGAATTGTAGCTATATTTGATTCTTGCGATTACATCAAGCTCGATAACTTTTTAAATGGATGCTTGCAGACCAGACATGACGATTATCGATATCGGCAATTCGCTCGATCTCGTTCTGCCGAATTTGGTTGGGCACAAAATCAACCACTGCTTCGATCTCATCAAGCCAGCCGAAGCATTCCAGTTCCCGACCGTGAGCTTTTTTATACATTACATCACGTCTCTTTCGACAATAATTACGAATCCGCACGTACAGACTTTATCACGATTCGCAGATAATGGCTAGAATGAACAACTCGTTCGAGCTGCTGTCCGTCGAGCCCGTGCTAGCCCAGAGGAACGACGAACCGGAGGGCTCCGTCGATGACTTTGATCTCGAGGACGAGGAAAAAAAACGACTCAAGTTAAAAGGTAAATGAGGAGCCAAAAGAAAAGTAAGCTTTCATCACTCGCGCGTCCAATCAATCGCTTTTGCTTTCTTATTCAGGCCAGATGATATACATCGAAGAGTGGAAAATGATCATGTATCTCGGAACACCCAAGATCCCCGACTTGGCCGTTTTGATGTCGATCAATCTGTACGTGAACGATCTTTCGTTGCACGACTTTAGTCGGTCAGTAGTAGTTGGTAGTTGGCGGTATAGTTAAAGTCGCCCAATAACACGATCGCTGAAAATAATTTGCAGCGATTTGGTGATGGCCGGTACGCAGCAATCGGTCGACTTGAAGATGCTCCTCGAGCAGATCGAGCACAAGGGCAAAAAGAAGGAGGAGGCGAACAAGGAACTGTCGCGGGAGATGCAGCGCACCGAGGAGCTCCTGTATCGCATGATACCCCAAAACGTGTCGGACCGGCTGAGGCGAGGCGAGCAGCCGATCGACACTTGCGAGGTAATTATATAATAGCGGCGTAATCGCGCGATAATCGATTGATCGAGCCCGTTGGCCATTTGTACCAGATCTTCGACAGCGTGTCGATTTTGTTCTCGGACATAGTGAATTTCACGGCCATCAGCAGCCGGCTGAGCGCCATGGAGGTCGTCAAGATGCTCAACTCGATGTGGCTTGAGTTCGACAAGCTCACGGAGAAGCACGAGACTTACAAGGTAGAGTGCTAGTTGAGTCGTGAAAGAGTAATTGCGGAATGGTAATCGTGTCACTTGTCAGGTCGAGACGATAGGGGACGCCTACATGGTGGTGGCGGGGGCGCCGGTGCGCAGCGAGGACCACGCCGATCGCATCTGCAACATGGCCCTGGACATGCTCGTGGCCATCGGCAACGTGTACGATCCGTCGAGCGGCGAGCACCTCAAGATCCGCATCGGCATCAACAGCGGGGCCGTAGTGGCGGGCATCGTCGGCCTCAAGATGCCCAGGTACGGCCTCTTCGGCAAGCCCGTCAACGTCGCCTCGCGCATGGAGGCCACCAGCGAGCCCATGCAGATCCACATCTCGCAGTCGACGCGCCAGCTGCTGTCGCCCGTCCACCAGGTCGTGCAGCGTCCCGAGCTCCTCAAGATCGACGATATGGGTACACCTTCTAGTCTTACTCGATTATTCTCTCCGATAACGATTAATTACCGACGAAATTGTTGCTTGGGCAGAAATGCAGACGTACTTCCTGGTGCAAAGTCGCGCGCCGAGGCACCGCATCAAGATAGAAATATCGACGCCGGCTCCGAGTCCAGGAGGCAGCAGCAGCAGCAAGAGCCTCTCCAAGCTCTCCAGCCCGATTAACTCGAGGCCTGCCAGTCCGAGCGTCTATTATCAAGACGTGCGTCGCTTGTACTCGCCCGTCACCGTTGCCGAAGTCATATCTCGAAGATCGTCCTACATCTCGCTCGACAGTTTCGACGACTGACGCTCGTTTACTCGTCCTTCGTCGCAGCTATTTTCTGCGACGAAATAAATGTTTTATACTTTTTTTATAATAAAAGAAAAAATTTTGAATCGCTACGATTCAATGTAAACAAGATGTGCTGGTCATTTTGAACACGTTTTGCGCAGAAGATGTAGTGCGTGGAGCTCGAATTGCCCCCTCGAACGAGACATTCGATCGCTCGTTATTTCCTTATGCCTTGCGAAAAGATTAATGAGCTCGGGATGATCGTGAAATTGATCTGCACGCACGTGATCCGAGCTCGCGCAGTACACAGGATGGGGTGGTGGCCTCGCTTCCAATCGTACTGCGAGCAATTTCAAAATATGTCTCGCATCGTCCATGTATATGTGTGTGTGTGTGTGTGTGTGTGTGTATGTGTGTGGCCCCAGTAGGCCAACACACGCACATAAGTAAAAGCGACAGCTCCCCTCTGGCTAACGAGTCTCTTGCTCCCCATTGTCCCCCCGCAATAGGTCCGTACGAGCAGCATGGAAAAAAGCTTAGATCGAGCTCCTGGAGAAAGTCCTATTAAGCTGAGTGCGCCTCCCGAGTAACGATCCCGAATCACGATTTGTCTCTCGCTCCGGCCGCGACTGATTTTTAATTATCAGTAAGTGAATGCGGAGCGAGCTGAAAACTTGGACGTTTCTCTCTCTCTCTCTGTCTATCGCACTTGGCTGTGGCGCGCAAACTCTGGCGCACGTATAATAAGCCTCGAATCGAATCTCTCGCCAGCTTCCATAAATAATAATGGTAAAAACGATGTGCGCGAGGCTTCGGCTGCAGTCGCGCGCTAACGCAATTCCGCAATACAGCCTATAATGTACGAGTCATTGCGTAACGACCTGCAAGTAATTGGCATATAGTAATCTCGCTACTCATCCTCGCTATCAAAGGTATGCATGCACAAGTATACGTGTGACTTTTTTTTTCTTTCTTTCTTTTTTCGTTCATTGTCAAGTGTGCGCGTCGTATCTCTTACACGGGCGTCATTCTCACGGATCGAGACTCGCGCGAGCCTCCACATATCGCCAAGTACCATCTGAAATCCTTAATTTTTAAAGATTCTAATAGTGCTGGTTGTGCACGAAAATTGGCCCAACGGTCGCCTGTTATTTGCTACGTAACTCTTACGATACCCATATCTCAATCCAAACGAGGAAAGTCCGCTTTATGTTTACTGCTACGCACTTATGTATACTGGCACTTTTTTGTTTGTCCGGTGCAACGAAAGCCAAGCATGCTTATATATAATTGTCAGTTTTTGAGTCAACAGTCGCGCGCGCGCACACACACACTTTATTTCGAGGATATTTTTCCAACGAATCGTATGTAGGGGCTTGCGCGTCCCATCGGCTTGAAATAGAAATGAAGAACGACGCGTGGCGCGTCGTATGGTCGTCGTCGGCTCTTTACGCACTCGCGAGTCAACCGCTCCGCTTCGGATGTGTCGCGTACAGTGGGTGTAGATATATAATAATAAAGGCGCAGAGATATTATGCGGCGCGTCGGATGCTTTGAGAAACGTCGATACGACGAGGATCGTTTCTCAGTCGCGCGCGCTGCGCTCTGTACGCGACGAATGCGGCGCACTCGTTGCGCGCTCCTCCTCTCCATTACGATCCTCCGTGCAATAAGCATATTAGTCAAAGCAGATGAAATTATATTATTCGCATTGGAGAAGTAGCAAGTCAACAAGATGTACGGCCTGATATTGGAAAACATGTCCGAGTACATCAGGCAGGTGTACGGGGAGGACAGGTGGGAAGAGATCAGGCGGCAGGCGGCCGTCGAGCAGCCGAGTTTCAGCGTGCATCAGGTCTACCCGGAGAATCTGATACCGAGGCTGGCCAACAAGGCTATACAGGTACACATGTTGCACGGGTATACATTGCATCTCTATCTCTCCGCATATTAACGGACAATATAGCAGCAGCAGCAGCAGCTTTGTCCTTTGCACGCTATTATATATGATGTATTTTTTTGCTATACTAACACGCACGCACATTCAATGTTTCTTATTGATGTTTTGCTTCTTGGCCTCGTTATTTGCGAGTGAATTGCGTCGAGTCTCGTTCGCAGGTCCTCGGCATCACGGAGCACGAGTTCTTCGACCAAATGGGAGTGCACTTTGTGAGCTTCGTCGGCCAGTACGGCTACGATCGGGTACTCTCGGTCTTGGGCAGGCACGTGCGCGACTTTCTCAATGGCCTCGACAACCTCCACGAGTATCTGAAATTCTCCTACCCACGCATGCGAGCGCCATCGTTCATCTGCGAGAACGAAACCAGACACGGTCAGTCACACGCATTCACACCGCCCCACGCATTTACGCGTATAATAAAATCTATACTAAAATGTGCCAGCTACGATTCAAATTTTGCCCGTTATTCTTTTTCCCCTTTATTATTTTTTTCGTGATCGTTGATCGACTCACCCACTCACACACACACACACACACACACATGCAGGTCTGACACTGCATTATCGCAGCAAGAGACGGGGCTTCGTCTACTACACCATGGGCCAGATACGCGAAGTCGCCCGTCACTTTTACCACAAGGAGCTGCAAATCGAGCTGATGCACGAAGAGATCCTCTTCGACACGGTCCACGTGACCTTTCAGCTGACCTTCGACAATCGAGCCTTCACCCTCGCATCCTTGACGATGACGCGCGAGGAGAAGCACCTGCCCATCGGAGCCTCTGTTCTCTTTGAGATATTTCCCTTTTGCATCGTTTTCGGGTGAGCTGCACATCTGTCCACTTGTAAACCTTCGTTATTTATTCCTTTCTCCGATTAATTGTTCTTTTCAGTGCGGATATGGTCGTCAGAAGTATCGGCAACTCATTGATGGTCATACTACCTGATCTCATCGGCAAGAAAATAACTCATAGGTTCGATCTGGTCCGACCCCTCATTGCTTTCAAATTCCAAACGGTAGATAAAACGCCGATAAAGCAGCCTGACGAAATAATTTATTCTCATTGTTAAATGGTAACTCGTTGCAAGCAGATTCTCAACCGAACCAACAACATATTCGAACTGGTGTCGGTGGAGCCCGTATTGGCCGAGAGACCGAGCGACAGGCGAAAGCAGCAGCTGTTCCTGCTTAACGAAATCGACTCGCAGGAGGATCGCGTCCTCCGCCTCAAAGGTACTTAATTGGTCACTTGTGTTTTTAAAGCCCCCCCCCCCTTGATGCCCATCTACGTCCATTTCCCAGGTCAAATGATTTACATGGACAATTGGCGAATGATGATGTATCTCGGGACACCAGTCATGCCGGACCTCAACGCGCTCATAGCAGCTGGCCTCTACATCAACGACCTGTCTCTGCACGATTTCAGCAGGTATACGCTACAAAATCGTTAGCTGGTTTTTTTGTCGCAATAATTACTCAAATTATACTCTTCAGAGATTTAATGCTCGCTGGTACTCAACAATCGGTCGAGCTGAAATTGGCCTTGGATCAAGAGCAGTTGAAAAGTAAGAAGCTCGAAGAGTCCATGAGGAAGCTCGACGAAGAGATGAAACGCACCGACGAGTTGCTCTACCAAATGATACCAAAACAAGTTGCCGATCGACTGCGAAACGGAGAAAATCCGATCGACACTTGCCAAGTGAGTTGCCACATGCAATAGTATATTTTGCCCCTGGGAAGTGAAAAACTGGAAAGTTTCGACTTCGCCTTGGCTGATAAATTACACGTGCTCTGAGACTTTCTTTTTTCGCTACATAAGTACAAATACAATTTTTTGTGAATCCCCCAGCCTAAAGTAACATTTTGGTTTTGCTCAGCGAGAGTAAAATGTTACTTCAAGCTGCGGTAGCACAAAAACATTATTTAACGCGTAAATAGCCAACGAACAGATAAGAAAAACGAAAAAAAATTGTTTTTTACATTGGTCTCGCACGAAAGATGTTCGACAGCGTGTCGATTTTGTTCTCGGACATCGTGACTTTCACGGAGATCTGCAGCCGCATCACGCCCATGGAAGTCGTGTCGATGCTCAACGGCATGTACTCGCTCTTTGACACGTTGACCGAGCGCAATCGCGTCTACAAGGTAGATGAGTCCTCGATGGCAATCGATGCTGATTTAAAAGGCTAATCGAAATGGCCGGTAATCGACAGGTCGAGACGATAGGGGACGCTTATATGGTGGTTTCGGGCGCTCCGGTCAAGCAGAACGACCACGCGGATCGGGTCTGCGACATGGCCCTGGACATGCTCGAGGCCATAACCGATCTGACGGACCGCTCGACCGGACAGCACCTGCAGATCCGCATCGGCATCCACAGCGGGGCCGTCGTCGCGGGTATAGTCGGCCTCAAGATGCCCAGGTACTGCCTGTTCGGCGACTCGGTGAACGTCGCCTCGCGCATGGAGGCCACCAGCGAGGCCATGCAGATCCACATCTCCCAGTCGACCAAAGAGCTACTGTCGCCGAGCTACAGGGTCAACGAGCGCGGCGAGATACAAGTCAAAGGAAAGGGTATATTCCTACCTATCTATATCGTTTAGCTTGGCTGTAAAAAAAATTTGCTGTATAAACGATCGACCCACGCGTATTTTCAACAGGCTCGATGAAGACCTATTGGCTGGAGAAGCGCGAGATGCGCTCGCAATCGACCAAGAACATCTCGATCCAAGAGCCCCCTCAGTGGCACGCGGCAGCCAGCAGCCGTCAGAATTCCCTTAGCCAATCGTCGACGGCCCTGGCCAATCCGAGCGATCCGAGCAGCCTCGAGAGGCTGTCCTCGAGGACTCCCATGTCGCCGCAGCTCGCGCAAGTAGCGGCTCAGCGCCATCGTCATCGCCATCATCATCGTCGTCATCATCAGGAACGTCACGAGCGTCATCAACGCCACGAGAGGACGGCCGAGGTCTCCGGCGAGGAGACTCGCAGGATTTATTCGCCGATAACGTTTCAAGACGTAGCGAGAAAATCAGCCGCCAATTCCCCGGCCAATTCGCCCACGAAATATTCGCAAGCGGAAAAACGTGAGTTTCTCAATGGTACTTTTGAATTTTGCCAACTAGCGCGAATAATGGATAATATTTTGACCCTCTAGAGCTGCGCTCCAACTCGCTGGGTGCCGTGCCCGTGGCAAGCTTCCAAACGAAAACGGCCGAGCTGTTTGGATCTCTGATTTCCGACACGGAGCAGCACTTGCGGCTGATGCATCGCGGCAGCATCTCGTCGGCCAGCTGCGTACAGACCATCGACCCGCTCGACATGCCGCTCGTCTGCCCGGGCAATCTGGCCGCCGGCAAAAGGCAGTTTGGCAGGAAAATGCTCACGCCGGCCGAGCGCGACACCACACCCAGCTGCAGCGAGAGCAGCAGCAGCAGCAGTAGTAGCAGTGGATCGTCGTCGGCGAGCAACGTGGCCGACTGCAGCAGCCACGACGAGGCGGCTTCGGTGCTCAACGAGACGAGCTCCGACAGTGCCACCAGACGACTGAGATATACCGAGCACTGCTGTCCGGGTTTCGTCGTGCCGAGGCCGGGTGGCAGGCCTACTAGTGCTCGCGAAGCACACTGTGCTATTGTTTAACTTTCGTCGACACTACTTTTTATTTCTTATGTGACCAACTAGATACAAGCGAATCCAGCAATTGATCTAACATATCTTTTCTATTATCAAAAAAGTATAATAAAGATTATCGGCCCTCAGGATCCATTGAAAACGACATACTACGACCTACTTTTCTAAGAGAGCCTAGCTGTATTCAAATAATTCTGACCAACATATTATCTGAAAAATATCCCTATTGGCTAATTTTACAAATGTTTACCAAATATATATATTACGAAAAATTAAATGTACTCTATGTAGTAAAATGAAAAATCAATTATTATAGAATTAAATAAAGTTTGTATAAAAAGAAAACTACATTTTATAATTAATTTAAAAATTAACAACAATAATATAATTCGTAACAAAGTGTGAAAAATATATTGTGAGGATTAATTTATAATGATAATTTTGTTAAATATCTTTCTTTTCACTTAACGAAAGAATTTTCACATTTTTTTAAAATCCTATCAACGTTACTATCGTCAATTCAACTACACTACTACGAGGTCGGATATAGCGAGAGACCGGCTATTACGAGAAGATTTTGGACATTTGGTTGGTTCCAATGCATTAAGTGTAGGAAATTTGATCGATATAACGAGTTCGATATAACGAGAAGTCGGGTATAACGAGCAAAATTTAGGAAAAATTTTGGGAAAAATTGACGTTTATAACGAGAAATTGCGTGTTTACACTCGTAGCTAGATACTCGTACGCAAACTCAATAACACAGAATTATGTACACAAAGCTTACTTTAAGCAAGTTAATGATCAGTTTTACAGTTGCTTTCGCAAGGAAAACGTATTTCTGGTACTTTTATCTTCGTACAATTTAAAATGGGAGATTTTTAACCAAATTTATTTTAATTTAATTATTTCAGGAGCTAAAGGTTCAGTTAAGGACCGTACATTTTAGGTTCACGATAGACCCAGGCCCGTACTTAATGCTACTACGCCACACTTTGGCTGCGCGTGCCAGTCCTCGCCATCTGGCGGACGCTTTACGAACTAATCTAGCAATTCTCTCGTGAGTGACGTCTGGCAGAGGTCGTGTTTACATCAACATATTGAGAAAAGAACTGATATAAAAGTCTAAATCAAAATTCCAGAAAACTCAGCCCATAAAATGTAATTTTATAAAGATTTTGAGACGTACTAGAGGTCTGTACCTCAAAAACTCTGATCTGAACCTTGCGCACAGTGCCAAAATCCTAAAATAGCAAAAATAAGCTATTTTTAGATGCAGAGGTCTATTCTGACACTTTTTTCCACATTTTGTAGGGTCCAAAGATGTCAAATTGTTGTTGAAAGTATAGGTTGACATCAAACTGTAATGTACATCACAAATATGCGCAATAAGAACCAATTGGTGTATGACTCCCCTTAAGCGTGCTTACCGAGCAGACACGCTCCGCGACTATACCCATCTGAATAAACCCCGTTCTCGCTACTTCAATCACTCGAGTCCTGCTTTCCCTACCCTTTCACGTCAACCCTCGACTCCTAGGCCACGAGCCTTGACAGTAATTACCCAAAGGCCTACATACACCTTGCTCAATTTTACTGATTTGAATCGAATTTTCGTATCGATTCGTATCAAGCTTAGAGCACACCGTGCCACTAAAGTGCTGTCATTGTGCAGACAAATTCAGCTAGTGGATTTGTTTTTTCTGTTTCAATTACATATACAGTGGAGGCCGTTTATAACGAGGTCCGATATAGCGAGATACCGGCTATAACGAGCAGATTTTGGACATTTGGTTGGTTCCAATGCATTAGGTATAGGAAATTGTATCTATATGACGAGTTCGATATAACGAGAAGTCGGGTATAACGAGCAAAATTTAGGAAAAATTTTTAGAAAAATTGACGTTTATAACGAGAAATTGCGTGTTTACACTCGTAGCTAGATACTCGTACGCAAACTCAATAACACAGAATTATGTACAAAAAGCTTACTTTAAGCAAGTTAAATGATCAATTTTACAGTTGCTTTCGTAGGGAAAACTTTTACTTTTCTCTTAAAATTTGAAAATGGGAGATTTTAATCCAAAAAAAAGGAAGACATTATCAGTGAGCGATAAGTATTCTATCATTCAAAATGGTAAATCTCATACCGAAGTTTGCAGTACTTATGATCGACCGTCCTCAACTGTTTCGAAGATTTGGAAAAATCGTGAGAGTATAATAAAATCAAGTATTTCTAATTTTCATTTAAAACAAAAATCAGTGAAGCAAGTACAAACTAAAATTTTGAGTTTCATGGACAAAATTTTTCTGTAATTTTTATAATTAATACAATTAATTTATGTTATCATCTATGATATTATTATAGTATTATTATTCATAACAATGTAAATAAATAATCAAAACATATAATAATCTCATCTTATCTGATAAAAAAATGAAACTGGTAAGTAACAAAAAAATTATTGTGATTAATGTTCATGTCGGCTATAACGAGGACCGGATATAACGAGAACTATTCGATGGTCCCGCGAATCTCGTTATAACCGGCCTCCACTGTATTTTCAATTATTTTCAACATTTTGGGTGAGCGTTTCAAAATTCATTGGCATGAATTTTATGCTCACTGACTTGACTCTTAAGCACTGGCGGGGTGCAGTCACTTGAGGGAGCGCAATCCTTACTTCGTGCTTACCTTACGGTCAAAGTGAGAAGTATAGTAAACCCATGGGTTAAATAAAATTTTCAGTTATTTTTTTCGCATTTTAAGGTAGCTCATCAGCAAAACGAGTCGACAACAGATGTTTATGAAACTTCGCAGAAATGTCATTGAAAGTGACCTTGATATGCTGTAGAAATTTCAGCATGGGTTATCGAACTAATTTTTGAGAACGAAGCCGTTGAAAATAGCAAATTTAACATGGGCTCTTATGGGAGGCCATCATAATTTCATGCATTTTACGCCATAACTTTTTTATTAAACAACAGATCTTAACCAAAAACGAGTATGTTATGCTTCAAGTCGCTACCTTTCGATTAGTATATTAAAAAGTACCCCTTATCGAACTAACTAATGAGTAGTTAAACAAAATGTGCGTAAAATCATTGATTTCGAATAGTGTGAGCGGTTGCTTGCCTAATGCGAGAAAGAGACAGACAGACGCCTCGCTGTACTATTGTTATGATTACTGAAGAGCCACCTTAAGTGCGTAAGTATTTTCTTTGTTGTGTTTTTTAGATTATATCGTCGCCTCAGCGCAAGAACCGCACAAATAAACTCAAGTGGCAAAAAGGTGCCTTAATCCTATCCTTTTAACATAGGGATAAGGTTGTTTTTGCCCCTTAAGTTTATTTGTGCGGTTCTTGCGCTGGGGCGACGATATTATATTTTTTTCCAAAAATTTTTTGATTTGTTTCATGTATTACTCTAAGTAACCATATGATCTACAGCGCCGATGTAGTGCACTCTTCTTTGTAATATTAATGCGTATAACCACAGCTTTGAGAGAAGTGATTGAACCTCTTTCGGCACAGCATTTGAATATAAGTTTTTTTACATTATTTTAGTAACCTCCAATATATAAAACTGCTCATATGCAGAGTTAACTTTAAGTCAAATAATCTTGCCCCATTGATATCTTAAATAAATCATTTTTGAAAAATATTCAATGCCTCATAAAGAATTTAAAGTTTTTAATTTCGTTTCATTATCAAAATTGTCCATTTTTGAGTTTTATAAACATACAATATTAAATGCTTCGAAATCTATTAACTTTAGAGAAATAGGTAAAGAGACCTTTTCTTTAGAACTATTCAATTTATTTGCGAGCGTTGTTGAATCGAAAATAATAATTTGACAATTCGTTCAAACAAATTTAGGTGAGAAGTGGATAAACGAGAAAATTTGTGTAAAAATCGAATGGAGGGGATAAAAGAGCCACCTCGAAATCAAATTATATGATTTATCCATAAAAAACTATAAAATAATATAATAATTAAAATTTATTTGAAAATTTTAATACGGTTGTGCAGAGTCAGTCCTCTATATTCATTCGCGTGAATATGGTATTATTGCATAGACTATAAATGCAGGCGAGCTATATATGATGCTATTTTATCACGCATATTCGTGTAAGCATAGCTATACATAAAGGCGAAGGCTGAAATCTGAGTGTTAGACCATCCTAGAACGTAAATAAGTACGTCATATTCACTCTACAAGAGAATCACATGGGAAATCGATTGAATGATTTACGTTAAAAAACATATAATTTCAATTAGAGTCAATTTTCAATTTCATAAAAAATATAAAAAAAATGTTTGTGAAAATATATTAGAACAAATCATATTAAAAATTATAAAAATTGATTGAGAAATGCTTAAGTAATTTTTTGTACTTTTAGAAAAAATTAGTAGGAATTTCGTAAAAATTGTAAAACTTTTCTTAAAAAATATTTATAAAATCATCTGAGTTCTAAAATTTTCAAGCGAAAAAGGAAGTTAAAGCATGAAAGATATATTGAGAATCAACAAATTTATAACTTTTGATGGATTTACAGAACCGTATCTTTCATGAAAAGTTTTTTCCTTTTCTTTGCGATGAAACTTTCATTTACACCGAAATATATTTTATTCAAAAATTGTTTTCACAATTTCAATCAATAAAAATTTATTCTTTCTTCATCTCTTCGTAGTTCGTATTTAGACTGATTCTTACTTCCCAGAGTGTTTCGATTCTCCCTTTATATGATTTTTTTGGTTCTAAGGATAAAAAAAAGAAATAAAACAAATGTCAACGCTTTCAAACTTTTCGCAACAAACGTTGTTTTCAAAAAAGTCCTTAGAAATTCTGAAACTGATCTGATAATTATGTGAGCACTAGTGTAACACAATTGGAAAGCGTGAGATATTAAAAATTAGTTTTTTTAATAGTGAAAATGTAAATAAACATGTGGACACGGAAGTAAGTGAACATATTTTGCTGAAATATGCAGCCTCAAGCAGCTAGCTCAAGTTTCTTAAACCCAGTATTTTTTATTTTCATTTGTTGTTATTAATTATACATACACGCAAATAATACATATTTTACATAACAGACACTGTGCTATAGAATATTCAACGTATTTATTTATCTTCAAATATGATAAAATATCAATAGTTATTTTTAAGTTAGTGCATTGGATTACACATTTCTGTATCTCTTTCAGTATAACACTTTATACGAGTTCGCTTCAATTTATCGAATTTTTTCCTTCAAATTTTTTCCCTCTATAACAAAGATGTTTTTATATTGTCTATGTACACGTGCATTATCATAATTCTTTTGTGAAAAAAAGTTGGTGTTTTCAAAATAGAACTTAGGTGCGATATACTAAAGTTAAAAAAATGCGCTCTCAAAATTATGACTTGATACACTTTTCGCGAAATAATGAATTATGCAGAGGAGTACTGAAGATGGTTGACCCAGCCAGCATTTTTCTATAATAGAAAGCTACAAATATTTAAGTACGAGAATATATGCGCATATTTTAGTATACAAATCATCCCAATTAGAGTGAATGAGTCGTACAGATTCGTGTGGAACGCAAACTCGTCCATTCACAAGATTGACCGATTTGTTTATGAAATTGTAAAATTTTGATGAAAAAGAGTCAAAAAGCGTTAAAAAATGTTTTTCTTGAATCAGCAAAATTTGCGTTGCCGAGCGCAATAAGCAAACGAGCGCAAAGTTTCAGGTGAAAGGAAATATATATAGATGAAAAACTAGCGCTAGCTCTAAAAGTTTATGAAAATATGTTCAACGTGGGGATAGCAGAATGAAAAATGTCTCTTTCGTCCAGGGTATCAGGATGTATACGCGTACAAGCTACGCCTGAGCAATTAAAATCGTCCACACTGAAGCAGTGAAAAATCGTTGTTTAAGTCCAATTAATTTCTTAGCGTCCCTCTGATCCGCTGGCGAAATACATTTACGCACATCTATAAAAAACGCTTCATCTTGTTTATATCCGTCCTTTACATCATCAACTAAGTGTACGAATGCCCGGCGTTTCGAGCTTATCAATCGTCCGTTTAAAGTTACCTTTTCTTTTTTCCTGACTCATTCGGATCGGTTAAAAAATCACCAAATTTGCTCGAAGACACGGGTGAAAATAAAAAGAACGATCGCGTATGCGGGTGAAAATTGAATCTCGCAAAGGTGGAATTATGATAAGTGTAAGTATTATGTGCAGTGCTGCACAGTGACTAGCGAGGGTAGAGAGCGGCGCGAGGTGCGTCTGTGCGTGCGCAACAGCTACCCCCTGCAGGATGCTACAGTGGCAGGATAATTTAGTTGCGGAGGATGCGCGGCTACGTACGCAATCTACTGTGAAATCCTTCCACCTTCCACCAAGAGCGGCTATATAAGCTATCCGCGAGCCACCTAAGCACTCATTTCAACCTCTAGACCTTCTTCGAGCTCTTGTGCTCGTAGCCAAACAAAATAACACTCGACAAAATAAAACGATTGATTCGCTAATTCTGGGATATTGGTGCAAATTTTAGCCCAAGTTCAGTACAACAGTGATAAGTCTTTTATCGCAGTTCCCAGATTGAATTGCCGATTTCAACATTTGCCGCTCATATTTACACATTTGGTATAACAGGTGGGTTGCTATCACTATTCCTTTTTACGCTATAAACTCAGCTTTTACTAAATTTGCATAATAGTTTTTCTCGGATTTTGAAGAAAAGGAATAAAAAATGTTCGCTTTGCTAATTCAGAGCATAGGATCGCTAGTGCCAGTCACCATTACCTGTGTTTCTGATATCTACACGTGGTGCATTTTTCATTAATATGTTCGGTGTACTTGTGCGAAACTCTTGACATTGCGCAATCTGCTCGCCCGTGTATTCTTGAGATTTTTCATAAAGGCAGACTTGCCTTTATTGACAGCTATTGAAAAACTCGCTCGTGCGCGACGATCTCTTACATGCAAACTTTTTTTTCACCGAACATTCCCGTGTCTAGTTCAAAATAAAGCTCTAAGCTCGATGAATAAGTATGAATTCATGCCCTTTTCGCCAAATTTATCATTCGAATATATAATATTTTTGTTAAATAATAATTTATTAACAAATTTTACCATAATTTGAGAAAATTTTAATTTATTTCATGCAAGCGTTAAATAGCCACGTTATACGAACTTGTCTTGTTATAGCATAGGGTAACATTTTCAAATCAACTAGTAGACTGGGAAAACTTGTCTTTGATTATGAAAATTCTCTTTGAGAAAAAAAAATAGATAAAAATAGTAACTTTGAGTATTTTGAATTTCTCATTTAAAAATAGACTAGCGAGTAGGAAATTCCTGGGGTCATATTTTTCATATGTTTTAAACGAAATATTGCGCAGGGGTAATAAGTAGCAACATCGATTCGACCAATTGTAATTAATTAGCTCGAGTCATATCCAATGCTTTACACCAAAGGCATAGTTACAAAATAAAATTCCCTGCTACGCGAAACTGATTATACGGAGTCAAATTCTTAAGTTACATGCGGGTAATTTATCGATGATCCATCTAATACCTAACAATTATTTATAACGCCGCATCCCACAGATAGTAATTAATGATCGAATTCGATAATTATATCGTGGTCGCACCATTAAAACAATTTATTGAAGATCGAGCGCGTAATACTGACTTATTAATTTCTGGATTTTCACATTGATATTATCATCTATTCGTCGATGTTTAAAATCTTAAAGTTTGAAGTCTATTTCGATTGGATTTAGATTTTCGTAAAATGCCGCTTTCATCCAGCGTCGTTCAATCGAAGCGCGCCTATTACTCCAAAGCTTTCATCGAGCGAGTTGAAATTAAATAATTAAAAAGTTAATTTTCAGTGCGTCGTTGCGTCATTGGAACTATATTTAAGCAGATGGTAGGTGGGCGTTATACGTTTATGTATAAATGAACAAACGATTAAAAGTTTTTAGAAAAACATGAAAAGTTCCGTTAATAAAGTGCCTATCGGTAGTAATGCTTTCGAATAACAAAGGCAATGCGTGGCTTGTCTAGAGTTGAAATTCAAACTGCTTGTCACGGGCTTTTCAAACAGCGAGACAACGTTTTAATGATAAATTCATTGCATTGCTCATTTCTCAAGTTTGCGAAATTTTTTAACCAGATGCTCTGCATGGAATTTTTTCAAACAAGTATTTTTGGAAATTTTATTTTACCTCAACCAAGTGCATAATTTTCTACAAATTGCGATACTATAAATGTGTCGAAGGCAACATACGCAACAAGTGACGTCAAAGCTTGCAGGAAAAGATTTTTTTGCCATTAGACACGTTTTTGTGTCGCATATAACGTTGTCCCTCAAAGTAATGCCGTGTCTGTGTGTGATATGATTAATCATTGTAGTCGTAGTAAATACTAAAACAAGCTCTTAGTGGAAGAAAAGCAAAAAAAAAATATATTACAAAACTTTTTCATGCTCATTTTGTTACTCTTAGAAAACGTATACTTTTTCGGATTGAATTTAACAATCAGCGGAAATGTATTAATAGCGCCAAATCCGTGCCGTATGTTTCTATCGAAAGTAAGTTGATTCGAGTATTTGCTCGTTCTCCTGTATTGGCCGCCAATACACGGATCCATTGAAATTCCTCTTGGATTTTTCTTAGACAAGTCGAGTAGCACTAAGACAATAATAACTTTTCCTTCGATTGGAACGTCGCGATCTTGTTGGGAAAAAAAATGACGAAATTTCGACTCTGTTTGACAATGTTTAGAGAAATGGGAAAGGTTCACTTGAGGGAAGGAGCGGTGGTGTTGCTGGCGCTGCTGCAGATGGGCCTGTGCGGGCCGAGCTCGGACCTCATGTCGGACTACGGCAACGAGTCGCAGGAGGGCCAGCTGCAGGGAGCCTCGGACGAACTGGCCATGAAGCGGAACTCGCTGCTGTCGATACCCCCGGAGGCTTTGCTGCTGGACTCGAGGGAGCGTCGCTCGAACACGCCGGCGGGCTCGTCGTTCATCAGGTTCGGTCGGTCGGGCAGCAGCAACGGCGGCGCCATCAGTCCGCCGCACACCCGCTCGGACGTGATCATCAGGTACGGTCGGGACGGCGCCGCGGGGCCCAACAGCCGCCTCACTCGGCTCCGCCAGGAGCGCATGCGGAAGATGGCCAGGTTGGCGCTGCTCTGCGCCGAGAGCCGAAGCCAGCAGGACGACTACGCCATGAGCTCGGCCGAGGACAAGATACTGCGCGAGATCTGCAGGGACACTCCGCTGCACCCTACGGTGCCGGACTTTGTCTAAGTCGTCGCGCGCCTCAGTGAGATCGCTCGCCCGAGAGCCGAATTATCCGCCTCTCCACCTTCATCAAATAGCCTATTTAATATAACGTACACAAGACTGATTTGTCGTGAGTGTTCTTGAGTATATTGCTTGTGTTGATCATGTGCTACAGGCCAGCTCTCAAACTCGGCGGATAAAACTACAACAAAATTAGCTTATTTACCTAAAATAACGACCTACTATTAGCATGAATAATTAATTATGCATTTTTTCCCCTTTTATTTTATTTTCATGTATAAAAATAAAAATATCTACACGTGAATGTTGAATGTTTCGGAGCAAAGATAACGGAAATAATCTAATAAACCTATTAAAATTTTCACACAATTTCGATTACATCAAGAGCTCGATTTAAAGTGATAATTTGAAAGATTTCTTTTATCTAAATCTCTTTATGCTGAATTCGGAAATCATTGAAAACATTGTAAGCAAATCACCAATGTTATTTATCTGTATTTAATGTTTTAAAGTTGACGATTATTTTGGAGTTTTAATCGAAGTAATAAAAGTATGAAATAAGAAAAAAGACGAGATGTAGCATTACCATCATTTCATAAATAATTAGCAAGCACTGAGAATTTCTACGACGCAAGTCCGATGGTGGCGTAGGATAACGTCAAAGCTCATGCTCGGGCGCTTCATATATACAATAAATGTATATTAATAACCATATATCCAGGACAGAAAAAGAGTAGATGAATCCAGAGGTGGCATGCAGCAACAACAACGACGCCAGCACATGAAAACAAATGTATTTTCTACGTGCTTCTCCGAAAGCTGCATTGTGTAGGTATTAATGTTGTTTCTTATGGAACAAGCTCGCCGTGACAATAGCGCGTGGGACAGGTAGCAGGAGGGGGAGGGGGGCAAGAGGAGCAGAAGAAGGAGAGAAAAGGTAAAATAAAATAAAGTGTATCGGATCTTTCAGCGTTAAATCCTTAATACATCATATCGCGCAAGATCCGTTGAGTGCGTGGGCGGACGAGATAGGGCGCGCGCGATAAATCGCACGCTTATACACCGAGAGAGAACGAGGGGTAGTAGCTGCTGAATAGGGACAATAGGTTGCTCGCTTTTTCGAGCACATGTATGCGTACGCACACTCGCGTACTACGAGATGCCGCGTAGCGATGCGATCACATAAATACATGTATAACGAGTGCCATGATACTGATTCGATATCCGAGTGCCCTGACATCGCTATAATGCGTACATACTCTTAGTAATATGATAAAATATATAGCCGCGGCGTCGATATGTGGGATATCGAGAGAGAGAGAGAGAGCTATGTGTTGTACAATGTAGAGCAATGCTCGGCTGCACTCGGAGCGCAACTGTGCCTAATCCCGATTCTCTCTCGCATCGGCATGTACGGAGGCGGAGGCGCAGTCGGGCCCCGTAAGGCTTCGCGCGACCGAGCCGAGTATGATCGCCAACTAGGTCTGCCGAGCTTGCAGTCGTTGGCGGAGCGCCGATCGGCGTGCTTCGCTTCTCGCTTCTTCCCTTTGTTCTGCCCTTCGTACGCGAGCCAAAATGAAACGCTACCGTCCGCTCGGGCTTCCGTAGTCTCTCGAAAGCAGCAACTTGACGTCGACTCGAGTTTCGAAGAGAGCCGAGCCGAGATGAATTCGTCCGAGTCGCAGATGAACCTGCTGAATAACGAGGCCCGGGCGACGTCGCAGCAGTCGCTCACGGCGCCGGGCGACTACGTGCTCGGGCCCGTCGAGAAGCACTTCTTGCTGTCGGCCGAGCGCGGTGACTGCGCCACCGTGAGACGCCTCCTCGACGAGAACAAGGACCATCCGGAGATACTCAACATCAATTGCGTCGATCCGCTCAACAGATCGGCCCTCATTTCGGCCATAGAGAACGAAAATATCGACCTCATCACGCTACTGCTCGATATGGGTATTCAAGTCAAGGTTCGAAGACTTTCAAATGCTTTTCTCTCTATATATATATGAATATCGCGAGCCTCTGTACGCGGACGCCCACCTACTTTTGTAGCCAAGCATAATTCGCCATCCAAGCATGGATAATTTTTCTTCTTTTTCCGCTTGCAAAATATTATCTATTTCTATTATTATAATTTTTTGGCAAAACTTTGTCCAACTTTGTCGAAATCCATCAAGGCAATCGCAATTAGAAAATTTCCGCTCGAGTTCATTTATCGAAAATGCGATTGGAAACTTTGAGGCGCAAATTAAAATAAGTTGGAAAATATTGAATAACAAAGCGGCTTTTACCCCATCCCGAGCGATCGAATAATAATGAGGGCAAATTTTCTATACATTATCATGAAACGCACTAACGACCAACGTGTCAACCGCCGACGCATCGCAGGACTCGCTGCTCCACGCAATCAAGGAAGAATACGTAGAAGCCGTGGAGGTTCTGTTGGAGCACGAGGAGAAAACTCACCAGCCGGGCCAGCCATACGTGAGTATAACTCATTGTTGCTAGTGATTCGCGCGCGCGCGCGAAAACGTTGGCGAACGATTAATACGAAGACGACAGAAAGGAGTCAAGACGCGGATCGGTCGGGCAATTAGTTTGGCAAACGAGCGCAGCTATGAGCTTGCGAGAGCTTGAGAGCTTGAGAGAGAGAGAGACGGTCTCGAGTTGTCGGCGGATACGCGATACCAAAGCTCGGATTGCGTATCGCATGATACCAACGTATACAATATTTACCACACGAGCCGCTGGAGCTTGCGATGTGCGTCGCGATCGGGCGCAAAGTTTCCTTATGCGTATATAAATGTCTGCTCATCTATAGGCATGCGTGAGTCTGATGTTGTGGCGCATGTAAACTCGAAGCGCGGCCGTAATTATTTCGCTCGCCTGCGAATGTCAGCCAATATCTCTTGCTACTTGATCATCGCAATTTCAAATGCGATATATGTTACACACATGTGTGCTATATACGTCCACTCTGTAGCAGCCCACGCGGCTAGTGGCTATTTCCATTTTTCCTTATTATTATTTTACGCGCTTTTTTTTTCTCAAGCTCGACTCGATGCTGCACGTGAGCGAAAGCTCGTGCGCTATTAATTACCCCCCCGTATGCGTACGGAATACGTTCCAAGGGTTTCTTGCTCGTTGCGATTGAACGTGTAAATTATGTATGTACGAGTGCGTTTATACCAATACGAGTTAGCGGGCTCGCCCGAGCGTACGCGATGAGTATATGTGAGCTCGCGTGCGTGACCTTATCTCATTTGCATAATCTCCTACATAATAAACCCGAGTTTAGCTTCGAAACGATTACATTTTTTACATCAACGAGTGGAGTTGTAGGCGATTTTTCAACTCTATGTATATTACACTGTCCCAAAGTTATTTTTATTTTTTTCTATCTAACCTTCCTTGCCTAAATTTTTTCATTACGTTCAAAAATTACGTGTCTAAACATTTGTTTTTTTTCAATTCTAAATCACTTTTGCCTATTTTAATTTTTTCTATGGCCTTATTATTCCAAGTAGGATTTTGTTCGATACATTACACGTGTAAAATACTTGATTTATTAGTAATATTTTTTGCGAGGAATCAAATTTACTGTCTGAAAATATCCACAACATAACGTCAATGTATCCAAAATTAAGAACAACTTGGGCACAAAATCGTAGTTTGTTTTTAACAGAACGAGATACCTTTTGAAATTTTTTTCTCGTATACAATAAAACTTTGGAAAAATATAAAAATATAGTTGTAGTGAAAAGACCATATTTTTGTAAATAAACATCATTCATTATATAACGAAATTATATCACAAATACAAAAATTTACGCAATTTCTATTGAATAACGACCAAAGCGATTTGATCAAATTAATTTAATTTTTATTTTTGCACGTTTCACAATTTTTTTTTTCATCCAGCGAAACCGTTTGAGCGTAGGAGATTGAAAAGCAGAAAAAAATTCATTGGAGACAATCGAATTTCTACATATGCAGAATGTATATATTACATGTTTGTGGAAGATATAAATACCGGTTATTTAATCAATTACGAAACGCCGCTATTCAAATTTCTGACAAAAAGATCAACATTTTTATTAAAAATAAAAAAATGAATTGAAGTCGCTACACACTTTTGCCTTTGCTCAGGCTCGAATGTATTAATATTTATTTATACGATGATGACTTTCATGTGACGTTGAATAATACAGAAAAATCAGATTTCATTTTTGTTTAAAAAAACCATTTTGAAATTTGTAACAAGAATACTTTATAGTAGTAAATACGTCGGGTGGAGATTAAAAAAGCTGCACTCCTCATACGCGGCATAGCTTTTCATTTTCATGACAGCAGCGAATCAGTGACAGGCGTGTACAGAGCGCCATAAACTAGACTCGTCTTTCATTGCATTAAACTCGCTATATTTTATTTCTTCTCCATGAAAGTGTACAGAATGCCGCGTTATAGAAGAGAAAACGGCTTGCTCGAGCTCGAGAAATGAAAATTAATATAATAATAGTAAAGAAAATGACAGCGCAGCAATAAGGCTAACGGAATTAATAGTAATAGCGATACACGCGTTGTTGATATTGGGTAAATAGAGCTGGGAAGCGGTGGACCGGTCGGCGTCGAACTTCACCCCGGACATAACGCCGCTGATCCTGGCGGCCCACATGAACAACTACGAGATCCTGAAGATTCTGCTGGATCGAGGTGCCACCCTGCCGACGCCCCACGACGTGCGCTGCGGCTGCGACGAGTGCGTCACCTCGAGCGAGACCGACTCGCTGCGTCACTCGCAGTCGCGCATCAACGCCTACCGGGCCCTTTCGTCCTCCTCCCTCATAGCCTTGTCGTCGCGCGACCCCCTGCTGACGGCCTTCGAGCTCTCCTGGGAGCTGCGCCGTCTCAGCGCCATGGAGCAGGAGTTCAAAACCGAGTACATTGTGAGTCAAATTATACTATATACTCGAGTACATTCTCCCAAAAGCACCGTGCACATGAAAATTGCATTAGTAAAATAACGTCATGTCTCTGTTTAAACTTGATAATAGTGCGATTTGTCGGCACCGAAACAAAATTTCTGCATTATCGACCCGATAAAACTAACTCGATCAATGATAGTCAATGAGGATAAAATATTCGATGAGAAAAAATGAAAGATAGAATAAAATTTTTTCGTAGCATATATGTATATAATCACGAGGTATATATCGAGTAGCGAACTAGGCCGCAACTAGCCTCGGAACGGAGATATCGCGCGGATTAATGTAACCATCATATAAGGCTTGTATTTAGTCATTGGATTAGCCAGTTTGTATGCCTCTCATCCAATTAGTGATTTTTTCACGTGCCTATTCATTGAGTCGAGTTGTTGTTGTTGTTGTTGTTGGTGTTATCTGAAACGCGATCGTTGCGATGCACAGGAAATGCGAGAAAAGGTTCAAGAGTTCGCGACGTCGCTGCTCGATCACGCCCGCACGTCGTTCGAGCTCGAGGTCATGCTGAATTACAATCCCATCGGCGAGAACTGGGAGCCGGGCGAGCGCCAGACCCTCGAGCGGCTCAAGCTCGCCATCAAGTACAAGCAGAAGCAGTTCGTGGCCCATCCGAACGTGCAGCAGCTGCTGGCCAAGATCTGGTACGACGGCCTGCCGGGCTTTCGCCGCCTTTCGATGGTCAAGCAGCTCGTCGAGGTCGGCAAGCTCGGCGCACAATTCCCCGTCTACAGTACCATCTACATGCTGTCGCCCAACTCGCCCAAGGCCCTCTTCATGAAGAAGCCCTTCGTCAAGTTTATCTGCCACTCGTCCTCCTATGCGCTTTTCCTCAGTGAGTCCTGCGTAGCGAGCCAGACATCGTCCAGATCACGATAATCACGAATCACGCTGTGCTTTCAGTGCTCCTGGGTGCGGCGTCGCAGCGAATCGAAGTTTTAGCCCTCGAGCTCCTCGGTCCGGATTGGGTGCAAGAGATGCTGGCCGACTGGAAGCGTCGCGAACGCGGCCAGCTTCCTGGTCTCATCGAGTCCGGAGTCATTATTTACGTCATAAGTGAGCCCATCTCGACTGATAAAATGATAAAAAAATTAACAGCTATTCCTGAAAAACTTACGTTGTGTTACTCGTACTGATGCGATACGTCTCCGCAGGTTTGGTCATCGGTGAAATGCGCTCCCTCTGGGCAGATGGCCTTTTAGAATACATATCGGACCTTTGGAACATTGTCGATTTCATTCAAAACATGTTTTACGTCATCTGGCTTTGCATGAGAGCGACGTCTTGGTTCTGCGTCATGGTTAGTATATTTAAGTCACTTTTCATACGCAACGACGTGTCTAATCTGATTCTCGTCCGCAGAGAGAGTATTGGCAAGGTGAAGATCCCTGGTACCCTCGAGATCATTGGTCCGATTTCGAGCCGATGCTGCTTTCCGAAGGTGCTTTTGCTGCAGGCATGATATTCAGGTAACTAAGCCAGTGGATAATGATGCCTAGCTTAATACTTGTCATTCTTTTTGGCATAAGTAAAGAAAGAAATTATAATATCATTAGCTCAAGTATTGAATCTTTTATTGATTTGAATTTTTTTTAATTTTACCTACGGATTCGATCGTTGATAATTCAAATTTGTGAGTCATGATTTTTTTTTCAGTTTTCTGAAACTCGTGCACATATTCAGCGTAAATCCACATCTAGGACCTCTTCAAATATCACTCGGTCGAATGATCATCGACATCATCAAATTTTTCTTCATCTACACTCTCGTCCTTTTTGCGTTCGGTTGCGGTAAATATTATTCTCCATAAAGATTCATTCAAGCAACTGTTGAATGACGATCGTTTTATCATCGCAGGTATGAATCAATTGCTATGGTACTACGCTGATCTGGAAAAGAATAAGTGTTACCACCTGCCAAGCGGATTGCCGGACTTTGACAACAACGAAAAGGCCTGCGCCACTTGGCGTAGGTTTGCCAAGTAAGTTCACACTGTAATTTTTTCATATCGAGAGGTATCTGAGAAATTGACGAAAATTGTTTTCAGCTTGTTCGAGACGTCGCAATCGTTGTTCTGGGCGAGTTTCGGTATGGTCGATTTGATGTCGTTCGATCTGACTGGCATCAAAAGCTTCACTCGATTCTGGGCTCTACTGATGTTCGGCTCGTACTCGGTCATCAACATCATCGTGCTGCTCAACATGCTCATCGCCATGATGTCCAATTCCTATCAGATCATTTCGGTCGGTGGCAAATTAACAAATCGACCATATACGTATACGAGTATTAAACGAACGAAAGAATGACGAGCTTGTACCGTTTGTTCGCAGGAACGAGCCGACACCGAGTGGAAGTTCGCCCGCAGCCACCTGTGGATGAGCTACTTCGAGGACGGCGACACAGTACCGCCCCCTTTCAACATGATACCGACGGCCAAAACGTTCCAGCGCATAGTCAAGTGCGGCGACACCGGCAAACCGACCCGCTCCCTCATCGTAAGCCAATCAGTCTCAGTCGACGAGCCATCATTAGCACTCGCTACCTTTATTTGACTCCCTCTGTTTGCAGAAAAAGTCACGAGAGAAGGCGAAGGAGCGCCACGACACGGTCATGCGACTGCTGATTCGGCGCTACGTCACCTGCGAGCAAAGCAAAACCAACGACTTTAGTATCACCGAGGACGACGTGATGGAGATTCGTCAGGACATATCCTCGCTCAAGTACGATTTGATCGACATTCTGCGCCAGAACGGCATGGTCACGCCCAACATCGACAAGCAGGAGGCCTCGCGTACGTTTTCTCTCTCGTTTCATTTATTGCGTCGATCGTCGATAAATAGCATATCGTAACGATTTACAATTGGCAGTGTCGGGCAAGAAGGGCCGAGTGATGGAGCGCCGACTGCAAAAGGACTTCCAGATCGGCATGGTCGAGGGCATCGTGAACCAGGTGATCCAGGCGAGCGACAAGCCGGGCAAGGACGTGTTCAGCCAGATCGCCAAGGCCATCGGTCGCAAGCAGTCGGGCGGCAGCAAGAAGAAGGACTGGAACGCCATGGTGAGGCAGAGCACGATCGCGGCCGACCCGATCGGCAGCTCGGGCGAGGCCACCGACAAGCAGCACCGGCGCAGCTTGCGCAGACACCTGCAGCACCAGGGCGACTCGGTGCTCGAGTCCCTCGATCCCCAGAGGCTGCTCGAGTACAATCCCAACCTGTCCGAGGTCACGGCCACCACGAGGATCGCCTACGCCAAGTTCATGCTCAGGCGTCCCGCGCCCAAGGAACCACCACCTGGCGGTCAGTAAGCTTTCGCTATTCCGCCGCTGTGACGATTATTCACTCTCCCAGTCAAATCATGCATTTCCATGACGATTATTCGGTTCAACGTGGTTCTCGAGAGTTCGCTAGTTAAGCTGAAAAAACTGAGCGAGTGCAATAATCTCAACAAGCAGAAAATAAGCGGGTTTTTTCTTGCACACTTTGCGATCTCTTTATTGACATTTTACATTAAAATTCATTACTTCAATTGATTTTTATTCGCACACAATACATCTTACACGCGATAAGCCTGTATTATTCAGACTCGCTTTCTTCCGCACACATACACTATAATAAATTACATACACACGCGCTATACACTTTTCTCCTTAATCTCTACGAGTCGAATGACAAATTAATATATAATTACACAAGCGACTGATAAATCGTCTTAATAACTTTTGATAACATTTATCACTCGTTCCTAAAACTAAATATCACACTCTTAATTCTTGTAAACTTGTCGAAAGTCGATTACTACGATAATCTACCAGCCATAAACTAAGTAAATACAGTGTAAAACAAACGATGCATCGCACGTTCGGCTAAATCATCGAGCAAATTAATAAATCTAATGGGGCTACATCGTCGTTGGGGGCTTTTTGCAGAAGGCGACGGCGGAGCAGACGCGAGTGGCGGCGATGGCGAAGCTGCCAAGGCACCGCGGCTGAGTCAACGAGTCGTGTCGATAGCCGAGCCGGCCAAAGACGGCAGTCCAGCGCCACCGGCCCGGGCCCTCAGCAAAGCCATCAGCAAAGCCGCCAGCACCGACTCGAAATCTCGCCTGGACGCGAAGCAGCAGTCGCAGCAGCAGCCGGAAGATGCCGCAACATCGCAAATGAAACCCAAGGGCTCGCTGAAGAAGCAGCCGACACTGAAGAAGCAGGCGTCGAAACCACCGGCCCCGGAGCAGCCCAAGGAAGAGCCAAAGGACAAGCCCGCGGCGACGACGACGACGAGCGCCGCACCACCTCCACCGCCGGCCGGCGGCGACGACACATTGACCAAAGCCCGTGGAAAGTCCAAAGCCACCGGCCAGATAGTCGGTGGCTGGATTTGAAGACCCGGTTCTTTCCCACGCGGCTTTTACCATGCGCCCAGCTCTGCATTGACCAATCAGCCCGAGCCGCACTGGCCGATTATGAGCCTCAAGAATTTTCTATAAAAATTGGAAAATTGTCATTAGTCGACTTGCACTTTTCATGGCTGATCTACAGTTGCATTTAACTGGCATTTAACACACACTCACCGTCGCTTTTTCGACTTTTTATACGTGTCCGCGCTGTCATCGGCCTCATGACCATTACTGAACTTGACTCCTTTCGAGCTGCCTTTGTTGTCATTGCCATTATTCGCCATCTGTATTAAACAATGATTTATAACTTATTATTTAAATATGATTCTTGTTATCACACAATTTTGATAATGAAACAAAAAAAGACTCGATGTCGCGTGTGTTATCAAGTATATTATAAAAAATGCAAATATTTCATAGTTTTCGGGAATGAAAAAAGTAAGAAAAAAAATCAATGACGTACTTTGTCGAACGTGCCAATTTCAAATCTCTTGAGCTTTTTCACCGCATCCGACGAATGTCCAAAGTCATCGAAGCCTCTGGTCGCGTCGCCCCCGGCGTACTCGCCGAGCAGTTCTGCACCACCGGGATGCTGCAAACGAAGGAAACATTTTCAATTACTTTGTAAATAAAAAATTGAGAGATTCTATGAAATCTGCGTCCAATAGTCTACGATATGTATGCCATATTTATGTTGACTTTTTCTTTTAAATAAAAAATATAATTAAACAAAAAAAGGTGAAACGTTTCGATCTACCTCATCTAAATAATCCGTGACATCGTAGACCACGGAGCGAATGATGATCCAAGTTCTTGCTCCGTTCTGACCATTGTTTTGGGCAACTTGGTCTTTGGTGTAGGTTGGCTTTTCTTCCGGCATGATGCACCGATGTTAATACAAAGACTGTCTGATCGCGTTTAGTAAACAGACGTTTCTAACATGGGATTTTTATAGATATATACAGCAGCGGCCGGATGACTATCGACGCGAGTTAATAATAAAAAAAGGAAGGAAAAATTACGTAAATCAATCATTAACGATAAGTGTGTGGGTAATAATATAACAGCGAAATTCTCACGTAGACGATTATCTTGTATCACGTTTAGCGATAAAATCTCTATCTCCTCGACGTCTGCTCGTTTTATTATCTGCCACGACGTGCGGGCAAATGCGTTAGAATAATGTTTGGCTGATGCGCTTTTAGAGCCGCGCGCATATACATCTATTTACATATATGGCGGTATCATAATAACTTTGATGCAATCAAAAAGTGAAGTATAATAAAGAAGTACTTTCAACTAAATTTGACATTTTAAAATGGATGTCTCGTGAATCTACATTCTACATGGGTTTGAAACTAAATTTTCATTCTATATAATGAAATGACTCTTAAAAATGTTTAAACAAAGGATTTTTTTATGGAAAAGTTAAGATAAAAATCATGTTGTTCATGCTCTAGGTATTATTAACATTTATATATTATTTAACTGATAAATCACCATTTGGTCAAAAGTTGAATTTTGGCTGTAAAAGTCAAAGGATACCAATAACATCATTTTTGCCTTTTTATCGTATTTATTAATTTTTTAACGATTTCGAGATTTCATGTATGTTATTATTTGCTCCCTCATAGAGGAAGTTATGTGATAGGCTCGAAAATGAGATTTGGAACCAGACGTCGTAGGAAAACTTGGATTACATTTTTGAAAACTACATTATTAAATTACCAACAAATGTCTGTATGTGTGAACAAGCTATCGATGAGTAAACAAGCCCGGTGTGTGTACAGTGTCTATATAGCGTGTTTTCTGCAACTATTATACATAAACGACTTCGTTACGCACACATCGAGGTTTAGAAGTGACGGTCTTCGCTGCGCGTGTGTACGCAGCCCCAACCGGTTCTGTACGAGCGAGCATACAAGGCTCATTGTACAGTAGAAAGGTACACCTGCGGGGTAAGTCCTTTCATATTCTCATCTACTTCCTCAAGCATAAATAGACCGAAAGTCGACGTGTATCATCTGCTTTCGCGAAAGCTTCGGCTCGCATATTCCAGCCCCTATACCCAAAGCCGTTGTAGCAATATGCTTGAGGCGTCTTCTGCTACACTCGTGTGACAGTTGACGTAGCAGACAAAGGCTCGTGTTTACTACCTGAGGCACGAGCCAATAATAACATATTTTGCCGCGTGAGAATTTCAAATAACCTTTTTTAATTTCTGACTCATACATAGTTGCGCCTAGCGAGTTATACCCTCAACGCGAAGCGCACTATTCGCTTCGACTTTTTTGCACCTGTGTGTTGTGTATGTACCTACTACTATGCCTGGGTCGCGTTCGTGGAAGTGATTTTTACTGTCCTTCCACATAAATAAACAAGAACCATTCAAAGATGTATGGTATTGGGTAAGGAATAAAACTCGGATGCGACATAAACAAATTTATTGAATTTGTGAAAAAAATATATATTCAGATTCATGTATACCGATTTCGTCTCGTAGCTGCCGTAGCCCGAATAAAAGAAAAGCATGACTTTTTAAATTAATAGTAAATTTTCAAACTTTCGAATGCGCCACCAGCTGAGCGGAGGATACTTCGTTCTTGAGAGAGTCAAGTAGTGTAGAGCTAAGATCACTTTTCTGTGATATAAAATTATACAAGTATGGATAAAAAGAGTCAAACTCGGGTATACACACTTTGAGATATTTTACTTGAATAATTTGTTTGCCTTTCTATAGGGAGATCAAATCATTTTTTTTATTTTTATTTACTTATTGAAACAATCAGAAAAATATGCATCATTTTACAACAGACTTCAATAAATATTGAAGATAAACACTTATTATTAAGTAATTATTTCAACTTCATCACTATAACTCTTTTTTTTTATTAATAGAACTTACACTGGGTTAACATTGATTCATCGGAATTGCCTATGTTTAACACGTTTCTCCATTCTTTTGGACCAGACAGAATCGACGTCAAGTATATTGTGGTCTGTGGCGGCAAAGCAAACACGATACAAATTCTTCAAGATCTCTTCACAGCAGAGAATCGGCAGTTGATAGCGCGTCATCTCCATAAATGGTTCTAGTGCCCATCATCGACAAAATCCTCTCGCCATTATCTCATTCAGGTGCGCAGTGCAAGACTTCTTTACCCTCGTGGTTCGGGGTATTGACAAAAAATTAACCGACCGCACGAACTAGAAGAAGTCCTCGTAGGTGAGTCGTTTTTCCGCCTCGCCGGGCCGCAACTGCAGCAGCTCGTAGAGCGACAGACTCGGATTGATCCTTATCTTTTGCGATTTGCTCGTGAACTCTTCCTCGTCGTACCAACATTTTTTAAAATCCACTGAATCTTTAACGACGAACTCTTTCTCTTGGTTCTCTAACTTTCTTGAACTTTTCTTTAATACTTTGTACTCGAGGAAAAATTTTCAGGTCGTCTTGGTCGCTACACTAACGAGAAAATGACAAGATAAAACAGTTACACTCTTCTTTTATACCGAAGGTTATTCTTTAATAATGATTGTATAAATAATTACATTAAAAATCCTAGATTTATTTGGAGAGTTTTTCATTTTTTTTTTGTTTTTTAGTACATGAATGAATTTGGGTGTGGTTCTTACACTTAAGGATAGAATATTATTTAGTATTAATATTAAAGTTTGGAAATTTATCAAAGAATCTGTCTGAATTTTTCCAGAATTTTTCGAATTGAACATTGCCCTTTTTTAGAGGTTTCTGAATTGTGCAAGAAAAGTATCAAATTAGGGTCTCTGACAAAGGGTAATGGACGATTCGAAAAATTCTGAAAAAATTCAGACAGATTTTTTGAAAAATTTCACAACTTTTGATCGGTGCATTTTTTTGTTTAAGTGCTCCTAACTTGATATAGTAACTCTCGAAGATTTCTAATTAAAATAGAAACCCCCTTTTAAAATGGGCTCTGAAGCCCATTCAATAGAACTAAGCATAGGCAGCTTTATTATTAGGTTCCCGGAGACCCCAAAAAATTTTGGTAAAAAACTGTGACCCAAAGCTGAGAAGGTCTCCTTGTGAGTGTAAACCATGCCTGCAATGAATTTTTCATCCTTTGAAAATTTTTTATTTTTATATTCATGTCACGATTGGCATTTCGCGAACAGTCTTGGATCAGGATCCACTTTGCGCATTTTGTAGCTTTTCATTGAAATATTTAGCTGGGAAAAAAAGGGAAAATAGCCAACATTTATAGCAAACTCGTACAAATACAACAGTTACATGCACATATGTAACGCTGCTTAAGAGAAATTCAATGCGCGCCACAAATGATTGACAATTATAGCAATTTTCATTTTCGTAATAACATAGTTGTTGACCGTAGACGAAAATAGTCGTTATAATATGTACAAGAGCCCGTGATAAATATAATAAATGCTACTCGTTGAAAAAGTAGGTATAAACATTGAATGACGTGGAATAGGAGAATCCAGAGGATGAGAAGGAGGAGAAGAAGGAGGAGGAGGAGTAGTAGGTAGTGCAGAATGACATGAAACTGCAGTAAATCATTGAAAAAGCACATGAGCGTAAAAGAGCGCTGCTTTTACTTGTCCGCGGTATAAATAAGTTGCAAGCGTTTCAAGCCCGAGTGCATTTAGCGAGTCGTTTGGAGCGGGTGACACACGATGTTACGCAGGATACTGTCGCTGGCTTGTTTGCTCGGGGTAGTCGTCTCCTCTACGTCCAAGTCCAGCTCATGGATTCACGAGGTCAAGAGCCTCTTTCGGGACTGTCCCCTGAGGGGTGGCAAAATGAGCAGCTTGACAGCCGCCCTGACCAATTGCGCTCGTAGCCGGACGCTCCTGGTGATCGACCAGATCCTCGACGACGACGTCGTGCCCATCGTCGAGGGCCTGAAACTCGTGAAATTCGCCAACAACAATTCCGACTCGGAGCAACCGGATGAATCGACGCCCAGTATCAGGTGAGTCAAGCCATTATAGCCGGATGAATTTGATCGCGCGCGAGTTTTGATTTGTGAACAAAAGTAAATAAACAAAAAAAAAACAATTCATCGTGTAGAGAACTGCTGAAACGTGCGCACGACAAAGGCTGGAGGGAAGAGGCGGACGCCGCGGCTTCCTGGCGCGAGCACCTCACGGGCAGCTTCATCCGAGCGCTCAGGACCCACGCCATCAAGGTCGACCTCGAGCAGTTGGACTATCCGCAGAGTACGGAAATGCGCTCGATGGACGATGGCCAAAACGAAGCTAGAGGTAAGTCGCAGCGGTATTTTTCTTTCGGGAGCACTTTGAATGGAGGCAACCGCGCGAGTCGTAAGCATCGATTTGGAAAAAATGAAAAAGTCGCGCTAATTGCGGCTACGTGAATTCGGCGAACACGCGGGGAAGCGGCATCTAACGGAATCGGAAAAATGACATACATCTCATTATGTCATTATTCGCATGATGTGAGCCGTCGCTCTACTTTTGCGGCGATCGCGGCGAAAAACTGTAAATTTCTGCGGCGCACGCACGGGTCGCTTATCGCTGCCACGCACGCGCACGCGCTAAAATAAAAAATTGACTTGGAACGTGTGCGGCGCAGGTAACCGTCGCCGGAGACGTCGCCAGATGCAGATCATGCCGATCATCCTGATGTCGGTGCTGCTGATGAGCACCGTCCTCATACCCATGGGCTTTCAGTTTCTCGCCGTGCTCGGCGGCAAGGCCCTCGTGCTGGCCAAGATGGCCCTGATGCTGTCGTCGATCCAGGGCCTCAAGAAGGTCGCGACCAACGGCGTCAATTACGGCCTGCACTACTCGCCGGGCGTCGAGCCCTGGCACGAGCGCAACTTCGACCTGCCGACCACCTACCAGGCCGACTACTCCTCCTATCCGCTCTTGTCCGACGGGCCCCATCAGCTCATCACCAGGCGCACGGGTATCCATTACCACTGAATTCGACTGTTTGTATCTTATAACGTATTTCTCCTCGTATCATATTGAATGCATTTGTAATTGTTGTATTTGTGCGATCTGTGCCTGAAAAGAAGAACAAAACAAAAAGAGTCCATTTATGCGTGATTGTTGTACGTATAGGTATGTGTGCCGCATAAGCAGTTCGGAATAATCATGTGAATCTTACTTACTTTAAGCGACTACCTTATTATAAATGTAGTTTCTAAGACTGACTGTTGTATATCGTTAGAATTATTATTGCCGGCTCGCGTCGTCTCGGCGAGCGACTTTTCGCAGAGTGGCTCGCACCGTGTAATTTGCGGCCCGTACTACTGCACTTGGCGCAAACCCATAAAATACGGATGCGTCTATAATATATATATACATACTAGGCCTATACTAATTAAACCGTCGTATGCGTCGACTCTCTGCCATTCGATTGAAAATTGTGTCACGCGAGAGAACGTTTTCCAACCCAAATGGCTCAATCGCGCGCCACCAACTATCCCATCCATTATCCTAACGGTTAATTTTCCTACCTATACGTCATAACAGCTACTCATTTACGTATACATATATGTATACATTATTTATTTGTTTACTTATTTAATTACAAGTTCATGCATGTACGCCTCGGCGTTCCATCTATAGAGAAACAATATTTCAACCCGCGAGACACAAAATCATAATGGAACGCAATCGATACCAATGATCGTAGAATAGGCTTTGCTATGTATAATCGACTAAAAAAATACAAATGCCAAAAATAAATTAGACAAACGTTTGTTTTTACCCTTTTTTAATAATAAATTCTTAATCTATACATTATATGGCATTTTCATCTACAAGTTTATCATTTTCGAGAGTTTACGTATAAATACTTTTTCTCGGTTTTCTTCGCTTCGTCGATATTACATATTATTAAGGTGGCTCTTCCGCGCACAGAAAAATGCTCTCAAATATAAATTCATGTATGATCGGTAATTTTCTGTAACGCCACGCACTCGTGTGACTTGTATATACGTATTTAACAAAAGTTCTCGCGCTGAATTCTCATTTATATATGAGCAGTTTTTTCATATATGTACAACTTTTGTGCGGGGGGTTCTCGGATCTGCCCCAAAATTTAGTATGTTATTTGGGTATGTGAAAATAGCCTTCAGGTAAATTTTTAGCCCTCTAGGGGCCTTAGGGCCCAAATTTGGGCCCCTCGAAGGTCCAAAAATAGCCGTTTTTACCTATTTTTGCGTATTATTCAAATATTTGTAACTCGGGCACCGGTGCATATTTTTTAACTCTGAGGGTCGCATTTTTTAGGTCAAGACATGTACTTTTCGTAAAAAAATTATGTAGAGCTCGATAGACCAACCCCCGGTTATGGGGGGGCAATGAAGGGGGATGAAAAATCGCAAAATTGACGTTTTTTAGCTTTTTTTGAATTGATGCAGAAGGCGACTGGATTGACGTATTTACTTTTGCAACGTCTCATTTTAAAGGTATTTTTATTACCTTTAAATTGCCGTGCGCAGAATTAAGATTGGTTCAAAAACGACGGAGATAGAGCTGTTTAAAGGTGTCAACATTATGAAAAAAGGCGTTTTTTCGAGATTTCGATAAGCTGTAACTTTTTTCTAGTAACATGAATCTCTTTGAAATTTTATGTGAAAGTAGTTGATTACATGTAGTTTGAAGCCATGTAGGTAAGGATCTTGGTATTTGCCTCTATAACCGAAAACGAGGCCCCCGAAATCCGGCACTTTAGCCCTTATATAGGCAAAATACATGTTAAATTGGGCGGCAAAACTATTTGGTAACTCCTGAAATTATCGCAAAATAAACATAAAAAAAAAATCAAAAACCCCATATTAAACGTATTTTTCGACGAGGAATCCAATGGTAACCTCGAATTTGACCTTGAACATAACCTCTAAACTATAGCGAACCAAAATTGATTTTTCGCACGGTGACCCCCTTTTTTTATTTCAGATTTGAAAAGAGCGGAAAATTTCACGTTCAAATACATATTTCGTTTTTTTTTTCAAGGTAATTTTAAGGGCCCCACAGTTTGAAAATGAAGGCTCCATTAAAACTAATATTAAACTCAGCCAAAGAGTTTATTCTTGATCTGTGGGGCCCTTAAAATTACCTTGAAAAAAAAAACGAAATATGTATTTGAACGTGAAATTTTCCGCTCTTTTCAAATCTGAAATAAAAAAAGGGGGTCACCGTGCGAAAAATCAATTTTGGTTCGCTATAGTTTAGAGGTTATGTTCAAGGTCAAATTCGAGGTTACCATTGGATTCCTCGTCGAAAAATACGTTTAATATGGGGTTTTTGATTTTTTTTTTATGTTTATTTTGCGATAATTTCAGGAGTTACCAAATAGTTTTGCCGCCCAATTTAACATGTATTTTGCCTATATAAGGGCTAAAGTGCCGGATTTCGGGGGCCTCGTTTTCGGTTATAGAGGCAAATACCAAGATCCTTACCTACATGGCTTCAAACTACATGTAATCAACTACTTTCACATAAAATTTCAAAGAGATTCATGTTACTAGAAAAAAGTTACAGCTTATCGAAATCTCGAAAAAACGCCTTTTTTCATAATGTTGACACCTTTAAACAGCTCTATCTCCGTCGTTTTTGAACCAATCTTAATTCTGCGCACGGCAATTTAAAGGTAATAAAAATACCTTTAAAATGAGACGTTGCAAAAGTAAATACGTCAATCCAGTCGCCTTCTGCATCAATTCAAAAAAAGCTAAAAAACGTCAATTTTGCGATTTTTCATCCCCCTTCATTGCCCCCCCATAACCGGGGGTTGGTCTATCGAGCTCTACATAATTTTTTTACGAAAAGTACATGTCTTGACCTAAAAAATGCGACCCTCAGAGTTAAAAAATATGCACCGGTGCCCGAGTTACAAATATTTGAATAATACGCAAAAATAGGTAAAAACGGCTATTTTTGGACCTTCGAGGGGCCCAAATTTGGGCCCTAAGGCCCCTAGAGGGCTAAAAATTTACCTGAAGGCTATTTTCACATACCCAAATAACATACTAAATTTTGGGGCAGATCCGAGAACCCCCCGCACAAAAGTTGTACATATATGAAAAAACTGCTCATATATATAACACTCGCTCATACATCATGCAGCCATACCCATGTGCAGCATACATTAACCAGTCTGACCTATCATTTCTCCTACAATCGTCCCATTCTACTTTTTCTTACACGTACATATAACTCTATCTATTTATACTTGTTAATTTATATTTATATATATATATATATAATATACATACATTAGAGTGTCACTTATTTCCCAAGTTGCATGAAACATGCCCTCTCTTGCTTTAAACAGCTTATTTGGACCAAAAAATAAAACAAAATCTCTAGTTGCTACCCTTTAATTACTTCATCTTGCTAGAACTCGAGAAAACCATGCTCGTTTTCTAAAAAAGTCTTCAGATTTCTGAAAAATTCACACGTATTTTTGACTCTTGTTTTTTGCATTTTTTTCGTAAAGTTGTCTCTTTTAAAGGTAAATCGCAAAAATTAAAAAAGTATAATGATGAAAAATTTTTACGAAAATTCAAGTTTGAAAATACCCTGTTTTTAATCTTTGCGATTTTCATCATCTCGAAAAGTAATGATAACAAGCAAATTATTAAAAAGTCCAAAAAATTTTTTGTACTAGTCAAGAAATATGTATGAACTTTTTTAGGATCATTTTGAAAATGAATATAAAAGAGTGATTGATACGACGTTTTTTCATTTACAGACCCAAACCAACTTTTAAAACTACAAGAGCGAAGTTCCATGCGAATTGGGATATATGAGACATCCTAATATATATATCATTTCGCTTATTCGTTTTAATTAACTCCATAATTTGTGCAATTTTTAAAATGTTTACTTCTTGAGTCACGTCGTAAGAAATTTTTTTTTGTTTTAACTTGTAAAAGGAAAGCCAATAGGCTTTCGTTAATTGAAACTCAGTTGAAAGTACCTAGCGATGTTTCACGACACTGAGTCACTTTTTCTTTCACCTTACTTATATAGATTCTCGAAAAATTTCTCATACATTTTTTTCTTTTATTGATACATTTACGTATGATAATGAATTATTGAAAAAGACTTTTTTGTTTTTTTCGTAATCGTTATAAAAATGTTAAATTAGTAGTACGTACAAAAGTATAATACACGCGTGCATCTCATTCATTCAAATCATTGCATTTTGGTATAATCTTAAAATTTGGTATAAAATGGTTCGCAGCATAAAAATCATGACTGAAGTCTGCAAAAACTTGAAAAAATGTACGACAAAATATTCATGGCAGTGTGTTATATCGCAGATAGAGGTTGCGCGACAACGATACAATAGTATAATGTGTTCGCTGACCCAACGCATACATACTACCACCGAGAGAAATAAAAAAGTGTAAAATGTGTATACGCTTATGCACAAGCCGAGAGTTAACGTTAAGCACCATATCAGCACAATGGAAGATTTCATAATAAACGTGTGCGATTGACGGACTCTTTATTTATATGTATATCATGCATTTGTGTATATATATTCATCTATATTTATATTTATATATATAATATATGAATCGAGTTTCGAGCGCGAGATTGGCATGTGCTCACATTTATTTGTGCCGCAAACTATCAGATAAACTTTCTTGGCTTCCTTCATTACTCCTATTTTTTGTTTTTATATTTTTATTTTTTACACAAATAGGATATTTCAGTTTGATAAATTAATACATTAATTATGCTTTTTTCACTTGAAATAAATGTTACAAGTTCAATAAAAAATAGCATTAATTGTGTCAGATGCGTAGAGATATTTTCGTTCGTACATTGACCCACCAAAATTACGTGTCACAATAGAATATTCATTGATTAATTTACGATTCTGCTTGTAATTAGTCTGCGTACAAATTTCGTGTGCAGTAACAATTTTGAGCTGAGTAAAGTAATACATGTACAATGAACATGTGTATAAAATGCGCTCGAGCGCATCGATGATCATTTTTAGAAAAGTCATTTCAGCAGAGAAATAATTCGTAATGAGAAAAGTAAACGTAATGTTTCTGTACTAATAAAAATTTCAGTCAACGAAGGCGATTATTGGACTCGTTAGGCCTGTGCGTTGTAGCTAAAAATCGTTGCTTTGTTGTCTTTGTCTCTCGTCGGCGATCATTGCTCCTCTCGACTAAATCGCATTTATTAAATCAAATTCAATGGAGCGTAATTAAAAAGGCGACTTCCGCCAAAAGAAAGTAGCGTCGTGCGCTCACGTAGCTTGATAAAAATAAAAATAAGTTACAATCAATGTAACGTCTCTCGCGCTCAGTCTCGTTTAACTTATCACTTTGAGATAAAATTAACTCATTAACTGTGTGAGTGCCGCACCGTATAATTAGCTATACAGATAAAATTAATCATCACATTGAAAAAAATCACATTGTGTAAAATAGACGTAGCTATCGTCGTCCGTATGTACGTATAATAAGATAATTGTATTTAAAAGCTTAAAATTCTTCCGACATTCATACAGTACGAGGTGGTCTGTAAACCACCGAATGAAAAAAATAAAAAAAATAAAAAAATAACAAAACGATACATAGCGCAGTTATTTCATTTATAAAGGTTACTACTTACAGAAGTATACGTATCGCTATGTGACAATTCAATTTCGCCAATTCCTTATGGAATAGTAAATGTGACGCAGCGTGCAGGGGGAGGGGGAGGCGCGCGATCGCACTCGGTGAGACACGAAACTCGTTAGAATCTAGGGAGTAAAAGAATCGCACGATGGTACATTGTGGATCATCGAGGTATTTATATAGGGTTATTTCTCGCATGCGGCATCGTTTAGACGGTGGTCTCGACGGCGTCTTGGGCGACATCGGTTGTATAGGCCATGGCGTACTGTCAACAGATACTGTCCTTGGCGTATTTGTCGGCGAAGCTGTGCGGGTCGATGAGGTCGTCCTCGTCGAGGTCGTCGGCCCGGTAGAACCTCGGCCGCTCGGCGCCGTAGCGCTGGATGGTCGAGCGGCCGAAGGTCGAGTTGGCGTAGCGGGGCACCTGCTGCTGCTGCTGCTGGCCCGGCCGATGCGGCAGCGTCGACGAGTGCAGCTTCTTCTTCGCCGCGTCGACCTTTCCGTTCTTGCTCGACTTGCCGCTCGTGCCGTTCTTCTGGCCGGAGCTGCCCAGCTGATTTACGCTCAGCACTTGCACCTTCTTCTTTTGCTGCAGCCGCTGCTGCTGCTGCTGCTGCTGCTGCTGTTGGAGTTGCTGCTGCTGCTCCTCGGCCGACGACTGCAAGCACGATTGATGTATGTAAGAATCGTGCCACATATTTAATCGCGCGAAAAAACGTTTCACCGTTTCAAAGAAAATGTCAAATGATGTTTGCGATACACGTCGGAACAATATTCATATATTCCGCTGCTTGCGAGTACGAACCGAGTCAAAGATATAAAATATCTGGGTTATCCAGTCGAAAATACGTCGTCGCGCATTTGAGCATACATGAATATTATAATGGCATCGATTGCGCCGAATATTTATGCATTCGGGACGGAAAGTTTTCAGTATCTCGACAGCATTATGGCATAAGAGGCAAAAGGAACAAAACAACGAGAACGAAAACGACGACGAACCTGCGATGGTAATTTCTTTTGCAATCGCCGGCGCTGTCCACGCTTCCTTCGATAGAGGCAGTACTTGAGACAGCCAGTGACCAGAAGCAGGATCAAGGAGATGCCGAGGACCCCGGCACCGACGGCCACGTAGAGCAGCGTGACCCCGAAACGATAGGAGCAGTTTTCGTCGCGCTCGTCGAAGCCCGACGGGCAATGGTGCACGCCGTCGCACCAGAGCAGCGAGCTTATGCAGGCGTCCAGCTCCGGGCACCTGTGCTCCAGCAAAAAGTACTTGCAACGTTGTACGACTATCGAAAAGAGGTATAACGCAGCCAACGCCTACCTGTAGGGGCAGTCGACGTTGGACGACGACAGGGCCTTGCCGAAGAAGCTGCTGGCTTGGTCGGGCTGTTTGCTCGACGATCCCAGTAGCCGCTTCGAGATGGCCATCCAAGTGACGACGTAGTTGCCCGGCTCCTGCTGCAGGAACTCGACGACGAAGCTCCGGGCGTGTTGGTGCTGATGCTGGTGCTGCTGGTGCTGCTGGTGCTGCTGCGAGCCAGGAGACGAGGACGACATCGAGCCGGTGGACACGGAACCGTTGCCGTTCCAACCGCCACTGATGAGGTCGACCACGCGATCGTGTCTGCTCCGACGCAGGCCAGGCCCGGTGAAGTTGCCGGCGTCCACGGGACAGACGACGGTGCGCTCGTGCGTGCTCGAGGCCGGGTAGATGACGATGCGGTTGCGCGTCGGGCACTCGTGGACGTTCTCCCGAGTCAGCCGGAAGCCCGGCGTCTTCAGGTAGAGGAAGTGCAGCCGCGAGTCCTCGGGCTCGATGAGCCACGGCTCGTTCACGCAGTGCGTCACTTCGGCGGCGCTGCTGGCGGCCGAGCTGCCAGCTCCAACGGGCCCGCTGGCTGATTTGCCGGGGCCGTCGCTGACCGGACTCGACGAGAGGCTCTCGTCGATGGTGGCCAGGATGCCGAGACGGTCGCCTCCGCGCCTCATCGCGATCGTGTCCGACGACGAGACCGACGAAGTGACCACGTTGCTGGCGCCGAGACCACTGGCCAGTTTCGAGATCGGCGGACTCCTCAGCGCGATCTCTCCGCTGGTGCCGCGCAGCCTCCTGTCCTCGAGTCTGCTCAGTCTCGGCTCCGACGAGTCGGAGCTCGCTCCGTGGCAGCTTCGCGAGGCCTGATTTACCGTGCTCGGGTCCCGATGCTGCCGCTGCTGCTTTTGCTGATGCTGCTTCTGCTGGGACGACTGCTGGGACGACTGCTGCTGCTTCGAGCGGTGATCCTTGGAATCCTTCGAAGCCGAATTGGCCGCCGGAGCCGAGCCGACGGGATCGAGGGCCGGGCTCGCCGGGGCCGGAATCGAGTTGGCCGGCACGAAGCGATACTCGGCCTCGAAGTAAAAGTCCTCGTGGTCCTGCGTGACGTTCATCTGGCTCACCTGGAAGGTGAGCTCGAGCCGCGACGAGGACAGGCTCCCGAAGACCAGTGGCTCGCTGACGTTCGAGCAGAGGCAGTCGCGCGACAGCTGCACCCCCTGCCACGGGTACTCGGCTAGCCTCAGCTCGGCTATGCCCTCGTCACCTGCGGATCGTCCCAATTTTTTATATTCACGCGCGTGCATAAATTATTTCAAAGTCGTGTTGGATTCGAAAGCGACTCGCTAACGATCGCGCAGACAATCGTTACAGGAGCTACGATTTGTGCTTCGTTATCGACGATCATCTACGCACGGATAATGCACGAGAGCTCGGCTTTTTTAAAATTCAGCTGCGAGGCAAAGAAAAAAGTCAAAAGGAATGACGGGATGGGCTAGTCGCGCGGCCTCGTCTGTGGATTTGAGCTCGCGCGAGTGTATCAGGACGCGTATGGAGCGCAACTTGAAAGCCAGAAAGGCGCTTTTTCGCTGAATAATGAATTCGCACGTAGTACATTTGAGTCGCGCAGCGCTTGTTTTTTCTCTTCTCCTAGTTTCCTACATTCCGACGTGCTTAACGCGTGCCTGCATACACGACTTATATATATCATAGCGCAAAGTGCGCTCCCGCAAATTTTTTACCCACTCTCAGAACGGGTCAACAAAGTCGTCTTTATTTTCGAAATTCAGTCAGTCCACGGAAACTACTACCTGGCTCGTAGCCGTAATGTCGTCTCCTATTTAGCTGTGTCGATGCTCGAGAGATAATTGACTTTCCGTTGCAGCAACTCGATCAGCGGACTCGTTTTCCAAATCGGCCCCTTTTAAAATGAGACAACGACACGAGGCGAAGGACTGACGTGTCGCGGCTAAGGCAAGACTGAATTTTTAATCGAAATTCAGCCAATGAGTGCATCTCGACAACTGTACCCCGTATATAGTCATCCGTATTTTGTCGCAGCGGTGATATACGTATTATAGCTTTTAAAGTAGATTAAAAGTGACGTTGCGGGCTTGGAGGATCGCGAGGCTAATTGCACGAGTCGGTTGCTTTAAAAAGAGGCGAAAAAAGGTGGGTCGAAAATAGCAATAGCAAGTGTGTACCGGCTCGTTGGCTGGCAGCGGGTCGCTCGCAGGACCATCGATTGACCAGCGGATCGATGCTGCTGCGGCAGTTCCTCGCCCCGAAGGACGCCCTCCTGATGCTGAGCTCGAGACGCCGGTCGCCGCCGGTCTCGAATCTGTAGGTGCAGCTGAGGTTGGCGGCGCCGCCTCGGCCGTAGAAGAAGACGCTGCGGGGCGAAGCGAAGGCGAGGGCCTCGTTGCCGGCGCTCGAGCCGCTGGCCGAGAAGAGCCGGTTGCACGAGTGGCTGCTGGCCTCCAGGTGGACGAACTCGTAGCGCACGACGAAGCTCACCGGGTAGAGGGCACTGCCGTGGCGCAGCACCTGCTCGAGGGTCAGGTAGCGGCCCGTCGACACGTACGACTCGCTCATGCTGCAGGGCCTCGTGTACAAGCGGCTGCTGCCGTTGCCTCGCAGTAGGCTGTGGTCGCACAGCCGCGGGATCTCGTCCTTGCAAAACTCCCCGAGCAGCGTGGCGTTCTGAGAGAAAGCATATATATATATCCATCGACTTTAAGTGGTTTAGCGCGACGTGCGGTCAGCCGAGCCATTAACCGCCGCCCAGCTTCGTTGACGTTTCGCCAACTTTGCGCAAAAAATCCACAACTCCCTCTGCAAACTTGTAAGCCGCGCCCCTCCCCGCACCTGCTATTAAAGTCAAATTACGCGATCAAAGTCCTTTCCGGCGCTGTCGCGCTGAAGCATAATGTATGTACACGCGCTCAAACTGCGTCGCAATTATTCTCTATGAATTTCGGTGTCGATGCTAATTTTACGAAATTTTGAAAGTGGTCCAGCCTAACGAGAGGAAAGAAAGAAAGAAAGAACGAAAGAAAATTGAAACGTTACCTCAGCAGCGCTAGTGGAATCCTTGCTCGGAGCTTGCGATCCATCGAATCCATTTGCCGAGCGTTCGCCGTCCCAAATGAGAAGCTTGACGTTGCAGTCGACCGAGGACGAGTCGTGGGTGATGGTCGAGTCGGCCGCCGCCGCCGCAGCGGCAGCAGCCAAATTGCTCGACTGGTCGTGCGTCGCCGCGTAATACTTGACGAAGGCCAGCCAGACGATCTCGTTGGGCTTGGCCTGGAAGTGAAATCGGCAGGTCGTGTTGGGCGGCAGCGAGTGCTTGGGATTCTCCAGGACGCCCGACGACGACTCGTAGCTCGTCACGTAAAAGTCGCACTTCTCCTTGTCCTTGGACACGAAGCTGGCCGAGGAGCGCTCGTCCACGAAGATTACCTGTACACAATTCCAATATTTTGCTACTTTTGCAAACGAGGCAACAGCTCGCGACAAAGTTATTGTCAATAGATTAGACGACTAAATGATCCATTTTAAAAACGCTTATAAATTAAAAGTTTTTTCTACATGAGGATCTGAGTTCGCGAAGGTCACGGAGGCCTGGCCTAAGGCTATACGAAAAGTTAATTAATATTGGACGCTTAGCTAAGTGAATTGGCAAAAATTTATCAATGCAATGAACGTAATGTAGACTCGAACATCGGCTAAATGTGATACTAAATAAAAAATGCACCCACGAATGGGGCTTGTTCGAAAGGAATCGTGGGGTGGCTGCAGTGCCGAATGAATTAGAGCAAGTACGAACCTGAACCTCGAGCTCGAAGCCCGGGAGAAAAGAGAGCGGAACTGGATGGAAGGGATTGTCGTAGGGCGAGGTGTGAAACTCGAGGAGCATCGTGTCTCGGCTGCCGACGATGTCCGGGACCGCGTCGCCGCCGCAGAGCCGCACCAGCACGCGGTCGGCGTTCGAGCCGCCGTCGTAGACCGTGAGGTAGTCCTGCACGACGTTGCACTGGTCCCAAACTCTGGGAAATTCGATCGGCGGATGACCAATGGTGCGACAGTCAGTCGCTTACTCGAGGCTTACCTGAGAGTTCGCTGGCTCGTATCGTACTTGTTGACCTGGTCCTTTATGTGTATCTTGTGACTGTTGCGCTGGCTCACGGCGATGAGGGCCCGATGTCCGGCTGGCGCCCTCTTCTGCTCGATCCTGTAGTAGCAGGTGACGTTGCGCGGATACACGCCCGGGTAGTTGGGCGACTGCAGTCGGCAGGCCCTCTGGTCGCACCTGACGTATCGTAATGCGCATAAATAATGCCGATCGCGTCTGGTGCTCGCTATTCGAACTCGCTTACCTGGTAAAAACTCGATCGCAGTAGGTGTCGTTGACGAGCTCTCCGCGCCAAGTGCTGAGGCTACTGTTGCCGTAGCGCAGATGCGCCTCGCTGCGACGCAAAAACTTGTACGACAGCTTGAAGTCGAAGTTGTAGTCGTTGCCCTGTAGCACAAGATTCGTTCGCGATTCTAGCCAAGTTCCATTCGAGAGAGAAGAAGAGAGACAAAGAGAGAGAGAGAGAGAGACCACTCCACATGGAAATGTATAGCGAGCCGCTTAATTGATTGTCGTTCGCATGGTTATTTGCAACGGGCTTACTCTTTCTCTGATGCCCCTTGTAACACGGACGTGCAATATGCTGCATTTGCTGCAGCCATTACCGATCATCACGGCCAGCGAGTCCTTTGGCACGAAATTTACTCGATCGTGGCCCGCATGAGCTACGCATTTGAGCTTGGACGTTCTTTCCCTCCGACCGAGCGTGCATGTCGTAGCAAGCCAGGCAATTATTTATGCCTCTTGACTGCGAGGACGCGCAATCATCTAATTGAAAAAATCCCCGCGTCCTACTACTAGTTGCCGGACCAACAACTGATCTGCTTTCATAAAAATTGCGTTTTATTATCTGACCGAGCGACCCGACTCCAACTCCACCCGAAACTTTACAAACTCTCGGGCTACCCCCGACACTAGTCGCTCTCTCTCCTTCTTTCTGCATATATTATATCGCATGCTCCGTGCACCATACTGAAATCCACCGTGTACGTTTTTACGAGACTCGAGAGCAAAGTGATTTTTTTTCTTTTAACGCAATTTAATTTAAGAGTAACACCCTTTAATATCAGCACACTTTCTGATGGCTGTAAAAACTTTTCTTCATATTTTAGCTGTTAATTCTTCTCTATTCGAGTATTTGTGCATAAAAATATAAAAACCGCTCCAATATTATCAAAGATACAGTCAAAGATCTTGCATTAGAGATCGCGTATGATGATCTAGGGCTGGAGCAAATCTAAAGCTTATGAACTCTTGCATAATAGCCTTTCCATTTTCTTTTTCTTGTTTTTAGAATTACTTTATAGTGACAATTGCAAAAAAGCTTCTTGACACTGAATTCGAAACGGCAGTTTCCTTTTTTTTTTAGATACTTCGCGAAAAATCATATTTGACCTAACTACTCTTGGGGCTTTACTCCTCTCTTGCTCGTTTTCTATAATTTCCGAAAAAATTCCTAGAACTGTATTTTGCTTCATCATCGTGAAAAATTTCAATAGAAAAGATGAAATTCAAAATGTAATCGTTTCATCTTCATAAAAGCTCGCTACCAATTTTGATCGAAAGCTTTTATCGAAAATATTTTTCAAGTACAAATAAATCGATAAAATTGATGAATTATTTAATTTCATACACATATGTATACGTGTAAAAAAAGAATATGCATTCCGCTACCGCAGTCTAGTCTTTATACCAGTGCATTTCGTATCTGAGGTTTGAAAAATTTACATCGAAAGTATATATATTTTCAATCTATGTAGTTGCAATATTTACTCAAACGATCCAAAGGGAAAGAGAGCAAAAAATCGCTTGCTCAAATGGAATAAATGCACCTAGCCGTCCGCTTCGCTCTCCTTCTCAATTTTCCTCTTTCCGTCTCTCTCTCCCTCTCCCTCTCTCCCTTTGAAGGGTATAATGTATCGATAATTGAGGTCGTTTTGACAATGCGAACTAATTAGGTGTTATTTGTGCTTTGCATAAGCACAAGCGATATTGTCAAGTATTTGCATGATTTTGGTAAAACTTACGATACCGCTTATAGTAAAGCTGCCCTACATTCTAAATAACCGGTAAATTTATCATAAATATAATAAAAATATAAACGTTTTATTATAATTGCTGCTACAAAGTATAGACATTTATTATGTACTTACATGGTATATTAACAGAATATTTCGAGTTTGGAGCGGCTTTACTAGGCATTATCATAGTTTTTGCTGGCAAGGTATCATTCGTACACATGAAACTTGTACGCGGGCATTTCTGTACACAAGTAAAATGTGTCCAATATTTGTACACATAATCCAACTTTTCTTTTAAATCAAAAAATTACGATTACGATTATTTTTAAAAAATTTTTGAATTTAAAAAAAAGTTGGATTATGTGTACAAATATTGGACACATTTTACTCGTGTACAGAAATGCCTGCGTACAAGTTTCATGTGTACGAATGATACCTTGCCGTTTTTGCTGTATCAGTGTATATATAATAAATGAAGAAAAGTATTGTTTAGTTGCATCGCATAGCTAATCCATTAGAAAACATAAGAGATAAGCCAATGAAAAATATTAAGGTATAAAAAAAATTATGGTAAATAAGTATGTAATGATTGGTATAGCATGAAATAGATGACATACCTGTCCCGAAAGGCGAGATAGGAACAAAGTCAGATTGATGGAACTGGTCTCGCTGTAGTAGACGGTGTAGCCCCAGGCACTGCCGCACCACTGGCCACCCGTCGCCGGTCTGTTATTCTCGGCAATGCTCATGTGGCCGTCGGGACAGCCGTCCGAGGTGAAGGATAGAAAACGGCCCACCGTAAACGTATCAAAAGTCAGCTGTTTTCAGACATACACATAAATAATTAGTCGATACTCAAGGCCGTCGAATCAAGTTGGTTTTTTAACGTAAATCCGAAAGGCGCGTGCGAAAGCTTTCGGAAAGCTCTGCCAAAGTGTAGCCGCGCTATGAGCTTGCGTAGCATAAAGTACACAAGCGTAAATCCTCAAAGAATAGCAAAATCCTGCGAGGGATTGCGCGAGGCCCGGCAGTAACGAAACGCAAACAACAACGAGGGCAAAAAGAAAAACAAAAGAGACTTTTGTATAGTGCGCAGTCGAGTATTTTTTTTTCTCGCACCCGCTTGGCATATGCATGAGCTATCAGCTGTCTGAATAGCCCGACGCGCGCTAATACGTACTACACAGTATAAAGAGTAGTGTCGCGCTACGACGACGATAAATAGAGGGATAGAATTCAAGAGATTCATCGAGTTTGAAGCGAAAAAAAAGGAAGAAAAATGTGTCTGTGAGTTGCAGCTGGGCCGCGACCCAACGCAACTGCAATGAGAAAAATACTTTGGTGTCTCTCTGCGTGTTGTCGCATGTCTGTACAGTCTGGGCTGTCTCAATAAAAATCTTTTGAAAGTCTCTCTCTCTCTCTCTCTCTCTCTCTCTTTCTGTAGCCAAGAGAGCATTTCGAAAAAACTCGTTCTGACTTGCACCGCGCCAAACGTAATGAACGAATTGCACATCTGTACCTAGACGGTAGTAGTAAGTAGGTAACAAAATAGCCTTCCCAAGCTAGTAAATCATATTCACTATGTTCTTTGTTAAAAGACGAATTTAGAGCAACTTGATAAACATATTTCCACGCAATAATCATCTTCTTCCCTTGATTTTTTATTATCGTGAATTAACGAGCGTAAATCTAAATTTGATAAAATTATTATTTTACTCGTGTGCTCGGTTGCGTAAATGCGTGCGCGGCTGCACGGGCAAAGGGATAAATCAAGGCCGGAGCACGTATACATCGGAGATATTTTCATATGGCGCACACGTCTCGCTCGGCTCGGCTACCCTCGCCTCTCTGAATGGCTTATGTGTGTGTGTGCGCGCGCGAGCATAACGTCTTATCGCTCTCGAGTACGAGCACTGCACGGCGCGCCGCACGCACGAGATGTAAAGTAGAAAACTTAGCTCGAAAGAGAGAGAGAGAGAGATGATGTAGCTCGGCTGAAATTATCGCCCGTCATGTAGTTTCACGAGAGCTCGATCTTCCCTCCACGTCTTACGCGTCCTGCGCAGCTCGTGTATTTCCAAGCGCAAATATTTACACATGTTACTCATTGTGCACAGGCTCGGAGTTTTAGGGCAAATTTGTCGATCGTTTTAAATCGAAGCCAATGTTGCGCGCGATTGCAGGACATCGAGCAGTTACCTCGACAAATTCCCATCCGACAGAGTAATTTTTCCGCCCGCCAGTCTCGCGCATAAAGTAAATTTTATCCCTGGCGCGCACCTTTAGCGCCTTCTTTTCTGAATATTTTACAGCGAGGAGAGGTCCTTGCACGTATACTTCTCCATGTGTACGCACCAGCCGCGTAAAAAGCTGACTCGCGCGTACCCAAAGACAAGCTTCAAGAGGGACTGAAGAGAGCCGAGGGGGGACATTTACATAGTAATGCGATTAGCATTACATCCGCAGCTTATGTTTACGTTTCGAGCGTCGCGTACACTCGTAGACGCGGGCACGAGGCGGCTTTTACACACCCGCACCGTCACAATTTCGCTCGGGATAAAATATGTGCAGCGCCGCGCGCGCAAATGCCTATATAGATACAACGAGCCATGGAGCTCGCACACCTATGCATTTACACTGTACATCTATGATGTATGATATATATGGGTGAATATCAAAAAAATTCCAAACTTACGAGTGTTGCTTTATTGAGATATATCAACATATTGACAACTTATTTATGAACTCATGTTCAAGTTATCAAGAATATTTTGCACCTACCGAGTGAACAAATAATTTCGAATCTCCTAGCTTAAAGTAATATTTTCATTTCCTTCGCCAGAACTTCAAAAAGAGATGGAACAAAAAATAATCGTTCTGTACAGTTCATATCATATAAATGGTATCATTACAATACATGCATTTTGAGTTCTATGAAAATTTCGTCGTCGTCAGCTTCCGTTTTGAAATCTCAACTTAAGAAGATGGACAGCTGGATTAAAAATCACCGTTCCAATTTGCCTTTGTCTCAAATGTCTACTTACTATTCTCTATAGTGGATGGAATAGGCTCTATAATGTTCTTCATTTTAATAACTTTTCGTTAATATTTTTATTAATGTATCAAATAAAAAACTGTACTTTTTTACAAAAAATTATAAATTTTAAAATCTAAAAAAAAAAATTGATTATAACTGTACAGATCTGAATTTTATTCTCAAAATTCACTGAATATTAAATTATGCGTATCATGGTAAAGCTTTAGTTTTTATTTCCTAGCTTTTTCAATAAATACATGATAAAATATGTTCATAAAAAACTTCAAATCTAATTATTACAAAACTTTGCATCTAATTATTACATGTTATCCATGTAAGATTTTTTCAAAAAAAAAAATTGAAAAAAGGTATGAAAAATATGCATTTTTTTTTAATAATCACCCATATATTTACAGAACGCACGCCCATGTGTGTGCAGAATGAGAGAGAAAGAAAATTACGATCCCAATTCAATGTAATTTTTTATGCAAATGTACGTGATTGAAAAAACATTGTATCCCAGCTTCTCCCTTTTCTTTTCTTTCTTTCAGTTCTCTTGTTCAAATCTGAAGCTCAATTGAATTTCAATGTAAATTAAAATGTGTATAAATGTAGCTACGCACTTTTCTCATTTTCTTGTATTATTTTTTCACCTTTACCAGTCTCGCACGAAAGGAAGCTTTTCTTTTTCTCTCTCAAATCTTAGGAGAGCTGACGATTGCTATTGTTCAAAAAAAAATGACAGACGAAAAAAAACTGTAACACAAGCTTTTTCGAGTACCGAGCACTCATTATGAAGTCCAAGAAATAGTTAAAAAATCAAGCAAGAAAAAAAGGGCAGCCAGCGGAGCTTCGCTCTGGCAGTTCGTCACGAACGAGCCTCGGGAGGGAATACATGTATACCCGGTACATAAGGAGCCGTTGGCAGCAAAGTGTCGCACAGTACACATGCTCACGCGCCGACATATTGCCGCAGTGGCGGCGACGGCATAAACGGCGGAGAGAAAAAAAGCTGCCGGCTGGGCAGCGTCGCGCTCTACTGCGGATATGCACACATATATATAAAAGCATTGAAAAGAGAATTAGGCTCACATCCGAGGTGTGCGTCTGACTTACCTGAACGAGATCGCCCAAATCGTTGCCAGCTGCAGTGAAATTGATGTGGCACAAGAAGGGCAGCCTCTCCTCTCGCGGTCGACGTATCTGCAGCTCGTAGGTACGGCCGACGTCGCCGTACAGTGTGCGATTGCAGGCTGTTGGGGCAAAAAATTCAAAAGTAAAATATCAACATCTTTTGTGCGGGGGAAAATATGAGAGTAGCTCATTAGGCGTCGGCGGTAAACGAGCTTATAATAACCGGGCTTGGGAATTGGCGAAAATTGGCACGTGTTACTTGTAAATACCTGACAGTGCATCGCAAACAGGTTTTGGCAAGGCCAGTAAAACGGATAGAGGGCTGCGCATTCAGACACGCACAACAGCAATTCTATAAAACATTTCCCAAGAGAGCAATGAATAAAAAGTAGCAGCAGCGAGCCGTTGCACCCTGTATATTACGAATATACGTATAAGCTATGAAGGTGCGATATCCGCATGTATTAAACATATATTTGGTCAGCGCCGAATTTATTCTTCATTTTTTAAGGAGCTTGTATACAAGAGAATTCGGGTAGCTTCAATTAGTTACGAGCTGATGCATAAAGAGTTTGGCATTAATTCTATTTTGGTATTAACGCCTGCATAGGGCAGCTTCATCAGAGAAGCAAACAAGGCCTGTTGGCTATGTGCAAGTTAGAGATTTCTGAATAAATGTCTCTCTCGCTAACTTTGGTATACAGTACATGGAGTATAATAAGGACCATTTAGATGATAAAGTGGAGCGCGATCTTGACTAGCTGCAATCTCGACTCGTGATGCACTCGAGCACGCCGGTCTACATGCTATACATCGAGAGTGAGTGAAAGAGAGAGAGAAATATTTCCTCAAACAGATAGCACAATTCTATAATTTGGGTGTTGTTTAATCTTCGTAGCCACACAAGTGCAGCGGGTATATCATATATTTTTGTCTTTTGTCCCCACACTCCCTGCATCAGTGTATTCAGCACAAAGCCGAGAAATCAATCTCTGGTCTCCCTACGTAATTTTCATGCTTACCTCTACTTAAATCTTCAACGCACATTTCGTGCCGCATAAAAGCTTTAATTGTCAACCAAAAAGCGCTACCAAGGTACAATGCTACATAGACCCATTGAATCAACAGCTAATTGAAAGTGCACCCAGACTAATGGAACGATTGAAAATGACAGAAAGTATAAAACGCAATATCTACGTATACAATCGAAAATTTGCCAAGAGTTGAAAAAAAACTGATAATAATAATAATGACCTCGAGAGCTTGCAAACACAGAGCGAAAAAATTACAGTTTCGAAAATGCTCGCTCTAAATCACAAATGCTCGGCGTCGCGAGCGCGATGAATTATGTCAGCCTGACTGACGTTGCACATTTAACGACAAAAAGACGAGTATAAAAATGAGCCAAAAAAAGCGGCAGGCTTGCCTTGAGTACAACACTGCGAGGCAGAGACCAAAGTTGTTGGAAACAAGCGAGGAACAACAGCGTTCTCTCCATGCACGGTGGCTATAGTCCGCGCGCGCACACGCTTATCAGATTAAACAGCAAATAGGCTACATCGATCACGTCCGGTTAGCCTTTTTTTCGACGTTTTTATATTTTTATTTTTTACTCCGAGCTTTTATATCTCGAATTTTCGCCCCTCGGAGTAAAATATCTTTGGAAAAATTATTCACTCGATGGGCTACTGTTGTATCATTAAATGGAGAGTATCATCGGGTCGGTCATTGACTCAGTGAGTTAGTACAAGAGATACAGGAAGCTCGACTATGCTCGCTCACCGCATTCTCAGTGCAGACAATAAAGCAGCCACGAGAAGAGGAATTAAAGGACCGAACGAAAATCGAGGGTAAGAAAAAAACTCATACAAACTAGTCTAAGAGTCGTAATGAATGTATAAAAGTACTAACGAGTGCAATAAGGTGGCTCGTCGCTCTTGTCGTCGCAGTCGTTCTCTCCATCGCAGAATTTGTCGTGCGCCAGACACCTGGCCGGGCCGCCGAGACAACTGAACTCGCTGGGCCTGCAGGATCGGCTGACGGTCGCTCTTGGGCCCGAAGCGACGTCCGCTGCTGCCACCCCGTAACGACGATGATCCTTGTTGTTGTTGTTGTTGTTGTTACCGTTGTTGTGCTCACTGAGTCGGCTGCTGCTGCTCGTAGGCCCGGCCAACAGCGTCAACAGCGTCAACAGCAGCACCAGCAGCAGCGGATAGCGATCGAGCTGCAGCGATTTGAGCCGGTGCATTTGCCTGCTGCCGCTGCTACTGCTCAGGCCTATGGCATAGCTGCGCCCTGGCGACATTTAACTCCTGGCGGCCAAATTGCTACCCAGTGCTCGTTATCATTTGCCCCTTGTGCCGCTGCCGCTGTTGCTGCTGCTGCTCCTGTTCCGAGCGGCAAGCTCGACTTCACTCGTATAGCGTACCGCAAGCTCAGTCTCGCGCGCGCACTAACAATGCCACTGCGACAGATATTATTTGTTCATCGTTGCGGTTTCGTTTCCGTACACGCCTGTGTCGATGCGACATTCCTCCTGGTCATCGGCCTCTTGGTCATCATCTTTTCCAAAACTGGTCCTCTCTCGTTCCTCCTCCGGCTGGCCGTCGTCGCAGTCGCAGTCGCAGTCGTAGTCGTAGTCGTAGTCGCAGTCCTCTTCCTCCACCCACCCGAACGATCGATATGACCTCCTCTCTTTCTCCCTCCTTCTCTCGCTCGCTCACTCACTCGCTCTCTTGCTCTTTATATAGCAGTGTGCCTACGCATACATTCGTACGTACACTCGCGCAGTGCACTCGCACATCTTTACCGAGACACACGTTATACGATTGTATGGGTTTATAGACGGCTGGACTCAAACACGCGCGAGCCTCGATGCACGGACACACTCACACTCGAGCTTTCACTGCGATCCTCTGGGCCCGCAGCTAGAGCAAAGCTCAGCCTCGAAGCTCCCAGCACTTGTATATTTATCGATACTCGAGTACTTTTCGAGACACACAGCAATTTGTAACGAATATTTTCCTTTTCTTTCTTCAGTCGATCCTCGTCGTTGTCGTCGTCCTCGTCCTCGTTGTAGTTTGAGTCGTTGTCTTTGTCGAGTAAAGAGAGATAAAAGCGCAGCCCGAGCTTTGCGCTGTCATCCTCGGCAAAAGAGAGGAAACTCGGGCGCTGCGGCAAAGGGAGGATACTCTACACGCAGCTGCAGACGAGGATGTGAACAGACTTTCCTGTTCTCTCTCTCTCCCTCCTGAATCGTGAAGCTTTGTTCGTCTCTACACTTGCGAGTCAAAAGTCACCAAATGTACACATAATCGTAATAATACTATAATGCTAAATACTATAATGTATACATTTATATGGACTAGAAGCAGAACGAATATGCAACGGCTACATGACCGGCTCAAAGACTCGCTACGGCGCTGCCGGGCTGACTGCTATTGCCCGCAATACACTCGGCGCTCTTAGCAGCGGCAGCAGCGCACAGGATGTCTGGGACGTGCGCCGGCGCGCACATCTACCACTACTACCCCTTTTTCGTCGTGCCAGAGGAGTTTCAGCAGCCCCGGCAGCAGCTCCCGTAAAAGCATCCCCCTACTGCTCCGCCGAGAGTCGCTGCTGCTGCTGCTGCTGCTGCTGCTGCACATGAGAGCCGTCTACTCTACTCTACTCTCTACGCCCCTATTATCCCGACGAGCGCGGCTATGCCCCAACGCCGAATTCGTGCGGCTCCTGCAAGAGTCCTTCCCGCTACTGCTACTGCTGCTGCTGTTATATTTTTTGCGCCTGTCTCACTCCAGCCATACCTGTTTACATACGTATACTAGGGAGGATGTGACCCTCCGCCGCTGTACACTTCACGTGCGACAACCCTTTCCTCGATATTAATTTTTCATATGAATAAGAATATATCATGCAATGACAACTTTCCTAATTGTAATGATAAGATAGATAAATTTAATCAAACTTATCGTGACTTTCTTAAGATGTATTGAGCTGGTGCAAGGAATATATACAAATTTGGAAGATTGTTTAATTTACCTGTTCGTAATATTTAATTTTATTGCTAAAAAGCTTTTGACATCTTTCAATACAACTGGGTCAATCAATTCAGGCTTTCGTACATGTATTAAGTTTCAAGAAAATTTATAGAACAAAAATGTCTTAGGATTGACCAAAGAACATACTCAAATATTTTCGGAATTCGGAGATAATTTTTTTACATTTGAAAAACTCATATGATATAATTTCGTAAAATCATTATAAAAATTCCCAAGAAATTCAGGAATGTTCTTTGATGAATTCCAAAACATTTTTATTCTGTCATTTTTTCCCTCAAACTCAATTGTTTAAGTTTACGAAAAACTTTTTGCATTTTTATCACACTATTCACACCGAACATTCATTTTATTAGACGAAGTGATGTGGAAATGCTTTGAAATATTTTTACTGTCGAGATAATATTTTTCGAAAAATACTGCAAATGCGATTTTTCGTAAAAAAGTTTACGTGTTTCATTGTTTAACCGGCCATAACTTTGTTTCTACGCATCCGATCGAAATTTTTACGTCCGAGGTTTAAAAGTGGATTAAACTTTACGTGGAAATATGGGTTTACGAAATTTTTCAACGGTAGATAACATGAGAAAATATCAAGTTAAAAGTCGGCAAGAAATCGAGCTTTTTGGTCTTTAGCTGCTTAATGTGAACGAAAACCCAACAATGAATAAAAAAAAGCTAATTTCACGCCGACAAAAAAGAGTCTTGGAAAGTCCCGAAAATTCTGAAAAAATTCTGGTACAATTTTGCCTTGAAAAATGTACAATTTTTATGCCGGTAGAAGAAATGTTGAGACTTTTAACAGAGAATCGGTCGTATACTGTATCTATATAGAAAGTGAACTGTGAGCGTGCAAAAGGGTGCACGAGACAAGAGAGAGAGAGAAAAAGAAAAAGTACGTAAGAGAAAGAGAGAGATTCGACGACGAGTACTACGTGAGCTTTGAATTTATAGCCTATCGAACGGTATACGATCGCAGTCAATTCGACGGACATTGCGCTTTGCTGTGCACGCACTGCAGCAAGGGCTTAGTTTTGCCCTTGCACGCCAATGTGGCCCGAACTCGTAGGCTTGGTGAAGTCGGAGCTTTTCCTCGGAACTAACTCGGAGTCAAAGATTTTTTGCTTGGTCCCCGAAGCTCGATACGAATTGAGAGATGGCAACAAAAAGCTGCAAGCGCATCTTGATGAGAGAGAGAGAGAGAGAATTATGGGAAACGAAAGCTCGCGGCGATATTTAAACGCGAGTCCTGGTGACAAGCCGCTGATTGTCGAACGGATATAGGGAAAAAACGAGGAAGGCGCCTGTATATAATACGCACATATATACACCGTCGGTCGAGAGCTTGCGCGCTCGAAGATAAACAACAGGATATATAATATAAGCGAAAGCGAAGCGGTATGTAACAAAACAAAAAAGTTTGACGCGTATAGACGCGTTGCCGCGTATTTCGTCGTTTTGTTCGGTTTGTCGTGCTTTTATACTTTTTAGCTTATTGAGAAAGCTCGAGCGCGACAGACAGGCTATATCCTATAGACGCGCTATACACGCCCTTCAAACTCGTCACAAGCTCGCTCTCTCTCTCTCTATATATACGTAATATATACATGCTTGCATCGCACGCACGCATTCGCCAGCTCTTTCTCTCGTTCTCTCTTTCTCCCTCTCATTTCTCGCAAGCTCTACTTTAGTCTATAGAGCACTGCATGCACCGCAACGTGTTTTATGGAGAGCAAAGATGGATAGACGCGAAATAAATGGGCCATTCTCTTTTTCTCTCTCAAGTTTTTTTTTGTTTTTTTTTTGTTTTTTTTTTTTTTTTTTGACTCTAGCACGTATACGTATAGACGCGTATATGGCGAGGTGCGTTGGATAGGGCATTAAATCTCGAGCGAAGGCGGTATAGACTGCAGCCGAGCTCGCGCCGTGTAAACGACGCGTGTATGGGCTAAAACGATGACGAGCACGAGGACGACGTGCTTATAAATGTCATGACTGTTGTTATTATTTTGCACTCGAAAGCCGAGCACAAGATATAAAATGACGAAATAATGTATCTTCCAGATGGTTTGATCTCTCGACTCGTTTTCTCTCTGCCTCGCTCTTTATAACTATATACGTAGTACTTGCTTGCGCCTGTAGCTGGCTGCAGCTCGAGCTTGCAGTGCAGAAAGCTCGCCTATTCCGTAAAAAGTCGCGATTTACGCTCGCGCTCCCGTGTATTATACATTACAAGAGATAATGACGTGCGTGTGTGTGTGCGCGCATAGCTCGCGCAAGCACACCGACTCGTGCTTTAATGATCCGGAAAGAAATGTGCGCATATAAGTTTGTGCATGTGTGTGTGTGTGTGAGTCACATTTTAATGCACGTGCTGAGCGACGAATAGAGATAGACGAACAGCCTCGCGGAAACGCAGTTGAGAGCTGCACTCGCAACTGCACTATTACCGAAGCAGCCCCAAAGTAGCGCCAAAGCAATGCCAAAGCAGGCCGCGTTTCATTTCTTCTTGACTAAATTACGCTCATTAGCGACGATGGTCAGCTACGCGTGATGTAAATATTTCCTTTTACTTTATTGATGTTTGTACACGTAATAGTGTCCTGCGATAGATGCTTTTCAATATAATGATGTACGATTGTTTTTCAAACGAGGATCTCCTTTACTTACTTCTCGTATTTGTCTTTTTTCCCCCTATACTCTTTATCGAGATGAGGACAAATAGCTCGAGTCAAATGGACCAACAGCAATTGGCTCTGTGTATTATACTGCACCGACGATCGGACAAAATCATAACTCGAGCTTTGAGCGTATCTGTGTGTCTAGGTGGGTAGAACAGAACACCAAAGTTTCTTTTTGCTCTCTTTCCGTCTTTTTCTTTCAACTTTTTGGGGAAAAAGAGAGAAGAAGTGAAGCAGTCCCCACGTGAAATAAAAAGGAAAACAAAAAGTATTTCATTGACACAAGGTCCGTTGAAAATTTGAGCTCATGATAACTATTAGCCAGAAGGTAAGATAACGTGGAAGAGACCGAGAAATTACAAAGGACAAAACTTACAAAAGGCCACTGGGCTCCGTCAGCTTGGCTCCATTATACATGCAGCTATGGTAATTTTTACAAGATTTTTCCAGTAGGTCGCTGCTACGTGATGTAGGCGCGGTAATGCGGTCTAAAATGTATTTACCTGCAGCCCCGAGCAGCTCTCGGGGAAGCGCGCAGATTTATTATAAACCAAGTGATAAATAAAGTTTAAAGGGCTGGCTGTGAAAGAATGCGCGTAGCTCGCTAGGCGAATCGTCCGGGGAGGGCTTTCGCTGCGACTGCTCCTCCGGATACTTCTTTGCTTTTCGAATGGGCTAAAAGTGGATAAAATCGCGCGTGTGTGAATTCGTACATATGTCGAGGAGCGAGCTGCTATAAAGTAACTCGCGCTGCCTCTTTCTCTTGTGCTGCCGGTGGCCGCGTGGAGCGAGGGGCCGAAGGGAGAGAAAAGCGCAAGCGGGCATGTTTGGAATGCAATTTCACTGCGACCATTCTTTACGGCTTTAGCCAGATGGTATGTGGCCGGGCTGCGCTGCAAAAGAGAGCGCGGCCAGCGGCAGCCGTTGTCTTGCGAGCGCGCGCACTTTTGCATGAAACAAACTTTACAGCCTAGCCGGAGGACTCGGCGAAAAATCCACCAACGACGCGCATATTTATTCCCAACAAGTTGCGATCGCTGCAGCTCGAGCCAAATTTTATATAATGATAATTTGGCGATATTTCGTGCTAGGACGAGCGGCAAACTTGTTTTGCAGTGTAAAAGAAAGACAGAAATAGCGCGGCTAATGTTAGGAAGCCACTACTGCTGCTGCTTATACTTGTCGATCGAAACTCCCAAATGAGTAATATTCTTTGCTCCTTGCGGAATTGAATTAGCCACTCTCTCTTGCTCGCGTGTTGTACTAGCTATATTTCGACGGCCGAGTGGCAAAGAGAAAGAGCTACATATATAGCTATATATATATTAGAGCGAGCTAAAAGCGCCAAGTTTTACCTTCATCGAATAAATAGTCGAGTCGTTTTAATTGAAAACTTCCGGAGCAGCCAAGAGTATAAAACTTGTATTGTGCCCCCCGTGTATACGTGTGTGTGTGTGGAACTGCACGTCCAACTCGGAAAATGAATAATTAATTATTATACAGCAGTTGCGTAGCCGAGAAACAAGATACTTTTCTCGATTCGACGATAATATCGTTGCGCCGACTCGAATCAGCTGCATTCATTACATCGACTGCGAGCTTAGACAGTTACAATATGTATGGGGGGTATTACGCGAAAGCAGGTGTTTTTTTCGATCGCTATCCATTGAGAGCCGAGCGATTGGAACAATTGAGACTTTTCCCGATTGACTATTCTACCTACTGATCGATTCTTATACAGAGTTTCAGCGCGCCCCCGGAGCTCATCACGCGCCGCATTATCCCAACTTATTTTCTCTTATCTCGGTAGCCGCGAAATTGGCTAACTTATCCTGCAGCGGCGCGGATCGAGTCGCTCGACTCGGGGATGACGCTCAGACGACGCAGACTTGACGAAATAACCGAGCAAGCGCAACTACGTTTCTTGCGGCCGATTCATCCAACTCTATAAGTCGTATTTAATCGAATTTAATCGAATGCAGTATAAGCCCGATTCTCAGTCAAATCTAATGAATCAAATATTGCTTTTAACCAAATATGAAAAACTTTTTGTGTGGCATGTTATAAGAGTCTCGACATTTTATTAGAATTATTTAGATCAACTATTTTAAAAAATTGCTAGATAAATTTTTTGTTGGAGATTGTTCAAATTTTCAGAAAAAAAACATACAACCAAGTGATCTGAGCACCCTCGATTATTTTTAATAAAAAAAACGTAAAACTCCAAATTTAATCTAAATTTCATCCAGTTTGGTCCAGACCTTTATTACCAAAAAATTCATAGAGGTTCTTCAGGACTAGAATTCTACTGACATTGAGACATTAATTTTTTTTGGAGATGAAAGTTCGAATCAAACTCGATTAAATGTTCAATTTTGGGAAAATTTCCAACAAAAAAGTTCTATCGGATTTTTTTAAAACATCTTTTTATTATTGCATTTTCATATTGTTTATACTTTTGAGAATCATTTCCTAAAATTTGGTGCAAAATTTCAGATTTCAATTCAATCAAATTCAGGATTAAACGCAAGTGTATTAAATCTCTCAACGGCAGTTGAAAACTTTAAAAACGAGATGGTGTTTTTTTGCATGGCGAACAGTCGATCTTCAAATGTACTTCAGATAATATACCAGAAAATTACAGAAAAAATAAAGAATGTAATAAAGAACAAATATTAAAAGATGAAAGACCTAAACAGAACTCCAAGATCATGTAGAAAAGTACAACCACATGAGATCCTAGTTGAAGAGACAATTGAAACACGTATGTGATTGTGTGGCTATTATATTGTTTATCGTGCGTCGCTAGTCATCGCAATTCGCCATGTATTTTGAAAATATATACAAAGTCAAATTAGCGCGCGGCGGTTTAAATCGCCATTCTAGTGCCGCCACGATATCGGTGCTGTTTGTCACTTTGCCAGCAGTAGACAGTTACAGCGGTTTCGACCGAGTATGTGTACAATCGAACACACTTAGGCGGCCCGCAAATTCATTCATAACAATCCGTTATAGCGCACCTAAGATTTTTTCAACTATGAAATTGATTTCTCATGACCGGACTTCACATGACGCCGCGCGTCCAAGGTATATTTTTTTTCGTCGAGCTATGCAGGCGCAACATATGGGCCGTCGTGAATCGCCAATGCTCGCTATTGCGACACCGGACTTGACTTTTTTTCCAGCACTCCACGTTCCTTTATGGACTTTTATAACAACAAAGTTTGAAACTCGTAAAACTTATGATTAAAATTCGAGGCTGTTTATGTTTGCGCAGCTTTATACCTGCCTATTTATGCATAGTCTTTCTCACCTAAGGTTATGTTTCTCGAGTACTCGAAAGCATTCAAATATATCGCGTACTTGACATTTTTCATTGCGATTTTCAACGATTACAAAGATAACAATGTGTAAAAAGAAGGAAAGTGGCTTTTCACGTGAAGCTACTGGACCAATGAGATTGAATTTACGACAATGATTAAACAAGATTCATTAAAAAACTTGACGGAAACGTAATATTCACGTGTGCCATATCTGTTGTGTGTACATAGTCTCGATATTAGATATATCGCACGTCACCAAAAACGCGGACTCGTATGCGAAAATATAGTCTCTATATTATACACCTAGCGCGCAGCGAGGTGTGGAGGGAGCGAGTGAAAAAGAGAGAGATAGAGAGCTTTTTTGCAGCTCTCGCACGTCGCTGCCCATAAGTGACTGTGTGGCTGGCTGACTGCTCCATATACAGTAGAGAGCGCCAGACTGACCGGTGACAGTGTATGTTTTCGATCGACAGCAGCATTATGCGGACGCTGCTGTTGACTTTGTTTTGCATCGGCCTAGTGGCCGGTCAATACGAGCAGCAACAGGTGCCCCAGCAAGTACCACAGCAGCATCAACAGCAACAAGCTCCTCAACAAGTTGTCCAGCAGCAGCAGCTACCCCAACAAGTTGTGCAACAGCAAGTACCTCTGCAACAGCAGGTACCGCAGCAAGTGCTTCAGCAGCAAAATGCTCAAGAACAGCAGCAACAAGTACCTCAACAAGTTGTTCAGCAGCAAGTACCCCAACAGATAGTACAGCAGCAAGTACCACAACAGCAGCAAATCCCTCAGCAAGTTGTACAGCAGCAAGTTCCTCAACAAGTTGTGCAGCAACAAGTGCCGCAACAGCAACAAATACCACAGCAAGTTGTTCCCCAACAAATCCCTCAACAACAGCAAATACCGCAGCAAGTTGTGCAACAACAAGTACCCCAACCAGTTGTTCAGCAACAACAAATTCCTCAGCAAGTACCTCAACAAGTTGTACCCCAGCAAGTACCTGCACAAGCTGTACCTCAGCAGGCTGCACCGCAACAAGTTTTACAGCAACAAGCAGCACAACAGCATATTCCTCAGCAACAAGTTCCACAACAGCAAAATGTACCTCAACAACAAGTACCACAGCAACAAGTACCTCAGCAACAACATGTGCCTCAACAGCCAATACCTCAACAACAATCAAATGATGAACAACAGAAAATACTTCAGCAGCATCAAGAGCAGCTAAGATTACAGCAACAGCATCAAGAGCAGCAACAATTGCTTCTCCAGCAACAAGAGCAACAAAAATTACTACAACAGCAAGAACAACAAAAATTATTACAGCAGCAGGAACAACAAAGGCTACTGCAGCAACAGCAACAAAAAGAGCAACAAAAACAAGCTGAACAGCAGCGTTTAACTCTTGAGCAACAACAGATGCTGGAACATCATCAAAGGATGGAAGAGCTCCAACGTCAACAACACGAGGAACTAGTTCGTCAACAACAGCAGCAGCATGCTCCAAATGTTCCACCACAACATTATCAACAACAACATTTTGCACCACCACCACAACATGATTCTAATCAACCGTCTCCTTGGTACGAATCTTTACCCGCCGTAGCAATGGATTATAAGGTGCACATTGACCCTGGCAAAGAAGACTGTTACTTCCAATATGTTAATCCTTCTGCCACGTTTTACGTCAGTTTTCAAGTAAGTTATTATTATTTCAAGGTTCTGTTCTCCTTTTTGTGCTTCACGCACATTTTTCGAATTCATTCAACATATTTTTACGTTTGAAATCGGAAAACATATGGTAAATATAGCGCTTCGCGCGTATTTGCCAAGATTCATATTCACATACATGCGCGTCCAGACATTCCTCTTATGTATGTAGTATTTGTGTCGAAACTGAAGTGAAAGTTTCAAAAAAAAAAAAAAAAAAAAAAACAGGCATGGAAAGCCATTTACTTACAATGAATAACATCGAATTTTCAAATTTCTTAACTACCAAAAAACTATATAGGTCATTACTTTAATTTGATTTTATTCTATTTTAATTTTTTTTTAGTACATTGTCATTATTAAACCATTCAAAAATAATTTATTCAATGTAACTTCGAAAATTGTTTATAAATGATTAAACGTGAATAATATGAAATTAAATGATTAAATGACATTTTTTATTAAATTTGAAAAATTAATTATTCAGGTACTGCGTGGTGGTGATGGAAAAGCTGGATTTGCAGTTCGTAGCCCTTCAGGGCAAATAGTACATCCGTATCAATGGCGAGCTAATGCAGATTATCAGGAGCAGACTTCAGCAGGTGGATACTACAGTGTATGCGTTGATAATCAATTTTCAAGGTTTGCTGGCAAGCTAGTCAATCTGTATATTACTGTTATCAGGTAAATATTTTGTGACTTATCATTCTGATAATAATTTTCTTATTTCTATCCAATTTTAATGTATTTTTGTTGTTAAAATTTAACTGGAAATTTAAAAAATTTTTCAGATATGATCAATGGGACAAATTTTCTAAGGAATTGGAAGCTATGAATCTTTCGGTAGAAAATGTTACTGTAAGTTTATCTTTTTTATCAAAAAAAAAAAATTAATATATTACTAGTATATTATTATAAAGACTAATATATAATCAATATTTTTCCAATTTTTCAGACTACTCTAATGGGTGTCGAAAGAAATATAAATGAAGTTATGCAAATTCAGCATTTCAGTAGAAGTCGAGAAGATAGAGATTACAATCTTTTACTCGACAACAATTCTTATGTTCAAAATTGGTCATTATTACAAGTGATAGTGATACTGTTTACTACGTTTGTTCAAGTTTACTTTGTACGACAATTATTTGAAGTTAAACCTGGGGGATACGCCAAGAATCGTATCTAAAGTGTCTTATTGTGCAGAAAGCAAGTAATGTGATATAATCAAATGCGCCTAAAAGACATTGTTTTTTACATGTACTGTCAAGATTCGACGTTGATTGTAAAAGTTTTTGTTTTGTAAAAGCAACTTAAATGTTAGTCACTTTTTCAGTAATTTTCATCTGATAATTCCGAGTTTATTCCATCCGTACTTTTTTGCATTTACTATGATATAATATTAATAAAATTGATTTTGTACAGTATTTTTTGTGAATGATATGATGCTTTTCAATCTTGAGCGAATGATGAATTTTTGTGTATTGTACCATCTTTGATTTATTATAATATTGAGAATTACTGATTTGTATGTAACAAAAACGATGATAAATAATTATATTTGTATAAAATAAAAATATTTTATCTATATTATATATGAAAATTACATATTACACAAGTGTAAAAGTGTTTGAAGTGTATGTACAATCTAATTAATAAATTTACACGTAATTTTGTTACAAAAATCACTTACTCACTTCGTACAGTCGCTTATTTACAAATTTTTATATTAATCTCTATACTAATCTATACTAATCGACATCACGATACGTATGAACGAACCATGTAGCGTAAAAAGTGTGACATAAAAAAATAACAAATATTCTTAAGAATTAAATTGGTTTTTTCACGCTAGAAGCCAAGAATAATCGCTAACACGTGCCGTAACTCAAAAAATCAAAACTCATTTTCAAAAGTCTACAAAAATATATATAAAAATGTATACTTGTTCTATGACTAATTTCAAGACATTTTTGTTCTTTACCATTTTTTTTTTCTAAAGTAGATGATACTTTAAAATTTAATTTAATAATGAGATTTCTAAAGTAATTGATTAATAATCTCTTTTTTTAAGCCTATCACAGAGCTTCCTCTTGGAGAAAGCCATTTCAATCTTGGCAATTTTTATCTCGGAAAGGAGGGATTTTAGCGGAAAAGTGTATCAAAAAGAAAATTAAGAAAATATAGTAAAAAATATGTATGCATTTTTGCAAATCTTTCGAGGACTATTTTGACAAATAAATCGAGGTTTTTTGAGTTGTGGCACTAATTGACGATTATTTTGGCCTAGTGCGCAATTTTTCTTTTTAGAAGCTTCGAAGCGAAAATAGCGCATGGAACGAAGATCCCAAGACTTTGGGAAACAAGGACCAGTCTAATGTATATACAGGAAAAGTCGTAGATTTGTAAAAATAGGTCGTTTTATTCAAGTGTAAAAATAATTGTGAAGCAGAGTATCAGAGCAAAGACAAGGACTGCTTGGCTCGTTTTTGCAGTACGCTGCCATTCAAAGCAAGAAAGCGATGCCTTTGCCGCAGGTTTCGGGCTCGGACGTGCTCCGAAACAACCTCCTTTGTGTAATTGCCGGGGAACCAACCCTGTTCACCGTCCAACAATCTCTCTCCGTAGACCCAGCCGTCGACCATTTTTCGCAGTACGTTTACCGTAACACCTGAGAAAAGAAAATCACGTGCGTTCGATAAAATGCCTCAACACGTTTGATAAGGGGATGTTTATTACTAACCAGGATACAAGGCCAACTCGTCGGGCTGACTCGGGGCGTAAGCGTAGATCCCCATGACCTGGGGACAGTCCCAGGACTCGTAGAGGGTCTCGCCGAGGGTAGTCGGTTTGGGCGGCGAGACGGCGTCGAGCCATCGCTTGCGCTCGGTGTCGTTGTCGCAAGTCAGCACGTACTGGCTCTGTCGGCCCTCGTGATTCTCCAGCAGCGTCAGCACCATGGCGTGTCGTCCGGCGAAGGGCGAGTCCTCCGGGGCCGGCTCGAGCTCCACCATGCTGCGCTTGCTCATCTCCAGGACGCTGTAAGTCTCCTCGCTCGAGCTGTGACGAAGAAAAGGGAATTCAGTCGTTCGGCCGATTGATTCGCGTTCGCTGTTTCTACTCACTTTGTTTTCAATTTGGTGACTAGAAGATAATCGGTGAGCAGGAACAGCATCAGAGGGGTTTTGTGGAACTTTTTGCCGAAAGTCAACTTTTTGTCGTCGGACTTGATGGACAAATGAATGACTGTACCACTGCGAATCAGCTCTCGATCCGCCAGCGATAAAGGTGCTATTTTATCCGAGTACTCCAATTTCCTGAAGAAACAAGACAACAACGTGTATAAATAAAGGCAGTTATCTTTGATTTTTATAAGACTATAAAAAGTATGAAACTGACCTGGACAAGGCCTCGATCTCGTTGCGTCGCTCGGCCAGCCTGGCAGCCTCGTTGCACTTGAAGACGGTGTGGCTGAGGCTCGCCAGCACGAGCTCCCACTTGAGGCGCTCGGGATGCTCGACCGAGAGCCTCGAGAGGACGGCGTCGGCCAGCAAGGGCAGCCTCGTGATCCGCTGCATGGGCAGCATGAGGAACGAGTGGAGCGAGAGGCTGTGGCAGGCCGGATTGGACTCGATGCGCGAGACCACCTCGAGAAATCGGTATCCCTTCTTGGCTCTCAACTCCTTGAGCTGAGTGTCGATGCTCACCTGGTTCGAGCAGTAGTTCACGTAGACCTGGGCGCTGCGGTCGGCGTGCTTGAGCAGCTGCTCGGCCAGCTTGGCCAGCATCGGGTCCTCGCGCCAGACCTGCTCGAGCTCCGCCAGGAAGCGCTCCGAGGCGACCAGCACCTCCGGCACCGAGCCGAACAGCTTGTCGCGCTCCCCGGGGCTCAGTATCTCGTTGCACAGCTCCGGATTGCTGGCGAACTCGTTTTCCAGCACCCGCAGCGAGTTCAGGTACGAGGCCTCCGACGTGAGAATTTCGAATTTCGCCTCTTGTATCTTGCGCTCCTCCATGTTCAGTCGTTCTGCGCAAGCCCAACAAATGCACGGCCTTAATTTTCAGCTCGTTTCACGCGTGAACAAATTTCGGAATAACCCGCCGACGCTGACTCAAGCTCGAGTGCTGCACCGATATCGAATTAATGTGCCATTCCAATTGTCTGTCAAACTTGTACATTTTATAATAATTGCATAATTACTGCTTATGGTATCCGACTCGCTTAAGTAGCTCGTAATAAATGATTCGTAATTGATGGATAAATTTGTCGAACCGGTTGATTTTCGGAGACATCTTCGAAAAAAGTGTCGAATGGCACATTAGACGGGAGAAGCGAAACAGCCAAAGCGCGAAGGTTGCCGAATCGAGCGAGGTCAGCATTGCGCTTATAAGCTGTTGTTATATTTCGCAATGTCGTACGCATACGTGCCGGATATATATACAATATATAAAAATGAAATGGCCTGTGACTTACGCAAGAGGCCGCTGCTGATGACTTGAGGCGTTTGGCACCAGAGTGTCCTGTGACCATTCTTTGCCAGATCGGTCGTGGCCGATGACGGCGTCATTTCTTCCACCTGAAATTCATTTCGTCACCGACGTATCGCATATCATTAACAGATAAATCGGATGCAGGTAAACAAACGTAAAATTCAAGTTCATCGTGTATTACGAGGCATTACTAGTTGGAACGCCACAAGATTTTGCGTGTAATAAATAACGAGTAACGTTACCCACCTCCTCGTAGGGATCGGAGTCGGATTCGAAAGCTACCCTCGTTGCGTCGGCCGTGTAAAATTGATAGAGCGGCTCCTCGGCTAATACACTGTAATGATCTGGATAGGAAGGAAAAAAAAACATCGTCAATCGCTGCCAGAATAATACTTATGGTGTGCGAATTTTTTGCAAGTATACGCAGCCGATCAATTAGCGCGAGAAAGTATAAGGCTGCACTGCAAGTGCGATGACACGACAAGAGCAGCTACAGATAAAATGTGAAAATTTCTTATTTAGCTCGAGAGAAGAAATCAAACGACGAGTGACGAGAATCGAAATTCCATTGGAAATCGGCTGCTGCACAGTCGCATGATTTATAAGTCGCGATTTACAAGGCTTGCATTAATAATTGCATTCATTCATACCGATGAACGAGTTGCTGTAATAAGTGTCGGTAACGGCGGCGATGGCGCCAGCGGCGCTTTCTTTGTACAATCCTGCGTCCCTGTAACAATCGGCCGTGTTGGCATAGATCGGCTCGTCGCTCGCGGCGGTGGCAGCTTCGCCGTCCTGGCGAGTCGTGGCGTCGCTGCAGCCGTTGACAGGGTCCTCGCTCAGGTAAAACCTCGACATGCCGACGCCGGAATTTTTACGAAAATGACGCTTGAAGCTGAAGTACTTGGAACTGCCGGCGTCGAAGCTTCCGGGCGACGAGGTCGACGACGACGAGGACGACGCGTGATTATTGTTGCTCCGCGGCTGCTGCTGTTGCGGCTGACTGTCGGCGTCGCCCGAAGCTCTCCGCCTCATGCGGCCCAGACTGCCCTTGGTTATGCTCCAGGTGCGCTTGAGCATCTTCATGCGTCTCGTCAGGGTGTGACTGAGACTCGGCTCCTTGGGCAGTGGCGGCACCGGTGGAGGGCCCAGAGCTGCCCTCAGCGACAAGTGCGGATCCTGCGGCTGGCGATTCGTCACCGGTGCTTGGCCGGAGGCTCGCCTCGTCGGTGTTGCCGATCGACCGGATGACTCCTGCTCGGCTTCGCTTTCGCTGCTGAAGTCGTCCAATCCGCGAGTCCCGAGAGTCTCGTAGTTGCTGTCATCCGATGAATCTGAACAAATAATTACATGTTTCGCAATTCACATTATTTCATTTAGTCTTTACTTGTAGTTTCTTGTGTAAAAAAATTTCATAATTAGATATCTGCATTTTTAGAGTTTGAAAATACTTTAAGATTGAAATAATTCAAAATCAAGATTGGTTAAAAAATAACGGAGATAAAGATGTTAACAAAAGGTTTAACTTCGAAAAATAGCGCTTCCAAAAAAGTACAACTCTTTTCTGGTAAACTTAACTTTGACTAAATTTGTATACATAAAAGTGATCGAATTCATATGCTACGAATTTCTACTATCTAATTTTTTTATTTGAAACTCTATAGTCCGTAAAAATTGAAAATCAGTCCTTTTTATCTATTGATAAGCTTATTTACCCTTACTTTTGTATGAAAACTCATCAATTAACATTAACAATCAAATGATTGGTGTATTAATCTAAAAGAATCTCGAAAGTCTTATAATTAGCTTTATCTCAAAAGTCCTTGGGTATACTTTAAAAACGAAGCTAGAACTTTTTAGCGAAGTACCATGGAGCGATTTACTCCTGTTTTTTTCTCATGAATCGGGTAACTATGCTAACACGGACTAAAACTAATGATGTGAAATTTCGTATTCGCGTACCTTAAAAACATTAGTAAATAGATAGCTCTAATCAATTTTGAAATAAAATGTATTAATAAATTTCGTTCTCATCTAACGAGATTTTACGAAAGGGTCCAGAAAAAAGCTGGCCAGTAACGAGTAGAGTGCACGGGTTGAGGCGAAAAATGTAATAACGACGCAAAAGAGGCCAGGATCATAAATGAAGTAAGATTCGAACACAAAGGGGTTCGGCTTTGAGTTGGCTTAAATCGCTTGGTCAGCGTTGCATGCGGTTGACTCGGGCACGCTCGAGGCTCGCGTCTGGCGCAGCGGCGCGTTAATTCGCAGCTCGTCAATGTCGCCTTGATCGTTCTACAAATGATATAGAGCTGGCAAAAAAGGAGCCGTAATATTACTCGTCGATATTTGTCAAAACATCGTGTGACGCAGAGTCGATCCGCGAACTTTCGACACAAACGTCAAGCCAGTCGAACACAATTCGAGGCGTACCTTCGGCGACGTAGAGCGAGGCCTCCTGCTCGTCCTCGTGCTCGTGTTGCCTGCCGGCTTGACTGAGCCACAGTCGCAACTGCACCAAACCTTTGACCTCGGCGTCGCAGTGGCAGCATCTCTCCGGGTCTCGTTCGCTCCTTCTCTTTTTCTCCTCGTCCAGTTCATCCTCGTGCTCCTCGACGCTGCCGAGGGCCTTTTCTCGATTTTTCTCGACATTCCCAGGAGCTGGACTGCTGCAGCCGAGCAGCAACACCGAACCGCTACCAAGACTCACGGCCACTGATGTCGCACATGGTCAAAACAACACATTACATTAAATGAATGAACGAATCGGCTCAAGGTTTTTTCTCGCTACAATGTCGAGCGAAAAATTCATGCTGCCGTCTTGGCCTGCAGTCTTTTTACCAAAACGGGAGATACGGAGAGAGAGAGAGAGAGAAAGAAAACGAGTCGTTTCCGCATAATAATGTATACAAGTTGTATTTTTAAAGCGATGACGGCGCGCCACAAGCACCAAGACTCGGGGCAACAAATTGAGCAGCCGGTAACGGATCATTCCACACTTTGTCATTACCAAGTTTTTGCCGAGTTTACATAGACATGCAGTCGGCCGTTAGTTGGCCATTCGTCGTAACGGTGCCCCAAGAGTCCACGAAATGATTTGGCGCGATATGAGATTTGGTCGCGACGGCGACGCATAATTCGTGCCTGCAGCCACCGACTGCTGCTGATTGCGGCGCGTAAATTGAAAATACCGAGTGTGCGCGAGGTTGCGGCAGGAAAATGCGATTCTCGGCCGATCTAGGCATCGTATAATCGTCAGCTATCTCGATATATTCGCTCGCTCGAGCCGCGTAATGACGAAAGCCAATTTCTGCGAATGAATCAAAAATTAGCGTATAAAAATTAGCGGCCGTGAATGTGGAAGAGATGCCTTGCGATTCATATAATTGCGCGACACAATTGAGTGAGCTGTCGCGTGGTGCCGACAGGGATCGGTCGATGAGCGCGAAAAAATCGCGCTCGAGTGCGAACGCGGAACGAGTCGCGATCGCCTTGTCAAATGATTTTCGCGTCGAAAAGCTCGACTCGTTTCTCTCCCTCTCGGTCCCTCCGTGGGCCGTCTTTGGATTAAGAAGGTTAAATAGGCGAACCTTGGGTATTGGGCCGCCTCGTTGGCGTCTTCAAACCTTGCTTCATGTCCCTCTGTCCGATGCCTCATGATCGTCTTTGTTTTGGCTTTTCACGAGATTCTGCTCGCATTTTTGCTCGCTCGTTATGGGTGGACTATAACGCGTCGCTCTTGGCGAGCGCGCCACAGGCCTGCACTGCACGTACTATATTGTACGCACGGACACACTCGCACTGGCACCGCACATGCACCGAAACATTCACGAGAGATTCACCAAGCCAAGGACCACTTTTTCCGCCGAATGCAATCGAATTTGTTGCAGCAGCTCAAGCTCAACGACTAGAAAATTTTATACGAATAACTTGCGAACGCCATGGCGTTCCGGCCGTGACTGGGAGCAGCGAGCTAGCAACAGCATTCGAGTCGCGCTCGTGCGCATGTAAGCCTCTGTTCTCTCTCTCTCTCTCTCTCTCTCGCTCTCTGTGTAATATGTGTGAGTCTGTTATGTGTGTGCGACTGGGTATTGCGCGCGCGAGGACTTGAAAACGCTTTCACCTGGCCTCTCGTACTCGGCGGAGTTTCAGCCGCCACTGCCGAAGCCGCCGCCGCCGCAGTACAACAACACAACTTGTGTATAGGTATATATGCTCTGTGCTCATGTATGTAGATTGCTTTCAATATATATATACAGGCTATATAACTGCTTGACTCTGGGCTTGTGTCGAGGCATCGGACACAGGCCAACTGCTCTTGCTCCATCTCTTCTTTTTTTCATTTTCATCAACGATATTCAGCTTGTTCGCATCTTTTTAAGGCGCTACCAAGGTCCCTCCTCCCAGCTTTCGTCATATACCTATATGGACGATGACTCGAAATAATTTTCAGCTTTTTTCGGATACATTTTTGGCTATGAGCGCCATCTTATCCGTAATTGTCTTTTGTGCATAGAAGCGATTGACCCTCGGTCACGCGTCAATTCGGCATAGCTCGACGCGATTTCTCTATTCTCTATCCATTCACTTCTTTAGCTGAGTGAGCTTTTTTCAGCAAACTCCACTTCCATATGTGCGTATTGTATGCCTGATTGATTGAAGGGGCTCGTGATAAACGTAATCGCGTCAAAATACTTGCATCCCGCTGCTCAAAAGATCCAAAGAAATCACACTATGTAATACTCGAGCTTATGAAATTAGACAACAATTCAAGAAAGAAATTTCTCAAAACACTTCAAGTTACTGCGATCGAGTTGAAATTTCGTATCCACAGGTACAGAAGGGAAAGTCAAAAGACTCGAAGAGAGAAAGAGCTGCTTATTTTATTCCACCCGATGACAGTTTTCGTGAGGTATGTAAAATGGCATTCGTAACTTTGACACTTGAGAAGTTTGGTGCACACCGAAGATACACCAAATATAAGCCATCTCTCGAGTGAGAAAAATCAGCGGCTCGAAAGAGATGGAAAAAAATCTCAGTCGATCATATCGTAGCTCGCGACATGATTGTTTTTAATGAGCCAATTTATAATTATAGAAGTGACTACAAATGAGTCAAGTTCTCATGAAACTTTGCTTATCGCTCGATAAACAGAAAATCGACTTATCGAGCAATTGACGCGCGAGTGCAGCAAGTAGCCAAGATGGGCCGCGTTCTCGAAGCAAACAATGAGTCGCGCAAGACAGCTTAAGGTTTCGTTGTATACGCGACGCGCAGCAAAAAAAAAGATTATCTCATCGATGCGCACCCGCGCGCTCCAATGACTTTTATATAATAAGCGCGCGCGCGAATTCGACTTTCACGAATGGGAGGCGGCGGCGTGCTCGTAACATCTATAAGCCGCAGCATATTACATGCAGGGAAAAATCATCGCTGACTTTTCCCCCAAGTACAAGCGGCGACGATTTTCATTTATTTTTCTCCAGTGTCACGGTGGTGCAGAACTGGATAGAGGAGAACGAAGCGGCTAAAGATTATTAGCAAAATGCACAAAGCCGTAAGGATAAAATTATGAGCGAACTGGGAGGTATGGTAAGTACGAGCTAACTAGTATAGGTAGGAGCGCGAGCGTGACGTGCCTGCATTACCTGCGTACTTTGAGTTATTTGCGTGTCGCAATGGAGCGAAGCAGCAGCAGCAGCAGCAGCAGCGGCGCACGTGCGACAGAGGCCGATCCCATAATACGTTAACAGCTCTGCTTACACACATTGCGCTGCCGATCTCGTGCGCGTCGCGTCGTACAACACATCTTTCGCTCGCTCATATAACTGCAGTCTCTCTCTCTCTCTTTCTCTCGGATATCTTTCAAATGCGCCACAGCGTCTATATACACATACTGTACGTTTGCAATGGCATCGTAACGATAGCATCGCGTAATCGTGCGCGCAACAAAAAGTATACGCGTGCGAGAGCTTCGAGAGCGCTTTGCTTCTGACAAGCTTTGCATCGTCGGCCCATTTGTTCGTTTCATCTTTCACTGCGCTCCAAATTTCTCTCTCTCTCTTCCTCTCTCTCGTCAAATGGATCGAGCACGCGGATCTCTTTGCAGAATTGCTACGCTCAATTTTATCCAGCGCAGGACGATTCGGTTGCGCAACCATAACCGTCACATCGTTATGCATCTATGTACGCGATCTTTGCGTCCTTCTCGCTTTATTTCTCACGCGACTAGGACAATGACATTTTCAAACTAATCTCAAACTAAGCAGCCAACACCGACTATATAAGATGCCTAAATCTGATCGATCAGGCTTGCATAGGGTCTTCTTAGCACTCATACGCATTGCAGAGTAAACGTAGATTGGCCAAGAGCTGAAAAATTGCAAACGTAAATGTAAATGTACATATCGGTCAATTAAGCGGTGCTTTTATTGAAACGCTAAATTTCTTATCGCTCAATGTCGTGCCTATATGTAAATGGGCTGAGCGTCTACAAGAGCAGGCATCTAGCTCTGGCATCGTTGCGGCTCTATCCAGCTATATCTATAGCTTGCGCACGGTGCAGTACATACCGTTCTCCTTTCCAAAGCTCGTGAGTTCGTACATGTAGACATGGTAGATGCTTGTCGACGTGTCCGAGACATTAATTTTGGCAAGTGTTCGCTCGCGCGCGTCATCGACTGAATCACGCTGTCGGTAAAAGTTCGTCTCCTGCGTGTTGCACTCTGCTGCGATACAAGTGCAGTACAGCAGCACCGGGTGAAAGTCGACGTACGTACACCGCCACGCACGTGAATTAGCGTCTCGCGAGCATACGTAAATGTGTGTCATGCTTGGCTCACGGGCAAACGTACTCAGATGCCTGCGTGAGAATTTTCCCCTTATTTTTTGCGCTGCATTTCGTGAATTAAAGCCAACGGCCAAAGAGCAAACGCGCGACATGAGTCAAGCAAGTGTATGCGAGCTGATAGAATTGGAAAGCTGCACAGCGAGCCGATAAGCCTACCTATCTCGACCGAGCTGCAGCGACGAATATAAATCGCCGTTAACTGCCGAATTAGAATCGACGGCTTAGTTTATGCGCCACCGACTTTTGGTCGTTCGTGGACTCGCTTTTTTCACGACAATTTCAATTGAATTATCGAAATGCGCCCAGTGCACGCTTATTAAATTTTATTATAAATGCGCGACACTTTGGCTGGCGCCTTATACACGTACAACTCGTTACCTTTTTGATTAATCGACCCCTGCGAATGAAAGTTGAAATATTAGCGCCTAAATATAATCAGCGCTAATGAAAAGTAATTCTGTCTTTTTAACCGCAACTCTTTATTATACATTTTCTCGAGCTTTGACTGATTTACGAGTAGGGAAAGTCATTTTTGATAATGAATATTTTTATATCTCCCTCACCCTCTTTGTCTTTCTTTTTATTGCACAAGTCATTATTACAATGTGAGGTCTTGTTTGCTGTAGCAGTGAAACGAGCATCGGGACCGCATCAAGGGTCACTTGTGCGAGACGAAAACTCGCGAATCATCGCCCACGGGTTCATCCTGCAGATAAAATTTATGCGTTGCCTGTGCGCGCAACAAAGTTGAACGACTTTGAAATATGCGCGCCATTTTTTACCGCTTTTTTTCTCAATAAAGTGCACGCGTCGTCGAGTGGAAATCGGAATTTCTTATAGCATGTATAGCAACAACGAAGCAGAGCTGATTATTGTCGATCAGAGCGAGAGCAAGAAAGAGAGAGAGAGAGAGAGCAGCAGACCTGATCGTGCAGTGGCAGCAGAGAATAAGCGAAAGGTGTTTATTCGCAGTCACCACATCATCAAGGTTACACATACGTCCATGCACACTTTAGCATATGGTTAAATCAGCTATAATAAATATACGCTTGTAGTTTTTTATCATCATTTTTACCGATGCAGACTGTACCATTATGAGCGGACCCGTGGCGTAAACGTTCATTGATATGGTAGACAATTTTCTTGACCACGTCTCGTTCACACACAGATTCAAATTTGTTTTTATATGCGTATTCGTGTGCATCCACGTCCAACGCTCGGATCGTGTTTATTTAATCAATTATTTGCACACAAAGGCAAAAGTAGCGGACATCCACGCGATGTCGCTTTGCAAATATTTTTCATTATTTTTTAAGGAAGCAACACTTTACTCACGTGTAAAGAGGTTGATTTAAACACTTGCTGCAAATTTAATGATTTTATCTGGAAGAGATAAAACTTTGAACTTTGCCAGGCAGTTTTTTTATTTCGACAAAGACCAGTTTTAATACAAAGTATAAGTAATGAAGGCAAAAAGAATATTTCAACATTCGATACTTTTGAATTAACGACAAATGAATTTGTTGGAACTACTTAATTGAATTCGCACTGTATGTAGAATAAACAAGGTATTATATCATTCAGGCACACTATAATAGTGCCCTTTCGTTTGTATGACCAAGCAAAATATTTTGGAAAGCAAATAAAAATGCACAGCTAAAATGTGCCTAAATATCGACCATCAACTTTATTCTTATTCAAATAAACCCGATACTTTCATGCTTATCAATTAAGAAAAGCAGTAGTCATAAGATGTCACTGATAGACAAAATGTATCTGTTGGAAATATCTTGATTTCGTTTGCAGGCCTTATCACACTCTGAATGAATAATTTAATAATCGTTCTCACAATTGAACTTGAAATGTTTACAAGATCGGATATGTTTAAGGCAAAATATTGTAGTTTTTTAATAAATTCAGCGAGGACGGGCCTGAACGTGTGATAAAGCAAGCGAGTACGATCCAATTAGGGGATTTAATTAGGTGTCGGATTTACGGACCAAATCTGATTTAGTTTTCCTTCGAAACAATACAGCATTCCAGGCTCGATAAAAGCCGACTGGCGCTCGAGCGTCTGATATGGAAACCGAATGGAACGTCGTCGCTATGCGAACGAAAGTGGCTCGGTGTAGCGCGCATAATATCTCGCTTATAACATTATAAAAATATGCAAGTAGCAAAGCCGAACAATATATCCTTTGTGTTGGTCTTTAACGCGAGTAAAAGTTATTTACTTTTCCTTCTCAGCGGCGACAGAAAGGACGAGTCGCTTTTTCGCGCGACGATGCGCGCACATTATGCTAACGACGGATTTTCGGCTCTCACGCAGCCCGAGAGATCCTCGGCTTTGATATTGCATTAACTGGGAAATTTTCGCTCTTTCGCGGAATTGGCAACGCGACTTGCACAACGAAAAAGGCATGAAAAAAAAAACGGCGATATGCAGATTCGTGTAATTTTTAATTCCGACGAGGCGGCTGAAAAGTTTTCTCTGCTTACCGGAATCGTTGTCGGCGGGACGCGCGATCGTCGTCGCAGGACGGCCACCTCGAGACGTTGACCTCGCCGAACTCTTGCGCGAGGCTCGCGAGCGCTGGCGGCGCACTTTTTTCGACCAGCGCTGCGCGACTGCGGTCGTCTTCTTCTTGCACACGTGACTCGCCGGCGTTGCAGAGTTGCTGTTGTCCGTGGCGGTTTTGCAACTGATAACAAAATACAAAAGTTTGGAATATTTTTCAATCGTCACGACTCGTTGAGGGACTGCAAGGATCAGTCGTGAGCGAGGAATTCTCACCGGCTCTGCTTTTCCGATGCTCCGAAATCATCGAGATCCTCCCACTCGGATTCCTTGTCGACGACCGAGACAGCTTGGAGCGTCAATTGTAAGGTATCCGTCGACTCCAAGTAGAGGCTATTTATCCTTTCGCAGCAGTCGCTGCTCGAGTTGTTGCTGGCTTTGTTGAAAGCCTGCAGAGGTGCGACATCGTCGTAGAGATCCTCGTCGGGGCTGAGAGCGGCCTCCTCGTCGACGACGCTATTGACAGGCTCGCTCGACGTCGTTTTACCTCTATTTGAGCCGATATCGTCGTAAAGCTCTTCCTCCTGGACAGGTTGCTGCCGTTGCTGCTCATCGAGTGCTTTTGCCGAGCTCGAGGACAAAATATGTCCGATGTCGTCGTAGGTATTTTGTTGCACTCTCAGCTCGAGATTCACCGAGTCTACCGCTGTTTGTTGCTGCTGCAGTTGTTTGTTCGAATTCACCGGCAGCGATGAACTTTCCTGCAACGACCAGTTTTACAATGGCATTTTGTCCCCTTTACAAGTTGCGCATTAAAAGCAAACCGAAAGAAACTAGGAGAGCGAAATTTAATACGTAAGCTCGCAGGCAGCCTCGATTGCCTCTTTTAATTGCCGGTAATTTTACGAGCTAGCCTTTTTAACGACTCTGCATAATGCATACAGCATTTGAAGATTTGATACAGGCGGCTGCTGCGGTTCTATGCCGCTCGAAAGATCGGTCGTGCTTTTCGTGACTCGTATCGCGCATGCAAGAGAGAGAGAGAGAGCAGCTTTTTTCGCAGACATTGGCAACGCGTTGCAGTTATTGTGTTACGACATTGAACGAGTTTATTAATAACCGCTAAAAGATGCCTCGGGTTGAACAAAAGTAAAGGCGATAATTGCGAAAAAACGAAGCGTCTGCTTTTCTTCCACGTGCTCGTGCGCGTATGCGACTGGCTGTTGACAAAATGAAGCACGCTCGAGCGAGCATACGGCATGCAGAGAGCAAACAAAGTCCATATTGCAATTGCCGTTGCTTTCCGCATTTTTCAGCAAAAGAATCAGCTAATTTAACGTCGAAGAACGATGATGGCTGATAATTCGAGGCTCGATAGAGCGCAAAAAGCTCACAGGAACTTTAGCGCAGATGTGACAACTTAATAAACAACCGCGGCGGACTCGTGTAATCGTGGAGTCTAGCCGATCAACAGCTGCTCACTTCGCGTAAGGGATTTTTAATTCGAATCGAAAAGCTATGTTTATCGATCGCGCAGCTTATCGTTCGCTTACAAAGACACAGTCGACAAGAGGAATAGATAAAAGTGGCGTAGCGCGTGCTCAGCAAGAGTAAAAGTCCGATAGTCGTCGTGCTGGTAGACGATAATAAAAAAAGTACGCATGCAAGCGCGACTATTGTGCCCGACTGTTCGACAGATATAGCTATAGATAAGCTGGCTAGCTGGTGCTACTGGACTTACTTTCGAGTCCCTGGCCGGGCCCACGTCGTCGTAGCAAGTGCTCCTCGGGACAGCGGCTTCTTTGGCCTCCTTGACTTTGGCCATTCGCCAGAGGAAGCTGTCGTTGGCGCTGCTCGCCACTGTGGCCTGTTTCGGCTCGCTCGCTTCCTCCTTTTTCTCCTCGATATCGTCTCGATTGCGCTCTAGTTCGACAGCGTCGAACTGTTGCTTCTGATCTGGCCCTGAAACAAGAGACGATTCCGCTACTGCTGCTGCTGTTGCTGCTGCTGCAGATGCTGCTGCGGCCGCCGCCGCTGCCGCCGCCGCCGCCACCGCTGCTGCTCTAGACCTCGCTGCCGTCACGTCCTCCAGACCCTTGATGCTCTCGACGTCCTTGATGAGATGCTCGCGGGTGGCCGAGGCCACGTGCACGAAATTGCTCGGCCGCGATATCGTGAGGTACTTGAGCTCGTCCCGCGACAGGCTGCGGCTCTTGAGGCGCGCCCTGAACTCGGCCGGCGGCTGGCCGTCCTCGAGGTTGCCCAGCGACTTGAGCGACAGGGACTTGCTCGCCAAATTGCGCGACTTTCGATAGTAGCGCCGAGACGTTATGGGCACGTAGTGCAGGACGTTCTTCGCGAAACCAAAGTCACCCTTGGCTTTTTGCTTGTCCCTGGATCTACCCAGGGTGTCGCTGTCGCTGCCCTCCTCCTGCTCCAGCTCGTTGTTGTTATTGCTTCGTCTGTTCCTGGCGAGTCTTTTCGGCAACTCGTCGCCGAGTTCGTAGATGAAGGGAATGGACTTTTTGCCGCTTTTAACGCCATTGCGAGTCTTGGACTGGTTGAGCGGCAAATCGACGATTCTGCTCGTGGCTCCCTCTCGGATGATACGTGCGATCTCGCGAGGGTCTAGTGCCTCGTTCGAGCCCGCTACTCGGACGATCAGCTTCAAGGATATGCTGCTTTTGTCCTGCGCACATAAACATTAAAGTCGCTCGTCCATTACAAGTCATTAAAAACATCAACACGACGCATCTTATCTCGCGCTCGTAACGATAAACAAGTTACTTTCGTACTCGTACGTATGTACGTGCTGATCGGCCTTTTTGAATGCAACGCGTCTTTGGAAGGAAAAAGCTCGGTAAGCTTAGTTGGATCGATTATAAGACCGATACCATTCTCGACAGATTATCTAATTTCTACGCCTGTTCAAACATCGAGACGACGAGCTAATCGAGCTTATTCTACCTCGAGTCCTTTGTTTTTCTCATTTAGCTTAGCCTCACGTAGTCGTGGTTAATTTTCGCATTCGGCATCACGTAGCTACGCTTAAAAACTGAGCCGCTCGAGCACAAGCCACAGCTATATCAAATCACCTTAAGCTGCAGTTCACGCACGCACAAACTGCGGCTCAAGGCGAATCTTGCGCAATGCAGTCTCGAGGGTCAAATTCTCAATTTCGCGCTTCCGAGTTCTCGTGAGCTTAGGTGTTTCGTGCAGGTGGTATATATTATTGTATATACCTACACGTGCGTAATACAAGCTCGATTCGATGCATTCCGTACAAAGAGAGATAAAAAATTTCCTTCTTTGGCAGATACGGCGCGTCAATTAGCATCGCGATTCACCGCTAAAGTGTATACATCCGCGAGGTGCTGTACCGTTAAGTTTTCTTTAAATTTTACACATGCACAGACATACACATGGACCGGGGATCGCACAAACTAACGCCTCAAAACATTTCTCGTCAGTCACAAAATAAAAATTTATTCAAAATTAAGTCGTCGAAGTAGCGATGAATCGAGCGAAAATTTTTTCAGCTGATCGAGTACGTAGGCTTGCATTATACCGTTGTTTCTAAAAGCGCACGATCGGACACACTCAAGTGAGCTCGGTATTTATCTTTGTTTTTTATTTATTTATTTGTTTATTTAAAGTAATCTAACTTGGTCGTTTGACCGCACGATCTATACTCATAAAATGCAAAGAAACAGACGTAGAAAAGAATCAACATGAAAACAAAAACGACACAATCAGAGGATACGAGCTAAATCATTGACATTAAATCGAAATTAGAGCTCGAACTGCGACTTAGCGAGCAGTTTTAATTCGAAACGTTGACGAAATGTCGCGACACAGTTGTTCCCGTAGCAGTCGCGAGCGAGAGAACTGCAATAAAGTTAAGATTTAAAAATCCGTTACGGATTTCACGACGTCGTTAAAGGCGCAAAAGATGCTGACTCTATATAGGATCTCTTTGTTGATTCTGGCGTAATGACCGAGGAAAATCGACCACCCATTATACACGCTATCGATGCAAATTCACGAGCTTGGAAAAAGAAAAAGAAAATGTCGCTACTTCATGGAACGCGAAACAGAAAGGAAAGGAGGGGCAACTGGTGTAAATGACCAGGATCTGTAAGTGTGTCCTATAGCGAGGCAGGAGAAATTGGCCGGCAAGACGAGATATTTAATCGAGCTCTCGCACTGTTGCAGCTGCCGAGTAAGAGCAAATAATTGTGGCAAAAGTCAAGAGAGCCGCCGCGCGGCGGTGGAAAATGGTGAAAAGACTCGGGTCGGGGCACGCCTTCGTACCATATATCGGTGGAATGGGCCGCAATCGAGCGAACGCGAGTCGAGAGCTTGGGTTACTTTTTATCTTTGTGGAGCTGCGAAAAAGTGTGCGCGGCTACATCGCCAAGAGAGAGAGAAAAAGAAAGAAAAACAGAAAAAGGCGAGAGATAAAAAAAGTCGGAAAGACGAAAACGTGTTTATCGCTCTCGGTGTTGACCGAAAAATGGAAGCAACAGCGCTGCTAAGCCTGTGCGCGGCTGATAATCGGCCGTACGATCGCCTCGCTTATCGAGCTGCACACATCGGCCAACGACTGTCTGCACTGCGGGATCGAGAGTCCGTTACAATGATACAACGAATTCGCCGTGAGTGCATCTCGCGCAGCAGCTTTAACCTTCGAAAATCGGGAAGACTCGTCTCGGGAAAGCTCGTCGAGGACAAATGCGCATTTCAAAGGTTACGATTGCGATATACGTGTATACATGCCGGCACATGTGCGACCGAGCGTGCAAGAGACATTTTTGCTAGGCTTATCGCGTTGAAATTCCACCGATGTATTCGCTCAAGTTTAATTCTGGCGCAGCGAGAAAATGCGATAGCAGACATGTACGAGGCTCTGCTTATAAACGCACCTGCAATTAAAGCTGTTATTGCTGCGAATTTGAATTATTATTGTTGCCCAGCTCCACTAGGCTGCTATCGCATTTTCTCGCTGCAGCAGAATTGAACTTCCCCCATTGTACATAGCCCATTGCGGGAGGTAATTATTGTACGTACACCTGTTTCCTACTTGAAAAATTCCTCGTCTTTAATGCGTTTCGATATGCGCGCGAATGCTCTCGCGTGCACGTATACACGTTAGAAATATCTCGATGGAAAAGAAAAAATAAAAGGATAGCTCGTCGTCGCATTTAAATTCAAGCGATGGCACTCGAGTGCATTCGTCGTGAGGTAAACAAAACACTCGGCCAGCCATGAGCCACGAGGCTCAGTGACAAAGACAGAGACGCCTATTTTGGAATTAGCAATTACTATTGCGCGCCGAATAAGAATGGAGAAGGTACCTCTTCTTCTTGCTCGTCATCCTCGTCCTCGTCCTCGTCCTCATCGTCGTCCTCGTCGCCGTCGTCGTCGGCCTCGTCTTCGTCGCTGTGTAGCATCCGCTTCTCTTTAACAGCTTGATCGGTAGCGAGGTTCGTGGAAATCTTGGGGGCCGTCTTGCTATTGTTGTTGTTGTAGTTGAGTTTGGTGGAGGCGTCCTGCGGAGCAGCTGCATCGGCGGCGGGTGCATTATCGACGTTGACGAGTCGCGACGAGGCTGCGTTGACGTTACCGTACAAGAAGCTGCGATTGGCCAAAGCCTGGCTAGGGCCCGTCATTTCCCAGCGTCGACGATCGGGCCCTGCTCTTGATCAATTCGATGATCGAGGCGAGACGATCAGCCGCGACGGGATTATTATGCACTAGGCGATCCTTATTACGGACTCTTCATTTCTCGTGTCGTGGTCGCAGCCGTCGTCGGCTCCGCTGCCGTTGCTCCGCTGCATAATGCGGCCTTATCTCGCTGGTACATCACTCGCGCGCAACAACGTGTATCAATAACATGAACCAAGACGTAGGAAACACATTTGCCGTTTGCGTCGGTGCAACGTGAAACGATGAAACTTTACTTGGCGGACACAAAAGCCGAGACGATCGCTCGAACAAGTGCACTCCGATAGACGTCAGCGGGTCACTATTATGCTCAGACAATAACAAAACTCGACGACGTACACAAGAAAACAAACACAATGGAGCTTTGCCTTCCTTTTGCTCTCTTCCGTGAGTACGTGCAGTAGCAGACGAGTGTATATTACATTGTACCATTAGGTAAAAAGGAAGAAAAGGAGATGAAGGGAGGCTGAGGCGAGTAGGACACGAGTAGGACAAGTGTGTGCCGCCGAGCGACTGCGCTCCGCAACACAGCGCGGATACACACGCACGAGCCGAGATCGAAGAGAGTGTAGGTATATATATTCGCACGAGTGGCGGTGGCGGCAACTGCGTGAACGCGAGCCAGCCTCGGACTGCGCGCGAGACTCGCAGCACAGCGTAAAAAGGAGTAAAGACTTTTCGATAACAGAGAGAGAGAGAGAGAGAAATCTCCGTCGCGGTATAGTCGAGCTAGACGGAGCTTCCAAGTTGTTCGAGTGTACAAGAACGATCGACGAGGCTGGAGGGGCACTTGGCTGCAGCGCGCACGACTACGTCGAGCTCGAAACCTCGCATTATAAAGCGATACACATTCGGTGAGACATAGCTCGAAGCGCAGCACAGGCAAGCGATCGACGACGGCGTCACTGGCGAACGGCTTGTAACGCGTGCTCGAGCGACTGATCGAGCCTACCTCCACATGTATCGGTGTGTCGAGCGCGTATCTCCGCGAGCCGAGTGGGGGATTTCGCGATCCACGACGTTCAACGTACGCAGCAGCACACCACACACACATACGTATAACGTATGTAAGCCAGCGTGTGGCATTTCTTCTCGCGTTTGCGGTTCAAGGCCAGACTCCAATTGCGCCTGCATCTAGCTGCGCGCGTCAATTCGCTCTCTAGGACCATAGGAAGGTAGCTGCCTACCTCTTTATGTATGAAAAATCGCTTACGAGCGATCGCCAAGTCCGTTCACGTAGTCCTCGCTATTTTTCAACAAAATTATTCATCTTTTCGTTCGCGTACGTGGCTCGGATGCTGCTGGCTCGGGGCTCTTGCATATCGTTGTGCGCTCGATGCTCCTTATACCGACCAATATCCGAGTGCGCGTCGAGCGAGCGAGCTATGAGTCATCGAGCCCAGAGGGCTTACAATAACCAGCCGCGAGTCGATGAGAGAGTCGAGTGCGTAGCGGCCAAAGCGATGGCCCTTCGCTTAGCTGGGACGCGCGCGCATTCGCCGCTCAGCTGTAAGAGAGTAAAAAAAAGGAAAAAACGCCCCGAGTCAAACCGGCTTTTGTGAGCATGTAGAATTGAGTACACACATGTATAGATATGTATAGGAGAAACACGAGCAGCGGCATAGAGAGAAAGAACGACTTGCATTCCACTCGGGCTCCGACCATCTCTCGCGCAGAAGAAGCTGCCAAGGTGTATATATATGCCAGGAGAAGGAGAAGAGAATTCCGACTCGTTGCTACTTGCTACCGCTGGAGCTGACTCTATTCTAGGGCTCGTATCCTGGAATTCGTCGTGACGCAATGCCATTTCTCGGTCGGGCCTTCGGGATCAACTTCCTCCGGAGGGATACCTCTATACATCTTTGAGCTTCGTCGATGATCTATCCGGAAGCCCGACGAATCGATCGGCAGCTTGACTGCCACTTGTTATCCATTTAATACATCGATTAATAATTGACCGCCGTGAGTCAGACTTTGCGGTTTTTGTGCGTCTATGCGGACGTACGTACGTGCGCTACCAGATACCGAGCCGGAACTCGATCATTGTACAGTGTATACACCTGCTACGGTCTAGATCGGATAAATTGCCGAGAAAAATGAGGAATCGCGACGATGACTGAGAGAAGCTACTCGAGTTGCGTAAAATCCAGCTGAGCAATCATCTCGTACATCGACTCGCACGATGACAATTGTCATCGGCATCTGCCTAATGCTACATAAGAAAGCTTATACCTTGGAGCAGTCAAATTCTATTTCTAATTGGATCGATATCTATACAAGTAAGTATGAGCGAGTAGCGATCTGCAACCTTGTTCATTGCTCCAACGCTTGAACTAATGCAGCGGAGAAAGTAGGCGGGACAGGATCTTTCAAGAGCTCGAGTTCAGGCTCGTTCTCGCGGCGGCCGCGTGCATCGCTTGCGCATATAATAAAGGCAATTACGCAGCTTAGCCGTGTGCCAATTTTCGCAGATTTTCGCGGTGCGTGCGACGTCGAGCGAATCGTACAGTCGTCGATCAGAAGCTCGATGCGGCAATTGTAAAGTGCATTATCCGCTCGATCCTTCTCGCCCAAGTAGATGAGATGTTGCGATGCAGGAAAAAGTAGCAAAACTGACAGATCGCGAGCTTCGTCGCAGATTGTTTGGAGCCCGCGAGGTCACTATCCACCTCTTTTTCTCTCTCTCACTCTCTCTGCTCATCGAAAAAAAAGACTTTGTTTAATCGACGAGCTTGTTTGTCTTGCCGTTATTTAAGAGCTAGTCCACGCGTAGGCGATTACTGCTAAATGTATCTAGTAGCAGCGAAGCAAGAAAAGCAAAAAGAAAAAAAAAGAACGAGCCACGTTTTATAATGACTAATTATCAGAAGCGCGCGAGCGGCTACGTGCGCACGCGAGCTCGTTTTTTCATTCGCTTTTTTTTCATAATGTTTTTGCGCAAAGCCACGCGCACATGCACTGGCGAAAAGTTTATTAGCTCTCGTGGCAGTGCTGCTGCTGGTGGCCCCGCCGCGCTACTCGCGCTTCTTCCTCCTTCCCACTACCTCCGCGCGGCGCAACTTCTCGCGAGTGCGCATCGCTGCTCCTCGGCATTGTGTGTAGCTGTACGTGTGTTTGTTCATGTGGCCGTGTGTGCGTGTGACATAAGCTCAACAGTGCGCGGCGGCCGCGCGCACAGAGAAAGACGCGAGTCCGAGTCCGAATTTCAAATCCCGTGTAGTCATCGTCGGGCCAGCGATCCGCCACCTATCCTCGGCTACGCGGCTACTCTCAGAGACTCTACTCGAAGACTCGACTCGCCGCTCTCTACGTTTTCATCCACTCTTTTTCTTTCTTCTACCTTCACTACCAGACATCCTTCGAGCAGATCGTCATGTCGCTCCAACAAGTACGTATCGTTACTCTTATTTTGACTCAATTACGCTTGCCAGCGGATTCTTTTTTCTGCGTCTGCGTCTGTACTTTTTGCTTTGCTGGGACGATTTTTTCTGCTGCAATTCACTCTTCGTTTTTCTCAAAGTTAAGGAAAAATAATATTCCCTTTTTTTTTTGGTTCTCCAGTGGAAAAAGAGTTTGCAACGCGATGACTTTGAAAAGTTGCTGCGCGCTTTTACACACAGGCTTACAAGTAATGAGCAGTGCGATCGAGCAAAGTATTTTTAAAATTCAAATTATCGATTACTTATGCAAACGAGTACGTTGTATCGCGAAATGAGCCGTTTTACAGTATTTATTTACACAAGAGTAGTTATTCGTCACGCGCGCAAGTAAACACAATTTCTAAAACGCTATAAACCGAATCGTTTTCTTAATAAAATAACTATTACTGCTCCCAACGTCTTATAAAATTTGACTCATTGAGATATTCAAATAACTTGATTATCTTTATTTGGACGCGTCTCTCTGCTCGGCGAAACATAATTTGCTTGTATAATTTTTTCTTAACTTCTGTCCGTGCGGCCAAACACATATACATATTACGAAACGCAATATACAAACATTTGCATGCGTGACTTTTTGTCTTTCTGTATAATCAGAGATTCGATGAGGCCGCTGAGCGCGTCAAGCTACTGACGAAGCGACCGTCTGACATGGAACTACTGGAGCTTTATGCGCTTTTCAAGCAGGGCAGTATCGGTGACGTCAACACCAGTAAGTAAAAACATCTCACTGTGACCTACCAATGTTCATCGTTACCATCTACTTGTTTACTTCGTTTACTTGTATTCCGGTGGAACCAACAGTTAAGATGTATACGAGGAGAGCGATACCGTAATTGCCGAAAACACAGCGCGCCGTATGATCTACGATAATTTATTATTCGAATTATCGCGAAAAAAAATTATAATAACAGCGCTCCGATTAATTTATTATTCAAAATTATTGATAACAAGCAAGCGTGATATTTTCACGTGACATATCGATACGAATGATCGCATTCATACGATTCGAGCTTATTATTTACAAAACATAATGTTTCTGGCAATATTTTGTCTATACGTAAGATTGCACGGTAGTAACACCGCATCATAAAAGTGGGACAATTTTCAGTTAATCTTGAGACTCGTCGTTCGCACAACAAATTATCATTCTCTTCAATCCTGCTTTTTAAGAAAAATCATATAGAGTCGTTTTATTCGTCAAGTGATTGGTCGACAAATAATTGCGACTTGCTTCATGATTGTTTGAAATGTTTTGGTCAATCTTTGTAGAAATAACATCAATGTGGGGTGTTCGCTAATAATTACAATTTACAAGTTATTAAATTAATTTTCTAATTGTGTCATTAAATTAAATGATCACAAATCAGATTCAGTTGGCTCAGCACACGAGTGGCGTTGGTGTGTGTTATAACATTTTCCTTAATTTTTTCGTTGCCCTAATGATTTTCAAGTTTTGACCTCCTGTTCACTAGTAATGCTAACTTTTGGAAAAAAATTCTTATATTAATACATATCGTATATTATTGTGTGTCGCACAGGCAGGCCAGGGATGTTCGACTTGAAAGGTAAAGCTAAATGGGATATGTGGAACAATAAAAAAGGCATGAGCCAAGAAGAAGCCAAGGAAGCTTATATCAAATTCGTTGATAGACTCATGGAGCAATACAAGGAGGATGAGGAATAATCCATTTCGAGCTACCATAAATCTATAAGGATGCAATTGATTTAGTTGTGGTGCTTGGTAGGTGTCTTTGGAAATCGGTATTCAACTACTTAGCCTTCGCACACAATCACTTATACACACACTCACTCACACATACACACACACATACACGTACGTGCAAACTACCGTCGCATGTTAAATCCATAAATGGATTGCTTTCCTTGTTAAAAATAAGAATGATAAATAAATTTACACAAACATATATGTTATATAGAAATGACAAAGAATGTATATAAGTATTTGGTTGTATAAATTTTGTTTTAAATCATATGGATGTTGAAAGGAAACAAAGAGAAGATATTTACCTTAACTGCAAATCGTATTTAATTTTTTACCGTTCTCAAGATAAGTAATTCGTATAATGATGATCAAATGAAATAAAGTTTGAGTCACGTTGCGTAGAAGGTTCATAAGACTGCCAGCAAGGAAAAGCCCTTGCGTCTGAGTTAAAAAAGCAAAGTCATCTATTAATGCAACCGAAGAATTGAAAATAACAAAGCTCAAGTATTGACTTGGCGCCGAAAAGGTAGTGATGATCGACTTTACCAACTGACAAGAGCATCATGTGCTTGAGCACGTGTACTTTCGAGACCGGCTTCGTACGTCCTAAGGTCGTTCTAAGTAGGAATGACGATCCGAAAATCGAGTAAGATTGTCTCTCTTTCTGAAAAAGCAAAGGCTCACGCCGACTTTAACTAATAAGCATGATATTGTAAGGAAGAGCATCAGCTGTTGAACCAGTGCCCATCCGTCGTATGCAACTGGCGAAATGAAAATCGTTGCTCTTCACTGCCGATATCACTTCTTCGTTAACTCTTCACTAACGATATCAAAGTTGAAGAGAATGTCGAATGCGTTTTTGGGCACATTACAAGATGGGGCCTACGGGATGACGTAGGCCACATTGCTCGACTCGACGTGGATGCTGTGGACTATGCTCTAGTCATTCTAGTCGTCCTACGAGAATAAGTATTAGTCCATAATAAACATGGACATCATAAATGTCTATATATCTAGGACGTACTTGAGTAGAGGAATCCGTTGAAGAATTCCTAGGTCTTCTGTTTGAGGTACGAGCAAACAACAATGAATAACAAATTCTGCCGAGAGTTGTGTCTAGAACGAGTCAACAACGAGTCCAATTCGACCTGGTGCTGCGTCTTTAGTATGCTTTGAACAGCCATCAGTAGCGCATCCTTCAGCTTGGAACACTAACAATTCTAATTGGTCGATTCAAATTCCAACTCATAATCACTTAATTGACACAATCCTTACTGGTCAGTAGTTCGATCTATAAAGTCACAAATAAATGCCACAACGATGACCAATCTATCAGCTGCAGAATAAATGACAGATTTAGAACGAAGTAGATGGCAGCTTTTTTGCAAGCTGCTCTGAAACAGCGACAAGTCAAACATAATCATAAATGTTTTAGCTTTAGAAAAAATATAATTATGGGAAATATTTGTGGGAATCGCCAAGGTTTCTTTATATATAAGCTCGGAGGCCAACTAACCAAAGTCATCGCTCTTTTAGCCGAGAAGCTCGCTGCAGCTCTTAAATAATTTTCACGATGACTCTCGTATTTTTTTATTGCAAAAGAACCGACCACATTGAAAAGATCTTCGTCAGCTTTTCAGCATTTATCCTGCATGGTCCCGTAGTTTCGCTCCAGGTCAAGACTCCATTTCTTGGGATGAATTTTTCAACTAGCTGTACTACACAACCGACGTATCCATTTTCATATAAACATCCCTCGCGAGTGATTAACCATCTCTACGTCCCATTTCACAGCAAAAACAAATGCTATTACCATTGAACCAATTCTATAAGCCGTTGAAAAGACAACAGGTTCCAAGTTGGATATTAACATTGTCAAATGGTTTGGGATATTTAAACAGACCGCGAGCGCATTTGCCTATACAGATCGATACATGCTTACAGAAATCATTAATTTGACTTTATAATCTAGCCTTCCCAAATAACTTGCTCAATTGATAATCATGGGTATCTATAAAATTAATGAATAATTTATTAGGATGAACATCGGTGAACGGTTTGATTCGGTTCTCGAGCAAAAAGCGTCAACACAGCGATACAGGAGTGATGCCTATGTCTATATACTCTATGCACTGTTCTTACAATTGTCGCGTATATGTCATACACTCAGGCAGCCCCAACTCCGCTACGTTTACGTTTTCTGCTCGATAACCGATTACAACGTTCGTTGATGTACTTTTAACGTAATGGTTCATTCGATATAGGTAAGAAAACGAAAATACAGTGAAGAAGGGGCTGCCTGTGTGCATGACATACGCGAAAATAATAATAATAGTGCAGGGATCAGGTATAGGCATTGCCCCAATTTCGCTGTATTTACCTTTTCTTCCCATTGCCGAATTAATCTTATCCACGTGTGTGTACACATACGTAGCGTAGGCGACAGCGGAATTTCATCGAATTTCTCCGCTACGAATAAGTACATATGTTGCGCATATACCTACCTATGTACAATATGATATATATATTTATATAAGTTAACGCGTTAGCCGCTATGTACCGTACTCCCCTCATCCCCTCCTCTAGGCGATATTGTGGCAGAAAAACGAGCTACGCCAGTGCCGGTTATTCACCGCTCCGTTCCGTCCTCGCTTGCAGCAGACTTTCCATTCATCGTCGCCTCACCAGTTCGCCTCAACCGAACGCCAGCTTTTCTTTTTGCCTCTCGAACCGAAAACTTGCAGAGTATTTCTTCAAAAATGTCGCTTGACGAGGTGAGTCTTCTTTACCATATCGTTTTAATTTTTTTTCTCGATACAATCTTACTCTCTACTCGCAAATTAATACTCTGTTAGCCCTGCCTATATATCTATCACTTGGAACAACTCTAGCGACAAAAACTATTCTTTCGGGCTGACATTCACTAAATTCCTATACGTAGCTCTAACTTTTTACCATCTTTTAACTGATATTACAGCTTAATATAAACAAAATAGCAATTTTGCTCCAATTGTTGTCTATTCGAGTGGTATATATGTGATGTGGCGATACAACAGAGAGGTCATGGCTTCGATGATAAGAACATCGCGCTACTTTATCGGTTGAACTTGAGCGTATTTTTGAATTAATTCTGACTTGATTCCAACAGAACTTCAATAAAGCAGCTGAGGAAGTCAAGGAGTTGGCTAGCCAACCGAGTGACAATGATTTACTTGAAATCTATGCGCTCTTCAAACAAGGCACAGTGGGAGATTGCAATACTTGTAAGTCATAGATACTGCTCGAATATGTCCTTCAGTTAAAATTCAACGCAAATAATTTTCAATATTTTTTTCATTTTCGCAGCGAGACCGGGAATGCTCGACTTCAAAGGCAAAGCGAAATGGGACGCTTGGAATGCCAAAAAAGGGATGAGCCAGGATGAGGCCAAAAAGTTGTACATTGAAAAAGTTGAATCGCTCATCGCTTCGATCGGCAAAAAAGCTTGAACTACTATCGTTGATGACACAATTTCAGTCGCGTTTAAAGCACATATATATTTTTACATTTATTATTGTAATATTAAACAAATATTTGAATGTACCTTTGCAAACAGATAATGTTGGTGTTCATGTGGATACTTAGCTCTAAGACCAGTATGACGTTGCTAGGAATTGATCCTCAACCCTTGGTAGTTTTTCTATTTTAATCTATTTTGATTCAACTAAAGCTACCAGCAGGAATTTGCACTTTTGTTAAATTATTTTGTTACAAATTATTTTTTATCCTTTTTATCAATATTTAACTTAGTAATATACTGAATTGAGTATTGTTGTTTTTATATTTAAAACAATAAAATTATTTTAAAAAAGGAAAAATTTAGTTTTTATTCCATGGATGATGAGGAGAAGATATAAATGAGGAGAAATTTTGGTGGGACTTCAATGAAAATCAGTATTTTTAGTGAATAGTAATAATGTATTTAAGTTTAACATTGTTTTACTTATCTTTATGTACATATACGCAAAATTATTCTACTCTCTAATGTAGATGATGATGTAGAAAGGGAGACATAAGAAGCACAACTGAATTTTAAAAGTATCGAATTTGAAAACACCTAAAGCAATTGTAATATGTGCATCCGATGCCTATTAATGATTGCTATTCACAAGTCACAAAGGTTATCCTCTATCTACAGCACATCTCGAATGTACGAAAAGTTGCCATACACTGATCGTTTCTTATAACTCATTCATACACTTTTGTTTATATATCATAACTAAATAATATCGACATAGAGAAAAATAATTATTAACATTTGAAGAATCGTGCAAGTTGTCGTACGAAGATCATTTTTATAAGTAATTGCTTAAAATGTATTTTGCATTTACACAAAGTTGCATTAAAGCATTATCATTCATGTACAAGTTCACTCAAGAACATTTCATTTTAACGATGCTTGAAACATTCTTTCGACTACCTTCTTCTAATTCAGTTAAATAACGAAAAAAGAATAATCCTCGTTATCGTCTAGAGTACAATTTCAAGATATCTAACTCGCTTTCTAGGATAAAAAATAAAAATCGATAAATTATGAAATTACATTATGGTTAGACGTTTATCGTCCACCAAATTTTACTCTATATTTGTAAAACACTGTAATTACCAAGTTATACCATTGGCATGTACGAAATTTACCCTAATATTACATTATTCATTGATAATTGTGTACGTCAATCATTTTCTCACAAAAAATTCATCTCCCGATTCATGTCATTCATACAAAACTTGTTTTCTCATTTATTATTTTAAACAGTAGTACACCACAATTACAATGAGAATTGTTTTAATAGATCGCGTGTGTTTAAATATTAAACAAGTACTCCTAACAAGTCTTCTTTTTTACCACTCGACGGCAAACTGGAGTCTCCGAGCTTTGTCTCTTTTGTTTTGGCATAGTACAATGCATGTTAACCTTTAGCTGGCTTATTTCATCGGGATGAAAGTGATGCACCATGTGTATCACGTGTTATTTTATCGTGAATATGCATCTCAGTCGTGACCAATTTTATAGTAAAAATAAAAAAAGTATAGTAATTAATAGTCATTTCCCATCCCTCTTTACCAGCTAAATGTTAAAAAAAAAATTATACCCCATGCAGTGAATATGCATATATGCATTGTACAAAACCTTTAATCTTCTTTTCCGTATTATTCCAATGATACAAAATTTGTTTTTAAATATTTTTCTTATTAAAACACTTTAGTATGAATTTTTTTTCATCAGTTCGTAAGTTTTATTTCAAAAATGAAAAATTATAAGTAAAAAATTACTATGAAGTGTGCGCTTTAACTACTATCAAATTGTTCCACTGTTTAGTGGAATTTCTCAGTTAAATTTAGATTAGTCTTCAAGTGACGCCTTGTCAAAAAATTTATTTAATTAATTTGTTTTTATTGTTACTTGTATATTTTTAATTTTTCTTGAGTTACAATAATTCAACAAAATACCGAAATATTTCTGTACAACTAAAGTATATTCAATTAATTAACGTATCATTTACTGTTTTTATTTTAGTATTGAATTGTATTTAAAAAAACGCTCTCTGATGTAAAAAAAAATTTTAATTTTTAACCTATCTTGGGGTATTATTATAATAAATTTTCGTTATTTTTAGTTGATATTAAATTGAAAAAATAATAATCGCAAAAATAAAAAAAAAAGAAGTAGGTATACAGTTTTGAACTAATGTCTTTTTTTGCACTTGCACTTTTTTTTCAATTCCAACGTTACCAATAAATCTTAATAATATTCTTTGACTGCTCTGCTCCATCGTAAGCCCATAAGTGGTTAAAAACAAGTGAAATCGATAATAGTGTATACAAAATTTGTCACAAGCCGCTACGATAATTCACAACGATGATCGCTCTTAGTTCCGTGTCCTGCGAAAGAGGCATAAATAAGAACATGGTGTTCATCAAACTTTTTTGTCGGTTTTTTTTAGTAACATAGCTATCGCCTCTCTCGACAGTAAAGAAAGCAACACGAAAATTATAAGCATACCCGAGAGAACAAAGCGTGCAATATATCGTGTACGGGTATATGTTCGCGTATACTTAAACAGTTATCACGATCGATCGATTACGATCAATAATAGTTGTGTATACGCATATTTTTGAGTGTAATGAAAGTGTCTTGACCATAGTAGTGATCATAATTGTAATAAAAATAATTATGGTAATAATGAAGTTATTAACTACAATAAAATGAAAAATAAGAAAAAGTATGACTAACGAACGAACATACACTCACGCTCCATATAACACTGCTCTCGAGTTTTTTTTTGTTTTTGCTCATTGATTGCATTACTTCCTCTTACTCTTATCGTGCTTGACGGGCGTCGAAAGCGGCGTATGGTTGCGATGATGATGAAGGTGTTGGGTCTTTAGTTTATTACCCTTGGGGTAACTTGGATTACTATGATTATTATGAAGAACCCTTGAACTTTCGGCAGGCTTATCGTTAACGATGCTCGAGGGTTGATGACGTATACTTGCAGGAACAGTTGGTGTCTCATTCAACCTGGTAAAATAAACAATAAAATTCTAGTGTTGACTGTTGAACAATAATAGAGTTGAATTTAATGATGCATTGTTGTTGATGTTGTAGTAGTTGAATAAAATAAAACGCCATTCATTGGGCTATTGCAGTGGTTAAATGCTGAACTCGAAAAACTGATTGCTGAAGCGTTGAAGTTTTGCAAATATTAATTTTATCAACTAAGCACCTATTTTTTATATCTCATAGTTATTTGCAAAAGACTGCACATAAAATATGTTTGTATTAAAAATCACACACATACATATATATTTCAAATTAATCGTTAGTCAATCAAAGAAATTAAAAAAAGTTTCGAAGCAATGAATTTTCGATCTCACATGTATCATTGTTTTCAACTCACAGCAAGCCGAGCTAATTCGAATATAAAATTACTTCATATTAAATGATTAATTCGTGTATAACTTCATTGAATAAATCAAATCACGTAATTTCACTCGAAAAACGTTAAATAATTTTTCTACAATAATTTGACATCAATTAAGCAGTTCCCCACATAGTTATTTTCGCAATTAATTATAGTTATAAACGTGAATCAGTCTGTAACGCAGGAGTAACATTCATCAACGGCAAGATTAACTAACAAAACAGTTACTAAGCACGCTAAAATTCTTTCTCTGCTCATGTTAATAATTTTTTGGTAGATTTGGTTGTCTCGTTTTTCAAATTACTCTTTTGTTCCTCTTTTTTCTTTCTCGTAATTTCGTTAGTTCACATAGAGCTAATTTTACGAGCCACACAATTCATACAAAGTATTGTGTTTTGGATGATGTCGCTACACGTGGATAACAGAATCGGCGGCAATATTATCTACAGATATAGAGATATTCCGCATCGATTCAGCTGCAAGAGCAACTAAGATAGCTGTTATATATCTTATGAATGTATCATATACGTTTAGCAGACATAAAAAGAAGAGAGTTTGTATTAACCCTAAATTTACGATCAGTTAATAACGATGAATAAAAAAAAATTTAACTGTACGTTATTGCTTGAGGCACTCCATTCACTGTTTTGGACTTCAGAATGTCGTTCTCGTAAGACATAATAGTTTCTTTGCCATTTTCGTAGACTCTGTAAGTAAAAATTAAATGAATGAATATAGATTATTGTGAAAATTCCATTATTAAAAATGTTGAACTTACTTTTTAGTAGTAATCTTTTTACCGTTAATGAACCTCGTCGATGTACTGGTACGTTTCATTTCGCCATTTCCAGCACTAGGTCCACCAAAACTGGAAATAGTGCTGAATGATGAAGTACAATTCATTCCATTCATGCCACCCCCGCCGAAAATATCTCCGAATGGCGATCCGAAAAATCCGAAAGGACTGAAGAACGATGTACTCAGTGAATTCATAGGATGACTGTGTCGATTTGAGCGTGGATGTCCATGTAATTCTGTGAGCCAAATATTAAAAAATTAGACTCATTTCATTTATCATATAATAAAATTATTTTATGAAGCGATATTCAACATTTATTGTGCAGTTTTGCAAAACGGTATAAAACAACAAATTCAACTGGAAGGGCAGTTAGTTCTTAAAATCGATTGTTTCTTTGTAGAATCATTAACCAAGATGAGAAGAGAGTGTATTTTTTCAATTTGTTTCGAAAAATAACCGAAACCTTTTATTTTGTGAGATAACGGCCCTGTGACGTTATGAATCAAAGATTGTCGCGATTCAAATGAAGTAGGTTAATGTTTAGTAAGAAAACTTTAATCGGTGTGAATGTACTGTTGTTAAAGTGCACAAAAGTTTACTGCCCTCTTCAAATAATTCCTATGAATCAAGCACAAAGAATACTTACCAGCAAATATTTCATCAAATGGAGAGTTGCCACCGAAAAATTCTCGGAACACATCTTCCGGATCTCTGAATACGAACGAGTCGAAGTGGAAGTTGAAATCATCGTCGTGACGTCTCTTTCCACCAGGCATGTTCAAACCATCTTTGCCATACTGGTCGTACGTTCGCCGCTTTTTGTCTGTCGAATAAAGAAGTTTATGAGTATTGAAGAAATGTTTTTTTGAAAATATATATTATATTTTTTTGAGTTTTTTAAAGTTTTAATGCAATCGAATGATTTTGTTTACTTTTTGGCACTGTCAAAGCGTTTTTATTCATCATTAGTAAAACGATTACTATTACGTTTTTAATATTGATGCAATGGTTTATTTCATTAATACATATAATACAAACATCAATACATAGGTAAGTTTGCTGAAAAGTTCGGTTAAGTAAAACTAAGCAATCATTGTGATCGTCATTAGGCGTCATTCATTAGCTGATATTAAAGATGATAATATTACTAATGTGGAAAAATGACTATGAATTTTGCGATGAACATTATTGTACTCGTAAGAATTTTTTCTCTCGTAAAGACTTTTAGATTATCATATTTTAATGATTTTATTTTTTTCTCATTTTATTCTTTAACTAATTGTATGCAAATGATAAAAAGCGAATATCAGTTCGTATTCACATTTTAAGCCAAGGTTTAGCCATAAAAAAAATTTAATACAGAGCAAAAAGCGATTAATATACAAGTGATATAGATCATATTTTTATGCTAACTATGGAGATCTAACTTGCAATTTTTCTTACGTATTTACGAATTAAAAGCAAATTTTTTCATAAACATTTTTCCTGGATATTGTAAAATGGATTTTGTCTCGATATATCGTCAATAAACCAGTTAACTTTGTCTGTATAAGTCCTAAATGGACCAATGACATTTTTTAGAAAAGAAACCCCTCTGAAATTCTCTGAACACCAAAAAAGAAATAAAAATATTTTGTTAATTTTAGATCAATATTAAAAAGGAATTATCGATTCGAATGAAAATCGTATCGAAAGCCAGGAAGTTTGGTATTGAGTCGCACTCCAAAATGATGCAAATAATTAAAAAAAAATAAAAACAAAAGTTGCTACATCTGGCAAATCGATATACCGAAAAACCGTTGAAAAGGCGACTCAAAGTAAGTATTCCGATGGGTGTAGTGTCCACCAGGTGACGAAGTTGTGTAACAATTAGACGACCTCGAAGTCGAGCGTCGACTACTGAAACGCTGATCATAGCGTCGACGCTGCGTATCTGTGTATATATTTTCACAACATATCATTTGGTTCTAGCTTATTGATTATTTTTTTGAGGTTCTTTCATTAAAGATCCGATTTTGGTAAATTAATTTTTTTCGCATACTTATACCTAGATTTTTTTAATGGGACTGAAAAATGAAAATGAATTATCGTTACGTGAAAATTGCATTGTCGTCTCGACTACAGATATTAAAGAAGTAAATTGTTGCTTTTGCATAAAATACGCTTTTTTGAGACTCCAACATTCATCTGTTATTTAATTCAAACTCTAAATGCTTTTTAGTGCCCCTGCTCTTTAGATGTCTCATTAATTTTTTGTTTACCAAACACATCAGTTATCATTTGATGTACGGAATTGTGATTGTTCTTTAAAATGCCTATACGTTTATCACAAATCCACGTTTCAACATCATACTCGAGGTAATGTTCTCGCAAACGTCAGAAAAATAGAGCGATGGATTATTTTTGCGTCATTTCCTTCGTATAAACATTCAAAATGAGGAAAGAAATGTTGTTCAGATTTTCATCCCTGAATTTGTTTAAATCGATTCTTTGGACATCTCTAAGTTTTCCACCAAAAACCAATGTAACCAACAAATCAATTTTGAGCGATTAATTTCAGGAGACGACGTGCAAATTTCTATGTATGTGTTGTACACAAAATTGTAGACAATAATTACGGGTGAAATTAATTTACCATTAGTAATTTCATTAAAAAGTTACGAGATTTGATAAAGGGATGCCATAAGTTAAATAAAAAAATTAAAAATGGCCATGATTACTTAGAAATAAAGGTTTTATGCAAAATTAAAATAAAAATTTTTTTCATTTACACTTATGCAGGTAATGGGGTAAAAATTACCCATAACTCTATTTTTTTGACGTTTGCGAGGTTATCACCTTTACTAATAAAGTTAAAAAAATTGCAAGATTCTTCTTTCTTTATTATCTTTATATAATAACTCAGTCACGTTAAGGACATCAGAATGAGCTCTTGCAAGAGATAATGAGACATACTTTGAGAGAAGAATAGTTTTGCTAAGCAAAAAAATAAGTTTCAACAAAGGTGCTCACCGTCGATGAGAACTTCATAAGCTTCGGATATCTCCTTGAAACGTTTGTTGGCCTCTTCTAAATTTTCTGGGTTCTTGTCGGGATGCCATTTAAGAGCCAACTTTCTGTATCTGTAATAATTAAATTGTCAAAATGAAAAAATCTAAACTGTGAAAATGACGCGTTCATGAGTACGTAAGGGAAAATGCAGTGCCTTCGTAGATGTAAAGAGTCGCCCCGTATAATTGGCTTTCTTGCGAGAATCGAATTTTACATACACGTTTTGTCCATTACTTGGTGACTTGATGTTAAATGCATACAATAATATAAGAGTATAAAGAGAAGTGAAAACTGGTTTGACGCAAAAATATACATTAGCTTGAGCTCGACACCATGATACGTTCAGAAAGTGATTTACCTTTAGGAATCTCTTGACGTAAAAAAACATTTTTATGTAGACCAATTCAAATAAAGTACATTGCCCGTCGATATAAGTTATTACAAGTACAAGCGAAAAATTAAGATGCTTTGATGCAGCAATGAACGTACATTACAGTGAAGAATAGAGAGAAAAAGTGACCGTGAAATAGGTCAAAGACCTTCGGTGCAAAGTTGCTTGGAACATGAGAGAGAATGAAGAGAGGGTAGGATTTTTTTATGAGACGATGCAGCAGGCGGATGCGCTGAAAAGGGAGAGAAAGGTGAGCAAAACAAATCTATACATAAAAGGAAATAAGAGGCCCACAGAGCAGCGCAGAAGCCAACTTATACACATTTGCCTGTGCTGCGTTTAATACAAGCAACCTTTATTGTTACGTATAAGTACACTCGCTTATACGCCCGCTCATGTTCACTTTAATTCTGGTGTCAGTCGTAGTTTCTTTGTCTCATTGTTTGAGACGTTTTTTATTTTTCTTGAATCATTAAAAAAACAAGTTCAAGTCTATGCAAGTTTTTGATCGCTTGAGTTACCCGAAAACAAAGAGAGAAAATTTTTGACGGAATATTTTGAAATAACTTATTTGTATGCGTATCAAACGAAAATGAAAAATCATCGTAAACGATTCTCTTGTAAAAGTCAACGATTAACTTTTTACATGTATTTTCAATAGCATTTCTGATTTTACCGAAAAAGTATTATTACGATGACATGTATCTATCTGTTCATTAAACATGGTAATATTTAACGATATACAATAATTGATCACTACAAAGACACGCACCTTTCCCATTAATATTTCGAGTTATCATGCAATATAATGAATAAATTAAAATACAACAAAAATTCAAATATCTGCTAATTAAGAAGGATATCATTTTAAGGAAAGTTTATGTCGTACTAGTTAGAGACTTGATCTAAAATACGAATTACAACTTACGCTTTTTTGATTTCTACTGAATTGGCTGTCCGACTGACTTCTAATATTTTGTAGTAGTCCACCATGATGAGTCTTTTTTAGTTTTTCTTTTATTTAAACGTAAAAAAATTGAATTTATAAACTATATGCGTCGGCGTTGAGCACACGCACCGGTAATCACAAGCACGTATGAGCAAAACAGTCACAGCCAGCAACCACCTGTAAAGATAAAAAACAAACAATTAGTACTTCCGTGTCTTTCTATCACCTCAATATCTTTTTTAACATAATTAATAACATGTAAATCGAAATCTTTAGAACGTTTATGCGTAATGGAGCGCGAAAATAAAGACAATGTTATCTTAGAGCGGCATTTTTAGAACTGAGCTTACAACTGACGCATTCGAAAATATTTTCTATACTTTCTAACGCTCCAATACCAATTTTGTTTCACGAAAAATATACTCATCAAATGAGATTGCTTATGCTCGATCGACAAAAAATATTTTCATAAAAATTACTAGTTGAACGTAGTTTTATTTGATAAGGATGTACTGTTTCATGAATTCAATTTGAAACAAGTCAAAAAAAAGCAAAGAACTTTTCGAGAAAAGCTAAAGATAAATATGTAGATGGTTAGATACAGATGAGAAAACAGATATTACACACGCACTCGAGCCAAATAACCAAGAGAAAAAGAAAGATAGAGAGAGAGAGAGAGAGAGAGAGAGAGAGAGAGAGAGAGAGAGAGAGAGAGAGAGAGAGCTAAACTTAGCACTCGCTGCGTCCAGAATAGATCGAATACAGAAAGCAAGGCATAAGTGGGGAGGAAAGAAGAAAGAGAGGGATATGTTTTGGTAACGAAGATGAAACTTGCAATGAGAAACAGAAAAAAACGAGGCACTGAAAATCGTATTAGATATTGTCACATCTGATCGTCAATTAAAAGCGATCATAAAAAGGCGATCCCGGATAGATACTTTTAAGAAATCTTAAAGACGAGTTTGTCTGTAAATCTAAATGCGCTCGAATCTAAAGTAGTTTTCCTCCACCAATGAACTCGCACATGGACAAATTACGTCTTATTATCTCATTTGTCTACCCACATAGAAAAGTGAGCAAATTGACTTGTTTATTTCCAGAAATCGTGAAAAGCTCAACGCCTCGAAGGTAAGAAAAGTATAAATCTCGTGTACACATTTTCAATTGATCACCACATTGCTGCATCATCGTATAGTCATCATTTTCTATCATAATAATCAGCATCGTGATGTAAACATACCCATAAATGGCGAAAGAAAACTATTTTTCTACTTTGCTACTTCTGTTGGTATATTTAAAAATGAAACAAATGTGTTACTTTTGAGTAGCTGAAAATGACATTTTTATAGATATATCGACTGAGAAAAAATTATTTGGACGAGACTCAATTTTCACACCGGCCTTATTATTGTAAAATGAGTTCAAAGCAAAGATATTGCGTTTAGAGATGGTACCGATGACCTTTTTCAAGATTCTCTTAATTCTGTTTATTTTACATCAGTCGAAAAGGTATCGGCAGAAAAATGCACTTAGTAAAAGATATGTTGTTTACAAGAATTAGAAGATGACATCGACGGCTATTGCCAAGTTTTCGCGCGTTGACGAACAATGTTGATCTTATTCTGCTTGAAAATGTTATTAAGATACCGATGACGATTAAGGAAGTATAATTCTTTGCTTTACCGAGCAAATGCATATTTTTATGCAATACCTATCGAGAAAAACATTCGAATTACGCGTTAGATTTATGTCGATAAAGGATCAAAATCATGATATAATTATGAACCTGAAGTTTCTTTCGTCGAACTTCGACGAAAAGTTCTAAACAATTGTTTTTTTATTTAAATGTTATAATCGTAATCTACTGTCATATTTGTTTACAATTAACCCTCCAAACTAAAACTGCAGGTTCGTATATAATTCAGGTAAACTTTCCTTGCCATACAGTTAATCGACAAAATTGGCGATTAGAATAATATAATCATGCGAAAATTATAATAAAATTATATAATAAAATTGTGAATCGAGCAAATATTTTATTCCACCTGTAAAGTCAAGGCTGAAATTCTTTAACATTCTTCCTTTATCAAGGAAAATGTATAAAAACATGCGATGATGGTTTCAAGTGAGCAAGAGAGAAACAAAAAACAAGCAAACTACTTATTGAGGCCGGTTCTACGTTTAATAATTCCATTTGTTCGAAATCAATCGTACTCAATTTTGATGGATTCAAGTACTCAAAAAAATATTGATAAACGCATGCGATCATAGAATCGGCGATACTCGTCAAGATTAAGAAATTAACTTTACAACTTGTTGGGTATCGTATCATAAGAAACCACTCGATTATCGGGGATCGCGTTCTTTTTTCGTCAGACTCAAAATTTTCGCAACATCTGCAGAGAAGCGCACATGCTGAATACGCAGAAGTTTAAAAATAAAACTTTCAATGTACGCGACAGGAATTCAAAATTCTGCGACGCGCCAGCGGGAGAATAATCGCGCTATCGATAGTTTTGATCGCAGTTTACGCAAGTGCGCGCTCAAAGAAAAATAAAAAATAATGACTAGCACAATTTCAAGTTTGACTCATTAACACAGATTTATACATTTAAAAGGTTCGCTCAAAGTTTACAGGTAAATTTTGATAAGTAGCTTGATTAGAAAAGAGAGTAACAAATTGCAACTTTATTCTCCAAGTAAATACAACAACGTACATGTGATTAATTTAAAAAAATATGTAATAATCATCATCTACGAAGTAAATATTGTATAACCCGTAGAATTTCATTTATTAAGAGACAATTTATCAATCATATTGAGACTTCAGTCATCCCACACATAGTGAGTGAACTCACATTTGAACCACAAAAACTATTCGATCACGTTTACGAATCGTACGCTTTGTAAATTTGCTGCAAAAGCTATACGTTCTAGTAAAACGTGTTGGACGCGACGGAGACAGCTGAGAGCTACGATACTGTAATACATATAAAGCATGCACACCTCCGTTCGAACGTCAAGGTTGCAGTTTCAATACATAATATGGAGTAAGAAAGAGAGAAAGAGAGGGAGAAAAAACAAAAGAAACAATAATATGCACGTTGCGTCTAGATTTCCATGTGCGTCGTCGAATTGTATGTGTGTCTTATATTGTTTTTGTATAACATACAAAATATTTGCACGTGTTCGAAATGCGTTGATTTTTCATCGCGAAACAATCGGAAGATTTTATTAACACACACGCGATATAGTTAAGGTTCTACGTTTGTTTCTTATATTTATTTGACATTTAATTCTACGTTGATACAGAAAACTGAGTCAGCTGGAGATGTGCAACAGGTGCCAATTAAAATTCAAAAGGTAAAATTTTTAAATTTTATTTATGTCTTATGTAGGTGAACTTGATGATGCGACGTTTTCATTTAAGTGGGAGCTTGTGTCCGCGAAAATATATGGAGAGAGAGAGAGAGAGAGATGCACATTTATAAAAAAGCACGTAAAATACTTCTTTGGTGCCTTTAACCCACTAGGTGAGAATTGCTGCAGTTTCTGTATGCATCTGTCTATGAAACGTGAATAAGTAAAATTTTAATAGCTACTCTTTTGCATGAGTATTACAGATAGTTATTTATATAGTTATAGTTATATACCTAACAGTTTTGTATACATATTATTGGCCGTGACGTGATGTCGTTAATTTAAAGGTGATGCTTTTGAGAGCTCCTTACTACAAAGCCTTATTAAGACGACGGCCAAGTTGATTCGGCTGATTTTTTTTTCTTCTGAAATAGTCGCTTCGTGTAGCCATTTAAAACTAAGACTAGGAGAATGCACGATGACGATCTTATGCGATCTAAATCTGCGGCTATTATGTCGCAGTACCTATCTGTGAATGAAAAAAGCGCATTGGCAAACGAAATATAGCCCCGCTCAAAGATGATTACATTTTTTCGGACACGAATGTCCATGTCCAAGTGACTTGACCTTTTTGCACCCACGTGTTTTTACAAGCTTGCATCATCATCAGTAAAGCGGACACATACACGCGCACAGTTGGCGATTTGACCCGTCTCTGTTACCGTATGAACATAGGTCCCGGAGGTCGAAGACAATGAGTTGCGTGGAGTGATGGGCCGAAGAGGCCTAGATACTGCAGTTCCCAGTCCAAATCGTGTACCAAATACCGCTTTTAAATCTGTCATGGTGACACAAATGTACACTTTTTCTTATGTTTGCACTACATCGTATATAAAAAAGGAACTTTTTCGGTGCGTCGAAAGCGGCAAAGGTTTGTTTTAATACCAAGAAAACCTATCGCCGATCCTTCATTGTGTCACCCATTGTATGTAAGTTATCGTTGGCCTAATGGTCAGCCATTGCCACAGAAATGTGCTAGAATACCCCACACACTGAAATTATACAATTGTCCTCGACACTTTAAGTCCTAGTGATGGTTATTAAAGCGCTATAATCGAGCGGTTCTAGTACGCATCACTATTACCGACAAGTGAAGTTGAATTTTCGGTTGAATAAACACTACAAGTTCTAGTGGTATCAACCGAAAAATCTAGTAGAAGCCACTATTTCAGTCAGTTTCTAGGATTACCGCAGCGATGCAGTAGACAAGAAAATACCATTTTATTAACATATTCAGGGCATTGATATGTTACGCCAGAATTTTATGACAATATTACTGATTCAACATACAAAAATTATCTACAACTTTTCCGCCTGACAAGATACATTTTCACTATCAGTAGTAGTATTCCCAATGAGAATTTTAAATAAGTTTTCATGACAGTTGTTAACACGAATTTACATAAGATTTTACTTTATATGTTATGTAAAATCTTTTATAGTACTATCGACAGTAAAAGTTATGGTATAAGTTTTTATGTTGGAACTTACGTAAGAATTTATGTAGTGTCCAGTAAGATATTGACCAACGAAATTGAACTTAGTATATTACTGCCCTAGGCTGCGAAAAACAGAAAAGTCCCAGAGTACATGTAGTTAGTGGCCGAGGCGAAGCCGAGGCCGATAGACACGCGATCTGGGGCTTTCTTTTTCCGCGGCATTGGCCTGTATACTATTTTTCATACACTAGTGCACAGCGGCAGGGAAGTAGTCCCTTTCCGTTCGCTGGTATGAAAAAAAATTTTTCTTCAGTTAAT